GTCTGGCGACGAGGCTGCTTGAGTGGCTAAGCCAAGAGCGTGATTGCTGCCCTCAACTTTGGTAGCAGAGCGAAGCCAATAAATGGAGACTTTTGTGTTGGTTTCGGACAGTCTGTTGATGGCTTGATAGATAACAGTAGCTTGCCGTTGATTTGAAGCGCGCCGAGGCTTCTCCAGGCGTTTCAGGACATTAAGGGCATCTGTGAAGAAACTGATAGTTTGGTTTGACAGTCTTCGTTTTGATGTCCAAGCTGTGGCCTTCGCTAAGGCAGTTATCGCCCCAGAATACAGATCCGAATGAAAGCCCAAAAAGCCATGCTCTTCATGCGCTAAACGTCCTCCATATTCGACAGTGAAAGCCCAGCCTACACCCTTGTTCACAGTGTTGTAAAATGATCGAGAGTAGATGTCCCAGCCTTTGCCAATGATTTCCAAAATCTCCTTTTCCGGTAGTGTCTCAAGCTTGTTGGAGATGTCCGGAACTGAGATCAATGATGGGAATGAACTGAATAATGGAAAAAGTGGGAGTGTTGAAAATAGTGTTCCATTATGCAGCAGGATCAAGGGTTTCCTTGGAGGGAACTCAAACCCTAAGTAAATTACTAGGTGGAACCAGAAGCAACTGGAAACAGCTAGAAGGGACCGGAAGCAACTGGAATCTACCGGAAGGAACTAGAAGGAACTGGAAGCAGCTAGAAGGAGCTGGAAGGGACTGGAGGAAACTGGAAGATGCTGGAATTAGGATATGACAGACTTAACACAGAGAATTTTCACAAAACTTACCAATGTCAATAATGATGAAGTTCTGTCATAGCCTAGTTGTTGCAATAGACTTGACTTTGAGCATAGATTATCATCATCATACCAATTGAGTGGCACTACCCATTGAGCAGCACACTTCTGTCCAAAGATTTTTATAGAAAAAAATAAATATCCAGCCACCACAGGCTATATCAGTCAAAACTTCTCAAAATATCATGGAGCAAACTGAAGATATCATAGAGCAGATATCTTATTTACTACTGTGCATTATGTCCTGTCCTCACACAAGTGCTACAGCATCATCTGTTTAACTCAGCACTCCTTCGTTCTTCACCCCCCCCAGAGTGCATCTGGCTGTGGTTACTCTTGGGTGCTGTTGTTGTCCCTCAAATTACGCACCTCCTTCCTCTCCTGTCATAGACCCCTCCACTTCTGAAGTGTGATGATGGTCATGACAAATCTATTTTTGAAGTCCATGTGGAACAACTAGGCTATAACAGACTGCCTCCCCCTTCTCCACTAAAACAATAACATAAAATAGACCCTAAGATCTGTGTCTTAAATTCACAAATAATTCAATATCAAATGAATCTCCAAGTCAAACATAACTCAAAAAGATTTCGGTGTGGAATATCCCTGCAGTCAGTTCAGCATGTGCTGCTTTCTTGTCGCAAGCACAAAGATGAGTGAAACATCGCCTTTGAAAGGATCTCTATGACCGAAATTTCTATCTCCCTGATAAGATATCCCAGTGTGCCTGCTGATAGTAGTGGGCGGGCTATCCAGTAGGTGCTTCAATCAACCATTTCCACAAAGGGAGAGTGCTCTTGTAAAGTTCGTAGTATAATCCATAAAATGCAGGGGATCTCATTTCTTTCACCACTTTCTTGTAAACCTGGTGCTATGGCAGTGGGGTTTATAATACAAATTTTGCAACCAACACCAATTTTTGCTAAAAATTATTAATGGTAAAACTGGGGGTGTTCAACATTAGACCAAAATATAGTAAAATTCCCGAGCGGCTTGAATAGTGGATCGAAAGGGAGCAATCCAGCAGCCATACTGCTGGGTCATACCACTACTCCTTTATATGCATAAATCTGTAAATAAAATGCAGAAACCCGTAAAGAAGATGCAGAAATGTCCACTCATGAATATTTCAAAAAGCTCCGACTGCTTCAACTCATTGAGGTTGTCCTGAGATAAAATTCATATAATGGATGTGATTGAGAGTGTGCAAAACCCTTGTGACATCGAAACTTATGATGATGATGATGATGATGATGATAAAGCTCTGTTTTGAGTCCGTTGCAAATTTGTAGTTTGTCATAACCTAGTTGTTGCAAGAACTTAAAACAGATATTTATCAGCATCATCATATCAATGGCATTGGTAGATTTTTCGAAACGATTTCATTGCATTTTTTTGACTTGGAGATAATTCTTTTCATGTAGACTTTTCTATAATTGCGGCACAATCTAGAGCGAGGAGGCAGGCTGTCATGGGCTAGCTGTTGCACGCAGATTCTAAACATAAATTTATTATTCCCAAGACCACCAGATATCAGTAGCGATTATAGGAACTGTAGGGTTTCTACAGGGGTTTTACAGGGTTTCAATAGGGCTTCTATAGGGGTTTGGAGGGTGTATGTAAACCCTACTTATACTTTATTTACTTAACCAGGCTATTATTATTGCAATTTGTCATTGCCAGTGGAAGTTCCAGACATATTGAAGTTGGCAGAGTTATCCATGGATGATGATATTCCTTAAGCGTGCTTTGATAGATAATATAGTATGTTGTTGAAATTCACAATTTCTTGTTGTGCCTACAAACCTTTTTATAGGGTTTTCTATTATATTTATTGATGTTATTTTATTCATTGTGTTGAAAGTGTTGTTCTTGAAAGAGAATTTATTATGTGCGGCTGTTGTGAGGCTCAAAACACTCACCAAGTTTTCGTTATGTCTTTGAGCTCTGAGCCGCACCCTTTTTGTGCTTATAAGGAGCCTCTCCCTCCTACCTTTCCTACTCGCTATCAGTCTTACTCCTTACTATTCCGGGCTACTCCCGTTCTCTTGTTTATTGTTTACTGATCCACGAGTAGCCTTCTGAATATATTCATTCTCAATTATTACTTGACGCTATGAGTTCCGCTGCTGCAATTGGAGAACTTATGTCTGCTAAGGCAGTCGAACTTCAACATATGTTGTTGATTGAATGATATGTACAAAACAAGGGAGGGGGCTGGTCTATATATAGACAAAATAAGATCATACAAAGTTCTTCCACAAGTTTCCAGTATCTTCCAGATCCTTCATCTGGTACTATAAATACATAGATTTGACTACTATCATAGCCATCACCGAAGCCACACCAGAATCTCGGAAAAATGAGGGGATTAAACAGAGATTTATCATCATCATGACAGAGCACACTCAGAAGAATCAGCCATTGATGACCGCAATCTCGTTGAACAGAATGTCAAGTTTATAGTCAAACCTCTATCAGATGGCATAATTATGGAAGGGAGCAGTGATATAGCCCGGCAGTATGGCCTCTGCATTGCTCCCTGTAGATCCATGGTTCGAGTCCTGCTTTGGCGCTTCTCCCGGGTTCCACCTTAAGATTGAACACCCGCAATCTTCACCTTTATAATTTACAGCAAAAAATGGTCTTGGTTGCAAAATCTGTAACGAAACCCCCACTGCAGTAGCACAAAGCTTTCAACAAAGTGGTAAAAGAAATGAAACCCGAAACCCCCTGGGGTTTATAGATTATATACTGTGGACTTTGATTTGACACCCTCCCGTTGAGGGAATGATCAGAATTGAGCTCCTACTATATAGCCTATCCTTCACTTTAGGCAGGCCTTCAGGGAGTTACACTTGGATATCAAATTCAAAGAGACGGAAACTTGAAGTTTAATTAGAAAATCTAGATGAAAATTTGTGGGATACATTGGAGACAGTCTGTCATGATCTAGTTGTTGCATATAGACTACAATAAAGAGGTTTATCATCATCATCATCATCATGATAATGAAGGCAAGCCTCGACTCTTAATCAGCAAGCCGCTTGTGAATATCCTGTGCAGCTTCGCCAGAATTGTGAGCTTCCAGACTGGACATGACTTTATCAACAGCTACTTTGCAAGATTTTGGCAGAAAACCTCATCCCTCTCTAGAGTGTTGGTGTGGAATCTCTCAACAGTCAGTTCAACATGTGTTTTATTTGTCCCAAGCACAGAGATAAACCAAATATCATCATTAAAAGTATTCATACTGCTGAATGCACACTCAATCCAATCCCATTATTTGGACAGACAGACAGTCTTTCTGCACTTGTCAAATGACTTTCAAACACCCACATCCAGCACTGGTTATTGGTATCATCAGCAATGAGTAGCTGTGAGGATGTTGAAGGAAGTGGGTAGCTCAGATGATTATTAGTGAATTTTTTGGATTTTTGTTTCTTAAGTGAAATATGCTAAGGTGAATTTTGCAGAATTTCTTTGTGTTTTGACCTTGAACTTCATTTTGTGTTGAATTCTATATTATTCTGACACATTAGTGGGATCTGACTTACTTTATCTCGTTTTATTATCTTTAATTATATTGGATAATGGGGAGACAGCCTAGTTGCTACACATGGACCTTGAAAATAGATCTATCATATTTATTATCATCATCAGAGGAACAAGCCAGGTCATACCTGTGTAAGTTTGACAGTAATAGTATTCCAGACTGATAGAGATACAGAAAATATAGATGACAGAGAATCTCAGGGCATCTGGTTGTTCAGAGTCATTCCAACAGAGTCTTTATTCAGTAGTGAATCACTTTTTGGGTATTGCAAGAATAATCATGCATTAAATCAGTCTGTTTGGCTGGCATTGGTAAGTATTTAGTTGGAAACCATAGTATATATCATGATGGGCTATTGAAAAGACCAAATATAAGCAAAATAGCAAAGAATTTCAGGAGAAAAAAACAAAGAAAAAAAAAACAGAAAAAAAGAAAGAGAAAAAGAAAATGAAAAAAAAAAGCAAGAAAACAAGAAAAAAAAAAGAGGAAAAATTCACAGAATTTAAAAATGGCATCTGCCAGGTCAGGCAAGATGCAGAAGGAGGGTGTCAAATGGGGAAAATATGAATTTCAGTGAGTTGGGAGAACCGCGAAACTCTAATTGTTGGATGCTATAATTTTTGTAAATTTGGTTTACACCCTCCTTGAGCGACAACGACTTCTCTCACGGTTCACCATGGCTCCTCTCATAGTGTCGCAATCTACAGACAATGCGGAACTGCTGGCTTGCTCACAAGCATTAGATGCAGCAGCATTGAGAGAACGAGAGCAGTTTACCTTGGTCGTTTCGAAGTCGAGAAGGAAGCGTGATGGCAGCAACAAGCCGTCTGATTCATCATCAGCGGTACACGGAGGATCGAGACTAGTGAATGACGCACAGCAGATTGAGTCGGATTCAAAGGATGCACAGAGAGATGGAGTACGACAAAGCAGAAGGAGGAAAAACGCACAGTCATCGAAGTATAAGGCGCGAGCACCGAGAACGGCTGATGATTATGTTTCGTTGGTGCATCATCAGCTTGGATTGCTGAAACGGCAAAAAATTTTTCACCAAACATTGCTTGGGTCTGAAAACGAACGCACGGTCGACAGTGTGCTTTTCCAAGCACTTGGTAACAAAGCAAGTGAAGTGTCACATATTCGCTGTCTGGCACTGGGAAGAATAACAGAAAGCGATTATTCGGCGATGCAACTCGCCTTGCTTCTGGCTATCAAGGAAGCATTCGGTCTGCGGAATATTACGACCACCATCTCGTGCTACGATCCGGACTTCACGCCACTGGATATCGAGACGTTGGAAAAGTTGGAGATCTCGGTCGAGGTAGATGATCCTGGAGAGGAGGCTAAGCTGGTCGATGAATCCTATGGGGCGGAAGGTAGTGATAACGCAAAAGACAGCGAGGATATATTGAGGGTGACAGGCAAACGAGAAGCGACGCTCTATTACATGCCGCATGCTCCGATCGGGCTAGTGGACAAAATCATGGGGTTACCGGGTGTGAGGTTTGTGCTGGGAAATGACGTGCTAGGCTACAAAGATCGTCTATGGGGCAAAGTAGAGCTGATGCATCCATCACTAAGGAAAGTCATCTCTGATTGCCTTGATGTGACTAGCGAAACCGACGAAAGTCGAAGCAATCATGACCGATGGGCTCGTGAGCGGCTTAACGACGGTCTCGCACGAGATGAGAGCTGGTGGATGAGCGTTAACGATTTGGCAATGCACTGGCGTGTATGACTACGACTGTATATAATATGATGGAAAGATGTGTATGATTAAACGACTAGTATAAATACATTGGCTAAACTGTTGTACAAGTACGCGCGGTCTTTGTAGAAACCAAGAATAAAGTTGGTCTATCGATCAATATCCATCTCTTCGAGGGCATCAGCAGATTGCGAGGGATAGCCCCAGCTTTCTTCCTGCCATTCACGACCCAGGCGCCACTCCTCGAGTCTTTGCTTTTTCATCTTCCAGCCTCGAGACTCGGCTTTGCCTTGATTGACAAACTCCACTTTCTCTATCCTGAAGCTCACTCCGTCATGTCGGGTGATCCATGATCTGGAGTTTATTCCGTTTCGAAACGATCCTTGATAGCGCACTAGCAGGGGAAGAATGCGCAGGGTTGCTATGCAGTCTCCGGTGTCGGAGTTAATTTCGATATCGTCGCCAGATATATCTGCGGTCGTTTTGTCGCCGACTGGGGTGAATCCGGAGTGATACAAAGCGGTGACGACGTCGGAGTCGTCTGTGTAGACGTCGGTACCCCAGATCATGCGACGATAGATGAGGGGGTTGTTGTGTTTGAATAAATATCTGTGGGGAATTCTGATTTGAATGAGGGAGTTGACGCGGTCATCGAGACGAGGAAGTAATGGTCTGTCTGAGGTGAAGGAGGGCGCATAAATTATCCACCCCAGGTTGTACGATGGAAAGGCATTCGCAGCCTTGATCGCGTCCGTGCTATCGACCAACAGTCTGCGAGAATGAGTCGAATTGCCAAATTTCACTGAACTGGGCGATGGGGATCGTTTCCTATCGTTGCAAAGATTAGCCTGAGATCGGAGGAGGAGGAGAAGGAGGTGAGGGAAAACTTTGCGAAGAAATAGAAACTTACATTAAAGGACCGTCGTCGGCAGAGGACTGACTCCGGTTATGTTGTCGGCGCTTTCGAGACTTTTCATCAGCAGCAGGCGAGCCAAGAGATCCGGAAGCTGCATTGGCGGAATCAGACGCGGTGGTGGCCGCGTCGGCAGAGAGAGAGTTGGAAGCCGCCGCAGCCTGCGCTTTTTTGACGACGACGCGCGCTATGGCATCCTCAGCGCGTACCGGGGTGTCGGGGGTCGATTCGAGTTGATGCTGCTGCTGCTGCTGCTGTTGAGATTGCTGAGATAACGCCGGCAGAGACTGGTTCATAGGGGAATGCTGGGGAGAAGACTCAGATGCCGGTGGAGCGGAGAGCGAGGCCGGAGCGCTTGACGACGGAGCTGCAGATGTCTGCGGCTGTGGCGTGGTGGTGCGGCGTATGCTGTGGCTGGGATCAAACTGGACTGGAGGCAGGGTCGGGCCAACAGTGAACGGCGACGAGGTCGACGAGGACGACACGGCAGCGAGCGGTTTCGGCGTGCTGGAGGCAGACACGGCGGCCGCTGAAGTGCTGACCGAAGCAGAAACAGCGGTGGCTTGCGGATGTTCGGGGGAGCGTCCTTGTTGTGGGACATCGTCAGGCGAGCGCGGAGGCGGGGCAGAGATTTTGCGGTCTTCTGTGGTGAGTGTGGGGAAGGACTCTTTCGGCGGCGATTGGGGTCGTTTCAGATCCGTGGTTTCGGCAGAGTCGCCGGCGGTCCCCGATGTCTGTGTGGTTGGCCGGTGATGGTGGTGGCGATGATGGTGGTGATGATGATGATGGTGGTGGTGAGGAGCGTGCGGCGGTGAAGGAGGCGCCGAGGGCTCGACAGAAGCAGGAGCGGAGGCCGGTGCAGAGGCCGGCGCCGGCGCAGAGACGGTCGGGGGCGGCGAAGATGTTCCAAGGATAGAAGAGATCGACATGCCCGAGGAGGCGGACCTGCGGTGAAGCGGCGGCAGGTTGTGAACGGATGGGGGATGGAGGGGCGGAAGAGTGCGCGCCTGGGGTCCGACGGACGCGGCGAGGGAGGGTAGCGAGGGCAGATGGTCGGGTGCGGGAGACGGCTGCTGCTGCTGCTGCTGATGGAAGTGGTTCTGCTCATGTGAGAGCGGCGGCGATGAATGATCGGAGGCAGCCATTTGGGCAGCGGGCAGACGACGAGCTGTGAAGAAGTCGAAAACGAGGAAGTCGACGACTTTTTGAGCTGAGCGCTGGGCTGCGAGCGGTTTGTGTGGAGGAAGACGGGCCGCCTAACCCTGAACTGCGGTTAGGGCTCTGAACGAGCATCGGGGCCTGTTGCTTGTGCTGATAACGAACAATCGAGCAGCGAGAAGCCCTCGGCGCGCAGCTGCGTGCGTCGCGGGCGGGAGCAGCGCTGAATAAGTACAAATATCGTGAAGAGGGCAGAGCGGATCATTGCAGTGACCAGACAGCAGCAGTGATTTCTCGCAGGCACCGCTGTCGTTCTGCTTTCGGTCGGTGAACTGGTCCCGTCACGTGCAGACACAAAAGCCACTTCCTCCTCGCCACACTGGCGATCGCCAACGCTGCTGCCCCGCCGGAAACGATCCACTTCCCCAAATCCATCTCGATTAAATCCCGCCTTCCCCCCTGGAAATGTCCTGCTGCCGTACAGCACTCTCGCCGACGGCTACCCTCATCACCACCACGGCTGGCTCAAAGCTCCACTGCGACGACCGTGGCTGCCAAGTTCGCTCTTCCCTCTGCCGCTGCTCTGCTCCACCCGCCGTCGGGACTTCTTTCATCGCTGTCGCCGTCACCGCGACTGCAACTGAAACTGATGAGCCCTCCGCCACCGCTCTCTCTGCCCTCCTTGACGACGACTCTGCATCAACAATGAATCTCTCTCGCAGGCGTAAACGTGACCTTTTGCTGGCCGAAATCGCAGTATGGAAAGCCCAGGTTGTCGCTTTCTTTGATCAGCCGTCGCAGGCTGCCCCGAGCTCTTCTCCCAGCGACTCTTCCTCTCCGCGCAGCTCCAAATCCAAATCGAATCCAACTTCCGCATCCCCCACTCCTTCTTCTGCAAACCAGACCATCCTCTCACCGCCATCGTCCTCTTTAATATCCAATCCTTCACCAAACCAGTCCTCTTCTACTGCATCCCCGTTCCATATTCGAGTACCCAAGCGTCGCAGCACCCGCAAACAAATCGACGAACTTTTCGTCCCGATAGACAATCCGATCTACTCTGTGCCGAGTTCTACGCTCGCCCGAACCGTCGCACCCTCCCCGGCCACTGTACCTCCCAGCACACAAAGTTCGAACATGCAATCATCATCTACCGCTAAGCAGCCCTCCAGTTCACAGAATGGCACTCAGTCCTCCGCAAAAAATATCAATTCCGGCGCGAGTAACGGTGCTGATAAAAATCGTCGCGACGAAGACAACAATCGGCATCCTGAATCTCGGCCCTCAATAGATGACGATTCTGCAGATTCCGATTCTGAGTCTGAACTTTCTGACGAAGAGGAAGCCTGGAACGAAGGTTATAAGAACTGGAAGGCTTGTCGGCGGCAATGGACTTCCAAGCCAGCAGGCTCAGAGACTAGCACTCCTAGTACCGATTCTTCTGCAGTTAGAAATCACCCGATCCACCAGCTCAAACCAGATTCTTACCCCAAAATATACCGCGTGCTGGTTCATGAGAGCAGAAGACTGCGGGTCCCCATCAATCTCTCGGATGCGACAAAGATCCTGGTATCCGGATGGCAGTCCACCGGTCAATGGCCACCTCAACCTGGCAAAGCTGATCCTCTTATCGGCCGTCGCAAACGATAGTGTTGGTTTTCTTTTGTTTTTTCATTTACATGTCTACCTATCTACTTTCTTGCTATAAATTTCGGAGAGATTACGGGGAGTACGGCGCTTGTTGGTTTACTGGTGTTCTGTTTTTGTGTATCTATCTACCAGCTTTACTGTAAATTTATGGATTTTTAGGTAGCAGTCTTAGGTTTAGTTATATCGATAGTTTAAACTCTGCATCATATATTACAATAGCCATCATTTATTATGCGAACAACAGGTCCTCTAATCACTCTTCCGATGACCGCCACTCTTTTCTGAAGACACCGGAGAGCCAACCATATCACTGTACAACTTCATCGGCGTCCACTCACTGATATAATTCATCATCTCACTCCCTGATCCAACTATATTCTGCAAATAACTTCCCGACATGACTTCTTCCCGTGAAACCGACGCCCTTCTCACAATCGCGTTTTCTCCGCTATGCTCTCCATCGTCGTCCTCGCTATCGGTGACCTGAAAAGCTGATTCATCCCAAGACACGCTGTTCATTGTCCCAAAAGACTCATGTTCTTGCAGAGAAGCAAACTTCTTTGTCTGATCTTCACCGCCCGCGATCTTCCCGGCATCAGCATGATCTTTCGCATCCGATTCCTTATTGTTGGCACTGCTGCTGCGGCTGCTAATGCTGTTGCTGCTGCTATTGCTGTTGCTACTATCCGCACTCGATCTGCGCCCTCGCGACATCTCTGGATCGTAAGGATCCCTGAAATGGTGTTCCACCAGATGTTCTATGACTGGCCATCCATAAGCATTGGCAAACGTCCGACGCACAATAATATTGTTATGCGCATCTGGCTCCAGCTGCACCAACACTTTCCTCCACGACATGCGATCGTGCCACGCGCGAGCTATCTTTTCCTCCACCCGTGCCTTCTCACTCTTGTTGCTGTTGCTATCTTGCGTATCCCCATGCTGTTCATGCTGTTGTAGTTCTGCACTCTCTCCTTCTCCATCTGTCGTCGTCGACTCAAAAGTTCCTGATTTGTTTGACTTCCGCTGCGTCAACGGTAGTATTGGCTTTGATTTGCTCTGTGGCTTTTGCGGAAGATCCTCGGGATAGTATATCCGATCATGGAAAATTGTCTTGGGTCTCGACTCCACGTTCAAGATGAAATCTCGGGGAGGTAGCGGCGGGTTGATTATAGACGTCGCAGATTCAAGCACAGACGTCTTTGGTAAAATTGTAGTCTCTTCATCTGCTCCGTCATCATCAGATCCAATTGTTTGACTTAAATGATAAATCTTGCCCGGTTTCTTCTTCACAGCATGTGGCCGAAGGAACGAAAATGCATACTGCAAAGGCGCCAGAGGATTGCTGTTTGCGTTCTTCTGCTGTGTTGAAGTATTCGGCACATTCATTTTCCCCGGTCCATCTGCCCGCTTTTCCGCATCGTCAAAGCTCTCTTCGCCTGCCGAATCTTCTGCTTCACCCACACCGGGTTTTGAATCCTGGCGATGATGATGATGATGAGCTAGATCCATATGTGAATCCTCTCCAGGCGAGCCGTTGCTCGTGCCCACCCGCTCACCGTGCCGGGCCTTCTCTGCCTTGGAGAGCGCTCGCCAGTCGAGATATAATAACGAAGAGGTTCGCAGGGGTACAATTCCATCGTTCACTGCGTTCGCATACACAGTCCGTCGTTTAAATCGACGTAAGATCTCCGCAGCAGGGCCAGTGGGTAAAATCCTTAGGAGCGGCTTTGAAGCAACCGCCGAAGAGGGGGTGAAAGGTGTAGCTGGCTTCCAAGTAAGGCCCAGATCCTGGCCGGATTTACCGACAAACCCAAAGTCCAGAGCAAACTTCACATACAGCGGATTTTCATTTGAGATTCCCAGAAATGGTGTGGCCAAGGCTATGAAGTTGATAGGCTCGATCTCTTCGAAAAAATCTGGATAGTGGGCATGGATGTAGGCAATTGCATAGGTCATGACGAGGCCTCCGAGAGAGTGGCCAACAAACGAGATCTTCTTGATCTGAGGGTCCCGCAGCGTGGTCGCAATGTGCTTTGCCATCCTCTTACCCAGATACTTCACTCCTCTTTCTGTCCTGCATACGTTGTCGAAATACCCTCTAACAATCACGTTCTCGCCGGCAGCGGCAGCGGCCTTTTCGATCTGCTCTTTGGCAAATAGCATGTCGGCCCCGGTGTTAGAGTGAAGACCATGACTGATAACCACAAGATGCACGTCCTTGCCAAGCTCAGGTCTGGGTGAACTCCAGATCGCGGCCGTATCCTGATGGGCCACAACAAGAGCCTTTGAGAACAAACCCGGCTCAGAGTCGAGGTGCACCGCTTCCTTCTCACGTCCGATCGAGAGTTCGAAAGAGACGGTGGCCGAGGCGGAAAAGATGAGCTGACTGACGACATCGATCGTCCACGAGTGTTCGGTTCGTTTTGGATCCATCTTGAGCTCGGCATAGAAGGATTGCGAGGCCTTGACCTGGGGTTCGAAAGCCGGCTCATCGTATACGCTTGTCGTGGTCTTGTACGGATCAAAGTTGGAAGGCTTCACATCGACGTAAAGAATAAACGGGCCGTTCAGATAAGCTGCGCGGAGAGGGTAGGCCTCGGTGTTGCGCACCCGCAGATACAACGACTTGGGAGGCGGGAAGACGTTCTCAGCGGCCGGCACATATGTGACTCTGTAGCGGTGAAGCTGGCCGACCTTCACCTTCGAGCGAGTGCGAAAGAGCAGCATAGGTTCCTTCGACGCACTAGACTGAAAAAACTTCGGCTGGTGCCGGAACGAAACTCGAACGGCTGTTCTGCGACGTTGGGATGTGGATTCTAATGACGAGGCGGATCGGCAAGCGGATCTTCCCAACAGCCAGAGCCGGGCCGAAGGTTAGCCTGTTTATCTAAACCTTAAATCCAACCTCCGCATTCGTCCTATTGTGGAATCTATTCTAGAACTTGGGTGTTGTCATGAACATGTATATTAATGATCTACCAACTGAGATTAAATGTCCAAACTACAAATGTCCAAACTACAATTACTCGTCCTTCTCGACCGTTTGTGCTCTTGGCCCAGAGCTTTCCTTATATGCCTTCGCACACCCGTAGTGCACAACTGTGCGGTTGGGGAAAACCGATATAACGCTGCTCCCCAGTCTCTTGAGACAAACGGGGCAAAGTTTTGTATCGGAAATGATAACGTTCTTACTCTTCAGCTTCACAAGCAGCTGCTGGGTCCTAACCAGTTCCGCCTTTAGCAGAGCCGCAGAAATCCGATCCCGGTTAATCGTAGTGTTCGTTTCCCGCAGGTGAGACTCGAAAAACTGCCCGAGTGAAGTAAGTTTAATGTCAGGCGGAAGAAGTTCGAGCGCATCGACAGCTGACAGCCGCGATCCATGCTGCGACAGTAATTCCAGAGCTGCCTCGAGGTTCATGCCCGGGTAGTCAAAGTTATCGCGAAGAGTCGGAAGACTAGACGACGATGGCGACCGATAGAACCCGTTCTGCTGCGGTCGAAGGTACCCAGCGATTGTCGGCGGAGATCCTGCTGTGAACGACGACTCGTTGGACCCTCTTCGAGACGAAGGCGCGGTTGCACCATATCCATTCGTTGCTGCCTTTGCTGGAGGTCTCAGGTAGAGCTCGAGAAGCGTATAGAACACGGACTTGGAGTTAGGGACGTCCGAGTCGTACACATTCATGCAGTATTCTTGAGCCTTCTGACTATCCTTCATACTGAACACAAATATCTCTAATGCTCGCTTGTGCTCTCCTAGTCGGCTGAACAGCACCGCTTTCGACTCCATAAACAACGAAGCTGCAAGAACAGATCATCCGTTAGTTTCAACTCCAGATCCAAAGCACAAAAGGCTAGAGCTTACAGTCTCTGGGCATTGCAGCCAGTATTTTCTCCGGTCTGTACTGCGACGACTCGCGAAGCAAGCGTAGGAGTTTCCGCACAGGTCGTTGTACCATCTCGTCATCCGAAGAATACAGCTGTGCATTGGTTTTGACATCTTCGAGGTAAGTCAAAGCAAGATCGTTGTGGAAATCAGGCGAAAGATCATTGAGACCAAACACAATGTGCTCCAGATACTTCATGGTTAATTTCCTAGATATGGGGAGGAGGAACTGCTCGACCCGTTTGCGAGACAGAGACTCTGCCTCAGGAGTATTGGCCATGAAGATCTATCCAAGAGTTAGTAACGTCACTTTTCATATATTTCCAATATCAAGCGATATCTCACCTCAACGCCATACTCCTCGTTGATGTTAACTGGCTCCTTGGCATACTCGAATATCAAATCAAGGTGTTCCTGTCCCAGTTTCTGCAAATATCGTACAATATGCTCCGGCCCGTTAAACTCGGAGACCTTCTTGCTGTCGCTAAGCTGCTTCAGTAAAGCTAGAGCATCTCCATGAAGCTTCTTGTTGAAGTAGAAATCAACCAGCTCCGAGTATTTGCCGTACATCAAAAGCTGCTGCCGAACAGCATTCTTGTCGCAGTGATTTGGCAATCGAACTAGCGGTCCGACAAGTTGAGGATTAATAATTATATAGCAGCGTAGTAGTGCGGTGTCGACAATACACGCCTCTTTCTCTAGATCTGACCCATATGATGCAAGGTTCAGTTTTGCAGACGCAGTACGATCGAAATCCTCCTCGGTTATAGTACCAGACTGCAGAGAAGTGAGACGTGCAATCTTCCTTCTAGCATCGATGAGGTATATCAGCAGGCAACGCACCGCCTTCATCAACGCCTTACCGTCCATCGAATCGGGTCCAGTGTACTCGGCATTCCCCAGTTCTGACCGCGCTGTTCGCATGGTGCTTGATTTGCCGAAAGACAGAAAGTTGGCTAAGCTATCCGACAGCGACAGAGTATCAGCAGCGGGTCGACTGCCCTGTCCAACTGCATTTCTGTTGTCGACCTTGGAAGACGATGAATTACTAGTAGTTGGCCGTAGAAATCGATCAAATATTTCCAGATCTTTCTTCTTCTGTGCTTCGGCATTTGTAGAGTCCGCTAACGAAACAGTATCGGCCGTTATTGTTGGTATATCGTGGGTCTGACTAGGACTAACAGAATTGGCATCGGCTTTCGATGTGCTGGCGTCTGTGGGCGCATCCGTACTAGCCTCAACCTCGTCTGGCCTCTCCTCATCATCAACTTTCTCTGCTTCAGTGGCCTCAGAGGTAGGTGGAACCTCTGCAGGACCATGGGATTTCTCCCCATTAGTCTCAGCACTTGTTTCTTCGGGAGTCGGGATGTCAGTACCATTCTTCATAGCCTCTGAGCTCTCCGCCACACCTGAGATTGCTTCAGGGTATAATTTAAGAACACGCTCAGGAGGTGCTGAAACTTCAGAGAAAAGAGTCATTGATTGCGAGAACTTGAGTTTTGAAAAGAGAATTTCAGCTCGACGCATCTTGAGCTCTCTCAGCTTACTCGAGCGATCAGAGACAAATACGTCGTCCACGTTCTCTATCAGCGCAATAGCTTCATCAAGCTGATTTTGGCCAATGAGCTCCTCAATCTGTTCTTCAAAAGACCTTCGGCTCAGTTTCCAGATTTGCCGCGAAGAAGCAACAAACGGGTTTTTCCCGTCGTTGAAATGCTGTAGAGTTGGGAAGTTGATGGACTGTAGCAGTGTGTACGTCTTTGGATTGCGCACTTCAAGTTTCTTCCCGTTGGCGGTGACTGAGAGAACAAACGGATATGAGTAGCCAAGCATCGACGGTACATCCTTGAATTTAATCTGTCGTTTAGACTTCATGAACGACCCGGTCTCTGAGGAGAAGAATGCAGAGGAAAACTCGTTGACCAAGACCACCGACTCGTCTTCCGGCAGTCGAGCCGCTAATGCACACCCCTGCTTCCGCGAAGACGCCGAGGAAGATGATGTTATGCTACCGATATTTGCGGCGACGCCGGCCAATACTCCGTCGATTGCGCCAACTGGTCTTCCTGCGGCGAATATAGGAGACACTTGGGAAGCCGGAATGTCAACGACAAAGTACTCAACCACTAGGCCACAAAGTATTCTGTCGGGCTTGATAAACGTGAGAGATCGTGGTCGCTCGGGGACCGTAATTTCTTTCGACCCAATCAGCTCTGCACCCTGCCATTCGTAGCAGTGCAGCTTCTTCTTTGCAGCAACCACGAGTCTCGAGACAGACCGTTGGACGTCGGCGACGGACGGCCGCTTCTCTGGCGCGGTGTTGGGCGGCAGAGCAAACGGAGTCTTAAATTCGAGCTCGGACGAAGTTGCAAAGACTACCGCGCCTTTTGTTCTGTGCAGACGTTCTTGATATGCGAGAGTGTCGAGATCATAGAGATGAACATATCCGCCACTCAGCACAATCAGCACACGCGCCTCTTCTAAGCCCAAGAGCTGCTCTATTGATCCTTTGATGAACTTATCGATGGTAGTGAGCAACTTTGCTGGACTTCGTTTTGAGGTGTCGGATGGAGCAGACGAAGGATCGGGGTCAGATAACGCTTGCGAGTCGTCTATCTCGTACACTTTGAGCGCCCCGGATGCGAGACCAACAAACAGTCTGTCATCTGTAGCAGGAGAGATGTTGAGTTAGAACTGATCATGTGCTATCAAATGTTTTCCTCTTCTGCGCCGAAGAATCTCAAAAAATAGAGCAAGAGAGCATACTTGTACTGTAGATTGCCTGAATGCGCTCCTTTGAGCTCAGCTCCACGACGGGAACAGGAGCGAACGCACGCAGCATTGCTCACTCAAACGTCCAGTTATCGGAGATACAGCGCACGGAACTTTTGAAATACCCGCGCTGTAGGGGAACCGGCAATAGAATAAGAACTGCGTCCGATACGGCTTTCTGGTTTAGAGATTATTGCGGTCGGTGGTCGTTGCCGAGTATGTCGGTCGCTTCCCGCGCCGCTCGGGGCATGATCTATTTCCTGTTTAGATAAAACTTGCTAAATCCGGGACTAATTTTGGGGGTATTTTGCCCGATAACGGAATTTATTGGTAGGAGCACGTGATAGATAAGCGTCTGTTGGTCTGAGGGTCTTGTGGTTCTGCTTCCAGAATGTATGGTATCGCTCGAGGTTCCTGTGCATAAGGCTGCGAGTTGCTGCTGGCCGGCTTCTGGTCTGCTGAGTGGTCTATGTCTGTCTGGAGAAGTTTTTGACAAAGGCCTTCAACCGACCTTTTGGTCTTATTTGTAGAGCATTGAGCTACCGATAAGCGAAGTACTCTCACAGAGCTCACACGAGACCCTCACAGCCTTCTCCCAACGCCTTCTATATTCCATTGACGTAGCCTTTGTCTTCCAACGATTGCGAGTTACAACCCGCCTGATCTTGAATCATTGAAAATGGCCGTTCCGTGGGGAGTTATCACGCTGGCGTGCGTCACTGTGATCTTATGGAGATATTTTGTTCAGGCGCCGGTAGAAGACGCGCAGAGCGGTAGCGAAATCAACAGCCGATCTGCGTCATCGTCGAAGCGCAAGCGGAAAAACAAGAGCAACAAAGGCAAGGCTGCTGCCGGAAATGAGGTAGAACAGAAAGAGACTGAACGAAAATCTGGTCCCTCTACAGCTACTGCTGATGTGTCTGTTGTGCCAGAAAAGAAGCCCGATGCCGAAGTAGCAGACAGCACGAGTGAAGATCAGAAAACTGCGATCTCCGAAGTTGTTGAGTCCCCAGTTGTTGAGTCTACAACTACCGACAATTCATATCTGCCGGGAGACAAGCCACCCGAGGTATCCAAGGCGCGACCCAAAGTTCTGAAAATAGTGGGTTCAGCACCTGCTCGTCAACCCAAAAAGCCGAAGCAACCGGCAGAAGAAGAGTTGACGAAAAGGCAAAGGCAAAACAGAAAAAAATACGAGATGACGAAAGAATTGAAGTCTGCTCAATCGGAAGAACAAGAACGCCGATTGCGCGAGTATAAGGCTCAGAAAGCGAGGGAGGCTATGGCTGAGGTTCAGCGTGCAGAGGCGGCCAAGCGAACTGCTGCTCTAGCAGCTCGCATACAAGACAACTACGGGACGACATCTACCGGTGCTAAACCCGCTCGGCCTGCGACCAGCCAGCAGCCTGCAAAACAATCAAGTGCAAGCAATGAAGGAGAATGGATAGCTGCTGGCGGTAAACGTGCGAAAGCAGCGAATCCAGGTCGCGATATCGGGAGCTCAACTAGCCGGCCCGCAGCCCCTGTATTTAATTGGGACGACTAATTGGTGTGGAGTTGATGGAAGAACTGGAAACTGAAAATCATCTATATTCGCCTACTCTTGATCTTCCAAAAACGTCATAGCTTACAGCAACAAAAAAAGTACAAAACAATATAAAACTAAACAAACGGGAGGAGCTACAACTCTGATAAGTTACGCTTACAATACAGAAGGAAAATTACAGATAGTAAACACGGTAAATGATGGTCAACTACAAAACAAAACACTCGATGGAGAAAAAACACATGCACCATCTAATGGACAAACACCTGCAGGTAAGAAGAAAATGCACAGGCACTCTTCTTGTTACCTAAATGGAGCATCAGTTGAAGCTGAATCAAAGCTAGCTCTTGAAGCACCGTCAGTGCTGTTGGCAAACTGAGAAGCTCTAAAATCCCGCGGGCGATACTCGCTAGACGGCCTAGTTGTTGATGTTGACTTGCGCGTGGCTTTGATGTCTGGGATATCCAGCGTTGGTGGTATTTTGGAGTTCTGAGATTTCGATGTGGGCGGGACGGTGGCACTTGATGGAGGGCCATCGGTCAATTTTTTGATGTCATTGAACCAATTTATCATCTGCTCGTAATTCTCGGCCCTAAACATCCAGCTGTGACCACGGTGGAATTGACCCGACTGCTTTCCTTTCACAAGAAACTTGAAAGAATTCGACGAAGAGTCGGAGTGATCGGAAATCTGGCAATCCTGTAGAAGCAACGACATGACCGGTGTGAGGTCGTTCTTGCGATCCGCAGTCTTGAACTCATGCAGATATGTTGGTGTAAGCACATACCAGGCACTGGTGTATGACTTTAGGTATTTTGTCCGGCGTTCTAGAGGACCGGCACGTATCGGTTTTGTCGCAGGATCTTCTCGACCGGGATATATTATGTTGTCGAACTTTCGCACGGGAATCGTGGGGTCCACAAAATTCGGGTCGCGCAGCACGAACTCGGTCCACTCCTTTGACGGCGGTAGATCGACCACGTTCGTTGTCAGACGGTGGTTGTAGTCGAGTGTGTCCTGGCCTTCGCGCTGAAGGAACCCACAGTAGGTGTCGAACGCTTGCTGGATCTCCTTCATCACGATTTCCTCTAGTGCTTTTCCAGAATTTTCGATGTTTAGGTATGCCTTAAAATATCACATTAGCTTTCAAGAAACATCCGTACTGGTTTCATACAAATAGGCAACATACCTGGTGGAGATAGTTCTCCTCGTCCATCTGCTTCCTCAGCTGCTTCTCAGTCGCAAGTTTGACAATGTATGGGTCGTATTTGCCGGCGACCAAGTGGGGGTTGACGGCAATAGCTCCCAAAGCCTCAGTGAGGACGGCGACTTGCTTCTTGGTGAGATCCAGTTCTTTGGCGACCGAGTTCTTGAAGTCGCCAGAGAGGCCCTTGATCTCCTTGATTTTGACCGAGAGGTCGCGACGGAGGTCTTTGAGTCGGGGAACAACCTGCTCGTTGATCTGCTTTGCGGCGTCGGCAGAGTGAAGGGACGACTGCTTGTGGTAGTCGCGGATCGCAGCGGGAGTGTCCTGGATTCCGCCACGACGAAGGAAGGAATCGCCGGTGTCGCGGAAGGGGACGTTGACGACGCCGGTGAGACGGAGATGCGAGCGGGCGCGTTGGTCCTGGAAGACGGCGACTTCTTCGAAATAAGAGATGCACTCTTTGAGGACCCGACGCCAGACGGTGAAACGGTTGGAGAGGACGTCTGTGGGGTTTCCGGAGAGGGGGACAGGGGTGTAGAAGGCCGAGTTGAGCTCGTCCGGGGTCTTCTGTGGCGGACGGGATGGTGGACGCATAGAGGCACGGTAGGGAGCGTTGCGGGAGATTTTTGACGACTGCTGCTGCTGCTGTTGCTGAGTAGGAGATGGTACGGTGACGTGCTGCTGCTGCTGCTGCTGAACAAGGGCGGGCGCGGGCGAGATGTGAACGGCGGGCGGTTCTTGGGCGTGCGGTTGTTCAGGTACCTCGGAAGTGTGCTGGTGGTCGACGAGGGCGTGCGAGGAGAGCACAACCGGCGCATAGCCGTTGTATCTCGGCTCGTTGTCATCGCCGTCCGAGGATTCGCTATACCGTTCGAGGATCTGCTCGCGCATCAGGCTCGAGTTGCGATAGTCAGCGGCCGCGGCGGCGGAGGAGGAGTGGTTTGCGTCGAGGCTCTCGTCGTCCTCGCTGCCTTCGCGCTCGCGTCTGCGGCCGCGCTCGGTCTCGCGGTCAAAAGGCTCTGGAGGCGCTTGAGCAGGAAAAGATCCGGGCATCGCGAGAGCGTCAAAGGTCGACGACACTGGCGACGACACCGGCGACAAGGACACGGCGGACGACGGCATTGTTGCTGGTCGAGTGGTTTTTCCCGCGTGGCTCGCTTTCTCAGTCTTTGTACGGCGCGCTCAGCCACGAGGGCGAAGAGGCGCTGACGTATTGAGTGCATTATGTAATGGATTTGTAATATTACGTCACTGTTACCTATTATTACTTTACTATCCGCCTACTTCGACAGATGGTTGATTGAAAAGGCAAACCGCTCAGATGCGGTTCTCCAGCTGGCGACTCTCCTTCAGCGCAACAAACCGCTTCACCACATCGTCCAGCTCAATCATGTCGCCCTTCGCCTGCGTCGACTGGTCGTCGCGGTTGCGCACGTTCACCGCCCGCGCCGTCTGCTCCTGCTCGCCCACAATCAGGATGAAGTTGTACTGCTGCAGCTGGCCGTTGCGAACCTTCTTCATCAGCGTGTTTCCGCTCACATCAGTGTCCGCATACAAGCCCGCGTCAAACAGCACCTTCCGCACCTCCTCCGCGTAGTCGTTGTAGCGCACTCCGACCGGGATCACCAACACCTGTCTGGGAGACAGCCAGAACGGCCACTTGCCGCCAAAGTGCTCTGTCAATATCGCAGTCATACGCTCCACACTGCCCAAAATAGCACGGTGGATCATCACCGGCCGCGCGTACTGCGCCTTCTCGCCGTCCTTAGTCTCCTTCTCCTCCGACGTGGCAACATGGTACTCCAGCTCAAACCGCTCCGGGAGCTGGTAGTCGAGCTGAATCGTAGCGCACTGGTATTGACGACGAAGCGCGTCAGAGATCGTGATATCGATCTTCGGTCCGTAGAACGCACCATCACCCGGGTTGAGCTCCCAGGGCTCGCCAAACTTGTCAAGCGCGTTGCTCAGCTTCTTCTCCGCATCATCCCATGTCTCGAGCTTTCCGAGGTACTTCTCCGGCCGAGTCGAGAGCTCGAGCTTGAAAGTGAAGCCAAAGATACCGTAGATTTGCTTCAAGAAGTCAAACACACCAGTAATCTCGTCCTCGATCTGGTTCTGCGTACAAAAGATATGCGTGTCGTCCTGCTGGAATCGACGCACTCGGGTAAGTCCCGTGAGCGCACCAGACGCCTCGTTACGGTGTAGAACTCCGAAATCGGCAACTCTCCACGGCAACTCGCGGTACGAGCGCTCACGCGATTTGAAAATCAAGCAATGACTAGGGCAGTTCATCGGCTTAAGAGCAAACGTCTCCTTCTCGACCGCAATCGAAAACATATCGTCCTTGTAGTGCTGCCAGTGACCCGAAGTCTCCCACAGCTTGGAGTTGAACATGTTGGGCGTGATGACTTCTTCGTATCCACGCTTGCGATACTCGGATCGCATCAACTCCAACAGGTTGTTGTAGATACGCGTACCATGAGGCAGCCAGAAGCAACTTCCCGGCGACAACTCGTGGAAGAAGAACAGATCCTGGTCGCGACCAATCTTGCGGTGATCTCGCTTAGCCGCCTCTTCCAAGAACTTTAGGTACTCAGTCATCTGCTTCGGGTCAGGGAAACTGACTCCGTAGATTCGCTGCAGAGAGTCATTCTCGGCGTTTCCAAGGAAATACGACGAAGAGTTCTTGAGAACCTTGAAAGCCTTGACCCGTCCAGTGTTTGGCACATGGGGACCGACGCACAAGTCAATCAAGGGACCACAGCGGTAGACAGTGGTGGAAGTTCCGTCGGGAATCTTCGACTGAATAATCGTCTGCTTGTACTTGTTGTGGTTGAACATCTTCAGCAAGTTCTCCTTGCTAACAACCAAACGCTCGAACGGCTGACGCTCCTTGATCGCACTCTTCGCAATCGTCTCCAGAGCGCCAAAGTCGCCCTGCGAGACCGCGCGGTCGTCAATCGACATCTCGTAGAAGAAACCGTCATCAGTAGGAGGTCCGATGCAGAGATGGCAGCCGTAATGTCTCTCGGAGGCTTCACCCAAGATATGGGCGCTCGAGTGCCAAAAGACACGCTTTCCTTCAGCCGACTCAAAGTCGAAGAACTCGAGCGTAGAATCCTCCTCGAGAGGACGCTCCAGATCCCAGAGAATGTTGTTCACCTTCGAGATAATTGTGCGGTCGGCAAGAGACTTGCTGATGTCGCGCGCAATCTTCATGGGCGTAGTCTCCCAGGCAGTGCCTTGCTTGGTCGAACCATCTTTCAGGGTAATAGTAATATCAACGCGAGGTTTGCCTGTAGAATGTCAGTCACAATCACTTTGAAATAGCAAGCACTGTTTATAGCATATTAAGACAGGGAATTGAACTCACTTGCGATCTCTGCGTCGTACTCTTTCTTCAGCTCCTCAAAGAGCTTGATTCGGTGCGGGATGAACTCTGGAGGCGGCGAAAGCTACAATTCAGTCAGTAACAGTCGAAAAATCTCATCGAGACTCTAGAAAACCCACCTCAAGAGGAGAAGATCCCTCAGCGGCCTCCTTCTTCGCCTTCTTGGCTTTTGGGGCCTTTGGGGCCTTCGGAGCCTTTGCGGGTGCTGCCGCAGGTGCCTCGATCGCGACGTCGGCGACCTTCTTGGTCACCTCTTCAACTTGTTCAGAGGCCATTATATCTAACTTGTAAAGACTCAGATAACCAGGATAAGAAGCAAAGTGCCGATAGAATCGATTGCGTGAAGAAACAGGCACAGGAGTTCGTGCTGGGTGACACGCATTCAAATTTTCGGTATCCGCGCTTTAATCCTCACCCTAACCCTATCTTAGAGCACTTCCTTGTTCCATCGGCATCCTAATTCTCTATCTCGACTAGTTCTATTACTGGTACATTATTAATACTATACATATCTAACCCGAACAGCCATCGCCAGCGTATTCTTAGCTCGACCGAGAAACGTAAGGAGCATGCTGCCGAGCTTTTTGCGGTTCTCCGACACCCCAAGTGCCAGCACGAGCGCAAGCAAGAACATCACATACTCCAACAGCCGAATCAGCACAGCCGGCTGTCGGCTTGTCCGTAGTATTGTCTTCCATAGGTCCGGTAGTCTTGTGATCGCCCTTATTCTACTGGCTTTAGGCGCTGGAGCACCTCCAGCTGGAGACTGCTCGCCGTCTGCGTCTGCGTCCTGCGCAGTGCTCGCATCTGCCGGGGATTGCTCGCTCTTGCTACTCGCTTTCGCAGCAGCCTGTGCCTTTCTCTTCTTTTCAAGCTCTCTCTTCCGAGCTGAGAGAACGTCGGCTTTAAGTTTGTTCTTCTGTGCTTCGATCGTAGACGACTCTAGCTTATCTAGTCTGTTGTGTAGTTCCACCTTGGCCTCGGCATCGAACTCGATCCGACTGTCAATCATGTGTCGCGCATCCGACCATTTGCTGCAGGCTGGCAAGATGAAAAACACATAAAACTCCAGTAGTTTCCGAAAGGCTTTCGATTCTGGCATCAGCGGGCCGCCGACTATGATGAAATCCTCAACTCTTACACGCACACCCTCGGAATTAGCATCGTGTCTTATGCATAGAGCCGCCCTATGATAAAGACCCGACCACATGTTAGCTGTACCGTCTTGCTAAATCAGAATCATTCAATAAAACCTACAGTGCAAGGATCAAGTCTGGCTCGATATTTCTCGAAGACGTGCACGTGGCCCGCGCCTGTGTCCATATCTCAAATTCAACCGCCAGCTCCCGTATATAGCTCATCTCTGCCTTGCTAAAAGACTCTTTCTGCTCATTCTCCGGTAAACTCAGGATGCTATCAAGAAGGGCGAGATAGAGCTGCCAGACCTGCCCATGAAGAGCAGAGTCCGCGTTGACGGTAGCAAACAGAGTCGAGGTTTGCGTCACAAGCGGCTGGATCGCGGCATATGCCTCTGAAAACTGCCGGTTGATGAACAGCTGTCGTGCTTTTCGAAATATACCGCGAACACGAGCCGCGGGTGTTGTTTCGGATGACGAGACAAGTGACTGGTAGTGAGATGAGATCGAAGACTCACTGACGGTGTCGTCCAGCAGTGGCTTGAAGACGGTGTCGGGCGTCGGCAGATCTCCTGCAGAGGAATCCATGGAGCAGTGGCAGTGATCTCTCTTGACAATGCTGGAATTATAACGGAGTAGCAGAGAAGCTGGGCTCTTATAGTTGACAAGTCTATTGCGGGGATCAACCTTCTCAGCCGATGCCTGGAAGCTCGGCTCGAGCTTATTTTAACATTCGGAAAACTCCCAGCGAGCACCCGCTTTCCTCGGCCGCTTCACCAGATCCCTCTCTTTCGGCCAGCTTATGAACAACAACAGATCTATTGATTATCATACATGATTCCAAAACTACACAGCACAGCTAGATTAAAACAAACTGACACAACGGAAAAAAACACGCATCGCTAGAAATACATCCTTCACCTTCAAACCATCCGGCTAGAACAACCCCAGACTCCAGATCTGTTTAGCCCCATACTCCGCAAAATCTTCTTTTGATATATAAGCACCGTCTATGCTAGCAATTCCCGGCGTAAAAATCTGCTTGGCTGCAATCTGGCATCCCAAAAACTGAGCATTCTCCCACGTATGGCCCTTCCACCCGAGAAAGTAGTCGGCCAGTCGCGCGATCTTTATACTCGTGGGCACCTGGCCGTGGCCCATGGTGTGCATCTGGCCGTAAGCCGAGCCAATTGGGGAGCCATAACCACCCGGCGTATTGATACCAGACGGGATCTCAGAGAAGGTATTTGTTCGGTTAACTAGGAAATGCTCCTGCAATGACAAAAGCACGGCGTCGACGAACCCCCTGATCACCGTCGGGCCGCCGACCAAGACAATGTTATCCCAGCAATCACCGCGTTTCGTGATGTCATCCATCTTTGCAATAGTTCGTCCAATAGCCTGCGCAAGCTGCTCCACAAGCTTCTCCGCGCCCTTGAATCTCTCGGTTCCGACCTCGATCCGGTTGCCGGTCGAGTCAACAAACGAGTTTCTCGGCATCTCCGAGTTCTTCAATTCCACCTGCTTGCCGTTCTGTAGCTGCTGTTCCCGCTGCGCCAATAGTTCTCGCGCGTTGTCACTGGTGACGATAGCAGCGACATCGACAATTCCCTCATCTTCCAGTGAAGTCGTCGCAGGTTGGCTGGGTTCACCGAAAAAACCCATCGATATCTCGCTCAAGATCTCATAGATTTTCGACCTCTTCAGCTCCTCGATCTGATAGGGCTTCAAATTTGGTAACAGTGCCTCTAACTCCTCATTGATGAGCTTCCCGCCCACGCCATGGAAAACTTCCTGCGCGGTATCGGAAATACAAAAGTCGACAACCGGCGTGATCTCGGTCTTTTCGTATCCGATATTGACAACACATGCCGTCGGTGACGCGTACGAAAACACTGCCGCCAAAGACTCGGGGATGACTGTCACGGCCGGAACATGGAGCGTGTTGAAAACATAGGAGATTATCGACTCGATCTGCTTTGGTCGCCATTCCGAGTTCGAGGTCATGAGAATTGGCGAGAATGGAGTCGCGTCTGGGGCAAGGTTTATTGTGGTTCTGTAGAGGTATCCGCTGGATTATTGAAAATTAGCACCTCGTCTTCGTTTCCATTCTCGAAAATATGTAGGAGATTGACTTACATTAGATACTGTAGGGCCTCTAGGTCCTCAATTATACCATCTTTAATAGGATAAACTGCATCAGATTCCGCGCCCTCCATCGAGAATCCCGACTGAGCAGTTCGATAAACACGCGTCGACACAACCTTCTGCGCAGGTGTCAGAGACTCGGGAAGTCCATACTGCACCTTTGTTGTCTGTGATCCCGTAGCGATGACCTACACATCAGTCTGGCGTTAGTTCTCCCGTCTCCGTAATCCAATTCCCCTCGTCAAAATCAGCAAATCCAAACATACAAATATGCTCTCGTCCCTAAAAGGTGGCATTTTTGCTCAATTCAAATACGTCTGATGCGACTTATAAGCAAGACGCGGGAGGAATGTCGCGATATAATCAACCTGTTTGTGTGCTCCAGATCTCCTCTGCAAATCACAATCAGCTGCAGCTATAAACAATCGCTGACTCTACAAATCACTCTCTAATTTGCGTGTACTATCGCAGAGAATGAAATTGCTGATCTCTGCGTAATTGCTGAAATACTCGTCGATCGCGATGTTCGTATTTTTGTTCTAAGCCAAATACTGGCCCAACAACTCTTCATAGCAAGGAGGCGCCCGCATTTAGACTTTCAGTCACGTGAATTAATGTCACGTGTTTTCCTACTGTTCAGAAATCGTCAACATGCACAGCTTCTCTTCAGTATGATTACGATCGGATATGTATTGTCAAAGCCCATACAATTGATTATTATTAACATACAAAAACAGCTACAAAACGCATCATTCCAATTACAATTTTTTCTCTTCCCGCTTCACTTAAGCAACGTCGGCCACCGCGACAGCAACCGCCTGAAACTCGTTATGGCTGATGCTCACACTGACGCCCTTGACACCGCTCGCGTCGGCCTTGGTCTTGGCCTGGCCGCTCAAGACAACCTCGGGCTTTCCAGCCTTACGGACAATCTCAATCTCCTTGAGAGCCGCGCCGGCACCGTCAGACTTCACGCCAAGAGACTTGAACACGGCCTCCTTCGCGCACCAGGTTCCGGTGAAGCTGGCAGTGGGATCGGGCGAGGCCCGGCAGTAGGCAATCTCAGAGTCGGTGTAGTTGCGCTCAATGAAGGTCTCATTTGACAATGGGATGGCATCAAACGCCTCAACGTCAACACCAACGTTAGTTCCAGCGGCAGCAGTCGACTGCGTCAACTTCAACAGAACATCCTCAGTCTGCTGCTTGCTCGGATCAACAACCTTCTTCACCGGCTTGGTGGGGTAGGCGTAGGTGTCCTTGCTAGGCTCAACCCGGACCAGAGGGTCAAGGTAAACTGTAGCCTCCTGCTCCTTGTTGTAGGGAGGATCGGTCTTAGCCACAAACATAGTGTTCGTAGCCATGGCGTTGTGAATGTAGCCATAAGCCTTCTTGTGACGAGCAGTAACCTTCGCAGCATAAGCGTTGTAGACGCTCTCATCAAGCGTGGCAAACAGGTAGTCGGACTTGATCACAATCGCCTGAGCACCCTTCTGACCGAAACCGAAAGAGGTAACCGAAGCAGCCTTGATGCCGTCAGTCTGGATGCTGCGCGACGGGTACAGAATCGAGTCAAACTGCTCAAGGTTCTTGTCAATGTTATCCGCGTTACGGTTACCAGGGACAAGACCAGTGTTGAGAACCTGGAGAGCACCGTTCAACATCCACTATAAATTCAGGCAGGTTAGCAAATCAATCTTTACAAGCAATACCAAACAAATGCATTTCACTTACAGCACCAGCAGCACCCTTAGGATGACCAGTAAGGTACTTCTGGAAGATACCCAGAAGAGCGTTACCCTTCGAGCGACCAAGATGGGTCATCATGTTGGCGAGAGTCATAGACTCATTCTTGTCGTTGGCCATAGTCGAAGTTCCATGGAACGAAGCAACTCCAAGGTCATCGACAGAAAGGTTCCAGACAGCCAAAGCGCCACGGATGGGGGAAATACGAGCATCCTTCCTGTAGAACTCGTTACCCCACATGGCAAGAGCGTCCTTCTCCTGGCGAGAGGCCTCGCGCTCGAGGTGTTCGATACGCTCAGCAAGGTACGCCTTCTCGTCAAACTCAGCATACTGAGACCGCATAGCTTCAACCTCCTCCTGAAGCTGCAAGATCTCAGACTCGGTCCACTCGCGAATCTGAGCCTTGCGCTTCTCAAGCTGGCGACGACGGTACTTGATGTCGAGCAGCGGCGAAGGGAACTTGGACTCGACATTCTCACGAGCAGTCGTGAGGATACCCTTTCCGGGAGCAGGAACGGACCGGCCAATCTTGTCAGTGGCGGTCGCGGTCATACCGACGATACCATAGATAGGCACACCCATATCGATGGCAAGCTTGGCAGTCATCATAACCTGGATACCAGAACCTTGCGACTCCATGAAGCCAGCACGGGTAGTAGTAGCAGGTCTAGACATCTCAGCAGGAGTTCTGCCATGCTTGATCTCTTCCTCAGAGTTGGAAGTGGCACCCATGTTTCCGAACTCGTACGATCCTTCCTCCTGGAAGTCATCGTAACCACCGACAAGGCAGATCTTGGCCTTTCCAGACATGATGGTCTCGTATCCGATATCGACCGACTCAATGGCAGTAGCGCAAGCACCGACAGGAGTCTTGATAGGACCAGACGACGAAAGCAAAAGCATGTTAACCCACGCAGACATGGTGTTGACGAACGACTCCTGCAAGATATCCTTCTGGACAGGCTTGTCCAAGAAACGATCTCTGTACATTCCACGCAGCGCAGACTGTCCACCGACACCGGAACCAGTGCAGTTACCGACCTCAGAGACGTGAACGTACTTGTAGAACTCGTAAGGATCGGTGATACCACTCGAGAGCAGAGCCTCGACGGTCGAAACAAGCACATAGAGGGTGATAGGATCGACCTGGGAGATGATGTCATCCGAGATACCGTAGGTCTTCGCGTTCCAGCCAGTAGGGATCTGACCAGCAACGAGACGGTCAAACTGAAGAGCCTTGGGGAGCATCATGGAGGCGCCCTTCAAGAAGCGAACAGTCCACTGACCAGTCTCCGAGATCTCAAAGATCTCGACCTTGTCGCCGTTCTCGCGCTTAAACTCCAGGGCGGTTTCCTTCGAAGTCTCAAAGGGCTCAAGGTCCTGCTCGATGACAACCTCCTGGTACATTTTCTTCTTGTTGGGGTCGTAGTTGTTGAACAGCTCAGGCTCGATGAGACGAATTCCAGAGTGCTCGAGAATATGCTTCTCGTACTTGGACTTGACGTCAAAGTCGTCGACAGGCTCGTTGGTCTTGGTGTCAACCCAGCCAGAGTACATCTTACCCTTGAGCTGGCCATGATGATGCTTGATAAGACCCATGATCCAAGCCATTTCGATGCAACCCTCAAGCGAGAACTGGCCGTGGGCCTCCATCTCCCAGCGGGTACGCGAGTTACCCCACGGTCCGACTTCAGCAAAACCAGTGATGACGCACACCTTCTCGAGGTCAACCATTCCATGGAGATCCTTGGCGAGGGGCTCAAAGTCAGAGAACGGCTTCAGCTCCGGGAACTCAAACTTAATGTTGGCACGCGGCTGAATAACGACCTGCTTGTGAAGACGCTCGGCTTCAGCGCCGTTGACGAGCTTGTACTCGATAGCGTTCTCAGACGAGACAGCTCGACGAATCTCAGATGTCTGCATAAGCTCCTGGCGAATCTGGGACGACATATCCTTGAGGTTGGGGATGTACTGCATACCGCCGTTGAGATCGGCAAAGACCGGCTCGATCTGGCAAAGGTTGACGATAGCAGGCGACATGAGACCCAAAATGTTGAAAGCCATCTCCTGCTGGGAGAAGGTACGAACACCAAGATTCTCGATGCGCTCAGCAATGAGGTTGTTCTGGTTCATGAGACCAGTTCCACGAGTCCAACCGATAACGGCACCGCAGACGGTGAGGTATGAGCCCCACGATTCAGAGAACCAACGGTTGAAGAGAGTCTCGAGAGCAAGCTTGGACTCAGAGTACAAACCATCAGAGCCGAAAGTACCGTGGTTAGGAGACATAGGCAGAACGACCTGAGCAGGGCGAGTCTCGTAGCCACGGTTGGCCTTCTGAACCTTGACGGCACCGAGAATGCGAAGCAAGTTGGTAAGCATAATACGGTGAGCCAACTCAGAGCGCGAGTCAATGTTGTCAATCTCGCGTCCGTTCTCCGGGATAGCGGCGAAGGGAACAATGAAGTCAAGATCCCAGCCGAGACCCTTCTTGCTGTCGTAGATGTACTCAACGAGAGCATCAACATCCTGCTTCGAACCTGTTTAAAAAAGTTAGTAAGTGGTTGCAAGTAATGAGAACGCTTGGTACTAGCCTACCTTGGTTAAAAGGCACGACAATAAGGGTGCTGTTGCTTGCGCCATACTTGGCGTAAATAGCCTGGTAGTACTCGGTGACTTCCTTGGAGTAGCGCGAGGTAGTGACGATAACCTTGGCGCCTCCGGAAAGCAGACCCTGAAGAACAGCAGCTCCAATAGAACCAGCTCCGACACCAGTCATAAGGGCATACTTGTTCTTGAAAGTAATTCCGCTCTAGATGATTGAGTTAGTAAAGATCTAATGATGAGAATGGGGAAAAAAATGTCTGCTTACCTTAGCAGCCTGCTCCAAGCACTCGAGGTAGATGCCAGTCAAGCTCTTGCTGTACTCCCAGCCCTGTCCCTGAGAATCTTTCTGCTTGAGATGCAAGAATGGAATGGTCTCAGTGTATTTCTTTCTGGAGCCACGCTTGCCACGCTTAGGCGAGCTCTGTCGTCCGTTGGGAGAGGTCTCATTGTTCGCAGCAGCGGTCTCGAGTGAAAGCGATCGGATGACTTCGTCGTACAAGTTCTTGATCTGAAGCTTCGAGCTCTTGCTAACCTTTTGTTGTCTGCGGATGATCTTGTATATGCGCGAAAGGTCGGAATGGAGCTTGGTTCGGTTGCCGTTCTCTGTGATCTTGCCACCGCTGGCCATCTCTTTGACGTATTGCTCGAGCTTACGCACGGCAGTGCGGGGGACCTCGTCGTAGTTGATGTTTCCCTTCAAGTCGATAGTTGTCTCGGGAGCGGTAGGATACATGACATCTTTGTAAACGGGGTCGACTTCGAGGGCATCACGGCAGTTGTCGATCAGCATCTGTCCGAGCTTCTTGGCAAGCTCGTAAGTCTCACCACGGTCCTCGGGGCAGTGGTCGATGTGGTACTGCATGAACTCAAGCAAAGTCGGGTTGGAGCGGTTCATGAGCAAGATGCAACGCGAGACAATTTCGCGGTCGACAACGGACAGACGGCCGAAGATGATGTCGTAGAACATAGAAAGAGCATCCTGGCGAGCCCAATTCCAGGAGGAGTCGTAAACACGGGCCTTGAGGGGAGAGAATGTGGGAGCGATTCCAGAGGCGTAGAAATCGCCATGCTCGGCCTGCCAGAGATCGAGTTCCTTTCGGAGCTCGGAAGTGGCGTCCTGCTCGTCGATGAAGAGCTTGTCGCCGGCGCGAAGATCGACCTTGAGGTACTTTGCGAAAAGCTCCATTTGCTGGCGCACAAGAGTTGTCTGATCCTTGGTGAGGGCGTCGAAGGCGGCAGAGTCGATGGCAATTGCGCCGCCAGCAGCGGCACCAGCGCCGGCATCAGCAGCAGCGGAGGCGAGAGAGATTCCGTTCAAAGAAGCGTACTTCTGAGCAATCTCATCAAGATACTTCTTCGCATCGGGCTCAGCAGCGAGACGGGCGGGAGGCTCGACGGTGACGGCGAGGAGAAGGGCAGAGTCCTGGCGGCCGGCAGCGAGACCCCATCGGTCCTGGAGGTACTTGCGGGCGGTGGTCATGTTGAATCCACCGGGCATCTTCGAGGCAATGAGACGGGAGGCAAGCGAGGCAGATTGCTTGCCCAATTGGCCATTGAAACCAGAGGCCTGGATGGCGGCACCGAGCTCATCAATGGGAGTCTCTTCGGCCTTGTCGGGGGCGGCACCAAATTCCTTTCCAAGATCGCCGAGAATTTCGTTCTGCAGGGTAGACTTTCCACCGACGAGGTCCTTGATTGTTTTTGAGAGCGGGATTTGGTCGAATGGCTTCTTGAGTTTCTGGGCGACGATCGCGCGGACGATGTCGACGGCCTTGACGGGCTCGTCGGCGACGGCAGAGGCAGCAGCGACAGGAGCGGCGGCGGCGGGAGCGGCGGCGGCGGGAGCAGCAGCAGCAGCAGCAGGAGCAGCAGCAGCGGGAGCTGAAGTGGAAGCAGCGGGCGCGGCGGGCTCTTCAGGGGCCGGGTCGGCGGTGTAGTAGATCTCTTTGGTGTCCTTGGAGTAGCAGAGGACCTGGCGCTGGAGGGAGAGGGCGGCGTCGTAGGACTCGTACTTTGCCTTGAGGGTGCGCGAGGCCATGCCGGCGAGGGTCGGGGAGGGGCCGATTTCGACGACGCGCTCGGCGTTGAACTCCTGGAAGATTACATCCTGGGTCTCAATCCAGCGGACGGGGGAAGCGAACTGGTAGGCGAGCAGCTCGATGAGGAGGATGTGGGCGAGCTCCTGCTCCGTTTCGGGATGCATGGTGGAGGAGGGGGGTGGGTAGAGGAGGAGATGGAGAGGAGGAGGAGATGGAGAAGAGAAGAGGAAGAGGTAGAGAAGAGCAGAGCAAAGGTGCGTGTTAGAAAGTCTGAACGGCGGTGCCCCAACGAGTTTTGTCGATTTCGCAGAATCTGCGGTGGGAAAGCCAAAAAACCTTAATCCGGACCTGCGCCGCACGTACACCGGAGCACAACCGCGCCAGCAGCTGCGCACTTATGCTGTTGAGCGCGTCCACTCCCCGCCGGATTCTCGCGATTCGCGGTCCGGAACTTGTTCGTCCTGCGTTCACGGCCGGATCCGCGCGGTTTGCGGCCGCTTTCTTCCGCAGTTTGTGGGCCGCTGCCGAGCCTCGCGCTGCCGGAGCCGCTCCGCAGGTTTTGCGCGCGATTCTGTCGCCCAACAAAAGCCCCATGCGCCTCAGCACAAGCCGCACTCACCAGCCACATCCTACCACGCTCCTGCTTTCTTTCTTCTCTTCGTCCTCTCTCATCCTCACCCTCTTCCTCTTTTTCTCTCCCCCAATTCCCTCTCCCCTCTCCTCCTCCTCCTCCTCCTCTCCTCTATCGCCATGCACGCAGGAACAGAGACTGGTGCGGTCACACCCCACTCCCAGGCCTCGCTGCGGCCGCTGAGTCTCACTCACGGCCCGCTCGAGTACACCGTCTTCGTTCCAACCGCTCTTTACCTCTCCGTCCTCCATCTCCGCGACGAGTTCGCCGCCGCCCTCCCCCAGGCTACTCCCGAGCTCGCCGGTGACGACGAACCCGAGTCCACCTGTGAGCTCGTCGCGCTCTTCCTCGCCTCAATTGTTGCGCGTGCCGAGGAGGCTCCCGGCCAGTACGATGATGCGCTTGCTCTCGTGCTCGCTGACTTTGAGTCTCGCTTCCTTCGCGCCAACGAGGTCCACGCCGTCGCTGCCGCTCTCCCCGGTACTCTCGCCAAGCGCGAGGAGGTCATCCGTGCCTACTACGCCGCTCGTCTCGCTGCTCAGCGTCCGATCAAGGGCCACGAATCGGCTCTTCTTCGTGCCATCTCCGACCGTCGCGCTACTGCCTACGCGATCTTGGGCGGCCAGGGCAACATCGAGTTCTTTGACGAGCTTCGATCTGTCTACTCGCTCTACCACGGCCTCATCGGCGACTTCGTTCAGGCCTGTGCCGACGAGCTTCTGATCTTGGCCGACGATGAGCGCACTGCTAAAGTCTACTCCAACGGCCTCGACCTCATGCGCTGGCTCCGCGAGCCCGAGTCGACCCCTGATTCTGACTACCTCGTCTCGGCACCCGTCTCCTTCCCGCTCATCGGTCTTGTGCAGCTCACAAACTACGCTGCCACCTGCCGAATCCTCGGCAAGCAGCCTGGCGAGCTTCGCGCTTACCTTGCCGGTAAGTTACACAAATAACCTCTATTTCCTTTCAGGGCTGAGATGCTAACTAACTTTTGATTTTCAGGTGCCACCGGTCACTCTCAGGGAATCGTCACCGCCGCTGCCATCGCGGCTGCCTCGTCATGGGAGTCTTTCTTCGAGATTGCCATCAAGACCATGAAGATCCTGTTCTGGACCGGATGCAGAGCACAGCAGATCTACCCCCGCACTTCCCTCGCTCCTTCCGTTCTTCAGGATACAGTCAACGAGGGCGAGGGCAAGCCGTCGCCCATGCTTTCGGTCCGTGACTTGGCCAGATCCCAGGTCCAGAAGCACGTCGACCTCACAAACTCACATTTGCCCGAGGAGAAGCACGTTTCCATCTCGCTCGAAAACGGTGCGCGCCACTTCGTCGTCACCGGTCCCCCACAGTCTCTATACGGTCTCTCGCTCTCTCTTCGCAAGCTGCGTGCGCCCCCTGGGCTTGAGCAGAACAGAATCCCCTACTCGCAGCGCAAGCTCAAGTTCTCCAACCGATTCCTTCCCATCACTGCTCCCTTCCACTCGCCCTATGTCAATGCCGCCTACTCGACCATCTCTGAGGATCTCAAAGACATCACCATTGACTCTTCAGAGCTGGCGATCCCCGTCTTTGACACCTACGACGGTCATGATCTGCGTGAAGACAAGGGCTCCGTCGTCAACCGCCTTGTATACCTCGTCACCAGTTTGCCAGTCCTTTGGGAGAAGGCCACCGTCTTCCCCAACGCCACACACATCATCGACTTCGGTCCGGGTGGCCCCACTGGACTTGGATTCCTCACCCAGAGAAACAAGGAGGGAACCGGTGTGCGCGTCATCATCGGCGGTGCTCTTGAGGGCGCCGTCTCCGAGCTCGGATTCAAGGCTGAACTCTTTGATCGCGAGGACAGCGCTGTCAAGTTCGCCGCCAACTGGGGACTCCAGTACGCTCCCAAGCTCGTCAAGACTGCGCAGGGCAAGACTTATGTCGATACCCAGTTCTCTCGCCTGCTCGGCCAGCCGCCTATCATGGTCGCCGGTATGACTCCTTCGACCGTCCCGGCCGACTTTGTCGCCGCTACCATGAACGCGGGCTACCATATCGAGCTTGGCGGTGGTGGTTACTTCAACGCCAAGGGTCTCACCAAGGCTTTCTATGACATTGAGAAGTTGACCTTCCCTGGAGCCGGTATCACCGTCAACCTTATCTATGTCAACCCGCGTGCTATGGGTTGGGCCATTCCTCTGATCCAGAAGCTGAGATCTGAGGGTGTTCCTATCGAGGGTCTTACCATCGGTGCCGGTGTGCCTTCAATCGAGGTCGCCAACGAGTACATCCAGACTCTCGGAATCAAGCACCTTGGTCTCAAGCCTGGTTCGCTCGACGCCATCTCGCAAGTCATTGCGATTGCACAGGCCAACCCCAAGTTCCCTATCATCTGCCAGTGGACCGGTGGACGTGGTGGTGGTCATCACTCGTATGAGGACTTCCACAACCCGATTCTGCAAATGTACCCGCGCATCCGTCGCTGCAGCAACATCATCCTCGTTGCCGGCTCGGGTTTCGGTGGCGCCGAAGATACTTACCCCTACTTGACCGGTCAATGGGCCGTCAAGTTTGGCTACCCGCCCATGCCCTTCGATGGTGTCTTGTACGGAAGCAGAATCATGGTCGCCAAGGAGGCTCACACTTCGCCTGGTGCCAAGCAGGCTATTGTCGATGCTCCTGGTGTCGATGAGTCGCAGTGGGAGAGCACTTACCAGAAGCCAACTGGTGGTGTCATCACCGTCTTGTCTGAGATGGGTGAGCCTATTCACAAGCTTGCCACTCGTGGTGTTCTTTTCTGGTATGTTCCAATATTCAGTATTCTTTCTAAGTATGTGGCTAACAAATTACATTTCTATCATGCAGGAAGGAGATGGATACTATGATCTTCAGTCTCCCCAAGAACAAGCGTCTTGATGTTCTGAAGTCCAAGAAGGACTACATCATCAAGAAGCTCAACGCTGACTTCCAGAAGGTCTGGTTCGGAAAGAACTCGGCGGGTGAAGTCGTCGATCTTGAGGATATGACCTACGGTGAGATTATCAACCGTCTCGTTGAGCTACTGTACATCAAGGGCGAGAAGCGATGGATCGATCCTTCTCTGCGTGCGATGACTGGTGACTTTATCCGTCGCGTTGAGGAGCGTTTCACACACGAGACTGGTCTCGAGTCTCTTCTGCAGTCATACACTGAGCTTGAGGATCCTGAGGCCGTCACCAAGAAAATCTTTGAGGCCTACCCTGAGGCGAACGATCAGATCATCAACATCCAGGACAAGGAGTTCTTCCTCATGCTTACTCTCCGTCCTGGTCAGAAGCCTGTTCCGTTTGTTCCCGTTCTGGACGACAACTTCGACACTTACTTCAAGAAGGATTCGCTCTGGCAGAGTGAAGACCTGGGCGCTGTTGTTGGACAGGACGTTCAGCGTACTTGTATTCTTCAGGGACCTGTTGCCGTTAAGTTTGCTACCAAGGTTGACGAGCCTGTCAAGGAGATTCTCGACGGCATTCATGACAAGCACATTGAGTATCTCACTCGAGATGTTTACAGTGGTGACGAGGCGAAGATTCCTGTCATTGAGTACTTTGGCGGCAAGGACATTGTCTCCAGCGCTGCTGCTGCTGCTCTTAGTGCTGACAGTGTTTCGGTCACTGAGACCAGCGACTCGGTTCACTACACCGTCTCTGCCGGTCCATCTGGCAATGCTGCTTTGCCTCCTGTTGACGCCTGGCTCAGTCTGCTTGGTGGTGAAACATATGGCTGGCGTCATGCTTTCTTCACCACCGACGTCGTCGTTCAGGGTACAAAGTACGAGACCAACCCGCTCAAGCGCGTGTTTGCTCCTGCCTACGGTATCAAGGTCACTATCAAGAACCCCAAGAGCAGCGAAAAGTGCAGAATCTCTGTTTCGGAGCGCGTCAATGGTGTCGAGATTGTTGTGATTGATGCTTTCAAGAAGGACGCCAACACGATCGAGATGGATTTGTACGACAACCGCACTGTTGAGCAGAAGTCTGTTGGTCTTACTCTGCTGTACACCTACCACCCGGAGGTTGGATTCGCTCCCATCCGGGAAGTCATGGAGGGCCGCAACGACAGAATCAAGGACTTTTACTGGCGTCTGTGGTTCGCTCCTGAGGAGTATCCGGCTGATCTGGACATCACTGCTCCTATCGATGGTGGCTCGGTTGCCGTTACCGGCAAGGCGATTGCGGACTTTGTGTACGCTGTTGGAAACAACGGCGAAGCGTTTGTTGATCGTCCGGGCAAGACTACCTATGCTCCTATGGACTTTGCCATTGTCGTTGGATGGAAGGCTATCATCAAGGCTATCTTCCCCAAGGTTATTGACGGTGATTTGCTGAAGCTTGTCCATCTTTCCAACTCGTTCCGCATGGTTCCTGGCGCTGGTCCGCTCAAGAAGGGCGACACCGTCTCGACCAAGGCTAAGATCAACTCGGTTCTTAACCAGGAATCGGGCAAGATGGTCGAGGTCAGCGGCATGCTCTCTTGCGATGGCAAGGAAGTCATGGAGGTCACCTCGCAGTTTCTGTACCGCGGTGTGTACACCGATTACGAGAACACTTTCCAGCGCAAGACCGAGCTGCCTATGCAGTTGACTTTGAACACTCCCAAGGATGTTGCCGTGCTGCGGTCTAAGGATTGGTTCGAGATGAACGACGAGTACCCGACGGATCTCCTGAAGCAGACTCTCACTTTCCGTCTTGAGACCTTCACGACATTCAAGAACAAGACTGTGTTCTCGTCTGTGCGTACGACCGGACAGGTTCTGCTTGAGTTGCCCACGCGCGAGATTATCCAGATTGCGAGCGTGAACTACGAGGCGGGCGAGTCGCACGGTAACCCGGTGATTGACTACCTGCAGCGTTACGGAAGCACGATTGAGCAGCCCATCATGTTTGAGAACTCTATTCCTCTGAATGGCTCGACTGAGCTTGTCAACCGCTCGCCTGCCTCGAACGAGGGATACGCGAGAGTTTCGGGCGATTACAACCCGATCCACGTTTCGCGCGTGTTTGCTGCTTACGCTAATCTGCCTGGTAACATCACGCACGGAATGTACTCGTCTGCGTCGGTCCGATCGCTTGTTGAGACATGGGCGGCTGAGAACAACGTTTCGCGTGTGCGCGGGTTCAACTGCTCGTTTGTCGGTATGGTTCTGCCGAACGACAATGTCGAGACCAAGCTTCACCACGTCGGTATGATCAGCGGTCGCAAGATCATCAAGGTCGAGACCACGAACAAGGACACTGGCGAGCCGGTGTTGCTTGGACAGGCCGAGGTTGAGCAGCCGATGTCGACATACATCTTCACTGGTCAGGGATCGCAGGAGCAAGGTATGGGTATGGACCTCTACGAGTCTAGCCCAATTGCTAAGAACGTTTGGGACCGTGCCGATCGTCACTTCCTCAACAACTACGGTAAGTTCTTTTGAAATTTACAGTGTGAAAAAACGAAGAAGACTAACTGATTATTTGCAGGTTTCTCTATCATCAACATTGTGAAGAACAACCCGAAGGAGTACACTGTTCATTTCGGTGGACCAAGAGGTGAGTGAATGAGACTAGAGAAGATGATGGATGTGGATTCTAACAGATTGTGAAAATAGGCAAGGCTATTCGCCAGAACTACACATCGATGATGTTTGAGTCTGTTGATGCGGATGGAAATCTCAAGTCTGAGAAGATCTTCAAGGAGATCACTGAGAGCTCGTCGAGCTACACTTTCCAATCTGAGTCTGGACTTTTGTCTGCGACGCAGTTCACGCAGCCAGCGCTGACTCTTATGGAGAAGGCGTCGTTTGAGGACATGAAGGCCAAGGGACTTGTGCCAGCTGATTGTTCGTACGCGGGACACTCGTTGGGTGAGTACTCTGCGCTGACGGCGCTTGGAGATGTCATGCCGATTGAGTCGCTGGTTGATGTTGTGTTTTACCGTGGAATGACGATGCAGGTTGCGGTTCCGCGCGACTCGCTTGGACGGTCCAACTACGGTATGATTGCGGTGAACCCGTCGCGAATCTCAAAGACGTTTACGGACTCTGCGCTGCGGTATGTTGTGGAGCATATTTCGCAGCAGACCAAGTGGCTGCTCGAGATTGTGAACTACAATGTCGAGAACCAGCAGTACGTTGCTGCCGGAGACCTGCGCGCGCTGGACTCGTTGACGAACGTGCTGAACTTCATGAAGGTGCAGAAGATTGACCTCGACAGGCTGACAAAGATGATGTCGATTGAGGAGGTCAAGGAGCAGCTGACTGAGATTGTGACTGAGATTGCAAAGAAGAGCGAAGAGAAGCCGCAGCCGATTGATCTCGAGCGAGGGTTTGCGACGATTCCGCTCAAGGGAATCTCAGTGCCGTTCCACTCGTCGTACCTGCGTTCGGGCGTGAAGCCGTTCCAGCGGTTCTTGCTGAAGAAGCTGCCGCAGCAGGCGGTGAAGCCGGCGAACCTGATTGGCAAGTACATTCCGAACTTGACGGCGAAGCCGTTTTCGATTTCGAAGGAGTACTTCCAGGAGGTGTACGATTTGACTGGCAGTGCCAAGATCCGGAATATTTTGGACAATTGGGAGAAGTATGAGACGGCGGCGTGAGGAGAAGAGAAGAAAAGAAAGAGTGGAAAAGATGACTGTATAACTCTTGTTTTGATGTGTTTTGTTTTTGATTGTTGTGTTGTGCGTTATTGCTATAATAATATTAATAGATAAACTGAATATATACATTATGAATCAAATGCATGTATAGTTGTAGTTAAAGAGAGAAATATGACTGTTCAGAGAGAAGAGAATTAAATCAGTTGGGAGAATTGAGTAATTTTTAATTTCAGAGGCGGCTGGCCGTCGATGAAAATAAAAGAGTCAACCTGACTGCTCTCTCGCATCTCCAACAGCCCTGCTTCATTTCCTCTCCTTTCCTTTTCTTGTTCTATATTTTGGATTCATTATTGCATTTTTGGGCAGATGTCCTCATAGCGTGTTTACCTGCGAGATAAGTGAGCGAGCGAGCGAGAGAGAGAGAGAGAGTGTGTGTGTGTGATCTCTAGATTTGCATTGCATTCGGTGTGGATCACTAGAGTCGGTACGAAAAGGCAAGGAAGAACGATAAAAGATCCGTCGACAATTGCAGATATCTATACACAGAAAGAATGACTGAACAGACAGAGCACCAACGACGAGGCCTGCTCTCGCTGCCAAACGAGATCCTGCTACAAGTCTTCCAGCATTTCCGCGGCAGCGACTTCTACGGCCCTGTGCTGGTCAACAAGCAACTGAACTTGCTGCTGACGGGGGAGATGTATCGGCATCTTCGACTGTATTTGCCGAATCCGAACGGCAGCGACGAGGAGGAGGAGGACGGGTACGATAGCGAGGAGGGATACGAAGAACGGCGACGGACGGAGGGGTTTTGGGAGGATGATGATGAGTGCATGGTTGATTTATTTGAGAACTTTTCGATTGATAAAAAGGCGTCTGAGAAGAGGATGAAGGCGGGAAGGAAAGGAAGCGGTGCGCTGCTTAAACGTACTTTAAAAGAGTGAGTTTGTTTTCTCTTCTACTTCTCTTCTGATACAGCTGGCTAATAAGATTACAGAAACCCGGAACTCGCGAGCTTGGTCAAAGAAATCGCAGTGATAGGCCACGATCTGACCCCGAAAGACATCAAAACCACACCAGACGGCATGACAGAATTCCCTCTCCCGCCCGACGCCGCCTACAAAGGCGTGCGAAACCTGCTCCGCCACCTGACGAATCTCGAGTCGCTGAGCTTCAGCGGCGACTCCGCGCAGCTGTCTGCCTTCATCGGCGGCGTGCCGAGCTCAGTTAGTTCGTTGGCGCTTGAGCGGTTGTCGAGACTGCAGCTGGGCGATGTGTACAAGTTTCGAAAGCTGCGGCGGTTGACTATTCGCGCGCCGACGGCGGCGGCGGCGGGTGAGGAGGTTGTGCTGGGTAAGTCTGTGATGTGGGAGAGTTTCTACGCGATCCGGATGCTGCTTGAGCAGAACGCGGCGACGCTGGAAGAGCTTGTGCTGGGCAATCTTGATCTTGATATGCTGTTTGAGAATTACGCGCCGATGCTGAGTCGGCTCAAGTTTCTTGCGATCGAGCTTGATCCTGCGGTGTGCGCGGCCGAGGACGAGGAGGGAAGTGCGGAGGTGACGGGGAAGAGCGCGCGGCCGATGCAGTTGAGTTCGACGGGACGACTGGGCTGGACGTGGTTGAGTGAGTTCATAGGCTCGACGCGGTCAAACATGAAGGTGTTTTTCTGTCTGAGCAGGCAGGAACTTGAACAAAAGCAGAGACCAATCACAGAGATGAAGAGCGCGGTGAAGGGGATTGATTGGAAATCTCTCAACAGGCTCGAAGGCGGACGACGCGTGAAGCGAAAGTCTGTGTTTAAGGGCCATCAGATGGAGCAATTCCTGGATTGGACTAGGGATGCGGGTGGAGCTGCGGTGACGGAAGTGTTGATGGAGTTGACGATTAGGAGGCATAGGAGCATTGTTGGGCGGTGAGGTGATTATTGCATAGTCATGTTGCATTGGTACGAAATAGTTGAAAGTTAAGATAAATTACAGAAGGAAACTCCGGGCCAAGAAGAAGATACAAAGAGTACAAGAATCAAAACATTATAAACAAAATCATCATCAAAACAGCTCAAACAACATCAAAATTAAAAGAATAAAAGTGTCTAAATAGAGTTCCATAAAAGAAAATAAACAAACGACGCCGTTCATACATATTTTTAGAGCTTCGCCACCGCGTGGCCACCACGCGACTCGCTTTTTTTTTGGCTTTTGTGGTGTGTTTGTTCTTCTGTTCGGGAATAGTGAGAAGAGAGGAAATAGCAGAGAAAGCAGCGCACGGTCTAGATTGCAAAGGAAAGGAACGGAAGGGTCCACAGATTGATTGATTGTGCGGTCGGAACTGTGAAGAGCCGCGTCGATCAAAGAATCTGTAGACGATGAGGGCACGGTATCGTGATGCATACGCGAATGAATAGTCAAAGCGTAGAAGTAAAAAGAAATAACGAGTAGAGAAAAAAAGATTAGTCGACGTTGACGACGCGCAGAATCTTTCGACTGTAATCCTGCTCGTCCGACAAGCTGCCGTCCGAGAGTCGTCGTTCCATCATAATGGGATTCAGCCGCTGATCGACGATCGCAACGCGTCCGCGGCCCGAGCTGAGGGAGTTTGACGAAAGTTTCTCGGACGGGAGCGCGGGCGTGTTATCGTTGGACGAGAGCGGGAGGGGGTGGGAGTTTCCGCCGCGGCCGCGCGAACGCGAGTAGTCTGGCCAATCGTCGTCGTCGTCATCGTCAGCGTTCCGGCGACGGCGCCAGATGAAGAAGATGAGGGCGGCGATGGCGGCCAGGCCGACGACGACACCGACGACTATGCCGCCGATAACGCCGCCGGAGAGGCCGGAGGAGGACGATTTTGAGGATGACGAGTTGGAGCCCGAGTCAGAAGAGTTGGAGTCGGAGCCAGCGGATGAGGAAGAATCAGAAGCGGAGGAGGTAGCGGAGGCTACGGACGAAGTGGAAGAGGCGTCGGTGGCTGATGCGGATGAGGTGAAGGAGGAGGTTGCGGATGTGGTGAGCGAGGACGTAGCGAACGCAGAGTCGGAAGAAGATTCTGCGGACGCGGTAGCCGAGGCTGAGGTCTCCGATGAGGAAGAGGAGGTGGAGGTGGCAGTGGCCGAGGTGGAGGATTTGGTCGCTGTGGAGGAGGTGGAGGAGGATGTTGATGATGATGTTGAGGAGGAGGTGGTGGATGTGGATGTGGAGGAGGAGGTTGAGGTGTCTGACGCGGAGGAGGTTTCAGCGGCCCCGGAGGCGGAGGAGGACGCGGAATCAGAGAAGGCAGCAGCGGACTGGAGCGCGTCCGAGTTCTCGACGGTGCCTACGCCGGTGAGGTAGACGGAGTAGTAGCCGGTTCCGCCGCCTAGATGATGATAGAGAGGTTAGAAGGAGGAGAGAGGGAGGGAGGGAGAACAGGAGACGCGACTTACAGTCTTCGGTGCCGTATCCATAACACCCGGTGTCGCAGTAGGAGTCGTCGACCTGGGAACCGGGGATGGAGTTTCCACAGTAGCAAGTTGATCCGAGGGTGAGACCAAGGACGGAGTAGTCTGAGGAGGTGCACTGGGTGGTGCAGTAGGAGGATGACTGGTATTCGTAGGTGTCGTCCAGGGTGAGGTCACCCGAGGAGGCGAAGCAGCCGACGTAGGTGGCCACAGCTGCTGATGCCGGGCGGAGGAGGGGCAGGAGAGATAGAAGAAGCGGACGAGGTAGCATGGTGGTGGTGATGAATATAACAGAGGATAGAGGGAAGAGAAGAGGGCGGAAGGAGGAGGAGGAGGTGGTGGTGAAGAGAGGAATGAGGAGAGGGGCAAAAGGCCAGAAGTTAAAGTTTAAAATAAAAATAAATTAAGGTTTCGCACGCGTCTGCCCCTTTGCCGGTTTCACCGGAAACACGCGTCAAAAGGAGCGCGGTTGGGGTTTTAACTATTCAAATGTGGTGCAGTTGTGTAGAGAGTTGAGTATTTACGTGTAGATTATTGAATAAAATCAGAAAAAATACAATACACTTATAGTAATAGTAAGCTGATTTTTCTCTTTTTTCCTGTATTTTTACGGTATCTATTCAATGTGAGTGTGGTGTGTTGTCACATCCACCGCTATTTAATCCTCGCTCTCTACAGACGTCATCGAGATCGACTTAAATTTTACTGATTCTTCTCCTTCCCACTGCTCTTCCCTTCCTCTCTTCCTCTTTCTCTCTCCACCTCCTCCATCGCAATTGCATCGCTTTTCTTATAAACATCTTCTTCTTCTTTCATACCATCGCAATGAGCAGCAGCTCCCAGACCCGTTCGCGGAGTGCCGCTAAGCAGGCTGATTCCGACATCAATGGCCGTGAGTACTGTCTACTCTTCGCTCTCTCTCTCTCCATGTCTAACTCGATCCAGACTCAAAAAGATCCGAATCAGAGGAATCTCAGCAGGAGCAACTCAAAGCACTCAAAAGAGACAGGCATCTGAGTCTGATAAGGTGCGTTGGCTCAAATCAATCTCATCTTCATATCTGTCCTCTAACAACATCCAGAACCCTGCACATGGCGGACTTTATCACTCTTCTTAATGGTATATCTCTTCTTTCCTCCTTCTCAACTGCTCTTTCTCAACTGCTCACACTACTATAACTCAGGCCTCTGTGGCGTCATGAGCATATTCTCCTCTCTCCGCTACTGCCTCGGCGATCCCTCTGACCACTTCAACCTCTGGCTCGCCATCGTCTTCACCCCCTTCGGCCTCTTCTTTGACTTTATGGACGGCAAAGTCGCCCGTCTGCGGAAAAAGAGCTCCCTCATGGGCCAGGAACTCGATTCCCTCGCCGACCTCGTGTCCTTTGGCGTCGCCCCCTCCGCCTGCGCCTTCTGCGTCGGCTTCCGCTCCGCCATCGACAACGCCGTCCTCGTCTACTTTGTCCTCTGCGGCCTCGCCCGTCTCGCCCGCTTCAACGTCACCGTCGCAAACCTACCCAAGGACAAGTCCGGAAAGTCAAAGTACTTTGAAGGAACTCCCATCCCGACAACCCTCTCGCTCGTCTTCACGATGGCATACTGGCTCCATCGCGGCTGGTTACTCGACGACATCCCGTTCGGCGTCGTCGGAAAGGGCGAGATTTACGAGTTTCATCCTGCCATCGTTCTCTTTTTTATCTCGGGATGCGCCATGATCTCTAAAAGCCTCCACATCCCCAAGATATAATGTCTCTAATATCTCAAGATATTAATCGTTTACTACTCTCTACTTTTCTTTTGACTGTATTTTGATATGTATGAGTGCTACATAAAGCCACTCGCGACAAATAGATCATACAGATACTGCGACGCAATCGCGAAAAAGATAACCCCGCCCGTCTTGATATTATCCACAAACCACTTCCAGCAATCCGCCGGATCATCAAGATCAACATGGTAAATCATCCGCCCAAGCCTATACGCCGCCCACGCCAGCCCCGAGAAGAACAGCGGGCCAGCGACCGAGCCTGTGACGCCCGCGGACGCGAGCAGACCGAGCTGGACGACCGTCAGCACCGACGCGACCGTCTTTGTCTTGTCGCCCCACGCGAGCGCAGTCGACTTGATCCCGGCCTTGACGTCGTCGCGCTTGTCCTGGTGCGCGTAGATTGTGTCGTAGACCAAAGTCCAGCAAATGCCCGCCCCGTAGAGCGCCGCCATCGTAGGCGGGTCCCAGACGTGCATGGCCGGGAAGCCGAGCATGGCGCCCCAGTTATACGTCAGCGCGAGCATGAGCTGCGGATAGTACGTGAACCGCTTGAATAGCGGGTAGGTAGCCACAAAACCCAAGCTCGACGCGCCGAGCAGGAAGCAGTCGAGAGGAAGCGAGAGCAGCACGGCGAGGCCGAGGAAGAGCTGCGAGACCAGGAACACGCTCGCTTGCCGGACAGAGAGCTGGCCGGCTGCGAGCGGACGGCCGGCGGTGCGGATCACTTTGGTGTCGAGATCGCGGTCCCAGAAGTCGTTGGCGATACAGCCTACGCCTCGCATCACCAGCGCGCCGATGCCAAAGAGCGAGAGCGTCCAGACTGTAGACATGACTGACGCGCCGGCGCCAGCTGCTGCCATCGCGATTCCCCATGCTAAACGTGTGTAAGTGTGATTAGTGCTGCTCACCATTCACACAAGACAACAAAACACAAAGACTTACTGCAAGGCCAGTAAAGAAGCCATGTTCCGACCGGCTTGTCGATCCTGATGAGCTGCGCGTAGGGAACCGCTTTTGCCGGCAGATTCCTCAGCAGCCAACTCGTCTGAGGAGCAGGAGCAGCAGGAGGAGGAGGAGCGGTCGTGGTCGTCGACACTTGTCTGCTATTCAACACGCTTGTCGCCAAAACCAGTGCCGGCGACGGCTTCCCGACCAACCCAGACGCAGCGCAATTGTTTGTCGTCCTGCTGCTCGCGATCCGCGCAGATCCGGTCGCGATCATCCTCAGCTGCGGGGACATCCAGCTGCTGCTGCTGCTGCAGAGACCAGAGAATCTCGGCCGGGCGAGTAAACTGCGCAGGATTTGCCTGCCGCTGCAATTGACCATCGACATCTCTTTCTTCTTCTTCTTTTTCTTCTTTTTCGTGATTTGCGCTCGGGATCAGGCGGAGAGAAGAGATCAAAGCTCGGCGGAGTAAATTTTGATCCCTAACCCGATTCACTTCTTTCATCTTTGATATTCGTCTTCTTTGCTGTTTATATCTCGATTTATACACTCAATTGCATTCAACATCTTCTTCATCTTCTTCTAGAGCACAGATGCCCTCGATATCACGGGACCCAGACCCCTCCTCCTCCTCGTCTGATCTCGACGCAGAGATCACGACACCAGAAATCACCCAGCTCATCGACGACTTTCTGCGCCACCTCCCGCAGCCGCCAGAGTCGCCTACGGTCTCGCTCGTGCCTGTTTTACCTTCTTTCTTTCTCGCACAGCTGAGTCCGCTTCTGAGAGCACGGTTGTCGTATAACATCAGCCAGTTTTCTGCCGTCGGGGAGGGCGAGGGAGAGGAAGGTGAAGAGCGGAGAGGGGAGATGAGTGCGTTTGATGCTGAACGCGTGCTCGAGTCCGTGACCTGCCAATGGGCCTCTCTTCTCGCCTGGTCCTCATCAACAGACACAGTCTCCAGCACCTCCCCTGACCTCGGCCCGCTCATCGCGCGAAGTCTCTACACCGCAGCCTCAGAGCACGAGCTAGGCGAAGGCAGGCTGACCATCGAGCCCAGCGGGATTCTGAAACCAGACGTCGAGACGGTGCTGGTTGGCGTGTATTTTCCCGACCACGGACTCTCGCTGACGTGGTGCTGGGAGAGCGGGGAGGGTGCGTGGCGCGTGCATGAGGTGAAGCTGGGGAAGACGGAGGAGGTTGATGAGGTTGAGAGGATCGTGAGCGGGCTTGCGGTCGGAGAGGATGGGGATGAGGACGATGAGAATAGCTACTGGGACGAGTATGATCGGCAATTACAAGCTGCAGATGATGGCGACGATAACGGCGAGAGCAATCTCACTCCTACTCCCGCTCCTGCTCCTGTCTCTCCAGCACAATCATCCCCGTCCGACGACGAGAGCTACTACGCCCGCTACAACGCCGTCGAGACCGCAGTCTCCGACCCGACTGAACAACCGCATCATCAGCAGGAGCAGTCGGCAGTCCTGACTCATGTCCAAACAACAGTCAAGAGTCTTTACGACCTCGCTCGCGCGTCTGGGTTTTCTCGAGAAGAGTTTTTGATGGCGGTCGGAAGCAGTTGTGTGTAAATAGTTAAGAGTCTACTGTTGTATAAACTAATGAGATCTCAGTTGTATAAGCAAAACATTTACTCCGTCCATTATTCCTGTCCGTCCGTTCATCTCGTCATCTTATCTCGTCATCTTATCCACACCATCTCAGAGTTGTCACATATCTAAATCAAAAGAACTCCAGCCAACAAAAATACACAAACTCACACCCCATTTTTCATTCAGAATCACCTACAACAGCGCAGAGAAATTCGCAAAGCTGTTCAAGATCTTCGACTCAGTCATGCCGTACCACAGCACCTCCGCCACCCGCTCCGGCAACTCAACCTCGGCCTCCAAATCCAGCACCGGCCCCCACGACCGCACCTTGTAGCAATCGATCGCCCGCTGCGCAAAGTACCCGTACGGCTCGACCTCGTGCCACCAGTCTTCGTGCTGCTTGAGCGACCAGATGATGGACTCCAACGGGCCTAGTCGCGAGATAAACGACTTGGTCCGTCGCAGGCGCGGGTAGAACCCGTGCAGGAGGATTCCGACGCAGTAGTAGTACGCGAATACTATCCGCGTCGCCGCGTCTTGCGAGTATGCTTCCATGATCTTGTTCGACGTCGGAGTGTCTCCGTGGCAGTGGTACACCAGCGCAGACGAGGCTGACGGCGCGCTCGGAGTCTGCCCCGCAACGGTCGAGGAGCTTGGGGAAGATGAGGGGGAGCATGTGGTTGCTGACGTGCCTGACGATCCCGACGACGCATCCGACGACGCCGAAGCGGTGGGTGAAGGGGCGTTAGTAGCTGTAGGAGGCGACGACGACGACGACGACGACGACGACTCTCCAGCCTCGAGCGGCGCAAACAAGAGCTGCCATCGCGTAAAGACTTCAGTCAGAGCAATCTTCTCGTGGTGCGCGTAGCCGTCGAATTTACCGCTCTCGAGATGGCCAATCAGTCCGTCAACAGCCGTCCGCAGAGCCTCAAAACACATCCTCCGGTTGTGGAACTTCGACGCCGGCGCGGGGGCTTTGTAAACCAGCGGTTCGAGCCCCGCGATGGCCGCGCGCAGATGCGCAAAGACTGTGAGCCGATCGGCGGGGCTGTCGAGCGGCGAGGGCGAGAACTCGCAGTGCGTGGAGTAGTAGTACAGCGACGCGAGCGGGAACTCGTCGCGCCAGCGGCCCATGGCGTCGAGCACGGTCTCGATGCCGGCCGAGAGCGAGGCAAAGAGCGCGCCGCCGGTGGGGTCGAGGTCTTCGGTGTAGAATGATTGCCAGGAAAGAAGGAGCGAGGTTGCGAGCACGTTTTCGGCGTCGCTGCGGGAGAAGACGGAGATTGCGTTTTGGGCGCCGCGCAGGGCGACGGTCTTGTGCTCGAGCGAGAGACGGAAGAGTTCGTCTGATTTGACGAGATGGGATGCGTGCGCGGAGGCGACGGCGAGGAACGCGTGCAGGAGGAAGGGCTCGCGCTGGGCGGCCTGCACGGCGACTTCTTTCCATATCAGGCCGTGCTCTGGTCTGACGGCGACGAATTTGGAGGCGCAGATCGAGACGTGCTGGAGCAGGCGCATGTCGGTGTTGGAGAGGCCCTCGAAGGGGCGCGTGGAGGCAAAAGGACGGAGACTGGCTATTGATTTCGCGGTCAGCCGGTCGATGATGTGCTCGACGATCTGGGCGAGGTGGCGGTCGCGGATGGCGTCAGAAGAGAGGTCGGCGTAGTCGCATCGGACTGGGGGAGGTTAGCAGAGAGAAGAGGTGATGGCTGATCGGGGACGGCGTACCTTTGTGGCGGATGCAGTTTGCGCAGACGGGGAGCTGTTCGTCGCATTTTACTCTGCGCTGGCGACAGGTGACGCAGCCTGTTTTTGACTTGCGATGGCTCTTGCGACGGACGACGGCTTTGGAGGCGGAGGCGGAGGCGGAGGAGGCGGAAGAGGCGGAAGAGGTTGAGGGAGAGGTGTAGGAGGTGGAGGAAGAGGCTGAGGAGGTTGATTGGGCTGTTGAGGATTCCTGGGTTGCAGACGCAGCAGGTGATCGGGGAACAGAGTCAATCAACTCCAGCTGATGGAGTCTCGAAGAAGAAGAAGAAGCAGAAGAAGAGGAAGAGGAAGAAGAGGCAGGAACGGCGGTGTAGGAAAGCATCTATGCGCACTTCATGCTCCACGACGGCGAGCAGCACCCAGAAGCAGCAAAACGGAATGCAATCAGCTAAAGCACCGCAATCCGGCACAAACAGACAATAAAGTAGATATCTCGAACAATACACGGCTTCTTTCAGCACAAAACCTGCAAACTTCGCGATACAAACAGAGTCCCGGCAGCAGCAGCGGTCACTTTCTCCACACCCTGTGGTTCAGGGTTTCCCGATTAGGGAGTCTACAAGGCCCTCGCTGACACCGTCGTGATCTTCACCTCACCACAGCTCCTTCTGATACTGAAGACATCTACACCTATCTCGCGATGTCAGACGCAGACTCAGACGACGGCTCGGCCTCGCGCAGCAGCGGGAGCAGCTCGCCGGAGCCGGTCGAGCTGCTGATCTCTGGCAGAGAGAAGCGGTCGACGGCCGGCAATCGGCTGCGCAACCTGCTCGACATCGAAGAGTCGCTCGCTGCCGACGAGGACGACGATGTCGCTGCCATCTTTGCCGAGACTGACGAGGACGAGGATTTTGCGAGCAGTGCTGATGATGAGGAGGAGGAGGAGGATGATGAGGAGGAGGAAGAGGAGGGAGAGGGAGAGCAGCAGCAGGAGGAGGAAGTGCAGGAGGAGGAGCAGGATCAGGACAGCAAGCCAACTCACAAACGAAAGCGCACCACGGTCGACGACGACGAAATGTTCAGCTCCTCGTCTTCAGACGAAGACGACAAAGGCGCAGACGCACGCGGCGCGGACGACGACGACGCAGAGAATGAGCTGCTCGAGCAAGAACGTCGCGAGAAAGTCCGCAGGCGCAAACTACAAGAACAACGCACCGTTGCTTTCAAACCTCGTCCCACTGCTGCTGCTGCTGCTGCTGCTGCTGCTACGGAGAAGAAAGTCACTCGTCCATCAGCCTCGAGACGCGATCTGACGAGCGTGCGGGCTAGTTCTCGCGCCCACACCGTGCAAAACAAGCAAGCGGTCCTCGAGCGACTGCAGCAACAAGAACAACGCAGGACAAGCAACCCGACCGCGCACCACCACACGAAATCCACCGTCGTCCGACTGTCGCAGGAAGAGCGCATCGAGCGCGCGAAGCTGACCGAGGAGCAGAACGTGGCCTCGCTGAATAAATTCTTCGAGCAGGAGGTTATCAGGAAAAAGAGCCAGCGAGCGGCCATGTTTGCCAGGCGCGAGCAGCTCGGCCCTGCTATCCGGTGGCGCAGTGCGATCGGGCAGGTTCCTGATGACTCGCGGGGATTGTTGATCGAGGTTATTGACGGGGACGCTGCTGCGGCAGCGGCGGCGGCGGGAAAAAAGCGAAAGTCAAAGCCGTTTCCGGAGTTGTCTGGGACTGGTAAAGAGCGTGTGAAGAAGAAGACAAAGAGGGTGACCAAGCCTAGAGTGAAGGTTGAGAAGGAGGGAGAGGAGGGAGAGAAGGCTGCTACAGAAGAGAAAGTTGATTCGACCCACAAATCTGACTCAACCGATAAACCTGATTCAAGCGCTGCATCTACCTCTGAGAAACCAGCAAACGAACCTGCAGAAGAGCCATCGGAGGAGACTACAAGAGCAGTCAAGGAAGGCTCGACTGCTCCTGACACTGCTGTCGCTGAGACAAACGATACACCAGATCAACCACAGGCTGAGACAGCTCCTGACGCTGCTACTGAAATGAACAATCCACCAGATCAACCACCCGAGTCAACAACCGACGAGCCAAAAACAGAACAACCACAGGACGCTCCACCGGCTCAGACTGATGTCGAAGCAGAACCGGCTCAGGAGCAGGAGCCTGGTGAGGACAAAGAAGTATCGTCAGAGCGAACGACTATAGGCGAAGCTATGGAGATTGACGACAAGTCTGAGGTTGTTGCAGCTGACGATAAAGTTGGGCAGGAAGATAAAGACAGTGTGATGGATGTGGATTTGGAGGGGCGGAATATGTCGGAGAGCGGGAAAGAGATCAAGACAGAAGATTCGAAGGATTCTGAAGTCAGGGACTCTGAGGTGAAGGACTCTGAAGTCTCTGAAGTTAAGGATTCTGAGGTAAAGGATTCTGAGGTAAAGGATTCTGAAGTCAAGGATTCTTCTGAAGTCAAGAATTCTTCTGAGGTCAAAGAGTCCTCAGTCAAGCCGAAGCCAACCACAGAAGGCGACGCTGCAGCTGAAGGAGAAGACGAAGAAGAGGAAGAAGAAGAGGAGGAAGAGGAAGAAGCTGAAAACGAAGGCACTCCAGAACCACAAGGTCCTACGACAACCTGCTCCACCGAATCCGTGATCCTAATCAACTTCGCGCCCAACACGACCTTCGACGCACCCCTAGTCCGCACCGTCCTCTTCGGCAAAGGCGCCGCGTCCGGGAACCCCCCTCCCCGCTACGAGCGACATTTATGTAACGTCACAGGCCGGATCGCGCAGTTTATCGATCCAAAGACCGGCGTGCGGTATTACGACCTGGACGCGTATCGGATGCTGCAGAAGGTTGCGGGCGGGGAGGTGCCGTGGAACGCGGATTTTGGGGAGGGGATGTATTATTACGAGAGGAAGGATTTGAAGGAGTTGCTTGAGAAGGTGCCTGAGGCAGGTGAAGAGGGAGAGGGTGGAGTAGAGAAGGCAGAGAGTGGAGTAGAGAAGGCAGAGAGTACTGTATGATAATTGTATTATAGATGAATGAGAACGCCATGACAACAAAATCCAAAACTCCAGACCATGATAAAAAAGATAAAAAAGAATAATCTATGCAGAACCAAGAAGCTTGCGGTTTTCAGCAATCTGCCTAGGCGTCGCCTCCACCAACGCAAACTCATCAAAACTAAAAGCCGAAATAATCCTCGTCCTATCCAAAGCCGGGAAATCCAGATCCGGCTCGCCGTCGTCCTCGACGATATGCAGCGTCCATTTCGAGACATCCGCCTCGTCGTCAGAAAGCTTCGGCTCGCGCTTCTCCTCCCAGTAGCGGTAGAGCGCGTAGCCGATTGTGTCGGCGACGGTGACGTAGGGCTTGACGACGACGTCGAAGGGTTGTTTGGGGAGCTTTGAGGACGGGCGGTAGACTTTTAGACGGAGCGGTTTGAGTTCGCCGACGCCGGATGCGGAGGTGTAGATTTCGAAGGGGTTCTTTTCGGCGGCTTGGGAGGCTGTGATTAGGGCGGACAGGTTTGATTTGAGCTGGACGGGGGGGTGGAGAGGGGTGAGGGCGCGGGGGGGTGAGTCGACGAGGGAGAAGAGTTCGGGGGAGGGAGTGAATGCTTCGGGAGGGGGGAGGGGTGGTAGGGGAGAGCTGAAAGAGTAGGAAGAGGCGGCAGCGGCAGCAGCAGCGGAGAAGGAGGTTGAAGAGCTGCGAGAAGGAGGTCTGCCTGCGACGACGGATGGCGAAGGCGGTCTACCTACGACGACGGAAGATGAAGCAGCGAGGTCTTCGTGCTCCATGATTGCGTCGTCCATTGAGATATCGCTCCAGAGCGCGTTGAAGCGTTTGTCGAACGAGCTGCCGCGTCTGAAGGAAGACGAGCGGAGGAAGGTCATGCCTTCTTTGTCGTCGAGGTTACCCGCGAGGCCGATGTCGGACGCGTACGTGTAGTTGTATCTGAGGCGGGAGTAGGAAGACGGGGACGCGTCGGGGATGGTCGCGGTCGTCGCGGCGGACTTGTGCTGGTGGGTGATGTAGGTCGAGAGCATTTGGTCGACGTCGGGGATGCGGTCTTTATCGCGGGCCGGCATTTTCGAAAACTTGATCTTCCTTGCTGCGCGCTGGAGGTCTTCTATCCCGATCTCGTCGTCGTCGTCGTCGTCGTCGTCGTCGGTGTTGTTTGTGCCGTTGGCTTTCTTACTGCTGGAGAGGGGGATTGACGAGTCGAGCTCGTCCTCGGCGTACTCGCGTTCCTCGTTCTCGACATCGCTGTCGTCAAAGTCGGAGGAGGAGTCGCTGCTGCTGGGGGGAAAGGAAGCGGAGCCGTTGGTGTGGTTTGCGGCCACACGGCCGGATTCGACGAATTTGGGGATGGGAGGGGAGAATTGGAATTCGGGGTGGAAGGGGGGAGGGGGGACTGTTGAGATGACTGCGTAGGAGCGTTTGGAGGAGGGTGTAGCAGCTGAGGAGGAAGTAGAGGAGGGAGAGGAGGTGATCCAGGTCCGGGAGTAGAGGGCGCGGTCGACGTGGAGGACGCGTTCGCCGACGCCGTCGTGGATGCGGTCGAGGTAGGAGCGGCGGAGACAGTAGACGGCGAAGTCTCTGTCGTGGAGGAGGGACATGGCGAGTATAGTAGATATGAGAGCTGGCGATGAGGAGGAGGAGGAGGAGGAGGAGTAAAGTTAAGAGGATTAAATTGAATTTCTCGATTTTCCACATTTTGGAAGAGCAAAGAGTCCTAAACACAGCCCCTCGGACCTCAGTTTTCATTCAGCTCCGGTTTATTCTCTCAATTGTGTCTTGATTTCGTCTTTTGTTGTTTTGTTTGTTGATTCTTTTCATTATATTCTTCTTATTCTTCTTCTTCTCCTTCTTCTTCTTCTTCTACCTATCCTGCTTCTTCTTCCCCATGTCTTCCCAGCCGTCCTCGGCGGCTCTCGACAGGGCCCCCGACAAGTCCTCCTCCGTCTCTCCGCTTCCTTTCGATCCCCGCTACGTTTCCAAACGGTATTTTCTTCTTCTTCTTCTTCTTCGTTTTATCTTCCTCAATTGATCTTCATTTCTGACTATCTCCCCCTCAGTGCCCGCGAAGCTCGCGACATGGCCCTCTGGCCCCAGACCGCCTCGGATTTGACGGCTCCCCAGCTCTCCTCTTCCATCCCATCGTCCTCCTCCTCTCCTTCCTCCTCCTCCTCCTCCGCGTCTGCCTTCCGTCGTGCTCGCGCTGGAACTCTTCCCTCGCGTCTGCCTGCTCTGCTCCAGCCCTCCACCCTCCCCTCCTCCCTCACCTCCTCCTCCTCCTCCAACTCATCCTTCGTCGCCGGATCGTCCTCCATCAACCCGCTCTCCCCTAGCCGTATCCGCTCCGGATCCCTCACCCTCCCGCCCTTCTCGCAATCCCCCTTTGGCGCTTCGGTCTTTGCCCCCTCAACCTCATCCTCCTCCTCCTCCGCCTGGCCCCTTCCCGGCCTGCGCTCCCCCGTCAACGACCAACCCGCCCTCTCCACCCTCGACTACCTAGGCCTCGAGAACCCTCCCCTCCCTTCCTCTCTCGGCCCCGACCTCACCACAGACATGCACGATCCTGCTCCTTCCCTCCGTCGCCTCAGCTCGGCCTCCGCGTCCTCCTCCTCCGCTGCCGTCGCTGCCGCCGCTTCCATCGCTCCCCAGTCGACCTCGAATTCGTCGTCCTTCCTGTCCGACAGACTGCGCCATGACGTCAACCGCATCCGCTCATACTCTGTCTCCGCCACAGAACTCTACGACGATCCGCACACAGCCGGCCTCGAGGGCCTGATCGAGGAAACAGACGAGCACCACGACCATCTCCCCGATCTCGCGGTCCGCAACTCGTCCTCGGCCTCAGCCTCACAGTTTTCTCGTCCGCGATCACGAACCACGAGCGGGCCTGAAATTCACTCGTTTTTCGGCAGTAACTCTTCTTCATCTTCTCGATTCGATTACTTTACAGAGCAACAGCAGCAGCAGCAACCGCAACAACAACAACAACAACAACAACACGTCTACGCGGACGAGTTGGCAATCGTCAGCTCGTTGGAGGATAAATCAATGGGCCCGACGCGCTCGCTCTGGATCGGCAACATCCCGCCCGGAGCAGCGAGCGTGGCTGCGCTGACGGGATTGTTTGGTAAATTCGGACAGCTGCAATCGGCGCGCATTCTGTCAAACAAAACCTCGGGGTTTGTCAATTTCTCGTCTACGGACGAGGCTATTCAGGCAAAAGCTGCGCTGAGTGGGACTGAGATTTTGCCGGGCTCGGGACCTCTGCGGATCGGGTTTGCAAAGGTGTTGCAGACCGCTGAGGATGGACAGCCGATCCTGCAGACGCAGTCACAGCAACCACCACAGCAGCAGCAACAATCACAGAAACAGGACATCACGTACATGGTCAAAGAGACCAAAGCCGACAACGCGTCGGTACCGACAACACGCAGCCTGGCCGAGCTCGAAACAGATATATTAGAGATTGTGCGGGAGTACGGCGCCGACGAGGAGGAAGTCGCGAAAGCGGCGCAGACGTTCACCAACGCGATCTCGTTCTCGTCCTTTGTCGAAGAGCTGCCAGCGCTGCCTGATCCGAACCCGAACCGGATCTACGACGCGCCGCGCCTGCGCGAGATCCGGAAGCGGATCGACAACGGCAGCTGCTCGATTGCAGAGATCGAGGCCTCTGCGCTCGAGATGCTGGACGAGATTGCCGAGCTCGCGAGCGATTATCTCGGAAACACGGTCGTGCAGAAGTTGTTTGAGTTTTGCTCGGAAGAGGTCAAGACGAAGATGCTTGTGCGGATCGCGCCGTACCTTGCGCAGCTGGGGATGCACAAGAACGGGACGTGGGCCGCGCAGAAGATAATTGACGTTGCGCGCACGCCGGAGCAGATGCTGATGATTGGACAGAACCTGCGCCCGTACACGGTGCATTTGTTTCTGGACCAGTTTGGGAACTACGTGCTGCAGTGCTGTCTGCGGTTCGGGTCGCCGTACAACGACTTTATCTTTGAGACGATGCTGAGCAAGTTTTGGGATATTGCGCAGGGCAGGTTCGGAGCGCGGGCGATGCGCGCGTGCTTGGAGAGTCATTATGCGAGTAAAGAGCAGCAGCGGATGCTGGCGGCGGCAATCACGTTGCACGCGGTGCAGCTGGCGACGAACGTGAACGGCGCGCTGCTGCTGACGTGGTTCTTGGACACCTGCACGTTGCCTAACCGGCACAAGATCCTCGCGCCGCGGTTGATTCCGCATCTTGTGCCGCTGTGCACGCACAAGCTTGCGTCGTTGACTGTGCTGAAGGTAGTGAATTACCGATCGGAGCCCGAGGCGCGGCGGGCGATTTTCGACGCGCTGATTTTGTCGCCGGATGAGAGCACGCTGGAGAAGATCTTGAAGGACAGTTCGCAGGGGCCGACGGTGATTTACAAGATTCTGACGACGCCGTTTTTGGAGGCGGATATTCGGCAGCGGTCGATTGTTGCGGTGCGGGATGTGCTTGTGAGACTTAAAGTGCATCCGTCGCAGGGATACCGGCGGTTGTTGGACGAAGTCGGACTTTCGACACGGCTTGGCGGGAACGGTGGGGGAAGTCAGAGTGCTAGCTCTAGCATGAATGAGGGTGTACAGATGCCGAGCGGAGGTGGTGGTGGAGCGAATGGCAAGGCTGCAGGAAGTGGTGGACATCATAACCACAGCCATCACCACCATCACCACAACAGCCACGGCCACCACCACGGCAACCACAGTAACGGCGAGCAGCGGCACGAGCGCGAGTATGCGCGAATGAACCCAGCGCAGCAGCAGTACTACGCGATGCAGGCGCCGCAGGCGATGGCACCTCCGGCGCAGCAGGGCGGGTATGATTCCGCGGCGGAGTACTTGGCGATGCTGGAGGCCAGGCAGCAATTGGAGCCGAATGCGATCGATGGGTATCTTGCGATGCAGATGGAGCAGATGGCGATGCAGTCGCAGGGAGCGGATGCAGGCGGGCAGTATAGCCCGATGATGTATCAGCAGTTTGTTAGAGCTCAGCAGCAGCAGCAGCAGCAGCAGCAGCAGCAACAACAGCAGCAGCAGCAATTGTCACAACAAGCACAGCCGTTCTACTACGGTGGATTTGGAAGTACGTCGCCTCCGCCGCCGGCGATGATGCAGCCGACGCAGTACCTGGCGGAAGGGTACCGCGGGTCGCCGACGATGCAGGCGACGGCGCCGATGTATGGGTCGATGGAGCCGCAGTATCGGGGGGTGCAGGGAGCGCATCAGATTCCGGGGAGTCCGGGGTCGCCGATGATGTATCAACAGTATATGGCGTCGGTGTATGCGCCGTCGCCGCCTAATGCGCCTCGGGTGAGTGTTGTTTTTTTTTAAAGAGAGTGGAGATGTGGAGAAGATGCTAACAGAATTTTAGTTTTGAGTGGACAGTGAAGAAGAATACAAAGAGTGGTGGTTTTGATTAGAGGTGAACGGCGAATAGAGAAGGATGTTCTATAGACTGATGAACGAACGCGACCGAGATTTTGCTTTTATTTCTTTATTCTTTTTTCTTTATTTCTATTGTATGAGGACCGCGATTCATGAAAAAAATGTGTTTATTTCGAAAAAAGTGCTTACTTGCTTATAGTGTCTATTCTATTCTTTTATACATATTTGAATATTCTCTCTTTTTGTTCTACTATTTTATGATTTATTATCTACATTTTGGCGATCTTGGTAGTCAAATCTACTGTCTAATTTTTAACTATCTATTTTTATTTAATTATGTGTATTTTGGGTATTTTCTGGAAAATTACAGCGATTCATTCTATTCATTTTATAAGTCTTTTGTAGGTGTAGAATTGATATCCCGATGAGAAGTGTTGTTGGATATAAGAAACAGCGATTGAGGTAGACAAAAGTGAGTTGACGATGGATTTGAGTAGAGAAGAGGGAGGGAGGAGATCAAAATGACGCGCGGCCGCCAATAATTACAATTTCTGTGTGGAGTCTGTTTTTGTTCTTTAAAGAGAAAGAATGTTTGTCTAGAGAGATAGGAATTTTTAGCATATTTTAGTAGAATTTTTGAATATCTTTGAATGGATGATGAGCTGGAAAGAAGAATTGATAGAATGGGGAGGAGGGTGGGATCTGCAGAGAGAGCAGATGTGCGATGATTGGTAATATAGTGTATAGTGATAATGACAATAAAATACACTGTACAATATTATCTCGAGGACATTTCTGTAACTAACTAATAGAATATTTACAGATTATTGACAGTTAAGTAGAGTAGAAGACAGCAAGAAGAAGAAAGCAGAGAAAAGAAGGTTCAGACAGAAAGCCTAGATCTGTTATCTTCGTGCTTATCGTCGGTGTCCATGAGATACGCGTAGTTATATAACGGAGTATTATAAACACTTGACACTAACTTATAAGAAAGCAATATATCCAAATGACTAGTTCATATGACTACGTTGATGACGCCGGTGTCTATCCGGTGCGATTGATATTAAACATAGACGTATCTTATCTGCTGATTGCTGCTGTACTGCCCTTCACGCTATACCAGCGGTTATTGCGTGATGGAGGTTTGTTCATAGTCCGACGACGAGCACGGTTGCTGGGATGCGAGCAGAGCAGTGCACGCACACGCACACGCACGCACACGCCACGAGGCCCGTTCGTGAGCTCATGCGTTGAGCTAATGCGCACGATAGACCGTGCTTGTGTAGTGTAGAGATGAGAGCAGACGACTGTTGATACTCTGCTGCCTGACTGCCTGACTGAGTCGGCTGAGTCCAAGACATTCATTATTCTTAGCTCGCTTCATCCCTGCCCAGTTGTCTGCTGAAGAGTACTCCGAGTACTCCGAGTACTCCGAGTACTCTGAGTGGAGTAGAAGCCAAGTGGGGCCGGCAGCGGCGGGCCGGGTGGCGGACGATAGCGTGATGGCTGAAGCCTGAAGTCTGATTCTGAATCGATGGCTGGCCACCCGGTATCTCGTATTCTTGTTCTTATTACTACCATTATCTCTCTAGTCAATCAGCGCTGAGGGATTTGCAGTATTCGCAGTTCTGCTAGTAACAGGGCAAAGGCTGGCTGATGCGAGGCACGGACAGAGCAGAGGCCAGCAGAGGCCAGCAAGGACAGAAAGTGATTGGTCGGCCGACCGCACACGCCAATCGGCAGCCGATAACAGGAAGCAGCAGAGGCCGCCGACGCCCGGCCCTTTGGTCAAAGCAACTCAGCAAAGCAGAGCAAAGCAAGAGCCAAGGAGGAGAGCCAAAGCTTGTTCGATCGAAAGCTTGGCCGTTGCTTGTCTTTGTTTTTGTTTAATATTCTGTTTCTTGTTTGTTGTGTATCTTAGAAGTGATTATGATGACTATGGAATAGGATGACTATGGAATAGAGCGATTAATAGAAGTAACAGAAAACAGCAGAAAGTACAGAAACCGGCTTATCATCGACCTCCACGCCGTCTTATCGGCCTATCTGACCGGCGCACTGACCATCGTCTCTGCTTCGTGCCTCCTTCGTACCTGCTCTATCTTCTGTCTGTGTCTTCTGTCTGTCTGCCTGCTCTGCTCTGTCTGTTCGTTCTGCTCAGTCTGCTCAGTCTGCTCAGCAATATTCTACTTACTGTATCTGGTCTGTTGTTCTGTATAATAGTAGATGACAGAGGCAGTAGCAGTGACAAGAATGACTCAAGCGGGCACCAACGCTCGCCTTCACTCACCACCCTCCTGTCAGGTACTGCGCGACTCGAGTGCCAACCTCCCCACCGCTTCATATCTTCATATCGTTTCATGCCTATCTTCTCCGAATCAGGGCCGTTAGTCCTCCTTAGTCGAACCTTCTCTCTTCTCTCCTCCTCTGTCATTATAAATACCCTCCTCCCGTCTCTTTTCATCCTTTCCGTCCTCATCCCATTCCTCACCTCTCTCTCTCTCTCTCTCTCTCTCTCCTTCTCATCACTACATTCACAATGGGTGTCAAGTCGGGTTTCATGAAAACCCTCGCCTGGATCGACGTCAAGTCGGGCTGGTACCCTGCCTCCATGTCCATGGAGGAGCGCAACCTCGTCCGCAAGATCGATACCCTCGTCCTCGGATACTGCTGTCTTGCTTTCTTCACAAAGTACCTCGACGTCTCCGCTCTCAGCAACGCCTACGTCTCTGGTATGAATGTGGATCTTGACCTTTATGGTAACAGACTTAACAACATCAACGCTGGTATGTCCGCTCTCTCCTCTCTATCTCCTCTATCTGCTCACAATCTAACAACCCTCTAGTCTACCAGGTCGGATACTGTGCCTTCCAGATCCCCTCCAACATGCTCATCACCCGTCTTCCCTCCCAGTACTACCTTCCCACCGCTGAAATTATCTGGGGTCTCTTCACCCTCGGAACCGCCTTCGTCAAGACCTACGAGTCTCTCCTTGCCCTCCGTTTCTTCGTCGGTCTTGGTGCCACCGCCTGCTACGTCGGATGCCTCCACATCGTCAACTGCTGGTACAAGAAGGAGGAGCTCGGCCGCCGCAACGCCATCTACTACTCTGCCATGCCCCTCGGCACCATGGTCGCCGGTTACCTCCAGGCCGGTCTCCTCGAGCACCTCGACGGCGCCAGCGGCCTCAAGGGATGGCAATGGCTCTTTGTCATCTGCGCCATCATCACCATCCCCATCGCCGGATTCGGCTACGTCTTCTTCCCCGACGTTCCCGAGAAGACCACCTCGCGCTGGTTCTCCGAGCGCGAGCGCCAGCTTGCTTTTGACCGTCTCCAGGCCGACGGCTTCGAGAAGTCCAAGGGTCTCGACTGGAAGCTCATCAAGCGTGTCTTTGGCTCGTGGCAGTTCTGGACCTTCATCTGGATGGGCAACCTCTTCTGGCTCGCTCCCTACGGATCTTCCACCCCCTTCTTGCTCTGGCTCGACGATCTCCTCAACCCCGACGGTTCCCGCAAGTACTCCGACGCTGATGTCAACAACCTTTCCACCGTCACCTCCGCGGTCTCTATCGGTTCCGCGCTGATCACCGCCGTCTACTCTGACTGGAGACGTTCGCGATGGGATATGATGCTTCTCGCCGGTATGCTCATGCTTGTCGGAAACGTGCTCCTCCTCGTCTGGGACCTGAGCGAATCCACTCTCTTCGCCGCCTTCATGCTCCTCGGTATCTCCAACGGTCCCGGTAACCTCGTCGTCGTCTGGGCAGCCGAAACATTCGCCCACGACCTCGAAGCCCGCGCCATCACCCTCGCCTCCATCAACGCCACAAACTGCATGCTCTACCTCGTCATCCCTCTTGGCGCTTGGCAGACCGTCTCGGCGCCCCGCTACAAGGCCGGCTACATCCTCTCCGTCGTCTTCTCCGTCGTCCAGCTCATCCTCATCCCCGTCGCCGTCTACTTCCAGCGCCGCGACGAGCGCCGCATGGCAGCCATGCCCTCGCTCTCCAACCCCGAGGACATCGCGGGCTTCGAGCTCGAGTACGACGCCAAGGGACCGGTCGTCACCGAAGGTGTCGAGGTCGACAACTTGTCCTCGAGCGATGGCTCCGACAAGGAGTACATTGCGGGCGAGGCCGAGAAGAAGGCCGTCGCTGTCTAATCCTTTTGTTTGCTGTAACCGATTTAATTTGTAATGTCTTTTCGCTTCTAGAGTCTTTTTTGTAACTTTTTTTGGGAGTTTTCTTTCTTCAATGTACACAATTGCACAATGCATTTCTCTTCTCATTATAATCTATATACTCATTATAATCTATGAATGCCCTATAGTATGCTGAAACAGAACTAGCAGTTTTGCTTACAGTAATCTGACATAATATAAACACAAACCCCTCACTTACACTTAAAGTTCCCCCTGAAAGTCAAGAACTGCCTCCCAAGAAATTTTCTGATTCTGTTTGATGAACAAGTTGATTGTTGTTCATGAAGTGCTCTTCTGCTGCTCTTCAGAGATACCTACGACTATCAAGAGTGCTAACTCAGCATTCTTCCCGTGCTGTTTACAAACGAGCAACTTTTCTTGTGCAGACGACTCATCGACGCTACTACGACGCGCACCCGATTCCCGAAGACCACATCGACTTTGTAAAGATGGACACAGTCGAGCACACGGACGGCAAGAAGTACGTTGTACTCACGGAGGGCGCGGCGTCGGTTCTGTACGAGAACGAGAACCAGGTGTTTTACAACCCCGTGCAGCGGTTTAATCGGGATCTGAGCACGCTCGCGATCAGGGCTTGGTCGGAGGAGTTTATGGAGAAGAGGAGTAGTAAGAAGAAGAATAATAATAAGAGGAAGGCAAAGAAGAGGGCGGCGAAGGATGGGGCAGCTGAGGTAGAGACTGCGGAAGATAAATCGACAGAGGCAAAGACTGATGCTACGCCTGCAACTATTACAGACCCGACTGATTCGAAAGAAGAAAAGAAACCGCAGCCATACCTCACGATCCTCGAAGCTCTCTCCGCCACCGGTCTCCGCGCGATCCGCTACGCGCTCGAAATCCCAAACCTCAAGACCGTGATCGCGAACGACTTCTCCGCCGCCGCCGTCTCCGCGATCGAGCGCAACGTGAAATACAACGCTGCGCCGGCAGCGCAAATCGTCAAGCCCTCGCACGGCGACGCAAATATGGTCATGTACTCCCACAAATCAACGCCCTTCCACTGCATCGACCTCGATCCGTACGGCACCGCCGCGCCGTTCGTCGACGCGGCTGTCCAGGCTATCGCCGACGACGGGCTGCTGCTCGTCACTTGCACCGACCTCGCTGTCCTGGCGGGGCAGGGATATCCCGAGAAATGCTTCTCGAGCTACGGGGGCACGACGTCCAAGACTGAGTTCTGCCACGAGGCGGCGCTGAGGTTGGTGCTTAATCTTGTCGCGACCACAGCGGCGAGATATGGCAAGGCTATCGAGCCGCTTATGAGTCTGTCGATTGATTTCTATGTTCGGCTGTTTATCCGCATCAAGCATTCGCCTTTCCAGGTCAAGTCTCTTGCGAGGTATGCTATTCTCTACTTTTCATTCTCTAAGTTTTAAGACAGTTCTGATATGGTTATAGCAATACAATGGTGGCATACACTTGCACGGGGTGCAACTCCACATCGTGCCAGCCGCTGGGTCGGGTTGTTACCGACAAAGAAGGCACTCCTACCAAGCACTCGTTTCCTCGAGGACCACCCGTCGGTCCTAAATGCGACAACTGCGGTTTTGTACATCACGTAAGTCCTTCCCTTCTCTCTGCATTCTCTCCATCCAAATACAGCACAACTAACAAAGAACAGATGGCGGGTCCGATGTGGGGCGGCCGCATCCACAACAAATCCTTCATCTCAAAAGTCCAAGCGCTCGCAAAAACAGCCGACCCAGAAACCTACAAAACGCTCCCCCGCATAAACTCGATGCTCACCGTCGCCTCCGAAGAACTCGACGACGCGCCGTTCTACTTCACCCCGCAGAAAATCTCGTCCGTGGTGCGCTGCACGTGTCCGACGCTCACCGGACTCGGCTCGGCGCTGCTGAACGCGGGGTATAAAGTGTCGCCGACGCACGCGGCGCCGGGGGCGATTAAGACGGATGCGGGGTGGGATATTGTTTATGATGTGATGAGGGAGTTTATTAAAGAGCATCCGGTTACAGAGAGTAATATCAAGCAGGGCTCGCCCGCGACCAAGATCCTCGAGCGAAGGGAGCCAAAGTGAGTCCTTCTTTCTATCCTTTCCTTCCTCTCATTGATGCAAGCGGCTGGAACTAACACTTTGTAGGATCAAAATCGACTTCACAGAGCACCCGGACGCCAACCCGCCATCGCGAAAGATTAAAATCACGCGGTACCCACACAACCCCAAGAACTGGGGTCCGCTTCCGAGGGCGACGGGTGATAAGCCTAAAAACAAAAACAAGGGTAAGCAGATTAAGACTTCTGCTGTTGTTGAGAAGGTCGCTGCGGAGGTGGGAGGAGCGAAGAGAGAGGCGGGTGAGAGTGTGGATGCTGACGAGAATATAAAGAGGCAGAGAACGGGCGATAGTTAGAGATCAAATCTGATTGTTGTTTTGTAATATATCTATTGTGTATAAATTAATTGATTGCATTACTATAGCGACTGTAGACAACATAATCTATAATCCACTACTCCATTCTCAAAAACCCAACAACACTGGCACAATACCCCACCAGATCATCAATCCTCTTCTTCTCCTTGCCCTCCACCTCCTGCCACCTCACCAGCGCCTCATTCAGATCCGCAAACCCGTCCTCTTTACTCCCCGCCACCACGTCCCCATGGATCTTAAGCAACATCGTCATCCACGCCTGCACGAGCTCGTAGTCCTGCCGCTGCTCGAGCCTGCTCGTCATCGCGTCGATAAAGTACGTAAAATGATCGATTTCCTCGAGCGTCAGCGAGCGAAGCTCGAGGTCCGTCGCGGACGGCGTCAGGTGTTTGAGGTACGCGATCAGGTCCGAGTACTCGCCCCCGACCGCGTGGCATTCGACTAGTTTCCGTTTAAACTCCGACATCTTGACCGTGCCGCTCTTCAACTTTGCCTTCGCGACCGCTTTCCCGGTATCATCCTCGGGCTTTTCAGCTGCGCCGCCGGTGAGGGTTAAGAAGAACGGTGCTTGCTCGGGCGCTTTGGGTGCTTCCTTGGGCTTGTTGCGTTGCTTGATTGTCTCGAGATTCACGAGCGTGGTGAATCGGTTGCGAGGCATCGTGCTCAGCGTCATCAGCTGCGGATTCAACTGCTCTGGCGAGACGTACGCGCCCGAATCAGCAACATCATCCTCCTCATCTTCTTGCTCGCCGAGCGCGCCTTCAAGAATCCCGCTCGCGCCTTCGCCAGCCACGTTCGGCATCTCCAGCAGCGCGAGTTCGTCGCTCGTGACCTGCCGGAACGCAACCTGTTTGAACAACGTCCTGTTCGTCCACAGATTTATCCCGACCCCGTCCTCGTGCGCGGTCGCGAGCCACTCGCCGTTACCAGACAGCCGCAGCGCTGAAACAGGAGACGACACCCGCACGGCGTCGATGCAGGAGCCAGTGGGCAGGTCCCAGGTGCGGATCGTGCCGTCTTTGCTCGCGGACACGATCCAGCGTCCGTCGGCGGAGAAGTCGAACGCGGAGATTGCTTGCGCGTGGCCCTTGAGTTCACGGACGACGCGCTTGGTGAGGATGTCGACGACGAGGATTTGCTTGTTTTCGAGGGAGACCGCGAGGAGGTCTGTCGAGCGGTGGAGAAGCAGTGAGGTTGCTGGGGCGGGCAGCTGCAGAGAGTACGTCAAAGCCGCGGTTTTGAATTCGTGGAACTGCAGTTGTCCGTCGAGCGAGCAGCTGATGATTGTCTTATTGAGTCCATCCACCGCCACGCCCGTCACCGCGCGCTTATGCGACCGAAACCGTTTCCGGTGCACGCCGCTCTGCAGGTTATACACATCAACCGCGCCATGCGCAGATCCAATTAGTGCGAAATTCCCACAAAACGAAATCGCGACCGACCGCACAGCACTCTTATCCGAAGTCTTGAGCTGCCACCGCCCGACCGCGCCGCGGTGCCCGTCCCATGTGCGCGCGTACGCGAGGCCCTTGTGCGCGGTCACGATGTTTTCCCAGTCCCCGAGCTTGTTGGCTTCATACGCCATCGCCGTGATCTCGGGAAACTTCTCCTTCAGCCCGCTCGTGAGCCCGGCCTTGCGACCCGGCAGCTGCGACGACGAGGCTTTCTCGCGCTGGGAAAGTTCGTGGCTTTGAGCGTCTTTGCGGAGGGAGAAAAGCCAGAGCGAACGGTCGAGCGCGGAGGAGAGAAGGAAGTGGCCGGAGTCGTCTGTGAAGCTGAGGTTGGTGGATGGCTTTGAATGGCCGCCGCGGGAGCGGAGATGGCGCGGGGGAGAGGTTATGAGAGCTGTTGAGGTGCTGAGCTCGGGGTCGAACACGTATTCCTGGTTATAGTTAGAACAGTTTCAACAACTTCTTGAGTGTAAAAAAAACAGAAATAGTACCTTTAGGTAATTGTCACCTCCAGAGGTCACAAACACCGGCTGCCCGTTCAAAAACGACACCCGAGCGACGCCACCTTGTTCGCTAGAGTGCACGTCACGCATGATATGCACGCGGCGCTGGCGATTAAGATCATAAAAGTAGATATCGCCATCGACGGTTCCTGCCGCGAGATGCGGCGTTCCGTCGGTCCTGAACGAGATCGAGGTCACTTTCTGCCGGCACGAGAGCTCGAAGACGACTTTGGCGTATCTGAGGTTAAAAGCCTGCACGCGGCCGTCTTCGAACGCAAGTCCGATCGTGTCGAGAACGGGGGCGACGTCGACTGCTGTGAGAAGCGAGTCGAAGGGGTCGCTCTGGAAGAGAAGTTTACCGATGCGGATGTTGTAGAGGAGGATGTATGACGAGGTTGCCACGACGATTTTGTTGAGGTATGTGTGCGGGTGGATCAAATCTAGGATCTCACCTGCTCCGGGGGGAAGATCGATCGAAGTGTAGAACTCGGGAGGACTCGACTTATCCGCCGCGCCGAAGCGGTAGACGTACACGGTCTCATCCGAAGCTGCGCAGACGTAGTCTCCAAACACGAGCAGTTTCGTGAGCGGCAGCGGAGAGTTAGTGTCGACGGCGTACTCGAGCTTGCCGCGGCGGAAGACGCCGATTGTCGAGCCCCAGACCGCGTAGACAAAGTGGAAATGGGTCGAGACGGCGGAGATGGGCGAACTTGTCTGCGGGGAGGAGACGAAGAGGAGGTGTAGTGATCCCGCCTATAACAAATATAAAAAAGATCAGTCAGTTTATTTCCTGTGACGACTTGTGACAAATATCAGAGTAGCAGAAGGACTGACATCGTAGACTTGGAACGAGTTTCCAACGACGGTGGTGAGAATGAATGTCTGACCGAGAGTCGATACCGAGAACGGGACAGTGCTAGTGACATATCCAAGCGCCTAAAAAAACCACAAACATAATAAGCAACTGTAAACCAAACCATCCGAACCAACAAAAACCACAGACGACGTACTCTGAACGGCGAGAATATTCTTGACGCATGCTGTTGTCTGCGAGCACTACCCGCGACGGTCGCAATCTTCCTCCGCTTGCCGGACTCCACCGCCGAAGAGGTAGAAACTGACGGCATTATCAGAAAAAACAAATTACTTCAACACAGACTAAAAATACCAAACAGCAACACAGAAACAAGACCAACTTCTATCTGGTCCCTGAATACCTTCTGGATCTACTCTGAGCGCAAACAGAAAACTATTTTTTTTTTTCTCTCAGGTTTAATCCGGGTAATTTAACTTTGCTCCAAACTCCCAACCGGCAATTAAGGTTATTAATCTTACTAAGCACTTAATAATAAGCATTAAATCTTCTCTCGAAGAAGGACGCGTGGGAAGATTGTGACCAGATGAATGGACGACGAGCGAGTAACTTTTGCCTCCACCGTTGACCTGCGCTGCTCTTTCTCGTCTCAATTCTCTTGTTTGTTTCTATTCTGTCTCTGCTTCTCTTCATCTGCTGCTTCTACAAACACAGCAGCTTCTTAGATACAGAGGATGTCGACCCCAAAGCTCAACACCGCCTCGAGCTTCCCCGTCTCCTCCTCCTCGCCCGCCAAATCCTCTCGCTCGTCCTCGCCCGCGGCCTCAGACCGCGCCACGGACTCGCCCTCCCGCATGAGCTCTGCCTTCAGTCTCACGCTGACCAAAACCATCTCGCGCGATTCAAACTTCAACCTGCCTCCGCCCGCCATGGGATCTACCTTCATGCAGGGCCCGCCGACGCCGGTGGAGAAGTACGGCACTATTGGCGTGTGTGCGATGGACGCGAAAGCACGGAGCAAGCCGTGCCGGCTGATTCTCAACCGGCTGATTTCGGACGGCATGTTTGAGATTGTGATTTTCGGCGACAAGGTCATCCTGGACGAAGACGTCGAGAACTGGCCGACGTGCGATTTCTTGATTTCCTTCTTCTCGACCGGTTTCCCGCTCGACAAAGCGATCCAGTACGCCAAGCTGCGCAAGCCGTATCTCGTCAACGATCTCGAGTCGCAGAAACTGCTCTGGGACCGACGACTCGTGCTCGACGTGCTCGACAGCATCCATGTGCCGACCCCCTCGCGGCTCGAGATCAGCCGTGACGGCGGACCGAAGGTTGATTCGGTGCTCGAGAAGCGCATGGAGGAGCAAGGCGTGAATATCAAGCGCGGAGCCGCTCCGCCTTGGAAGATGCTCGACGCCGACACGCTCTGGGTTGACGGCAAGACGCTCAAGAAGCCGTATGTGGAGAAGCCTGTGAACGGCGAGGACCACAATATCTACATTTACTACCACTCGTCGCAGGGCGGGGGCGGTCGTAAGCTGTTCCGCAAGGTGGGCAACAAGTCGTCTGAGTTTGATCCGACGCTGTCGTCGCCGCGGACCGAGGGAAGTTTCATCTACGAGAAGTTCATGGACACCGACAACTACGAGGACGTCAAGGCGTACACTGTCGGCCCGAACTACTGCCACGCCGAGACGCGCAAGTCGCCGGTGGTCGACGGCTTAGTGCGCCGCAACACGTTTGGCAAAGAGATCAGGTTCGTGACGCAGCTGACGGCGGAGGAGAAGAACATGGCGCGCAACATCGCGCTCGCGTTCGACCAGGCGATCTGCGGCTTCGACCTGCTGCGCGTGAACGGGCGGTCGTACGTGATCGACGTGAACGGGTTCTCGTTCGTGAAGGAGAACCAGCAGTACTACGAGCAAGCGTCGAAAGTGCTCCGCGAGATCTTTATGGCGGTGCGGGATAGCCAGAAGCGGCTGCCGGCGTCGTTGGCGGCGCCGAAGCCCGCGGAGCAGAAGCAGAGCTGGAAGTTGAAGGGGATGGTGTACGTGATTCGCCACGCGGACCGCACGCCGAAGCAAAAGCTCAAGTTTTCGTTTTACTCGCAGACGTTTATCGCGCTGCTGAAAGAGCACAAGGAGGAGGTGATTATCCGGGGCATCGAGCCGTTGATGGAAGTGCTCGAGGCGACGAAGAAGGCGCAGGTCGAGAAGATCGAGGACGCGGGGAAGCTTGCGCAGCTCGCGCACGCGCTGGACCGCAAGATGAGTTTTGCGGGGACAAAAGTGCAGATCAAGCCCGTGCTGAGCGAGGAGATGGAGGTCGAGAAAGTGCAGCTGATTATCAAGTGGGGCGGGGAGCCGACGCACTCGGCGCGGTACCAGTCGCAGGATCTGGGGGATCAGATGCGCAAGGACGTGCTGCTGATGAACAAGGAAGTGCTTGATAACGTGAAGGTGTATACGAGCTCCGAGAGGCGGGTTGCGACGAGCGCGCAGATTTGGTGCGCGTCGTTTTTGGACAAGAAGGATCTCGATCCGTCGTTTTTGACGATCCGCAAGGATTTGCTGGACGATAGCAACGCGGCCAAGGATCTGATGGACAAGGTGAAGAAGAAAATCAAGCCGCTGCTGCGTAAAGGATTGAAGCCGCCGCCGCAGTTTACGTGGCCGGAGAAGATGCCTGAGCCGAGTGTCGTGATCCAGGCGGTCGTCGAGCTGATGAATTTCCACCGGAAGGTGATGGAGGCGAACTTCAAGTTCCGGGACGTGAACGCGTTCCAGTCGCGGTGGTGCTGCGGCGAGGATCCGATGCTGTTCAAGGAGCGGTGGGACAAGCTGTTTGGCGAGTTCACGACGGTCGAGAAAGTTGATCCGTCCAAGATCTCGGAGCTGTACGATACGATGAAGTACGACGCGCTCCACAACCGGCAGTTTCTCGAGAATGTGTTTTTGCCGTCCGAGGGTCTGGACGGCGAACTGACGCCGTGCGAGGCAAGCAAGGCGTTGATCTCTGAGGTCTCGGGATCGATCTCGTCCGCGTCATCAGTCTCTGCATCGTCCTCCCAGTCCGCGCCTTCGCCTACGACGACCACGGCTGCAGCTGCAGCTGCGGCGGCGGCCGGGACCGCGCCGTCGTCGAGTATGAGAGGATCGCCGTTGATTGGCGGCGACGAGTTTCTGAGTCGCAAGCCGTCAGGGGGCGCCGGGAACGGGACGCCGCCGAAGGATAAGTTCCAGGACGAGAAGTTTATCAAGCTTCGCGAGTTGTACCGGCTGACGAAGGTTTTGTTTGAGTGAGTTTCTTTTCTTTTTTGTGCCCAGAAAACAAAATAAGAGACAAAGGCTAATGTTTATTATTATTTTCTTGCAGCTACATTTGTCCACAGGAATATGGAATTTCGGATGACGAGAAGCTCGATATTGGGTTGCTGACGAGTCTGCCGCTTGTGAAGCAGATTCTTGCGGATCTGGATCAGGTGAAGGAGGCGGATTCGGGGGCGTGCTTTGCATATTTTACCAAAGGTGAGTGCAGTAAAAGAGTTGAGTGCAGTAAAGAAGAAAGAGATGTGAGAGAATGCTAACTACGACTGTAGAATCGCATATCTATACGCTGCTGAATATGATTTACGAGTGCGGGATACCAACCAAGATGTCGCGGAACGCGGTGCCAGAGCTGGATTACCTGACGCAGATTGTGTTTGAGCTGTTTGAGTCCGAGAGCGGGTCGGACAGGAAGTACGCGGTGCGGGTGTCGTTGTCGTCCGGGTGTCATTGCGGGGATCCGCTGGACATCCACTTGGACTCGAAGCACTGCATTTCGTGCATGCCGCGCAAGGCGCTGACGAGCCATATCGACATGGACGTGGTGACGAAGAAGTTTACGGATAACTTTGGCAGGGTGTCGTTGCCGAAACGGTTCATTCCGGTGAATATCAGCGGGCAGGGGTCGAGCACGAACGCAGCGTCGGTGGTGACGACGACGGCGACGGCGCCGCCTATCAGTGTGTAGGGGTGGTTATTGCTTTGTCTTGTCTTGTCTAGCAGTGGAATAAATATATAGATTATAGAACTTTCGCTCGGTTGAATGGTGATGGAATGGAAGGTGTAGATGACGTCAGACAATTAAAACAAAGGGCGGTGGACGAAGGGAAGTCGGGAGTCTGGCGGGGAAGACGCGAAAGCGAAAGCCAAAGTCTGGGGAGAGGCGACGCCAGACCGCGGCAGTGGGCGGACCAACGCTCGCGACGGAAACAGTCCGAGAGCGAGCGACGAGGCTCGTCGGGCAGATGGAGTGGAATGGTTTCCCCACGTGGGATGATGTGTGTTTATTGTTTGTGTGTATAAAGCCTGCTGCTGCCGCTGCTGCTGCTGCTGCTGCCTCGTCTGATCTACACACGCTCTCACAGTACTCGCACAATGATCCAAGAATCTGTCACCACCCAGCCCTCCTTCCTCCCACTCTCGTCGCCCACAGCAGCCGACACCGCCGCGGCGACCACGCAGCAGTCCTTCCTCGTGCTGTCGTCCGAGACCAGCGACACCGTCATTATTGAGGATCAGTCATTGCCGCTCGACGCGGGCGAGCTGCGACCGCGCTCAGAGTCGGTCTCGTCCGTTGCTTCGGACTGTACTTTTGTTTCCAATGCCGAGGAGGAGGGGTTTTAGTTGATGTCAATGAGATGAGATGAGATGAGATGGTGATGGGCAGGGCATGGTTGGACAGGGGAGTTTTGCGTTTTGTTTATATCTTTCTCTTGTATCTGTTATATCTATATACTATATCTACATAAATACAATCAATACCTACCATCAGCATTTGTTTGCATTGTGTGGATGATCTGCTCCGCACAGGCACCGTCGTCGGCGATTATCACGAGGCAAGTTCACGTGATCAGGGCTGATTTGGATATAGGAAGTCTGTCATTGGCCATTGCGTAATGAGCCGAGATGAAACTGCATATTCGCTGCCTCTTCAGGGTGTTTTGCTTGTTCATTTATTGCTAGCTTCTCATAAATCACATACATTACCATCATCGTAGATGTAAATCAAGCAGAAAAACGAGAGAAACACGCATCCGACGCCCATCGGCTGGCGGACATCCGCGCCCTGCCGCTTAGCTCAGCGTGGCTCGCTGCCAGTTTCGGCATCGTCGGCGCCGGAAGAGAACACGGACTCATCCCACCTGCCTTTATAAGCCTGGCTTTTTCTTGTTTCTTGATTCTTGATTCTTGATCCCTGCCTGTGTGTGAAAGAGAATTAGGATCGGTGATATTTAGTTGATTCAGTTGATTGGATATTGCATTGTTGGTGCTGGTGATAATCGTATTAAAGGTATTAGAGGTCTATCTACCCCTCCTCATCGATTTACATCGTACTGACATCACCACAGTCTAATATCATATCATACTACAAAGATGCTCAGCAGTAAGCAAACCCTTCGCCGCGCTCTGCAGTCGCTTGCGCGATCGCGTCCGCTCACCCCTCTGGCGAGCAAGCGCACGTTCATTCCCCAAGTGAACCGTTCTCCCGCATCGCCGATGCGCCGAACCGTCACCTGGCTCGATGCCCTGCACGCGCGCGAGGAAGGCCGGCCCGCGAGCGTGTCGAAGCTGGTCGCAAACTCGAACGAGCCGCCGGTGATCGAGGAGCGCTCGATGGACGACAGTTATACGACAATCACGTTGCCGTTTAAGGAGGATCCGTGGCTTTTAGATGCTTATGTTAATTCGACTGGTCGGTTGAGGTACTGATACTTGTGATTTGTTTTGTTCCTTACTCGGCGATGTTTGCTAAAGTCTCAATCTTCTAGAATCGGACAGATCTTCCAGGATTTGGATGCGCTGGCGGGCGTTATTGCGTACAAGCACTGCGCGCCGGCCGATCCGACGATCGTGACCGCGTCGGTCGACAGAATCAGTCTGCTGAAGCGACTGACTGTCTTGTCTGACATCGAGCTCTGCGGAAACGTGACCTGGACGGGTCGGTCGTCGATGGAGATCACGATCAAGGCGCGCACGATCCTCGACAACGAGACATTTTTGGTCGCGAACTTTACCTTTGTCGCGCGGCACCCGATCACGGGCAAGAGCTTCCCTATCAACCATCTCGTGTGCCGGAACGATTCCGAGAAGCAGATCTTTGACCGCGCGGAGCAGTACAATGCGGCGAAGAAGCGCGCGGCCAAGGTCGGCGGGCTGCTGACCTCGCCGCCAAACAGCGAGGAAGCCGAGATCATCCACGCGATGTGGCTGCGGCAGAAGGCCTACGAGGACCCGAACTCGGGGCTCGAGTTGCCGGCGGGAGTGGTGAAGATGCACGAGACCGAGATGCGGTCGACGACGCTGATGCAGCCGCAGTACCGCAACCGACACAGCTACATGATCTTTGGCGGCTACCTGCTGCGGCAGACGTTCGAGCTTGCGTACTGCTGCGCGGCGGCGTTTTCTCACGGCACGCCTCACTTTATCTCGCTTGACCAGACCACGTTCCGGTCGCCGGTGCCGGTCGGCTCGGTGCTCTACCTGACGGCGTCGGTGGCGTACACGCAGCACAAGCCCAAGTCGCCTACGGGCTCGCCGGCGGGTACGTTTGTGCAGGTGCGCGTGGACTCGACGGTGCGGGATATCGAGCACGGCACGGCGGAGGACTCGGGCTCGTTTACGTATACGTATTTCGTGGAGAACAAGACGGTGTCGGTGTTGCCGGTCAGCTACGAGGAGGCGATGCATTACGTCAACGGGCGCCGCAGTTCGATTGAGAGCAAGAGCTTTGGCGATGCGCTGCAAGGTCTTGAGAACTTGGCCAAGAGTCTGACGGATTAGGCGGGGAAGAGAAAGCAAGTGAGCAAGTTGTCGCATAGCAAGAGTACAATAGAGAAAATAGCATACTTTGATGGTGGAGGCGATAGCGGCTCAGAGTCAAGTCCGCCCTGCAGCGGCGCAGCAGCAGCATTAACCATAAACTAAGTGCAGAGAAGACCGAGTGACGTGAGGGCAGCAGCTGTTGGAGAGAACTGTAGACATCGTCAGTTGATTGTATTTGCAGAAGAACAGCAGAAACAGCAGATGAACAACAATGTAGAAAGCCAGATAACTATCAATCAGATATCGGACCCTTCGTACGCAGGGAACAGGGCCTGGCCTGCGTACGGCTGCTTCCCTGGCACGTGGGACCGTTGGCGAGGCCGCGTGGGCTCCATCTGCCTGGTCGCCCTGCTGCTCCACGAACAAAGAAAAGAGGCTTGAAAGACATTCAGACACTGCTGCAGCTCAATTGCTTTTCTAGCCTCTTTTCTGACTCCTCCAACTCTTCTATCACCGCCTAAGAACATCCTCGCGGCAGCAAAGAAGGTTGATAAGGTGCTGTCGCTGCGGCCAGACCAGTGCACATTTAGCGCCCTCCGCCCGCATTCGCTCACCGCGCGCCTAATTCAGCCACCGCCTGACAAAATTTCCTTTTTCTCGGCGGCTTCCTCTTCCTCGCAATATCATCATCATCAGCCTCCTCCGCCGCCTCTCTCGCCCGCATCACCACACCCTCCTCACCCCATCCTCCCTCCCTCGCTCCCGCATGTCGGACGCGGCCCTGCGCAAGCGTCGGCCGGTCAGCCTCGCGTTCGCGTTCGCGGACCCGGCCGACCCTGCCTCCTCTGCTCCTGCCGCCGCTCGCTCGGCGCGCACTCCGCCATCGCCCTCGCCTTCGCCGTCATACTTCCCCACCGCCGCCCCCGTCATCCCTACATCTCCGGCCGGTGTCGCGCGAGAGGCTCCGCGGCGGCAGCAGTCCCATTCTGTCTCGTACGGCTCGTCGGCGTCGTCCTTCCAGCTCCTGCAATCGCATCAGCAGACGCTCTCGCAGCAGCAGCTTCAGCAGCAGCAGCAGCAGTACCAGGCTCATCTGGCGTCAATTTACCAGCATCACCAGCAATCGCAAATGATGACCCCCCCTGAAGAGTTTGCGCCCCAAAACCGGCCAGTGAAGACAAAGTCCTGCAGCTGCGACCTCGACTACTCTGATACCCCGACCGGCGAACTCATCGATACCATCATCGACGACAAAGACGACGACGTCTCGGTCGCCGCCGCTGCCTCGCTCCTCATGAGACATCCTACGAGTGGCGTTGCAGGCGAGTCCTTTTTTCTCGACCCTGAAGCTTTTTCAGACGACCGCCTGGCTTCGTCCTCGCACCACACCGCATCCTCCTCGACCGCATCTGCCTCTGCTGCCGCCTGCCCACCAGACTCTGCCGGCTCAGGCGGCGACCTCGCCAGCCCAGACTCCGCCCTCCCACCATCCTCGACCCCCGCATCCGCCTCATCTTCGTCCGCCTCGTCCCCTGCACAACTCAGCAAATCTATCTTCAAAAAAATGGTGCCGGCCAAAATCCGCGCGGGCATCAAACGCCGCATGTCGGCGCCCATCTCGCTCTCGTCGATGTCGCTCTCGATGACCTCGCCGTCGACGTCCTCGCCGTTCGCTGCTGCGTCGGCGTCGGCGTCGGCAGTGACGCCGTTGTCGCAGACAAAGAACCCGGACGGGTACTTTGATATCGATATCGCGTCAAATACGAACCTCGAATTCGACGGCAGCAGCGCGCCCATCAACCCAGCGACGAGCGCTACTACTCCTTCATCAAACCCGACGACGACTACCTCATCCACAGCCGCAGGCTCCGTCATCGCCACACCGCCCGGAAAGCGCAACTCGCCCATCCTGCCGCCGACAGACCCGACCCACCGCATGCCAAACTCGCCAACCCATCTCTCACAGCAATCCTCACCAATCATCACGACCTCGGCCTCAACCCCGCACACACACACCCACGTCGCGGGGTACCCTTCACAGTCAACAGTAAGCCCGGGCGTGCTGGCTGCTTCGGCAGCGATGTCTGCAATCATGTCTTCGTCGCCGCCGATACCGCCTTCGCCGTTGGCAGGCAGTCGAGCGTCGATCGTGCCGGAATTGTGCGATATCCCGACGCCGCTGTCGCCGACGCCGATACAGACGCATGCTGAGAGTCTGAGCGAGACGAGTAGTGCGGGCATGACGACCGCATCGACGCCTACCGGCGCGGCATCAGCGGCGCGCGCGTCGTCTATCACGACGGACACGTCATCCCTTCTGCAAGCGCAGCAGCTGCATACCCGGTTGCAGGTCCAGCTACGGCTACAGGAAGCCGCGCTGGCAGGAACAGGCACCCTCCCACTTTCCCAACAATCCGCCGACCCATCAACTCCTACCGCAACAACAACAACAGCAACACAAACCACTTCCCGCCCGACCTCAGGCCCCACCTCCGCCAGCACCTCGCTCACGACCGCGGACGAAGACCTCGCGCAATTGTACGAAAACATGCGGGTCGAGGACCAAGCTTTTGAGGCGACGGAGAGCAGGCTGGAGGAGAGCGGGTGGACGTCCGAGGCGGATCTTGCCGCGATCCGGAAGGATCGCGTGGCGGCGCGGAAGAGGTGGGAGGCTGCTATTGCTGCGTTTAAGGAGCAGCAGAGGAATGCTTGAGTTAACCTATCATCTTGTTTTTTTTTTATATCATGGAGTTGGTTTTTGTCATGTTTTGGTTTCATGTATGTACTCTAAAACGTATCTACCTATTCAATCTTTCCTACAAAAAGGCTTTTGTTTTTGTGTTTGTTGTGGTTTTCATTGTATTCACAGGTTATTTTGTTCTGTACGGTCATGGTCATTCTTTTTTTGGTTCTCTTCGGTTTATGTATTAGTACGCTGCCACGCATAGATACTTAACTTTTATGTAAATATTATTCCCTATGAATACGATTTTTGATAACATCTTCAGTCAAATCACAATCCCTTCCAGTGCAAAGTCTTCGCGACCTCAAACTCGCCCACCTTCTCAACCGTCGACGACGCAACGCCAACAGAGACAGTGTACGTATCCTTCTGCGCGATCCACGCGTCCTCGACCTCGTCCCAGTACGCGGTCGCCTCCTTGACGCTGACGCTGACCGTCACCGTCTTGCTCTCGCCCGGCTCGAGGTACACGCGCGCGAAACCCTTGAGCTCCTTCACCGGTCGGTTCACGATCGGGCTCGACTCGGACACGTAGAGCTGCACGACTTCAGCGCCGGCGGGGCCGGAGGTGTTTGTGACGGTCGCGGTGAGGGTCAACGTGCCGAGGTCGGCGGCGGAGGTCGGCTTGGCGGCCGCGTCGGCGATGGTGAAGCTGGGCTCGGAGACGGAGAAGGTCGAGTACGAGAGACCGTAGCCAAAGGGGAAGAGCACGTTCTTGCGGGCAAACTCGTAGTAGCGGTAGCCGATGTAGACGTCCTCGCCGTACAGCACGCGGCCGTTTTCGGAGCGGAAGTTGAGGAACGCCGGGTTGTCCTCGACCTTGATCGGGAACGTGAGCGGGAGCTTGCCAGAGGGGTTGAAGTCGCCAAACAGCACGTCGGCGATTCCGTTACCGGTCTCGTTACCGCCGTACCAGGCGTGCATGAGCGCCTTGCTCTTCTCGATCCACGGCATCTCAACAGGCGTACCGGACTGCAGAATGATGACGGTGTTGGAGTTCGCGGCCAGCACGGCCTCGACGAGCTGGTTGGTCGCGCCGGGCAGATCCATGTTGTAGCGGTCGTATCCCTCGGACTCCCAGTCGTTGTTGAGACCGATCGAGAGCACGACCTGGTCGGCGGCCTTTGCGGCCGCGACCGCGCTCGCGATTCCGTCTTCGATCGAGTACTTTTGCACGATTCCGACGCGCAGACCGCCGCCGAGCAGCAGCGTCGCGTTCTCCATCAGCTTGCTGGTGATACCACTGCCGAAGGTGACCTTGATGACGTACTCTTGTCCCGCGTTGAGGAAGACAGAGCCGCGCTCCTCGGCTGATCCCGAGCCAAAGAAACTGTCGCCAGCGCGCTGGTTGGTCGCGTTGTCGACGACGAGCTTGTCGTCGATGTACAGCTTCGCGGTGCCAAACACGCTCACGCCAAACTCGTACTCGGACGAAACCTCGGGGACGAAGTGCGCGGTGATGACAGCGTAGTAGGGCGAGTTGGGCAGGATCTTTTCGTTGGCGTAGTCCATCAGCATGATGTTTGCGTTCTGCAGATCCATGCAGTCGATTTCCTCGCGGTCGGTGACCGTCTCGGGCTCGATGTAGAACTTCATCTGCAGACCGGGCTTGCCTGAAGGAGAGGTGGTGTACGCACCGATAACAGGCGTCGTCTTGAACGCGGTGCAGCCTTCAGCGTAGGTGGGCGGCGTCGCGAGTTTGGCGGCGATACCTTCGAATGGAGTGACGGCGTTGTACGGCAGAAGCGAGGCCGAGCCACCGCCGCAGAAAGTGGCGACCTTGGCGTTAGGGCCGATGACGGCGGTGGTCTTGGTCTTGCTCAGGGGCAGGATTCCGGAGTCGTTCTTGAGCAGCACGACCGACTCGGCGGCGACCTTGCGCAGGAGAGCGGTGGTCTCGGGCGTGTCGTTTGTGCCTTCGTGCGCGTTCTCTTCGACGCCGGACTCGGTGCACGCGTTGACGAGCTCGAGAACCTTGCGCACGCGCGCGTCAAGAGTCGATGGCTTGATCTTGCGGGCGCCGATCGCGCGACCGATCAACGGACCGCGGAAGCTGGTCGCGCCAGGCATGTCGATGTCGAGACCGGCGTTGACGGACTCGGAGGTCGAGTAGACGCCGTACCAGTCACTCATGATCAAGCCCTCGAAGCCCCACTCCTTTCGAAGCACGTCGTCGAGGTAGAAGCTCGACTCGCTGACGTGCGTGCCGTTGACTTTGTTGTAGGCGGTCATGAGCGCCTTGGGGGTGGAATCGCGGATGGCGAGCTGGAAGGGCTTGAGGTAGATCTCGCGCATGGCGCGGTCGGTGACGATCGAGTTGACGGCCATACGGTCGTGCTCCTGGTCGTTGCCGACGTAGTGCTTGATTGTGGCGACGACGCCGGTGGTCTGGATGCCGTTGATGACAGCGGCGGCAGCGAAGCCGGCCAAGACAGGGTCCTCGGAGAAGGACTCGAAGCCTCTGCCGCCGAGCGGAGATCGCTGCATGTTGATGGTAGGACCGAGGATGACGTGGGCGCCCTTGGCCTTGGCCTCCTTGCCCATCATGCGGCCGACCTCCTCGAGGAGCTCGACGTCGAAGGTCGCGCCGAGGCCGGTGCCGCAGGGGAAGCAGGCGGCGGGGATACCGTTGAAGAAGCGGGTGCCGCGGACGCCGTTAGGGCCATCGGAGAAGCGCAGCGATGGGATTCCGAGGCGGGGGACGGGGAATGTGTGCCAGAAATCGATGCCTGAAGAGGAGAGGGAGAGGTTAGCAATTGAGTGGATGGAGAGGGGTGGGATCTCGACCGGAGGGTTGGATCAAAGCGGAGGACGATAAGAGTCAAGGCTCAGTACCTGAAATCAAGCCGGTCTTTTCAGCAGTGGTGAGCTGCTCGAGGGTCTCCTCGACGTTCAGTTTCGAGAAAGGAGCCATTGCGGGAGAAGAAGAGTAGGTGATTGAGCAAGAAGCAGAAGTTCTCAAGAAGAAGCAGAGGAGGAGAAGTCCGGGCGGCCGAAAAGCATATAAAGATCAGAGCTGAGCCCGGCCTCGCAACGACGGCCCGCAACGCCGCGAGCTGAGCGGACTCCGCGTCGAATCGGGAATGACGCCCGCCGCGCTGTGAGAGGTACGAGCAGCTTAAGCGATGTCAGCGCAATCTATCGACCTTGGCGAGGGTGATTAGTCAGCTGTTTGCGCGTTCCCCGCATGAACAGCAGCAGCAGCACAGCAGCAACGGCAGGCGAGAACAGCCTGGATTCATCGTCTTCAGCTTTGCTTGAGCAGTTGCTTTGGTTGTTTATTGTTTGTATTTGTGTTTGCGTTCAAGTCTCTGTCTGTAGTTATCATCCGCTATCCGTCGTCATCTGTTACTCGCAGCACCTTCCTCATCTCATCCACCTTCAAACACCCCACACCGACTCTCCTTCGTCCTCTGCTCACAGCTAACAGCTAACAGCCAGCTTCCGTATTAGTCTGCAGCGGCTCCGGTGGAGTTTCCTGATTAGGGTTAGGCACGACAGATTTTTCAAAACTCTGTTCCTCCTCCCTCTACGGGAAAGCAGCCCTTCTTCTCTGCCATTGTCTGTATTTGCAAATAGAAGTCGATATATGACTTTGATATAACCAGATATTAACAATAGCATCAAAACCATCATCACTCAACCAACGCTGATCGCGGGACTTCGTGTCGTGCATCCGGAAGTCTAAATTGTTCCGTTCCGGGGCTGGCCCTCCCCGCGTCCCTCCCGCCCCGCAACTGCCTCTGCTGCACCTGAGCTCAGGACACCCGCTCTCGAGCACTTCCCGGCATGGCTCCCGCCTCCCCCCACATGCGCATACTCCCCCGGATCCCGGAACACGGTAACACACCCGCAAGCTGTTTTGCTATCCCACGGTGACGCTGCTTACGTCTAAGTCACAATCCATCATTGTTCTCGTGCCCGCGCTCCCGATAGGGTAGGAACACAATGAATCTCTCGGACACAAAAGAAGATTTTGCTGTCGACAGTCACCAGGAACATGCCGACGGCCCTCCCACGCTCGACGACGTGATTCCACACCACTCGCGGCCGTGGTATTACACCCGCTCGCTTCTCTGGCTCAACTTCCTCCTGCTCGTGCCTATCCTCTCGTCCTCCGCAACCGGCTTCGACTCGTCGATGCTCAACGGCCTACAGAGCCAGACGCAGTGGGCAGAATACTTTGACCATCCTTCCGGCTACAGACTCGGCCATCTTTCCTGCGGTCCTACCTACGGGACCATCCTCGGCGTGTTCCCTGGTGGCTACATCGCCGACCGATGGGGTCGCAAGCGAGGCATCCTCGTCGGCGCGCTCATCGCCGCCGCCGCGTCCGCGATCCAGGCTGCGTCCCAGAGCTACGGCATGTTCCTCGCCGCGCGCGTGCTCATCGGCGTCGGCTCCAGCATCGCAATCATCTCATCGCCCTCGCTGCTGTCCGAACTCTCGTACCCGACTCACCGTGCGGCGATGACGACCGCCTACAACATCATGTGGTATGGTGGCGCCACCCTCGCGGCCTGGGTCACCTACGGTACCTACTGGATGGGTGACTCCAACCAGTGGTCATGGCGCATCCCCTCTGTCCTGCAGGGGTTCTTCCCGCTCTGCCAGCTCGCGCTCGTACACTGGCTGCCCGAGTCGCCCCGGTTCCTCATCTTCCACGACCGCATAGACGAGGCGCGCCGGATCCTCGTGGCCTTCCACGCCGATGGCGACGAGCACAGTCCGCTGGTTGACTACGAGCTCTCGGAGATCATCCAGACGCTCGAGCTGGAGAAGGAGAACAAAAAGCTTGGCTTTGGCGTCCTGTTCGCTTCCGAAAACCGGCGCCGCGCATTCATCGCCGTCATGATGCCCTTCATGCAGCAAATGTCCGGCAACGGCCTGGTATCCTACTACCTCTCCCTCGTGCTGACTTCGATCGGCATCTCCTCTGCCTCAGAGCAACTGATGATCAACGGCTGCCTCTGCATCTACAACTGGGTAATCGCCATCGCCCTCATAAACACTGTCACCAAGTTCGGCCGCCGCACCCTGCTCCTCCTCTCGACTTCGCTCATGCTCCTCACGTTCGTGCTCTGGACCGTGCTCTCGGCTCTCAACGAGGAGCGCCAGTATCAAGACAAGGCCCTAGCCCGTGGCGTCTTGGCCGTCATCTTCCTCTACTACTTTGCCTACAACATCGGTCTGCTAGGGCTCCCCTACCTCTACCTGACCGAAGTCCTCCCTTACTACATCCGCTCACAGGGTCTCTCGCTCGGCCAATTCACCGGCGCCTGCACGGGAATCTATAACGCGTACATCAACTCGATCGCAATGAGCGCAATCAGCTGGCGCTACTACACCGTCTACTGCGCAATCATCTTCTTTGAATTCCTCACCGTCTTCTTCATGTTTCCCGAAACTAAAGGCGCTACGCTCGAAGAGTCGTCCGTGGCGTTCGAGCTTAATTTGCGCAGTGGCAGTGTTCACGAGGGCTTGGATTTAGAGGATTTGGAGGATTTGGAGAATCTCAAGGGGCTCGCTCGAAAGAGTTAGTGGCGGCGCTCTTTTGTTTTGTATTAAGGAGTTGGTATACCGTCATTATCAAAAATAGAATATTATTTCATTTAAACAAGCATTCAACGCCAAATTATCCGATTCCTACTAGTTACGCCAATTACCAAAAAGAAAAAAAACAGACGACTCAAAACTAGATACAGCTACACCGCAGCTTATCCCACATCGAATCCAGCCTTTCCAAAATCGCATACGCAATCCCCATATGCGGCGCCACATACTCTCGAATCCGACTGGTCGACAACGCCACCGCGCGCTCGACATCCGCCCTGTCCAACCCGAGCGCGTCGGCGGCCATGTATGCCATCATCAGCGCGACGCTGTGCGCGAAATGCGACGGCAGCGCAAGGATGTTGCCGGTTTCGAGGAACATTAGTGGGATGTTGTAGTTGATCTCGCCGACGACGCACAGCCGCGCTTTATCGTAAAACCATTTCTCGACCAGTGCGTCTTGTTGCGGCGAGAGCTCCGAGATGTGCAGCACATAGTACAAATAGAACCGATGCAAGATCGTCCGCGTGATATCGTACTGAATCTTCAAGAACCCGCGGTATTCCGCCAAGATCGCGTCCTGCAGATTATCAGATCCCTGCTGCCGTATAACTCTAGCAAGCGTGAAGAGATCCTCCGCCTCGTCGTCGAGCGAGAATTGTAGTTGCTCCGGTAGGTTCTCACGCCACGTCTCGAGCTGGTAATACAGCTCTTCGGTCGTGGTAATCAGCAGTCCCGGCTTCATCAGCGCCACCGCCGGATCCTGCGAATACAGCGTCGAATGCACGCGGTTCAGCAGCCGCCGACTCGATATCCTCGCATACAAATAATACCAGATATTGATCCCGCCATACTTCTCCAGCGACGACCCATCCTCCGAAATCCCGCTCGGCAACTCGATCTCCGACTCAAGCGTGCCGATCCCCAACGGCGCGAGCTCAAACTCGGCCCGGAACTGCGAGTCGAGAATAAAGAGCGTCCAGTACGCGCGCAGACTCAGGTCCCATTCGAGACCGATCTGGTACTGCTCGTCGCGGCCGAGCAGGATCTGCAGGTTCGACCACGCGAGCGAGTAGAAGCGGTAGCAGCCCATTGGCCGGAAAAGCATGCTTTCGTAGGCCGACATCAGGATCAGAAACTGTACGGCACCGATGGTGGCAAACCGTAGAGCCGAGGGAAGCAAAAAGTTGCAGAGTTCGTAGAGTTCTTTGGATGTTCCTCGAAGCTGCGGGTGCTTGGCAACTAAATTCTTTGACTGGCATGCGAGTGCAAAGATAATTGCTAGCAGCGATTTCTCAACCAATGTGCAAGTACATCGTTTCACAGCTTGCCACTTGCTAATCAACTTCCGCGTCTGATCTAGATCGAGAATCGGATAAAACGCGAAAAAATCCAACATAAACGAGTCTAATATCGCGCTCGCCAACTCCTCGTCCTGAACGATCAAATCCAGCGTCTTCAGCGCTCCCACCGGATCGTCAGGCAACGCGTCCGACTGAACTTTTGTCTCGTACGAGAGCACGCTGTGCGAGAAATCGTAGCGCTCGACGGTCAACATCGACACCTTTGGCCACTGCAGCAGACTTCCCGGCAGCAAAGTGTGTCGCGCGGGTAAGGTCGAGAGACTCGGTGTGCCTCGGCCAAGCGCCGTGGTGATCACGGGGTCGGAGGCGACTAGGTTCTGTCGCTGGTTGACGGCGTAGTCGAGAATCGTGCGGTGGTCGTGTTTTGGGGAACCGCCGGAGGCGGAGGTGATTTCGGTGTCGGAGACGCCGCTGCTTTGGACTGAGACTGAGAGAGATGGCGAGGAGGGGGAGAATACTGGCTCTGTGTGAGTTGAGTGTCGAGGTCTAGCTGTCTGAGCGAGAGGAGGTGGTGGTGGTGCTGTTGTTGCTGTTGTTGCATTTACCGCTTCCGCTTTTGCTATCGTCGTTGCTGCTGCTGGCGACTCGTCAACTGATATCTCCGACGCCTTTCGCTTATTCACCTTTCCAGCAGCTGAGCTCTGTTTTGATTTTGCCGGCGAATTCGACGTCCTGAATGCTGAAATCGACCGTGTTCGAATAGCCATCATCGGAACCTCGCCGTACTTGCATTCCAGTTGTCGCTGGCTGCAGTAGCCACAGGTTGGTCGCAATCCGTCGCATCTGCGTTCAGCATGATGATTAGCAAAGCAAGAACATTAATAATAAAGTAATATGGAGAGCAGGAAGAATACGCACTTTGTCTTCTTTACTCGGCACGACTCGCAAGAGGTGCGGACCTTTTGCCTGCGGTTGCCTCCGTTGGCGAGAGAATCCTGCGACTCGGTCTCCGCCTCGCAGATAATGAACTCAACCTTCTGCATCGGCCTACTGTGTCTGTAGCTTATCCAAGCAGTCTAGGAACAGCGAGGTGTAGAGCTGGTATAAAGCTGCGTGTTGGCAATGAGAGAATTTGTTGGACAGGGCGGAGGAGGAAGAGGCTCGCCGGGGCGGGGAGAGGCAGAAGTGCACACGCGAGGGGTTTGTGGAGGACGAGGTGATTGCGGAGCGCGGAGCCCACGCGACAGATATCCGCAGCAGAGCAGGTTATCGTCTTATTCACAATATCTGTGTTCTTTTACAGAATTATTTGTTTCTTGTTTTGTGTCTTTGGATAGTGAGAGGATGCTGGAGAGAGCTGTTCGCGCAGGGTTTGGCCTACGGAGCGAGGACTACCCCAGACAGACAGCATTCCTCTTATCGTCAAGCAGCAGACGCACATCCGCCCCGTAACCGCCGCATCCCAGGCCGCAGCCCAGCAATCCCGGATGCTGCACCGTCCCCCATCCGCGTTCGCTGGTCGGCCCGCTGCCGTCGCCGGGTGGTCCTCGAACGAGAAGAGGGTCCCACCGCGCCGAGACCTGCTCTCCTGACCTGCACCCAAACTCTGTCTGTCTGACGGGCGGCACGCCACATGTGCTGCGGCGTCGGCGCAATTTCCCGAATAGGAAGGCGGATGATCGGGCGCGGAGACGCAGAAAGTCCGGGGTTGGACTTCAAACAGGATTAGCGGAGCCGGGAGTTGTTTTTTATCCAGAGATTAGGCAAAAGGGCACTGCGCGGGATATAATTCGGCGGGGATCTCGTGTCGACAGATGTTGAAGTTCCTTGTCAAGCGGTATCGTAGCCCTGCTCTGTTCTCTCGTTCATCGTCCTACTCTACACTCGCAAACATGACGGTCTTTTCATCAATTCTCAAGACCGAAGGCACAAAGATTGTCGACGCCTCCGGAAAGCAGGTCATCCTCAAGGGTGTAAGTATCTCTCAGCCATCACTCTCATCATCACCACACTAACAGTCCACCAGGCCGGCCTCGGCGGCGTCCTCAACATGGAGAACTTCATCACCGGCTACTCCGGCCACGAAACCGAGCACAAGCAGGCGATCGAGGAAGTTCTCGGCAAGGAAAAGACCGACTTCTTCTTTGACCGATTTTACGACTACTTCTGGACCGAAGCCGACGCCGAGTTCTACGCCGGCATGGGTCTCAACACTCTCCGCATTCCCTTCAACTACCGCCACTTCTTCGACGACGACGCGCCCAGCGTCATCAAGCCCTCCGGTTTCGCGCTCCTTGACCGCATGGTTAAGCGGTGCGCAAAGTACGGAATCTACGTCGTGCTCGACCTGCACGCCGTCCCCGGTGGTCAGAACCAGGACTGGCACTCCGACAGCGCGATCCATCAGGCCTTGTTCTGGGTCCACAAGGACTTCCAGGACCGCGTCGTCAACCTCTGGGTTGAGATTGCAAAGCACTACAAGGGTGACGTGCGCATCGCCGGATATAACCCGGTGAACGAGCCTGCTGACCCCGAGCACACCCGTCTCTGGGCCTTCTACGTCAGAGTCGAGAAGGCTATCCGCGAAGTCGACCCCGACCACATCCTCTTCCTGGACGGAAACACCTACGCCGGCGACTTCTCCCACTTTGGCAAGCCTCTTCCCAACACCGTCTACGCCATCCACGACTACGCCTTGTTTGGATTCCCCGGCTTTGAGCAGTACGAGAACAAGCCAGAGCAGTACGCCAAGCTTGTCCGCCAGTTCGAGCGCAAGGTCAAGGTTGCCAACGAGGCCAACGTCCCCGTCTGGAACGGAGAGTTCGGCCCGGTCTACGAGCCCGAGACCGTCTACCCCGGCGCGCCCGCCGACATCGACGTCAAGGAGAACGCGGCCACTAACGTGAAGCGATACAACATGCTCGCGGCCCAGCTCAAGATCTACAAGGAGAGCAGCGTGTCGTGGTCGATCTGGACGTACAAGGACGTCGGCATCCAGGGCCTTGTCTCTGTCTCGCCTGATTCGCCCTGGTACAAGAAGTTCGGCGACTTCATCGAGAAGAAGAAGCGTCTCGGCGCCGACTTTTGGGGCGCGCACCCCGACCCGTCCTCCGACGCTCTCTACGACGCCCTGGCCGAGCACTTCAAGAAGGAGATCCCCGAGAAGTTCCACAAGAAGATGTACCCGCCCCTGTGGGACATCAAGCGCCAGATCACCAGAGTTTCGCGCGAGATTGTGCTCTCTTCGTACTTGTGCTACGAGTACGCCGATCTCTTCACCGGATTGACCGAGCCTGAGCTTGATGAGCTGGCAAAGTCGTTCTGCATCGAGAACTGTGTCAAGAGAGATTTGTTGAACAAGTTCTTGGCTGAGGACGCTGCTTCCGCGTAAGGAATATGGGGGTTGCATTTGCTGTGAATAGCAGTTATTTAGTTATCTTATAAAGGGTTTAACATTTAACAACCGAGTCAGATTTATTTTAATTCTGTAGCTATGAACGTGCAAATACTATTCAGTTACAGTAGCATTGTCGTATCTACAGGGTTTACACTTTCGCTCTCAGAAAACAGTGATCAGAAGTAGACAATTATATTATTGAAAGAGACAAAATAATGCCATAATAGAATACAAGAGTTATGCCAAAATGCGATTCTTAAACTAGGACTATGACACAAAAAAGAAATTAAACATCCGCAGGCTTGCTCTCATCCAAGTCATCCAACTCGAGCTCCTTAACCTGGTGACGCACGCCGCCGCGCACGCCCCTGTCAAAGGCCTCGGTCGACTCTTCGAGCGTGGCGCCCTTGGTCTCGGGGAAAGTGAAGAAGACAATGACAAACTCGCACGCGATGATGCAGCAGTAGACAATGTAGTATTTCCAGCTGATGGCGTCCATGGCGATAGGGTTGACGTAGGACTGGTAGATTCCGACGCAGGAAGTGACGAATTGACCAAAGGCCATTCCCTGGGATCGAATGTAGTAGGGAAGGACCTCGGTGAGGTAGAGGTAGGGAAGACCCAAGAGACCAATGTCGTATGCGAGGTAGTAGATGAAAATCATAGCCAAGACACCCTGACCCAGCGCCTTTTGCTCAAAGTTGCGCTGCTGGTTGACCGCCGAGAGCACCGTCCAGATAACGAAAACGACAAGCATAGACGATGTGCAGATAAGGAACAGACGCCGTCTTCCAAAACGCGGCAGGAATCCAATCATAATGGCCGAGATACCCCAGTTGTACAGGCAAAGACCACCGTTGATAATCAGCTGGCGGGAGGACGTCTTGATTCCGATCGAGGTCAAGACGAGCGAGAGGTAGTACGAGACAAGACCGTTGCCAGACATCTGCTGCATGAAGGGAACCATTCCAGTGATGAACGCACGGCGACGGTTCTCCTTTGAGAAAAGGACGCCAAAGCCGACACTCTTGTGCTGCTTCTCGAGCTCGAGAGCTTGAATGATTTCAGTCAACTCAAAGTCGACGAGCGCGCTGCTCTCGTCGCCGTGGGCGTGGTAGTGCACCAAAATCTTCCGCGCTTCGTCGATTCTGTCCTTGAAAATCAAGAATCGAGGCGACTCGGGAAGCCAGAAAACAAGAAGCAGCTGGCAGAGAGGGAAGAAAGCCTGGAGCAGCGAGGGGATACGCCACGACCAGTTGGAGTCGCCCATCCAGTAAGTTCCGTAGGTGACCCAGGCAGCAAGAGTTGCACCTCCGTACCACATGACGTTGTAAGCGGTGGTCATGAATGCTCTGTGGGTGGGGAAAGAAAGCTCAGAGAGAAGGGAGGGCGCGGGGACGATGCCGATGACGGATCCGGCACCGATGAGGATACGGGCGGCGAGGAACATGCCGTAGTTCTGCGACGCAGCCTGGATGGCAGACGCGATGACCATCAACGTGGAGCCAACCATGATTCCGGCCCTTCGTCCCCATTTGTCGGCAATGTACTGTGCAGGGACGACACCGATGAAGGTTCCGTAGGTGGGACCGCAGGAGATGTGGCCGAGGGTGTAGCCGGTCGGGTGGTTGAAGAAGGTCTGCCATTGCGACTGGGCTTGCAGACCGTTCACCATGGAGCCGTCATAGCCGATTCCGGTAGAAGAGAAGATAGGCACGAGAAGCAGAAAGTTGAGGAGCAGAAGACGAGAGTCTCTGTACCATGGCGGGGAGTCCTTCGGCAAGACGTCCTCGAGCTTGACGTCGGCGCCGTGCTCGAAGTGGTCGGCCTGGCCGTTCTTGAGATCGGCGAGCTGGTCAGCAGTGGATTGACTCATGTTTGTCGAAGGTATATTATGATGAAATGAAATTAGAGATTATTTTGACAGTCCGAGAAACGAACGATAGCGAAATGCGGGACGCTACAATATATATGCGAGTGCGTGTGCGGGAGCGGCCCTATGCAGGCTGCTCAGAGCGCCAATGCTAGGCACCGCACCGCAGTCTGTGTGTCCGTGATAATTATCCGGGGGTACCCCGCAAAAATGGTCTGGAGCAACGGTACGTACTTTTGTCGCGCGTGCTGCTGCCAGAAGGTACGTCCATTGCCTGGACTGAAAATGTGGGGTGAGCCACTATGAAAGTTAAACAGTCAGATTTCCTCTTCGGGCAGGATGTCCGGCCAGGTCTGCTTCAATCTTCCGGGTGGCGGCCGGCAGTCATCACGAGTCTGGCCGGAAGTGTACCTAATTCAGAAGAGCGCGCATTGCATATACTCGACGCCCCGCTCCCGGCTGTTTAATTTCATTTCCTCATCCACCGGAGCGGAGCAAATTCCTAACTCATTGACCGCAGGGGCCCCTCGCCGCCGCCCTCCACCCCCGTTCGGCCTTCTATCCCGTTGCAGGCTGAATCCCCGGCTCGATAGTCCTGACAGCTCTCTGACAGCTTCTCTGTTCTGCGCTCCTATTTAGCAGTCTAGTCGCGTCTCTTCCTCTTTGTCTTTTCCATTCTCGCTTGCTTCTCTAGACTTGCGAAATTACAACACACACAATCGAAAAGATGACTATCGCTGTTGAAGTCCCTCCTGTTGCTGCGCAGCTGCCTGCTGATTTCCTTTGGGGATATGCCACTGGTAAGAAGACATCTTATGTGTCTAATATCAATACACCCGCTAACGAGCTCAACCCACAGCTGCGTACCAAGTCGAAGGCTCTCCCGAAGCGGACGGACGAGGGCTCTCAATCTGGGACACTTTCTCCCGCGACCCGCGTCACACAGAAGACGGAAAGTCGGGCGACATCGCCACAGACTCCTACCGACGATGGGAGGAAGACATTGCTCTGATGAAGTCTTACGGAGTCACCGCCTACCGCTTCTCGCTCTCGTGGTCCCGTATTATTCCCCTCGGAGGCAAGGACGACCCTATCAACCCCGCCGGTATTGAGTTCTACCGCAAGTTCATGAAGGCGCTTATTGCCAACGGAATCGAGCCCATGGTCACTCTCTTCCACTGGGATCTTCCCCAGGCTCTGCAGGACAAATACACCGGTTTCTGCAGCCGGCAAGTTGTCGACGACTTTGTTAACTACGCCAAGGTCTGCTTCGATAACTTCAACGATCTCGTCAACCTCTGGATTACAATCAACGAGCCCAATGTCTACGCTCTCATGGGACATCTCGTCGGCACCCAGGCACCCGGACGGTCGAGCAACCGCGAGATCAGCCCTGAGGGAGACTCTGCCACCGAGCCTCTGATTGTCGGACACAACCTTCTCATCTCGCACGGAGCTATTGCTAAGCTCTTCCGTGAGGGAGGATACAACCTTCCCGGTAAGAAGTTGGGAATCGTCATCAACGTCAACTGGGGTGAGCCCTACGATGATACTCCGGAGAGCAAGGAGGCGGCTGCTGACTTTATGTCTGCTTCCTCGGACTGGTTTGCTCACCCTGTCTACCTCGGTGACTACAGCGAGCGCACCAAGCAGGTTCTTGGCCCGAACTTGCCCACATTCACCCCCGAGGAGATCGAGCTCGTCAAGGGCTCGTCGGACTTCTTCGGCCTCAACCACTACACCACATATCTCATCCGCCGCCCTACCGCGGAGGTCTCTACTACCAACATGTTGGGCCGATTCATGAAGGGTGTCGAAGTTACTGTCAACTACCCTGACGGAACCGAGATCGGACCCAAGGCTGGTCTCAGCTGGGTGCGACCGGTTGCTTGGGGTTTCAAGAAGCTGCTGCAGTACCTGTACAAGACATACGGCAAGGATATTTACATCACCGAGAACGGTGTCATCTGCCCTGATGAGAACAAGACTCCTCTTCCCGAGGTCTTGAACGACGACTACAGAATCAAGTACTTCAGAGACTACATCGACCAGATCATCGCGCTGAAGGACACCGTCCCCGTCAAGGGCTACATCGGCTGGTCGTTCCTCGACAACTTTGAGTGGCAGGAGGGATACACCGCCAGATTTGGTGTTACGTACATTGACTATGAGAATGACTTGAAGAGAATTCCCAAGAAGTCTGCGTACTACATGACCGAGTACATGGGCAAGGCTATTGCGAAGAAGTGATCATTGTGTAGGGTTTTATGTCATATAGCGCTAATTTACATAAATTATTCGTATTTCCTTGTACAAACTTAGATATATTCACAGAATATTCAAAGAATATTGACACAGTCATCAGATTGATCCAAATAGCACTGTTTGAGAAGAGGCGACTGAAAAGGAATGTAGGAACGCGATTAAGATTCGCTGACCGTCGGGTGATTTAGGAGCTTCGCGGGAACTTCTAAATATCCTCGGTATAGCCAAAACCACCGCCCGCGGTACATCTTTCCGACACTCAACCGGCTACTTTGCAGAGAGTCTCCTTTCCTACAAGACGCAGCAATACCCCCCACAGACTCCCGAGGCTGGGGTGCAGCAGATCCGGGGTACATTGCGAAAAGCAAAGAGAGTTTGACGGTGGCGCCTCTCGGAGCAGTTTCTCGATTGGATCTAGCGCGTGTGCAAGCCCTGCTCCCATCCGCTTCTAGAGTTTGCATGGTAGTTCTTTGGGTGATTACTGGATCTGGAAACCGCTGGTTCTCTACAAATGACTGTTTGCTGTTCTGATATCTACATATGATGGACTCGAATCTGAGGTCTGGCTGTGTGTGGTTTAGCAATACGGGCGAAATAGGAGTATCTGTAGAGTATACGATCCGTATAGACTTCATAACCTGATAACACCTCAGTCGGTCAACAGGCTCGGCTAGCACTATCTCCTGACAACACCGCCAGATACCGGTCCTGTCAGGTGTCCAGGGTAGTTGAGTTTGCGAGCAGGCTAAAGTCACAAGCTGTCCGGTCCCGGCAAATCGGTCCGATACTGCGTCTCCTCTTTCCGACGCCAGCGAATCGGTCGAATTCGGCAACGGAGGAATACGGAGACGAATGCTTCGGGTACTGGCTATATTGATTGATAGTTGCCGGAAATTGATGTTTTAATAAGCCTGCTGATGTTCTGGAGCGGAGTTTCCCCGTTGCACGTATTGTTGCAGCCTGTTTTCCGTTTGGAAGATGGCCATGTCCCGATATTGGCTGATATGCAACATGTGATGTCGCTACATCACAATACTCGCCCTTCTAATGCCGACAAAAGAGTCACCTGCTCTTATCCGTATCTATATTTCAGGTCAAGTGACTCCGACTCAACTCGGAGAATCAGCTGTCGTCTTAACGAAGCCAAGACTGAGAATATAGCCAAGTCCAGATATGCCTCTTGGGAAAATTATGTATAACATTCGTTAAGCACTAAGCTGGCGGCCATTACATTTCTAGTCATATTCATAAGGCTTAATAGCCTGTCATTCTCTCTGTATGAAGGTGGGGGATCCTTGCTATGAAATCAGTATCGAATAAAGCTTCAGAGCGACAACTTCCGGCATCCGGCAGCAACAGCACCATTGTCGGAAATATAGAATATCCGCAATGAGAACATTATAGCCAGAACAATATAGCCTTCTCTCACTAAACCCCGCTCCGAAGCCACCCGCACTCCCGTCGGTATATAGTCCTGTACGCCCCGATGGCTTTTGTGAGCCGGTCAACCGTAGTGTATTTACCCTAAACCGCAGCTGTCGACCACTGGAGATCCGCCAACCACAGGAGATAAGTGTCCGGTTATTGAAGTTGCCAGCACTTCTGTCAATATTTTAGTTTGCGATATATCTCTCGTTGATTTGAGAGTGTGTTGTTGCTGTGGTTTTTGAATATGCTTTTTTGCAGATACAAGCAGTTTAAGATCTAGGTAAGTCTTGATATAAATTTGCGAAAACATCACATCTCAATAAACTGCACCATCTACTCTTTTCGCGAAAAAATGATCAAAAAACAATTACAGCAGCCGCTGTAAGCAAATCAGCTCAATAGCCGTTAATAGCCTTAATAAGCGCTTCAGTGACCTGCGCAGTGTTCAAACTTCCTCCCAAATCACCAGTAGTCTGCCCGATTTCGCAGCAAGAATCCATCGCGTCCATAATCATCTTGCCAGCTTTCGCTTCGCCCAGAAAATCCAGCATCATGGCAGCAGACCACACCGCGCCAAAGGGGTTGGCGATACCTTTACCCATGATGTCGAACGCGGAGCCGTGCACGGGCTCGAACATCGAGGGGCTTTGTCTGGTGGGATCGATGTTTGCGGACGGAGCGATGCCGATTGATGCCGCCAGGGCGGCGGCCAGATCAGAGAGGATGTCCATGTGGAGATTTGAGCCGACGATGGTATCCAATGTCTCTGGTTTGTGAACCATGCGAACAGTCATTGCGTCGACAAGCATCTTATCCCATTTAACGTCGGGAAACTCCTTGCTGACTTCCAAAGCTACCTCGTCCCACATAACCATGCCGTACCTTTGCGCATTAGATTTCGATACCACTGTCAACAGTTTCCTCGGCCGTGCCTGCGCAATCTCGAACGCGTAGCGCAGGATCCGGCGTGCGCCGTGGCGGGTGAAGATCGCGAGCTCGGTAGCAACCTCCCAATCGAACCCACGATGAGACCGGCCTCCTTGACCTGCATACTCGCCCTCGCTGTTCTCACGGACCAGAACCCAGTCGATATCCTCAGGCTTTGCGGTCCGCACGGCGGGGACTATACTCTTGAGACATTTGACCGGTCGCAGGTTTGCGTACTGCTGCAGCGGTCCCCGCATCGCGAGCAGGAGACCCCACAACGACACAGAGTCAGGCACGTCAGGCATCCCGACGGCGCCGAACAGGATCGCGTCGAATTTCCGGATAGTGTCGAGGCCGTCGGGTGGGAGGTAGGCTCCGGTCTGTTTGTAGTACGCGGTGCCGTAGGGCAGATCTGTAAATTCGAGCTTGAAGTCGCCGCACTTGGTCTCGCATGCGCGAAGAACCGCGACTGCGGACTCGATCACTTCAGCGCCGATGCCATCGCCGGGCATGCAACCAATTTTGTAAACATTCGCCATAGCTTTAGTCTAGAAGTGAAGTGGAGATACTAGAAGATGAGGTTCCAACCCACAGTGTATAAGAACAATACGCTACAACCAAGATCTCGCGATTCTGCCCGAGTTCGGTCTAAGGCCGATCGCTGGGCCCGCGGCTGTCAGAAGCCGCGACCGAGTTACCGACCCCACGCCGAGCCTCACAGTGCGTGCGGCGTGCTTGTTCATTCATATGATTGTTGATTTCTTATCATTACTATATATCCTAAATACCTGATGCATTACCCATATGATACAAAAAAACTCTTCTATATGACAGTACAATGCGCTTTACACCTCCTTGTTACGATGACGCCGCTATGCCGCAGAGTCTGTGTCTGACACATATTCTCCCGTCGCAGGATGCCTTCCCCTTCCAGGGTAATATTCTCCTGACTTTACTGTGTTGCCGCGGTACAGTGGGCGACGGTACGGCGGACGCGGAGGACGCCTTCGACGCAGAGCCTGCAGTCGCAGGAGCACTCTTGTGTCTCTTTTGGGCATTTCTCTTCTGCGTCTCCGAGTCTCGGGCTGCCCCGCAGCGGATGCTGACGCTTCATCTAAATGTTCAGTTCCCCATTCGAGCGGGTCTCGGTCTTGCAACCTTTCCATAAATTCGACCTTTATCTGCTCTTCTTTTTCTTGGTCCTTGAACACTTCCCCGATGTCTCGCCTGACTCCCGCTTCCGTGTAATCTGTTTGTTGAAGAAAAGTTAGCTGCTACCGTTTCATAAAAGGGAGAATTATCAGGTCTGCTGCTGTTCAGGATACTCACATCCTATTTCGCTCATCGCTTCCATAAGCTCATCATCTGCCTTTATGCGCGTCGCCTGCTTATGGCGATCAAAATAATAATCCGGCCCACGCCGTATGAGCTCCAATTCGACGCCCCACCAGTCGTGCAGACGAACGTAATTCTTGACTAGTCTGACCAGTGCAGAATACCGCGCCTCGACTATCAAATAGATGTGACGACCTCTAGCGCGATGAAGAAGCACTCTGCGCATACGCCACAAGTATTGTTCCCAATTAAATTGCGGTAATTCGCAATAAACATCGGCGGCGGCAACGAGGGTCTTCAGAGCTTCAGTCAGTCTCTTTTCAGAGACCATCATAATAGCACTCGGGCTAATAAAGGGACTCTCGCGCTCATCAGTACGAATGAGTTCAAAACCCTGCTTGAGAATATTCGTGACTCTCTCAATCCATTGATCAATGTGTCTGCTCCTGATCTCCGACATCAGTTTCACACACTCCATTCGTAATGCGAAATCCGACCCCTCCAGCCCTGATTTTGTTTCGGACTCGAGCAGTCTGAACGTTAGACGAATCAATTTTTCGTCGTGTTCAGGTTGTGTTCTACCAAACATAAATTGTCCGAGTCCCCAGCCGTATAAGGCCCAATAAGGTTGTCGCGCCTGAAGTGCTTTGAACTGGAGCTCCTCCAGCAAGGACTGGGATACCTTGTTCAACCTGACTTTGCTCTTTCTTCTTTCTCCGCGATTCGCCTTCATTAATTGCTCATGTCCAGCCATGATTGTCTCAAACACAAATTCGAATTGATGGTAATACATCATGACCTGTAGATACCATTGGAAAAAGGATTCGGGTAAGTCATACTTCTCATGCATCATATTGACAAGACGTTCAACTGCAACTGTTCGAGCATTTATCACCTCAGCCGGCATCGTTTCGGTCGTTCTCAGAGCTACCTCCGGAAACTCAGATTCGTCAGCGACGCTATGGTTGGATAGCATACTGAGAATCGTGCACTTGAGTTCCGAAAACAGCTTCTCCGGCAGGTCCCTAGAAGGTTTCTTTGGCAAGGACAAATATCCGCAAAGCAACAAGTAATCGTACGTGAGAGTGGCGCGATGCTTGTCCACGTGATTGTGTAATACCGCGAGCGCTGTATCGGGCCCAATGGTATTGCGGAACCGCATCGTGACGGCTTTCCGCAAATTCTCGCTGCCGTGGAGAACAATCGGCTCCATGACCATCCAGAACCGCGCTGACATTTGCAATCCGGGCACTTTAGCCAGCGCCGACAACATTGCATACACATATTGCAATTTTCGCTCTTCTGTTACATCGCGGTACCTCCGGATCCGGCTCAGCAATCGCTGGAAACTCCTGCGCGCCGCAATCGGGCTCTGCGCGGACAAAAGCGCGGCCATCATGTTGATAGTCCGCTGCTCGGTCAGCACAGACATTTCGGACGAGTACGTCCGCTTCAGTAAGAGCTCATACATTTCAGCCGTGTGGCCAGGCGCCATATGGATATAGACCCGTTCCGGCAATTTCGTCTGCAGGACGCGTAGAAACAATGTTGCGTCGCCAAACTCGATTGCGCGGTTTAGAAACGCCCGCGCTAGTCGCTTTGAGAGTCTCTCGGAATTTGTGCACAGATCATGATCGACATCTTCGCTGCGAGTGATTGCCGTACGGGAGCCTGTGGCAAGAAAACTCCAGACTTCCATGGTATTGTGCCGGTCCGTCAAATCCACGACAAATCTAAGACTGTCGAAAGTCCTGCCGGCCGCCAACAGCTGCGCAACACCAGACGAGAGGATGTCATCCAGCCGCCCCGAGAGCTCAGCGCCCTCTTCGACAGCGATCTCCAGCGCGTAAAAGATGTATTGAGGATTGCGAAAGACAGAGTTGACGACAATGTCAACCGCTGAATTAGTGTCTCCCAGCTTGATCAGCCGGGAAATCACGAGCTTCATCGTCTCCTCGCTGCGTCGGATCAAGTCGCTCATTTTAGAACCGTTGACCAGCTCGGAAAGTGCTTTGGGATCTGTCGCGTTGGTAATCGAGTGTTCGAGCTGCGCTTGGAAGAAAAGCTCCTTTTCCAGCTCTGTCAACTCCTCGCTATTATTCACTCCAAATATTTCTGCAAAAGCTGGGTCCGAATACGCCTCTGCTAATATCTGGCGCGCGAAATGATGCTGCTGTAAGCCGACGCAGGTGCGGAACATGACAGCCATGGCAACTTTCGGTAAAGCTGCTTTGTGCAGAATAAACAAGCTCGTGGCTTCGGCCGCGGTCCAAATTTCCATGGTCCGCAGTGCGAACCTGATGATGTCGGCGTGCATTTGGTGCCGGTACATGTGCTTGAATAAATCCGCAACCATACCCGGATCGAGATCGTCGGTTTGGAATAAGTAGCGCGCGATTTTAGCGACTTCGGCTTGTGGGAGCTCCTTCCTGCCGAGATGTAGTCGGAAGCGCGTCTGCTGTATCTGAAAGTCGAGCACCGACCGTGGCCTCTGGCCGAGTTCGGGGAATTTCGGGTCGTCGGCGTAGAGGCTGAAGAACGAGTATATCAATTCTAAAAATCAATTAGCTTTCATTTTATAACGGAAATCGCTATACTTCAAAACACGCACCTTTCAAAGAAGGATGAGATGTAGCTTCCGGGGAGTCATTCTTATCCTCATGTTCAAGCAGGTTTGTTTGACGCCGCTCTACCCTCTGGCTCTGAGGACGATCAGTAGGATAAGGCTCACTACCCATAATCTCAACACTCGGTAAATCTCCTTGCTGTTCTGTTGGCTTCGGTCGATCGTCATCGATTGGAACAAAATTAGGCATCGCCGACGCCAGATAGCTTTCAAAGGCAAGCAAGTATCCCTTGATTTTTGGGATAAATTGCTTTCTCGTAAGCCCGGGCCTCTGATTCTCTGTGGGTGTTGGAGACTCTGGGTCAACCTCTGGGTCGCGATCTTCGTCGTGGTTTTCGTCGTGATGTTTGTCGTGATTTTCAGCAGCTCTCTCAGGATTGTGCGTCTCCTCAGCAGCGACGGCCGGTCGGTCGACCCGTTTCGATAAAATTGGCAAGCGTGGTCTCCCAGGATTGTGCGTCTCCTCAGCAATGGCGGCCGGTGGGTCGACCCGTTTCGAGAAAATTGGCAAGCGTGGTCTCTCAGGATTGTGCGTCTCGTCAGCAGCGACGGCCGGTGGGTCGACCGATTCCGAGAAAGATGACGCGCCTGCTCTCTCAGGATTGTGCGTCTCCTCAGCAGCGGCGGCCGGTGGGTCGACCCATTTCGAGTAAAATGACAAGTGTGCTCTTTCAGGATTGTGCGTCTCCTCAGCAGCGGCGGCCGGTGGGTCGACCCATTTCGAGTAAAATGACAAGTGTGCTCTTTCAGGATTGAGTGTCTCCTCAGCAGTGGCGGCCGGTGGGTAGACCCATTCCGAGAAAAACGCCGCGTCTGCCTGTAACGATATATTGTGGAGATCTGGGGGTAGCAAGATGGGATCGAACTTCTTGACTGTGCTTTCTCCTTTCCTTCTCATTTTGCTCGAAAGATTGGGCTTCGCGGCGGATGCCGGTTTGGTAGGCTTTGTCGGTGACTCCCCAGGCGCGCGACTATCGTCCTCTTGCTCGCCCACTGCACCGGCATGCTCGCTATCCGCAATTGACGACTGCGAGGTACTTTTCGGATGACTCGACCGTCGTGGTTGCGTCAAGTGGATGAACCTCCTCAACTCGCGTGAAAGCACCCGGTCGCCAATCCACGGCGTCTGCTCGCGAGAAAATTGTTTGCAGACAGGTCTTGGTCTGCGAGAAGCAGACGGCTCATTCGTCGTCGGTCGAGAGTAAACGGAATAGCACCGACCGACTTGCTCCGCACAAGCGCGACAGCTCGCGAACTTGGCGACGGACGTCCTCCGACTTAATGGCACGAGCCGGGGCATCCGTCGACGCATAAGTTCTCCTGTCACCTCCTTCTCGGCTGAGCCAACAGCTGATATACCACAAAGAAGAGAAAAGTCGTTCACCAGCTGCAAGGCGTCATAAATTGATTCGCGGTCGTCGGTGGTCTGCCGTGCTGGAATTGTTCGTCAAAGTGGGCTCTATAGTCGGTCGCAATTGTGTCTGGCTCTGGCCACCATTCTAAATCGTACAAAGCTTGCCGTAACTGTAAAGCTAATACTCCTATGCGATATCGAAGAGTAATTGCGCAGGAAAGAACCAGAAAACAAAAAAACGTGTAGGAAAAGCAGTCAACTGCAACAGCTATTTTCTTGTCTCCGAGGTTTTTCAATAGAGTTTAAACGCGTTGCTCCTGATTGTGGTCACGTGAACAGTGTCACGTGCAGGCTGCTGGTGGCTCGTTCACTGTGAGGAAATAGGAGAATTCGCATTTGGAGTTGCTTTTCGAATAATCTGAAGATATTTGGTTGATTTAGACAGAAACGGTGTTTATATACCCTATTATACAACAGCTTTATATATACAAAGCTCCAATTATGTAGCCATACACCCGAGAAACAAACAAACCCTGCAAAACAGAAACCAAAAAATAATCACTGCGCAGAGCCAGCCTCGATTTTATCCATCGCCTTATTCAAATCGACGCCGGCGGGAATCGCGCTCGCGCCGGGGGACGCGCTGCGGACGCGTTCTCTGACGATTCTGTTGATCGCCACGTCGGTTTGTCGCTGGAGGATCTCGAGCTTGCTCGCGATCTGGCGCTTGATATCCCAGTTTGCTGCGCGGGGACGGAGACTGCTTACGTCGAGTTCGGATTGTGCTGCTGTGCTTTCTTCTCCTTCTTCTCCTTCAGAGTTGTTGTTATCGTCGGAGTTGGCTTCTGGTTTTTCTTCGCTGCTGTGTTCGCCGAGACCTTCGCGCTCGATCCGTTTTGCTTCTTCTTCGACGGTCGGTTCTGTCATCGTCGGCGGCTCGAAAAATCCTTGCTTTGGAGCCCGCGCCTCTGGATCGTAGTTTCGTCTTGATAATATGCTACTTGAAAGCATTAGCATATTTCCACCACAGACAACAGAAGTTATAACATCCTTACCTAGCAGTATCACCAACTTCTCCCCCATCTTTCTCATCTCCTCGCACCACCGTATCCTCCTCCCCATCCACCTTCTGCTCTTCTCCCTCTCTCTTGCGCTTCAAGTTCCGCAGTTGCGCGAGCCGCTCTTTTCGCGAAAGTGCTTGTGAATCTAAGGATGACATGGCGATGTGACTGGCGATAGAAAGGAGAGAGAAGGTAGGCAGCTGTGTTTTTGGGATTGGCTTTAGTGAACAAAACAGGTTTGGAGGAAGGAAGAGACCTTACCCTGGAACAGGCGTAATGGTGGACGCGGGGCAATCGAGATGCTGAACATGCCCGTTTTCCATTACTGCTTATTCAATTGGTTAGAGAATAGAAATTACGGAAATAAAAGGCTGAGGAGAATAGATTATTTGTTCGATAAACAACAGATAAGCGGGTGCACCACATAAATAAAAATTAAGAGCGCAAAGAGCATCTGGAGATTAGCGGACATAAAGACTTCGAGCGATATCCACTCTCCGCCATAACGCAATCGCAACTCCTCAGTCACCACCACAAGCAACCTTGATAGTAACAGTTCCTAAAACACATCTTTAGCTTATATCACAAGCATGCAGCACTCACTAGCCATCCTTGACGACTACCAATCCGTCGCCCTGAAAATAGCAGACTGGAGCGCAATCAGCGACACCGCCAAAGTTCCAATTACAGTCTTTTCCGACCACCTCTCCGACGAGACCGAGGTGATCGCCCGGCTGAAGCCGTTTACGATCATCTGCATCATGCGCGAGCGAACAAAGTTTACTCCCGCGCTGTTTGCCGGGTTGCCGAATTTGAAATTACTGGTTACGACCGGCATGCGGAATCTGGGGATCGATCTCGAGGCCGCGAGAGCGCATGGGGTCGTGGTCTCGGGGACGGGGTCTGGTGGTGAGTCTACGGTTGAGACGATCTGGGCGTTGATCTTGGGGGTTGCGCGGAATATCGTGGCGGATCATACGCGATTGACGACGCCGGAGACCGCAACGGTCTGGCAGGCCGGACGGTTGCCGACAGGGCTTTATGGACGCACGCTGGGAGTCGTGGGGTTGGGCAGGCTAGGATCGAGGGTTGCTGCGATTGCTAAAGTGTTTGGCATGAACGTGCTGGCGTGGAGCGAGAATATGACGGCAGAAAAGGCAGAGGCTGCGGGCGCGAAGTTTGCAGGGAGCAAAGAGGAGCTCATGCGGCAGTCTGATTTTGTATCGGTGCATGTGCTGCTCTCCGAGCGCACCGTGGATCTCATTGGCGAAGCCGAGCTTCGGCTGATGAAGAAGACTGCGTTTCTGATAAACACCTCGCGCGGACCGATCGTGAACGAGGCCGCGCTGATCAAAGTGCTGAAAGAGGATGCCATCGCGGGCGCGGCGTTGGACGTTTACAATGTCGAGCCGTTGCCGGTCAATCACGAGTTGCGGAAGCTGGGCGACAAGGTGCTGATGTTGCCGCATATGGCATATGTTTGTGATACGGCTTATGAGGTCTTTTACCGGGAGACTGTGGAAGATGTGCTGGCGTATCTGTCCGGGTCGCCTATTCGCGTCATGACCTGATGATGATAAGTCTATAGGATCTATATTTCGCATTCTCTAGTTGATCACCGCCGTAGCTGTACCCGCGGATCCAATAACGCCCGATCCGGAATCTCCAACTCTACGATCCCGCTCAACTCAGCCTTCAAGCTCTCCAACCTCTCGATCGCGATCTTGACCTTTTCCAGATCATCCCCGACCGTCTCTGGCCCCGTGACGACCTCGACGTAGGCGTGCATGACCCACGTATTCACAAACTTTGCATTCTCGAACCGCCTCCCGTTGGCGACCGTGCCCGCGGCCAAGTCGCCGTCGCCGCCGACGGGGATCTCGTGTAATTGTAACGGTTTCTGGGGTGCGATCTGCGAGAGCTTGATGATGACGATGCCGTTGTGGACGAAGAGGTAGCCTTTTTCCAGGTAGTCGTATGCATAAGCGTAGTTGAGTGCCCGCAGAAATCGAAAGAGTGTGGATGTGTTGTCGGCCTGTGCCTCTTCAGACTTGCGGAACGTGGTCTTCGAGACTGCTTGCACCTGCACCGGTTTCTTGCCAGACTCTGGGATCGTAGGTATCGTCAACGTCCACTCCGGCGCCTCGCTCTTGCCGACCCCGTCCTCCGCCGCTGCTGCCGCCTCCGGCATCTCTCTCGAGACATCTATCCGCGAAGACTCGAGCGGACTGACAGCGCCCGCGGGACCGCCGGCCACACCAGCAGACGAGCCGGGCCCGTGTCCTGATATTGTGGGCGAGAAGATGATGTGCTGCTGCCGCAGGTCGAGCGGGCGCATGCCGGTCAGGGCGGAGACTGTGAAGAGAAGCTGGGGGATTTTGGAGGACTGGACTGTTGCGTAGAGTGAGAGCTGTTGTAGAGAGGACATTGTGGTGAGGTGTTGATGTGTGGTGGTGGTGTTGATTCGAGGTCGATAAAACGTTAACTGAAAAGTCGACGACCCCTGAAATCGACCTCATCGCCAGAAATATTCAACCACTTCACCAGTTAAGTACTCTCTCAACCAAGATGGCTGTTCCATTCACAGTCGAGTTCTCGTGAGTCTACCTTTTCTACTTATATCTCTCAAGCTAATCATATCCCAGTGGCGGCCTCGAAATCCTCTTTGGCGGAGAACGAGTCATGAAGCTCTCACTTGCCTCTCCCCGCGACGACGACAATTTGACAATCGCAGATCTGGTGAAGCATTTATGTGATGAGAAGATGACCGATAGTCGTCGGGACATGTTTGTTATTGAGGGGTATAATGTGTATGTATCTTCTATATCTGAATTTTGCTGTTTTGCTATAGGCTAATACTTTGTCTAAAAGACGACCGGGGATTCTAGTTCTGATCAATGACGCAGACTGGGAACTTGAGGGAGAAGCAGAGTACGTTATACAGCCGGGCGACCAGATATTATTTGCTTCTACTTTACACGGAGGGTAGTTTTCGCGCGGTAGGATGAATGGCTGGATGTACGATAGCGCAGTTGCTGGTTATGCATATTGGATGGTTGTAGATATGTACATATTCTGTTCACTTCTCAGTTATGATATCGCTGTTCAAAGATTCGGATAGTTATGAATATAAAATTAATATATAGGACTAAAACTACTAAACAGCTAGCGTAAACAAAAAAAGAAGAAAAAACGCCAGAACACATGATGAACATCAATCAATCAAATTCTAGTACCAAACAAATAATTAAGCATCCAAAATCATGACAGCAAAAAACTAATTAACGATCGAGAAAGAAAGATCAAGAAAAACAAACGCTTTTTTAGTCAAAAAAGGAATAAAAGAAACTATAGAAACACTTGTCCGTCGTCGTCGATCTCGCTCGTCATGCTCTCGTCCGTGTGTGGATGCTGATGGTGGTAAATAGTAGACTCGCTCACGCTCGCCCTGCTCGCCGGCCGTCCTCCGTTTGTGAACGCGACCAGCCGCGGCTCGTTCTCTGATAGATTCCGCCGTTCGCTGCGTTCGCGCCATTCACGCGCACCAGGCACGAGCTCGAACCGCTGGGTGGACTCTTCGCTGCTCGACGCGGTCGTGCAGCGGTCTTCGGATAACGGCGTGTCGCTTCTGATTCCCGGAATGCGAATCAGTCGCTCCGAGTCCTCGCCGATGTCTTCCTCGCGCACGGCGCCGAGTCTGTCGGACGACGAGGTCGAGAACGCGCCGATCGTGCCGGCGGAGACGACGCTGCGGTGCGCGTCGCTGTACCGCCTCGTGTCGTTCTCGCTGGAGGACCCGCTAGAGCCGCTGGTAGCCGATCCCGAGCGCGCGAGACCCGCGATGTCGCCGTTGCTGGACTCGACCAGCCGCACGCTGAAGATCTCGTTCGTGGCCACCGTCGCGAGACTGGCCATCGAGTCGCGGTCGTGCGCCATCGTGCTGCCGCCGTTGGTATGCCGCGAGGAGTCGCGCGAGTTGCGGAAGATGCGCGAGCGTCGCGGCCGCGAGGAGTCGTCGGGGTCGTAGGGGATAACGAAGCCGTTGACGGCCGTGTGCTGCTCTTTCTCGAGATCAGAGTACGTGCGCGCGTGGCCGGAGAAGACAGAGAGACCGGACAGCCGGCGGCCGTCCCACGCGCGGGAGGGTTTTGTGGGCGTCGGGTTGTTCATCGGCCAATCGTCCTCAATCGGGATCGGTTTCGAGATCTGGGACGAGCCCGAGGGTGAGACTGCGGTCTGGTTCGAGTCGCGGCGGCGACGCTTGGCGGCCGCGGTGAAGCAGAAGCAGTACCAGAGCACGGCGGCGGCGAAGAGGACTGCGAGCGGGATGACGACGCCGCAGGCGATCGCGATGGCTTTCGTGCTTGTTTTGCTGGAGGACGAGGCTGAGGCTGAGCTTGCGGTCGCGGTGGGGGCGGAGGAGGAGCTCGCGGTCGTGGTAGAGGTGCTGAGCGTTCGGGTGGTGATTGAGCGCGTGTGGTGGTGGGTTGAAGTCGAAGAGTGTGCCGAGGTGGTGGTGGAGAGGACGGTGCCCTTGCCGATGATGTAAAACATGGCGGTCTCCTTGCCGCCGAGGGTGGTGGTGGCGGTCAGGATGACCTTGACGGACGTGAGCGAGCTGGGGACGGTTCCGGTGAAGGTGTAGTTGCTGTCGTCAAAGTCGAGCCAGGAGGAGGCGCTGGAGGGCGTGTACGAGGCCGATATGCTCTCGATGTAGTCTGTGTTTTTGAGCGAGGGAGTAAAAGAGAGACTCTTTCCGCGGGTGGCGGTCACGTTTGAGATACCAGAGGAGCTAAAGATGTCGACGTCGGTCGAGTTGTCGGTCGAGAGAACAGAGACGTCGATGTCCATCTGGACCTCGTCGCCGAACGCGTCGACGACGGTGACGGTGACGACGATGCTCTCGCCGACGTCGTCGTCGGCAGGGGTGCCGGAGAGAGTGAGAGTGTCCTCGTCAAAGTCCATCCAGTCATCGGTGCCGTTGTAGCTGACGTTTGTGATGTTTGAGCTCGAGATCTCTGAGCCGTCGAGGAGGACGTCGAGGGTGGTGGAGAACTTCTCGCCCTCGGTTGCGTTAACGGTGACGGAGGAGCCGGTGAGGGTGTGCTCGCCAATGTTGATGGTGAAGTCGGTCTGGGCGGCGGAGTAGCCGGCGACGTCGGAGGCGACGAGGACAAAGTTGAAGTTGAGCGGGGGCGCGATGTCGGAGGAGAGCGCGGGGGTGGTGCCCTCGAAGGTCATGGCCGAGGAGTCGAACGAGATCCAGGAGGGGAGAGGGGTGAGGCCGGAGAAGAGGCCGTAGTAGGCGGTGACGTTTCCGGTGAAGGTGTCTTCCGCGAACTGGAGGGAGAAGGAGGATCCGGGGACGAGGCCGATGCCGTTTGCAGAGTAGGTGGAGTAGTTCTGCTGGAGCTGGGAGGAGGCGGAGATGGCGACGTTGGGGGCGGCGGTGTCGGCGACGACGAAGGTCGCGGTGTCGGAGGAGTTTGTGCTGTCGGCGGGATCGGTGGCGATGAGGGTGAAGGAGGAGTAGCCGATGTCGTCGTCAGAGGGGGTGCCGGAGAAGAGGCGGGAGGAGTCGTCGAAGGAGAGCCAGGAGGGGAGGTCGGAGACGGAGTAGGTGGTGTCGTTTGAGGAGGAGGAGGTGTAGGTGTAGGAGGACATTGTGAAGGAGAAGGCCTCGCCGACGCGGGCGACGGGGGGGTATTGCTCTGAGATGGGGAAGTCGAGGGAGGGCGTAGCTGAGACGGCGGTGAGGGGGAGGAGGAGGAGGTTGAGGGCCATGGCGGCCATGGCTGAAGAGAGAGGAGGCATGGAGAGTGAAGTAGAGGAAGAAGGAGGTGAGGTGAAGAGGAAGAAGAAGGAGGTGAGGTGAAGAGGAAGAAGAAGAAGAAGAGGTGAAGAAGAGGTGAAGAGAAGAAAGATAGGAAAACTCACGAAGGGGTCGAAGCGAAGGAGCACCGAGACGCGTTTCGCTTGTTTAAATCAAGGGGCCGAAACTTAATAAAACGCGTCCAAATGAGCGTGTCTCGAACGCGTTAAGAATGGGAGCTAAGCCGTTTAGGGCGAGACGCGTCCCGAATGAGAGCACTGATGGCCTCAGTTGCTACAGCCGTGTGGAGATTATGATGGTATTCATGATGGATATCCAGAGTAATTGTAGTTGAGTAGTTGAGTAGTTGAGTAGTTGAGTAGTTGAGTAGCTGAGCAGTTGAAATACTAGATACACAACAACATCATATTCTCTACTCTACACAGCTACTCATTTATCCACTCGTTACGAACATTAAGTCGCGAACTTGGTAAGTTATGAGAAGCCTCCATCCCTGTCTTGGCTGTTGCTTCTTCTGTCTGTCTGCTGTTGTCTGCTGTTGTCTGTCTGTTCTGTTCTGTTCTTTGTCTGTCTGTCTGTCTGTCCGTCTATCCTTTGTCTGTCTTCTCTCGACTCGGCTCACTTGTCACTGCCAACGCCAACGCCAATGCTACTGCCACTCAATGACTTGGTGTACCTCCATCATCGTGAACATCTAGATAGAATACAGAACAAATGCAGAGCAGACAGATATCTGCGGCGCTGCTGCTCTACTCTCTCTGCTGCTGCTGCTGCGCTGCGCTGCTCATCCAACTAAACACCCACTAATGCACTTCTGCTGCTTCTCAACTCCTCTGCAGAAAGGACTACTGCACAATGACTACAACTACAACTACTTCTTCTCTCAGTAACAAAAACCCCCCCAATTCCCCAATCCAGTAACAAAGGCTGCACTCGGTCTGGACGCCCCCAGAACAGTAGAAAACTCAAAGTTGGTCTCGAAACCTGAACCGCTCAGCTCAGCTCAGCTCAGCTCATCGCATCTACTTCGTCGTCGAGTTTTTTGATTCCAGCTGCTGCATTCACCGTTTGCTTTGATCTTGGTCTTTTGCTGCTGCCAATTTGTATTTGCTGCTACGCGGCGGTTCCTGTGTATCACCACAACACTCCGCTCAACAGCAATATCCATACCAATACCAACACCAACACCCTCTCAACATCAACACCCACCCAACATGTCTCTATCACCAAAGCAATCCCCCCAAGACGACACAGACGACAACATCGCAAACATCCTCGACATGCTCGAGACCGAGAACCAGTCCGGCTCGAGCTCGGCCGTGCACGTCTACCCCCCCGCCGACGTCAACGGCGACAGCCCGTCCTCCGGTCTCATCCAAAACACAGACGTTACCGGGTCTGCTCAGACTGCTGCCTCGCACGCCATGGATTATCAGATCGAGGGGATGGAGGGCGATCTTGATGAGGAGGCTGGTGGGGTTTTTAGTGGGGATTATGAGGTTAAGGAGCAGGATAAGTGGCTTCCTATCGCCAACGGTGAGTTTTCTCTTAGTTTACAGTGACATCTACTATACATGTACTAACAATTCATCTTAGTCGCCCGGATAATGAAAATGGCACTGCCAGATAACGCAAAAATATCAAAAGAAGCGAAGGAATGCATGCAAGAATGCGTCAGCGAATTCATCTCCTTCATAACCAGCGAAGGTATCCTTCCCTTCTCCTCTTTTTTTTCCTTCTTCTGATATTGACGCTGATACTGACGATCCATAGCATCCGAAAAATGCTCAGCAGAAAAACGAAAGACCGTCAACGGCGAAGACATTTTGTTCGCAATGACATCTCTCGGCTTTGAGAATTACTCAGAGACACTAAAGATCTATCTCGCCAAATATAGACAGGTATCTCTCTCTCTTTCTCTCTCTATCTCTCTCTCTCTCTTGTGCCTTGCTGCAATTACTAACTGCTGTAGTTTATCGCTACCCGCGCTGGATCAAAATAACTCAATGCTCAAGTTTGAGTACGCACCTGTATTTTTAGTGACCCCTTCTTGTCTAATACCTCTTTTTTTGTCTTATTCTCTCGTTTTGTGTCTATCAAATTGTACTATTAATGAACTTATCTAATGATTACTCTTACTAAAACATCTAAACCATTTTATATCTTAGTTTGCAAACGATTGACCTTTACTATTACTAACTTATCTAATTACATTTACTAAACATCTAAACCAATGTTATACAGAAGTTACTCGAAAATAGACTCATAATCAGAACTACAGCTACTGCTTCTTTGCATCAGCCTCCGCCTCCGCCTCCGCCTTCAGATTCGACGCACTCTTAATCCGCGACACCGACCTGACCACTTCCTGAAACACCATCGTCGCATTCCCCTTTGATCCAAACGAGCTTCTCCGCGAACTAGACTGCGGCAGGCCAAGCGTGTTGCTACCCCCACCACTCGCAAAATCGCTCTTACCTGCAGCTGACGAGTCGTCCGAGTGCTCGGTCGCGAAAACACTCGGCACACCAGACGACGGGAACGCGTCTTCGTCGTCGTCGTCGAAGCCCAGCGCTTTGATCTTGTTGGCCAACCGCACGGCCTCGATCGCCTGCAGCAACTTTGACCGCGCGTTGAATCCCTCGCGGATGTTTGGCAACAGATCGGTGGTAGTCGCAGTATCGCCGACGATCCACTTATGCTTCAACAGCTCGCGCGATGTCCTGCGCTTCAAAGGATCGACCTGCAACATCCCGCGGATGAAATCCTTCGCGTCGCTCGAGATGTCGCTCCAATACTTGTCGTGGAAAATCACGCCGTTCTCGCGCACTTCCAAAATGTACTCCTGCACGTTCTCGCTCCGGAAGGGTAGATAGCCGCAGAGAATCGTGTAGGTGATCACTCCGAGCGACCAGATGTCGCAAGGCTTGCCGTGGCCGATGCGGAGTAGGATCTCGGGCGCAGCGTACCCGAACGAACCCGCCATCGTCGTCAGCGCCTCGCCTTCTGATTTAAGCACTTTGGCGATGCCGAAATCGGCCAGAACGAGCTGCGAGTCGGCGTCGGGGGTCAGGTAGAGCAGGTTCTCGGGTTTGAGGTCTAAAAAAAAAAGTGTCAGTGTACTGATCTTTGTACTAGATATCAACTAGCGGAGCAGCTTACCTCGGTGGACAATGTTCAGGTCGTGGAGATAATCAACGGCCTCGAGTACTTCCTTTATAGTCTGTACCGCGTCTTTCTCAGTGTACTACATGATACAATCAGACGTCAGCAGGCAATTGTGTCAAAATAAACAAAAGAGCACTACCTTTCCGCGCTCGACGATACGATCAAACAGCTCACCGCCGGTCGCTAATTGTGTGACGATATAGTACTTGTCCTAGATCCCATGCTAGTCAGACCACATAATTACACAAATTATAGAAAAGAGAGATCAGCAACACACCTTCGACTCGAACCAATCTCTGAAACCGACAATGTGCGGATGCTTAAGACGGCGCAGAAGATCGAGCTCTTCCTGCACCATGCTCTCATGGCCCTGCACCTTTTTCTTCAAAATCACCTTGACCGCCACGTTCTCGCCAGTCTCAATCACGGTCGCGGCCTTGACTATACCATAAGTTCCCGCGCCCTAGTAAACAAGAGGGGTAAGTAGGTGGAGAGAGAATAGGAGGGTGACGTGACGTACGAGCACACGGCCGAAGCGGTAGCGGCCCTTGCGGTCGTAAGACGAGGGCTGGTTCGAGAGCTTGCCGTAGATGGAGTAGAGATGGGAGGACATTGCGGAGGCCGCTGGATTGGGATTCGGGGAAGAGGACATTGTGGTGAAGTTGATGGGTGGAGATGGGATGGGGAGAAGGCAGGGCCGAGTTGATATAAGCTCGGAGACGGAGAGGCTGAGCCTGAGCCACAGCCGCTCCCGCCGCACTTGTTATTGTTTCTGTTGATAAGTTTGCTCTGTTATTGTAGTTGTTATATATAGCGTGGTGTTGATTATATTACATTGTAGTAGTATTCATATTGTAGCTATGTTGTGTTGTTGTAGAAGATGTGCTGTCCTTATACTGCACAATGGTGACTTCACTCACTCCTACACCTCTTCACACTCCCCTCCTCATTCACCCTCACCACTACTCTCTCTCTCTCTCACTATTACTCTCTACTACTCCCTCTACTCCCGCAACCCAACCGACGGCCTTCGCTCCACAAACTTCGCCAAATCCTCCGGCGCAGCCACCCCGAGCACAAACTTCCGATCCTCATCCGTCACCACCGCGAAGTCATGCTCGCCATCGAAAAACCGCTCGAGCTCCTCCAACGGCGTATCCGGCGTAATCTTCTCGAACTTCTCCTCCTTCGGAAACCGGTGCATGAACGACCGCACCGTCGCAAGTCGTAGATCAATCATCTCCGTGTCTCCGTCGTCTGCTACTCCCGTCGTCGTCTTCCCGGCAGTCTTGGGAACCTTTCCCGTCCTGGCTGCTTTCTGCAGTTGCTCTGCAGAGAGATAGCCCAGCAGCGCGCGCGTCTTGGCCGATACCACCGGAAGATAGGAATACGACCGCTCAAACGACAGCTCGAGCGCGTGGTCCAGCGGCGTGTCTGGAGTGATCACGAACGCGGGAGGAAGATCCAGGTCTTCCACCGTCGCCTGCACTCAAACTCGTTAGCCCCTCTAACTAGTTTCTTGAGTCAATAACAAATCAGCAGAGAGAAGAACTCACACCTCGGAAATCGTGCATGTTTGTAAGTATGAATTCGATCGATGAACGCGTTGCAGATATCCACCACACGCACTTCTCCCGCAAATTTTCTCTCGCTCAAATCTTCTTCCAAGATTCTCTCCTTCAAATACTCTCAATCACCCTTCTCTAAAGTCTAGAAAAGCACTCAGCAAGCTTATTTAGATTAGCCAAGCAACCCGCTTCCTGCTTCCATTAAATCCCTTCTGAGATCAGCACACTTCTGACGCAATTATGGCAGGAACCCTAACCAGATACTCAATGTCACGTGGATTAAACTCACGCAAGCAGCTTTTTCTTTCGATTGCTGTTTGGCGTCGCGACTGGCAAAAGTATTCTGTTGTCTTTGCACGGTTTGAATAGTATTTAATACGCGTGGGTTTCTGCTGTTGGTGGTTGATATTCTATTTGAGCTGTTTATACACTCCATCTCGAGTTCCACCAGATTCCACCGCCCTCGAAATATTTGCTCGTTTCTCACCTCGCTTTCTCATCATCTTCATCATCTTCTTCATCATCTACACAAATGCCGATTCGCCAAGTTCACTCGATCCCCGCCCACGCAGACCGGATATGGAGCGTGGCGCCGCACCCGACCCTTCCGCTGCTCGCCTGCGCGACCTCCGAGAAATCCGCGCAGATATACTCGCTCAACACATACTTCCCCGTCGCGAACCTCGACGGCAACCATAAGCGGAGCATACGTTCTGTCGCATGGCGGCCAGAGTCCACGGACGAGCCGACGTCGGAGATCGTGCTTGCGACCGCGAGCTTTGATGGCACGGTCGGGATATGGGTGCGGGACGACGAGCGATACGCGCAGGAGGTCGGGGATATGGGACAGGTTGACGATGGTGCGGATGTCGGTTTGGAGGAGTGGGAGTTTGTGGCGTCGTTGGAGGGACATGAGAATGAGGTCAAGTGCGTGAATTGGTCGAGTGACGGACGGTATATCGCCTCGTGCTCGCGGGATAAGAGCGTTTGGGTGTGGGAGGGTGAGTACTCTCTCTTCTTCTTCTCTTCTTCACATGACTAACAGTCCTTTAGCACTCGACGGTATCGAAGAAATCGAATGCATGGCGGTGCTCCAAGATCACACACAGGACGTCAAGCACGTGGTCTGGCACTCTTTAGAAGAACTCATAGCCTCAGCTTCATACGACGACACCATCCGTCTCTGGCGCGAAGACGACGGCGAATTCGTCTGCTCGTCCGAGCTCACAGGCCACCGCTCGACCGTCTGGTGCGTCGACTTTGAAACCCCCCGCCGCGCAGACAGCAACGACGACGAGGACGAGACAATGAACCGCAGACTGGTATCCTGCTCCGCCGACGAAACCGTCCGCGTCTGGCGCCGGACCGGCATCACGGGCGCCCTCACCGGGCGCTATATGCCCTCGACGCTCAGAAACGACCCCGTGTCCGAGACATGGCAGCAAGAAGCCATCCTACCCTCTCGCCACTCGGGCCCGATATACTCTGTAAGCTGGAGCGCGCGCAGCGGACGCATAGTCTCTGCTGGCGCGGACGGCTTGCTCGTGGTATATCAGGAGACAAAACCCGGCGAGTGGGAGGTCATTGCCGAGGAGGAGGACGCGCATTCGGTGTTTGAGATTAATACCTGTGTGTGGAGTCGGAAGTGGAAGGCGTCGGCGGGGAGTGAGAGTGCGGATGCAGAGGAGGAGATCATCATCACGGGCGGAGACGATGGGAATATAAATATCTGGCAGGTCACCGCTTGATATTCAGTCGTTCTTTGGTTGTTGCATTTATGTCTCGTGTATGGGTAGCAGTGTTTCTCGTTTATGATTGCGTGTAATTTCTGTAAAATTTTGTTTAGCATGAAGCATCATTTAATACCAGCATCTGATCTTACTCCTTCCTCTCATCGTCTCCCCGACTCTTCTTTCTACACGTTTTGTTTAGTCGTTTCTATTTTTGTTGGTTGTACACTATCTTATCAAGTACTAAATAAAACACAAATCCATTCTGAGAAACAAAGAGATAAAAAACACAAAGAACACGAGAAGTCATGCAACTGGAAGAAATACAGAGATGGTTTATTTCTTTGATTTCTTCCGAGGAGGTTCGTCTTCTTCGTCTTCGTCGTCGTCCTCTTCGTCTGTTATTTCGATCGTTAGCATTTCTGTGGAAGAGAGAGAGAGGGGGGGAGGAGTTGATAGATACCTTCAAGATCGATTTCTTCCTCGTCGTCTTCTTCCTCTTCAATCAACGCATCGGCTATACCACTGTCAGCATCCTTCTCAAAAAACGAAATAAATCAAAGAAATGAATTGGCTTACTGTATAACTTAACCGCATTAGGATACAACTCCTCCGCAATCAAAATCGCAACCTCATGCGCATTCGCAAACACATCACCCCCCTTCGCGTCCTCCTCCTCGCCCTTATTCTCCCACTCAAAGAACGTGAAGAACGAGATCGGCTGCCCGGGCTTTGTCTTTGTCAGGTCCTGGCCCTGCTTCCACTTGATCGGCGCCTTTGTCGACTTGTACGACACCCGCGCAGACTCGGTGATGTCCTCGCTGTCTTCGTCGTCGTCGTCCTCGGGTGACGACGGCTTGGGCACGTAGGTGAATGTTTTCGAGAGCGTGGTGGTCTCGAGGAATTTGTTGTCCTTGAATGAGAACGTCAGAGTGAACGTTCGCGGGTCAGTTTCGTCGCGGTCGAGGTCGATTGTGTCCAGAGACTCGAGCAGCTACAAAAGTTCAGTCAGTCCGCTTTTGATCCAAGCATTAACACACAAAAGAGAAAAGATACATACCTCCGCATCTAAAGGAGTCAAATACTGATCAAGATCCTCGCCAATCTGCTCAAACGCCACCGACCAAAACTTCTCGACCTTGGGCAGCAGCGCCTTTCGTTTCTCGTACAGCGGCTTTAGTAGCTTTGTCGAGTATTTCACTGCGCTCGTTAGTTTGCCGTAAGCACTATAGAGAAAAGGAGACACATACGGATCTCAAACTCGGCTTGCTCAAACTCGTGCTCGAGTTTCGAAAGTTCCTTAAACACACTATTCCCACGAAATCATCCCGTTAGCACTTCCTCCTTTCTCTCCTCTCGATCAACCTCTCTAAAGCTCTTTTGTGCCAAACCACTCAAATCAGAAATAGAAAACGTACGTCTGGCTATCAGTTTCCTCTGCCATTTCTTCTGATATTTGTAACTAGATGCGATGCTCGATCGATGTCGATTGCGTGCTGCGTCTCTTCTTTCTTTTCCTTTCGATCTTCTCTTTTTTCTATCCTTTCAACTTCTCGATAGCAAAATTCTCTTCTGCTATTCTTTCTCTCTTCTTAATAGTCAACAAAGACACTCTTCAATCTCTTATCTGACAAAGACAACAACACAGGCGGTAAACAAAACCAGAAAAAAGTTGGAAAAAGTCAGGAAACAACGCGCTGCGCGCGCGCCAAACTCGCGTTTGCCCCTCTCGGAAGTCCATCGAAAAAACCCTCAGCCCACGCGTCACCAGTCACGTGTACTCTTCTACCTTCTTTATTTGCTCTGATGAGATGTTCTGATATCTTGTGTTTTTAAAGTCTAAGTAGCTAGCCTAATAGTCTAATGCAATGTCTACAAAACAATACCCAGTCCCAAACTCGCCTGCCCGTTCGTAGATGCCGTACCCCCACAAGTCTCCAGCACGTCCGCGTCCAACCTCGCAGGCCACCGCCCCGTCGGCGCAGACCGCGCCATCGCATCCACCGCAGACGCATATCCTTGACTCGAGCCCACCATCGGCACCTCGACCGTGCGCCATGATCCGGGCGGTTGCTCGCCCAGTACTTCCGCAGACTCGCTGCCACCAGCCGTGCCTCCCCGCACGCGCCCCTTCAGGCCGCGCTTGCGACGTGCCTCGACTATTGCGTCGAACACACCGATGCGGTCGAGTTTGGTGACCGGGTTGCCAAACATGTTTTTACCGCTGCTGCTATTGTTGCGATGATCCTGTTGCTCGGGACGAGGACGATGCTCTACTTCGTCGATAAACTCCGCCCCTGCCTGCGTCGAGAGCAGGAATCGCACGTACGGCACATGGTCTTTCGGCAGTCGCCCCAGAAACTCGGTCTGATTGAACTTATAAAGCGGCGGCGGCCTATCGTCTTCTATCTCAAGCGAGGTCTTTGAAACCGGAGCCAGATGCTTGCGATATCCCGACAGCAGCGCCGCCATCGCGCGCACGAACGCCGCGCGCGCCCGGTGCGGATGGAACGTCGCCGGCGTGCACGGCAGAACGATACTCTTTGCGCAGCCGCTGTGCACATGCAGTCTACACGTCTTGCACGTCAACAGCTGCGAGTCCGGCACCTCGTTCTGCAGACAAATCACACAGACCACGTCCTGCGCCGGCGGCTCGTCAAAGTACGACTGCGAGAAGAGGAAGTGGCCTTCGACGGTCTGACTCTCGGGCCGTTCCGAAGGCGACTGTGACCGGCTCGCGGGCAGTGCTGGGGACGCGGGCGTCGACGAACCTACAGCCGTCTCGGTCTCGTTCGTGGTAATTGACGACAACGAACTCCGATGGCTGACGCTCGACGACTCGGACGCGATACTTCCAAACGTCGAATTCCTCAACAACGAGCGCGGACTCGCCGCCGCCGACGACGGCACCGATTGCGAGTTTCCCCTAGTACTCTCACCACCGTCTACAGAACCAGCAGGTGTCTCGCTGGAATCAAACATTGGCGTGATTGTCAACGGCGCGCTCTGTCGTTTCTTCACGGGACTCGTGGTCGGCGACTCGCTCGATCCTTTTGACCTCAGCGTCGACGCGAAACTGAATACCGAATTCGCTTTTCTCGTGTGCGTTTTCTTCGGCCCCGGATTCGTCATCGCGATCGGAAGCGGTTGCTGCTGCTGCTGCTGTTGTTGTTGTTGTGGTGGTGGTGGTGGTTGTTCGCTTTGCGGTCGTTTACCGCCAAGTCGCGGGTACTGATTATAACCGCTATTTACCGCCGGCGACCTACTCAGCTTCGCCCGAGTACTCGCCGCACATGCATTCATAATCGGCGCCCACCGCAGCATCTCGGTGTCGAAACTATGGTACGCAGACGAGCTCTCGGCCACGAGCCTGAACAGCGACAACGGCGGCGCGACAGAGGAGATGATTGCCGGGTCGGGGAGTACGTGCTGGTTCATCGGGAAGGTTTCAGACACGTACCGCGGCGTGCCTCTGGCGACGTCGAACGGGGCCGAATGTAGCGGCGCGCTGAGCGCGAGTAGGGTTTGTAGTTTTGTCCGCACTGGGACTGGAAGGAGTGGAGGCGTCGAGGACGAGAAGATTGCGTCGGCGTCGAGATCGCAGAGGACAAAGTCGTCGTCGGGAAGGGGTAGTTCGGCGCCTGAGCGATGCACGCCGATGATGTAGGGAACCGGCATCTCGAGACAGGTCGCGAGACGGGCGGGTAGGACGGGGATGAAGACCGATTGCCATTTGAGAGGGAAGAGGAGGGAAATTATTGCGCGGGCGGCGGGGGTGAGCATGCCTAGGTCGCTGGAGACAAAGATGATGCGGCATTCGGCGAGTACGGCTTCAAAGAGTTCGACGATGGATTTTATACTCAGGCAGCGGAAGAGGGCGTAGAGGTCGGTCTAAGAAGCAACTATTAGTATCAATCTAATGAAGTGAATAGGACAAGACGTACATCTCGCGATCCGGGTAGCTCGTTATCGGCATGGCTTCTCGCATATAGACTACCAACTGTTAGCTTCGATACTGTAGAATCATAAAACAAATAGAGCCATACGTTAATAATCCGATATCAACCTTCAGCTGCACCCCCGGATGAATCAAAGGCGGATTCCCGAGCAACTGCGCGACCGCATACTCCATCGGCACGCGATGCTGCGTCCACGGCAAACTGCTGATCTTCTTTTCGTTCGCGACCGCCTCGCCGTAGACCAAAGTCTTGAGCCAGTCCAACCTGAACCCGCACGTATTCTCGTCGCGCGAAAGTAAGCCGTACACGCGGGGTACCCACATGCCCGACTCTTCCGAGACACCGGGGATCGCTGACGCCGCGCCGAGACGGATCGGTTTCAGGAGCGCGATCAGCATGTTTATCCGCTCCTCCGTCTCTGTGATTTCCTCCGCGAGCTCGTCCGGGCTCTGCACCGAGATCTCGGCGTCGGCGGCCACTTCCGCCAGCGTCGTCTGCAGCTCCGAGAGCTTTGCGCGCTCGCTCGCGAGCCGGTCGGTTAGGCTTGCGGCGAACTCGCGCTCGGAGCCGGGCATGTAGTTTGTGCGCCAGATCTTGCTCAGGTTCTCGATCGAGTCGGCGATTTTCTTGGTCGTTGGTAGCCAGACTGTGATGCATGTGCCGTACCGTTTGTCGCCGTCTTGGTTCGTCATGACCTGCGGGGGTTAGTATGTTTTGTTTCTGCAGGCTAGAAGAGAGAGAGAGAGTACTTACAAAGTGATGCCATGTACTCCGTGGTCGTTTATCAGCAAGCTTAACCTGCACATCATTCGGAAACGCAAACATCGGCACATAAACCGGCATATTCCCTCTCTCGCGCGCGAGCGACTCGTCGCGCGGATATACGTCGAGCAGCACGGGATCCAGTTTGCGGTCGAGCGGGTGCATGTTTGGCGACCACGCGATCGGCTCCGGATCAGGGATCACGGACTCGTAGTCTGAGATCTTGCGCGCGTGGCTGCGCGGGTCGGAGAGCGCGGGGGAGGCGGGGTGCCGGGGTTTGGCGTTCATGCGGCGGGTTGCGGGAGAGCGGCGGAGGGGGGACGAGGGCGAGGAGGAGAAGGTGGAGGAGGGGGTGGCGGGGGAGGAGGTTAGTGGGGTTGTCGCGGGAGATGTTGAGCCGGGAGGGAGTTTTGGCGAGGTCGTTTTCTTTGCGAGGATAGCTTCTGCAGCTGTGTTTAGTGCGGCGACGCGTTGGTTTGCGGTTATGGATGCGGACACTGTAGGCGAGAGCGATGGCGAGAGAGAAGTCGGCAGACTTTCGTTTTCCATCTTCTTTTCTAAATTGTTGCTCTCGAGCGCAGGAGAAGGCTGTGAGCTTTCTCCCGCCGAATCAGGGAGAGATGCAGAAGCTAGCTGCTCAGGACTCTGCTTCACGACATCTTCCTGAATGACGTCCTGCACTGTTTTCAAATCAACCGACGACCGATCGCGCACATGACCTGCGGATCTGGTAAGTGTCAGCGGGTCGCGGTCGGTCTTCTGCTGCTGCTGCTGCTGCTGCTGTTGTTGTTGTTGTTGCTGTTTGACATGCTGCAGCATCTGCTGGTGCGCGGATTCGGTGAACGCGCGAAGACCGTCATGGTCGACGCCTGCGATGAAAAAGAAGTCTGCGATTGGAAGACCCGGGTTTGAATAAACCGGGGTAGATGCAGACGCAGAAGCAGTAGGCGTGCTGGCGCTGGCGGGTGCAGATTGTGGGGGAGGAGTGGATGCCGCGACTGGAGATGCTGCTTCGGGAGCAGTCGGTGCGGCAGCGGACGGGGGAGAGGACGCCATCGATGTCTAGAGCGCGACCGGTAGACACGGTCCGGGGATCATGAGAATAGACTATGCAGGTGCTGTAGTATAGTTGGAGAACTGCTGTAGTGTGGCGAGGGAAGAAGGTGGACAGATCTATATATAACGGGCAAGTCTCGAGGAGGACTAATTATAGCGCCCAGAACAGACAACTCCAGGGCAGTTCAAGACACAGACAGAAACCCGTTCGTTCTCTATAATCTCTTCCGACAGAATCACAGCAGCCAATTGCCCTCGAATCCAGCAAAACAACCAACCTCAACCGCGTCGACGATGGTTTCAGGGTCCTCGAATTGGGACTTCTTCTGCTGCGTCCTTTGGCTGCTCCTCGACGCTGCTGCCGCAATCTTTTTGAGTTTTGTCCGCCAACCTTAGCGAGTGCTGACATCTGAATCCGAGGGTCTGGTGGGAGACCTGGAAACAGCCGCTCGAGTTGCTTTCTTCGTCGCAAAGAAGAAGAATCAGATATCGACACCGCAGACTGCTTCTCGTCCAGCTGGTTTACTCACCGTTTGTCTGCTTTGCTGTTCCTGCTTCTCGGCCTGGAAGCCAATTGACCGCGCACCCGCCTCCACTGCCTCCATCCATCCGCTCCCCTCCGGCGCCGCACCTCCTCCTCACCACCACCACCCACTCTTTCTCCTCTCCACCACCACCACCACAGAAATGAGCTCCTACTCCCGCGGCCCCGAATACTTCCAACCCCGCAACCGCCTCTCGAACCCGACGCCAAGCGCGGTCCTGCGCTCCCGCACCGGCCGCAAGATCATAATCTACTTCCTCGCGCTCGCCGTCGTCTGCATCTTCATCTACTTCTCCTTCAAGGACACGCGCGAGGTGCAGCAGACCGAGCGGGAACTTGCCGAGCGGTTTGCGAACTCAAGAGTTTACCAGTCGGGCGGGAATGCCGTCGACCCGAATTCGCCGGTTGGGGATGAGACGGTTGAGGATTTTCCGCAGGCGGAGGAACCGGTGGTGAATAAAAAGGCTGTACATGATAGTGCTGCGGTCGCGAAGGATATAGGCGAGGACGCCTAGTCTGCTTGCTGTTGTTGTTTGTTACGATCCTTGTTTGTTTTTACGATGGTTGTTTGAGTTATGTATGGTTTAATGTGGTTTATGTCAATCATGCCGAGTCTAGATAGTATCTAGACCTCTCTCCGACGAAAATACGAGCCATGATCGAGCAGGGTACTATCCTCCACTCTCTATAATAGAAAAGATATGTTCTATGTGTACTTAATTCCTCATAACTGCTCAAAACAAAAAAACACAAACACAACCTCACTCAATCACTCAAATCAACATCAAAACCAAAGCAAAGCAAATAAAACTACATATATGCGTACTTCCCACCTTAGACTTGTATACACTCTCCTCCTCACGAGCAGAACAGACGAGTATACAGAGAGGAGAGAGAAAGGAAAACAAAAGAAGAAGATTAGAAATATCAAGTTCCGTATAATAAATCCTACATGTATTCTGTGAAGGAGCCCCTACCGATAACCAAGAAAAAAAAAAAGAGAGAAGAAAGAGAAAATAAGAAGATGAAATGATCATGAGAATACAGACGGAAACCAAACCCAGTTGAAAAAAGAGGAGGAGGTAAATAAAACCAAAACCAGAATAAAAAGAAGATAGAAGATGTATGATTACCAAATAAACCCTTGAAAATGTATAAAAAAAGATATAAGAAATATCCCAATGTATAACGAAAACGCCGTACCGTAAAATCAATCCCGCCGCTGCAACCTAGTAATACCTCTGACTCTGCGCCTGCTGCTGCTGCGCCGCTCGTGCTTGTGAGAAATGAGACATCATAGATGGCGGTGGTCACCCGCCGCTCACCCTAATAATACCTCTGACTCTGCGCCTGCTGCTGCTGCGCCGCTCGCGCTTGTGAGAAATGAGACATCATAGAAGGCGGAGGCGGCGGCGGCGTCGGGTTAGACTGCTGCTGCGCCTGCTGGCTCGACGGAGGCTGCTGCGCCTGCGGTCCAGTCGCTGGCGTCGAGCTCATCGTCACAGGACTGCCCTGGCTGCTCGTGCTGCCCCCTGCCGACACCTGCGGGGCAAACATCCCGCCGAACCCGCCTCCGACGTTGAAGTTCGCGTTGCCGTTGCCGACGGCGAAGAATTGGTCCCAGATCGAGGCAGACGGAAGCTCGTACATCATCTCGTAGATCCGCTGGCCGTCGTACTCGTCGTCTACCGTCGGCACACCGGAGTAGAAGTTGGGCGTGGTCGGGCCTGACGAGCCGGAGGGGAGGTGCTGTTGAGGCGCGGGTTGTCCTTGTTGCTGTTGCTGTTGCTGTTGTTGCGAGAACGAGGCTGGACGTTGCCATCTTTGCTGGCCGGACGAGATCGAAGGTGACGTAGACGACGCAGACATCGTCGAGTCTCCCGGAGAATTCACAACTACAATACCGCTGTTAGTATCACATTCTCTTCTTCAACTGCTTCTTGTATAGTACTCACCATCTGAACCACCGAAATACTGATTCGTAAACTGCTGCTGCGCAGCCGCTCCAGGACTAAACTGATACGCATACCCCCCACCCTGCGTGTTCCCGCTCACGTTTCCCGAATACGCAACCGGATGCGTAAAGTTCCCATGCATCGGCGGCACCGCCTGGATCTCCGCCGCCGTCTTGAAGATCTCATCCAAATCAGGCTCCATCTCCGTCATCCACTGCAGCGTGTTGGACTCGAACGACGCAAACGGCGACATGCCGCTGCTCTGGTTCGAGTTCTTCACCGACTCGGTCGCGGACGACGTCGACTGCGGCGTGCTCGCCTGCGACGGCACCGCGGGCTCGAACGTCGGCGTCAGGTTCGGAGGGACCATCGACGTAGGCGACACGGCAGACGGCGAGGTCGCGGACTGATACTCCTGCGAAACGCCAGGACCCATCGGGTACATCTGCGGATACTGAGGCTGCGGCGCCGGCAGCTCAATCCGATCCGGCCGCGCGGACGGGATCTGGGGAAGCGACGCCGGCGTCTGCGACGACGTCGACGACCGCGAGCGTTTCGACCGTTTCGCAGGTGGCGGCATCGGAGGCGGCACAGGCGGCGTCGCATTACGCGCGCCCGAGCGTCCTTCGCCTTCGCCCGCGATCGGGCCGGGGGGAGGTACAATCTCCCCCGCAGCCGCCTTTTCGTTATAGCACAGACGAAGGATGGCGGCCGTCAAGAGCTCGAAGGTGTCTCTGCATCCCGAGGCTGCGTCGCATTTGTCGACCATCCCGCTCAGCACGTGGATACACGCCATCGTGTTGAAGTCAATCACGTCCATGCGCGTTCGTTGCCGGACTTCCTTGGAGTGGTAGAGGCAGTAGAGATAGGAAGTGCCGGCCATGAACAGGTTATGAACCGCCATCCATGTATAGTTGATATTCTTCTCCCTGTGCAACTGTCTGTACGCGCGAATGACGTGCTCTGACGCATCAGCAATGATGAAAAACGCCTCAACCGACGGTCTCGGGATCGCGGGCGAGATTCCGTGCAGCAAAAGGCGGGTTTGCTGGTAGTTGAGGTCGAGGAAGTAGAGGTTAAAGTTGCAGTTCATATCCTTTGCCGACTTTGGCGACGAGTTGTGCCATTCTTCCAACCGCCGCGCCATGTTTGTCTGCCACTCCTTGAGCGTCGCGAACCGGCGCGGCAGCTCGGCGCGCTCGTAGAGAATCGTCTGCACTTCGGATTGCAGACGGCGGATCTGGAAGATGTGCACGGCTACCTGCTTGTATGAAGGCGGCGTGTCTTCGGGCGGCTTCACGATTCCTTCAGAAGTGATGAAGACGTCGTCGAGGTCGCTCGGGAAGGGCACCTTAATGCTGTTATCTGCGATTCCAAACGGTCGGCCGAGGTAGACGCACACCTGTCTGTCCATCGCGTACGTGCACCAAAACAGTCGCCGTCTGAGATCGAGCGTGCGCGCGTCAAACGGATCAGACTCCTTGCTCGAGCCCTGGCCGTTCTTGGGCACGATGTTGGTGCCGGACCATGACTTGACGCCGCCTTCTACGTGTAATCCCAGATCGACGCAGAGACGGAGCGCAACTCCGAGCACATACCACACGCCAGGAACTGCGGGCCGCATGATGGAGTAGAGACCGAGAAGTAGGATTCCTTGCAAGGACTCCAATCTGTCCGGTGAGGCAAACACAGGCTCGATGTAGCGCATCGCGGCGGCATGGTAGGATTCACACAAGAGTGCGGGGTACTGCTGCTGATGGACGGCGACGCCGATGGCAAAGATCAGGTTGAGGAAATAGAGCGACCTGTGCATCTCTGGAGAGTCCGCAGGGTGGTGCTCGTGGGTTGTGCCGTTGGTAAAAGGAGGATGGGGATTGCTGTGGGCGGTGCCGTTTCCGTTGCTGGAAGCGCCGGATGCTGTCGCGGATTGTTGAATCTTTGCGTCTGATTTCAGACTGTCAAACATAGAAGGCGACGGCAGTTCTACCTTTACGCTTTCGCGGGTCTCGGTCGGCGAGCCAGCGGCCGACGACGAGACCGAGTCGTTTCGCACGTTGTTGAGGTTTGCCAACTTTGTCTGCACCGAGTACGCGCCGTAGACGGGTTCAAAGTACGAGTGGATAAAGTCGTCGCGGTGGAAGATGGGGATCTGAGCGTTTGCCTGGTTGAAAAACACTTCGAGCAGGGTCTCGGCGACTTCCTTGGACGGCAGTGACGCCGATTGGATCTTGACCGGTTTCTGACGGACGGTCATGTCGGGCTGCTCGGAGGAGGCGATCGACATTGCTGCGGAGGGGATTTCCTGGCCGCGAAGCTTGACGGCGGCGAACATGAGACGCGCGAATGAGATGCCGGAGGATAGTCCGAGGAAGGAAGGCGAGCTGAGCGTGCTTGAACCTTTCATTGACACAAGACCGACTGTAGAGACCAGCGAGTCGACGTCCTTCGGTGTCTGTCTTTCGGTGGTCGTTGTGGCCGCGGCCGCGCCAGATTCGGTCTTGACGGCGGCGGCGGTGGCAGGGTCGTTGGAGTTGGTGGTGGGGTCTCGATTCGGGCGGTTCGAGGTGGATTCGGAGGGGTCGATGGGGATTCCCTGGTTCTGGAGCTGGATTTCGAGGAAAGCGACACGGTCTTCGAGGTGGGCGATGTAGCTGTGGGATTGTTAGTGTGTGTAGAAAGATTAAACGCAGCTTGGATTGTCGTTGCCATTGCAATGCAGCGCCCCTCAACAGAGCACAAACAAAGCACAACCAACCAACAGGATCAAAGCAGTGAAAGAAGAGAAATTGAGCGAGTGGGTGTACCTTCGCGGGACCTCGCGGCCGGTTGCGGCGTCAAGGCCGACGCACTCGACGCCGGCCTTGAGACAGGCGGAGCAGGAGGGGAACTTCTGGTCGCACTTTGTCTTTCGCGAGCGACATCGGGAGCAGGCGGAGATGATGCGGGTGAGGTGGTTCGGAGCGGGGCCGTTGCCGGTGGAGGCGGAGGACGTCATCTTTGCCGATGAGGAGGAGGAGGAGGAGGAGGAGGAGGAAGCGGCGGCAGCGGAGGAGGCAGCGCGGTCGCCGGATGACTTCGAGTTGTACTGCTTGTGTGCACGATTTGGGCCGTCCTTTCCGGCCTTCATGAAGGGCAGGACAGAGGCGGCAGGTGGAGGGGAGGATTGGAGGGAGCGGTGGTGGTGCTGAGTTTTTCGTGGAGGGGACGAGGAGAGTTGTGGGCCTGGCGCAAATGGAGAAACCCTGCGCCCTGAGACCAGGCAGCCGGGCGATATCGTCGGAAGGCTACGCGGGGAGAAGAGAAGAGGGATGATTAAGAAGAAGAAGAGGGTGGACTGTACTGTTTTATGGGATTATTCTGCAGATAATGGAAGCAGCAGATGGACAATTGAGGAAGGAGTCCGCTCAGCAGCGTCGACATCGGCCACGGCAGCGAATCGCGGGCTGGCCAGTGCATCTGTTGATGGTCCTCCCGCCGCCACCGCCATTGAGGAGCTGGGCTGGTGCTGGTGCTGTTCAGTGCTGATTAGTAAAAGCAAAAGACGTTGCTTATCGGCGGGGAGAACTGCTGCTGGAGCTGCGGCATATTCTCATTCTGTCTTCCATCTTCCATCTTCCATCTTCCATCTTCTATCTTCATCATCTGGTTGATCGGTGCAGCCGACGCCGAGTCAGATTCGGTCGGGCTGAGCTCAGACAGGAGATCTTCTTTCTTCGTCGTCGTTGTCTGGTTCGATGAGGATAAAAGCATCGTAGATTAGACCCTGTATGCACCTGTCTCGGCCGGGCTTGGGGTATTTGTTCTTCTACTCTCTCTGCTTCTTCTTCTCTTCTCCTCTTCTCCTCTTCTCTCTTCTATCCTGATAAGACTGCACAGTGTGATCAGCAGGCTGGCTGCATCCCAGCACTCGTCCAGCACTCAGCCATCCGCCCGATATCGCTATCTGTCGCGTGCCCCTCCGCTCTGATGCTCACCATCCCCGTCCTCCACCTCTCCTCACCCACTCACTCTCCTCCTCATCTCATCCACTCCACCACCTCTTCTCAGTTCATTCCCGGGCAGCTCGTGTTGCTTATCTCCACCCTTCATGACTCAGTCACGGTCATCTCAGCAACCCTACCTTATCTCTGTTAGTCATTGCTGATCTAACTACACTATACCTCATTCAGAGCCCTAACATGCTACCAACATTAGTCATCGGTTATCTCATGTCTATCTCCACTTCATCGTAGATCAGCATCTCTCCTAATTCACTTCTCTTCTACATCTCAGAAGCAGTTGCAGTAATATCATGTGTATAAGGCGCATTAATTAATCTTCGGCAGGTAATATTGTACATCGTGGCAATCAAACAGCATCATCAACATACCAACTCCCACCTCACCTCTCTCATCAGACATTATTCGTTAATCCTCAGAACCCAAACAGTCCCTTTCTTTTCCTCTGCCCCGGAATCTCGAGTCCCGGAACTATGACCGAGTCCGCAGACACATCCCCGTCGTCGTTCACCTGCACCTTCTCCTGCGCCTTCTCCTGCAGCTCCTCGTGCACTAGCCTGTCACACCCCGACTTTGCTCTAAACTCCCGGATCCGATCCATCATCCACCCCGACGTCACCTTCTTTGTATCGTCAAACAGGTCGTCGCCTTGTCGGAGCCGCTTGTGGCCCAACCGCACCGACTCGCTCAGCGCGCACATCCCGGTCTGGTACCGCCACCCCAGACACTCGCTCCACGCCTCGCAGTACGCGACGCAGTTCTCGAGCGACTCGTGCGCGGGCGCGTCGATCGCCTTCGGGTCGGTGGGCGAGTACTTGCGGTCGTCGGACCGGTTGTCCCAGTCCTCGACGCGTCCTTCTGTCATGTACGGCCGCATGAACCAGTGGAACACGTCCGAGTAGGTGATATACTCGTCCTTGTCATGCTTGCTCTTCCAGTCGCGCTCAAACTCGTGCAGCCGCTGGATGTCCTGCTGGTCGACGTGGTGGAACGACATGATCGGCTTACACCAGTTAGCTGCTTTCGCCTTGACGATCGCGGGCGGCTCGCCCAGGAACTTGAAGTTCGCATACGGGTACTCGTCGATCCCCTTTGCGATCTTGATGCCGCTGTCGTAAAGCGCGTGGGCGACCATCAGGTCGCCGCAGCAGGTCTTGATGGTCTTGGCCTCGTACTGCTTATAGTACTGCGGATCCTTGCCGAACGAGCGCAGCATCGCGCCGCGCGAGATTACAACCACCGAGCCGCCGTGGGCGAACTGCACTGGCGGCTGGCCGGCGGGCGAGCCCATGTACAGCGCGTGGCGGTGGTCGAGAGTGCGGAGCCAGTTCATGAGCGGCGTCCAGAGCACGTACGAGTCCGCGTCCATGAAGATGAACCATTTCGCGTCCGGGCGCGTGGCCCAGGCGTGCTGGAGCATGGGCAGGTTCTTGTACTTGTCCAGGTTCCAGCCCTTTTTGCTGCCCGTGATTGCGCCGTTCTTCTCCGGGATGACGTTGTAGTGGCCGGCCTGCATTTCCTGCTGGATGCGGTAGATTTCAAAGTCTTCGGTCAGCTTGAGCGGCTCGGATACGTTCTGGAGGGTGTCGACGACGTGGTGGTCGCCGACGGTCTCGGCCATGTCGGAGTAGACCTGGAAGTAGGGCACCTGCTTGAACGTGGTCATGAAGTGCACGGGGAGCCGTTTCCAGAGCACGGTGGCGCCGGTCTTGACCATGAGGTAGACGTCCTCGATGCCTTCGGGGTAGTCCGTCTGGACGATGCTGGGGGAGCCGGGCGCAGGGTGAGGGAGCTCGGTGCGCGAGACGTGGGGCGGGTCTGGTGCGGAGAGGGCGATGATGGATTGGGTTTTGTTTGGGCCGAGACGGGCCATGAAGGAGAAGAAGGAGAAGAGGGAGAAGATGGAGATGGCGGCGATGATGAGGAAGGTCACGCGTTTGTTCACGAGGGCTGTGGTCGAGTCAGTGAGATGAAAAGATGAAGGGGGGGAGGGGTGGTGATACTTGTGCGTTTGCCGTCCATGGCGGTGAGTATCCGCATACGCAGCTGGCGATGGATATCGCTTAGCATCATGGGAGGAGGCGATAAGAGAGGAAGTACAGAAAATGGGGAGGAGTATGGAGAGAGGAAGAAGAGAAGAGGCGGGGAAGGCGATGATAAACGACGCGGTGAAGTGGCTCAGACGGTCCTTCACAGGCCAACGCTTTCCTCTACCCGCACGAGCAGCGACCAAAACCGATAAAAGTCCTCATCGATAAAGAAAATTCGGTGACGGTGGTCCGCCCGGGAAAGGCTCAGCACAGCGAGCTCGAGTTGCTATCAGCCGGTTCGGGCGGGTCAGGAACGCAGCCGTGCGCGAAGGAGGCGCCGCGCGTGGGATTCGCTGACCTGGCGGGTTTGACAATGCGGACCCGGCGAGGAAACCAAGCTGGTGTATTTCTGATACTTGGATTAGTAATTGTTCTTGTCACCGTGATGATAAGCTGCTGTCTTCTGTCTCTGTCTACTGTCTACTGTCTACTGTCTACTGTCTACTCTGTCTGTGATGTCTGTGATGTCTACTCTGTGTCTGCGAACTAGCCACGTACGGCTGACTAGTGCAGTGCAGCTCAACTGCTACTCCTCAAACAGCCTCGGCCCGTGAGAAGAACGAGGAACACTTATATTGTCTTCCAAGTAGCTCTGCACAAGTGCGGCGGTGTTGAGCTTCTTCGCTGCTCAGTCACGTTATTTACTCTGATTAATTCATTATAGCGCAATTTGAGCTTACTTCTCTGACATTTATAGTAGCAACTCTAGCAGTGTATGTATTTAATATATATATAAAACAGCAACAGCAACAGCAACATCTACACCTCAATCATGGCCGCCCGCGCAGGTCCAACACCAATATATCCAACCTTGACGCCCAAAAACTCCTCAATGAACTTGAGATACTCCTTCGTCGCCGCCGGCAGCTCCTCGTAAGTCCGGCACTCGGCTATGCTTGTCTTCCAGCCCTGCAGTGTGACGTACTCGACCTCCACCTTCTCGACCACGCGCAGGTCCTCCGGGAACGAGGTCAGTCGCTGGCCCTTGTAGTGGTACGCGACCGCCACCTTGATCTCCTCGAACCCGTCGAGCACGTCCAGTTTCGTGATGTTGATGCTCGTGAACCCGTTGATCCGCGCAGAGTACTTGAGCACCACCAGGTCGAGCCAGCCGCAGCGCCGCTTGCGCCCTGTCGTCACGCCGTACTCGGCACCCACGTCCTGCAGCGTCTCGCCGACCTCGTTCAGCTGCTCGGTCGGGAACGGGCCCGCGCCGACTCGCGTGGTGTAGGCTTTGACAACACCAATAACCTCCTTGATTGCCTGCGGCGGCAAGCCGAGACCGGTGCAGACGCCGCCGATCGACGTGTTGCTCGAGGTCACGTAGGGGTAGGTGCCAAAGTCGAGGTCGAGCATCAGCGCGTTCGCGCCTTCGACAAGAATCCGCTTCTTTGCGTCGAGCGCCTCGTGCATGAACGAGACCGCGTCGGTGACGTAGGGCCGCAGTTTGACCGCGAGCTGCTTGTAGCGCACGAGCTCGGCCTCGACGTCGTAGTCGAACTCGCCGTAGCGCTTCTTGAACGAGCTCACGAGCGAGCGGAAGAGAGACTCAAACTCCTCCCACGCACCGTCCTCCTCGGAGACGAGGTGGTGGACACGGATGCCGGATCGCGTGGCCTTGGTGGAGTAGGCTGGGCCGATGCCGCGGCGGGTGGTACCGAGCGCGCCGCCGGAGAGCTCGGCCTCATGCAGACCGTCTGCGATCTGGTGGACGTCGAAGACGAGGTGGCAGCGGGAGGAGACGAAGATGCGGTTGTCGGCGTTGAGGCCCTTGGAGACGATTGCCTCGAGTTCGGAGAAGAACGAGGGGACGTGGACGACGACGCCGGAGCCGATGAGGTTGACGCACTCGGGGTTGACGAGGCCGGAGGGGAGCATGTGGAAGTCATACTTGATGCCATTGACGACGATGGTGTGGCCTGCGTTGTTGCCGCCCTGGAGATTAAGAGTCAGTAAGGAGATGAGGAAGAGCAGGAGGAGGAGGACTAACCTGGCAACGAGCACAGACATCAATCTTGTCGCAGAGGATGTCGACGAGCTTGCCCTTTCCTTCGTCGCCCCATTGCGAGCCGATGACGACGGAAGCCATGATGATAGTAGAGAAGAGAAGAAGAAGAAGAAGAAGAACTAGCGATTGAGAAGAAGAAGAAGACAACAATCCTCCAATTGGAACGAGAAAAAGACCAGAGAAGAGTGGAGTCCGGGCATCGCGAGTTTTGAGAAGAGAAAAGGTTTTCAGTTCAGGGCCGCCGAGCAGATTTAAAGAAAAAGATTTTAATTCTGAGAAATTCGCCGGTGCTGAGGTTTACACTAAGAAGACTACTTAAACCGCCGCTCGTCCACTTCTCTTCTTCTTCTTCTCTTCAACTTACATAAAACATATTTCCCGTCTGGATTACCAGCGGCGTCGATTTTGTCTCTGTTCGTTAGATCTGCACAAATGGCCGGACGAAGATTATCTGTTTATTGCCGCTGCTTTATATAATCCAGGTTTGCTGGTAGTGGTCTTTGATCTCTGCAGTGGTATTCTTGGTTCGCTCGGTGGCTACATGTTATTAGAGTAGTGTAGATTGAATATTCTTTGTATATAGTATCTGTATCTGTATCTTATATCTATATCTTATATCTATATCTTATATCTATATCTTATATCTGTAATAGAATCGTATATCAAATATCAAGTATTGCTCCACCCAGGTTAGGGCACCATCTCCCACTTCCAACTCCACCCCTTCTCACCCCCTTCCTCACCTTCCCCCATCCTGATCACCCTCCTCTCCTCTTCACCACCTCATCTCCTCCTCTTCTTCCAGACCCGCGTCTGTAGCCGCTCATGTCGGCCTCAGCGCCCGTCGAGCGCTCTCGCAGCAACTCAGAGTCCATCGTAACCCAGTCCTCCCGCGCTGCCAAACGCATGGGCTTCGTCGTCTCCCGCAGAAACCAGGATCTCTCAAACGTGCCTGAGCTCTCCCGCGCGACCTCTGATCGCATTCTCTCTTCTTCTTCTTCTGCTGCTGTTTTTTCTGGATCAGCACTGTCGTCATCTCACAACACCGCCCCATCCAGTGCTACCAGCAGTGCTACCAGCACTACCACCAGCACTACCAGAGCAACCTCCTCCTCAAGAGCTCCTCCGCCACAAATACCCCCCTCCTTCTCATTCTCCTCCTCCTCCTCCTCCTCCGCAAACGGCATCTCGCCACACCACCTCCCACCCCGCCCATCCCTCTCCCCGTCCTCCTCCACAGACGCACCCCACACCAACGCCACTCTCGCTCCCGCCTCCTCCTCAAGCTACAAATATCGACAGCACTCCCGCGGTATATCGCACGACTCAATCATGGAGTTCTCATACCCTGCAATCGGCGAGCGCGGCGGTAATCCGCTCCCCGCACCCGGCTCGGTCCCGCTCGCAGCCACCTCGAGCTCGTCTTCAAACTCCTCTACCTCAAGCAACCACTCCACACACACCATCCGCGACCGCGACCGCAACGATTCCGCCGCGTCTTCAAGCTCGACCGTTTCCGGATCCACAGTCACCTCCGCTGCCAGCGGCAAGAGTCATAAATGCCACAAGAGCCACAAGAGCAACGGCAGCGCCGGCTTCGGCGTCAAAGAAGCTTCAAACCTCGATGTCGAGTCGCAACCCAATGCGTACTTTAAGCGATTGTCGGTCATGAAAGAAGAGCATCCTCATCTGACTGTTCCGTCGCCGACCGCCGCGACTTTCCCTGCCACCGCGCATGCCAGCCACGCACAGTCGTCGATGATTATGTTTTCTACGCAGATCGTCGAGTCTTCCCGAAGTATCCTCTTCTCAATCTCGCAGCTACTACCCGCAGTCCGTCATTTTCTCGCCTTTTGCGACGACAAAAAACTCTCCTCCGTGCTCGCAAATATTATCTACGGATCAAAGATCCAGATTGATAATCTCGTTCGCTCGCTAGAGCACCACGACGCTCTTCTTGCCTCTACCTCCGCAAACGCGGCAGCCGCGGCGGCGGCGGCAGCGGCGGGGGGCAAAACGGCCGCTCGCGGAACCCCGCCGATAGCTGCCGCGCACTCTATCGAGCCCGTGATCCACGCGACGCTGACCTGTCTGCACACGTTCAAGCACGTTGTTTCGCTGGTGCAAGGCAACATCCGCTCGCTAGCATCGCGGGCAGAGATCAGGCACACGCGATCGTTTTTCCTGCTGCTGTTTGGCACGCTGGCGGAAGTGCGCAACGCGTGGAATACTCTGCTGCCTGCGCTCGAAGAGTGTCGCACGCCGGTCTATTCCTACCTTTCAAACAATGGGGGTGGGGGTGGCAAAGTGCTCGCGAGCGTTGTGCGGTCGCAGTCCGCTGCGCGCCAGCGATCGCCGCAGCCATTGCAGTACACATCAGCTCCACCGCATCTGTCGTCGCCGAACGGGCTTGCGACACCGAATCCGTCTACGCTGACGATCGAAAACATGCCGCCGCCGCTTCTGCCGTCGTCGATGAATCTCCCGACGCCTTCGTTCCTGCCGCAGACGCCGCACTCTATCGGGTCCCAGAAAAAGATCCCGCCGGCGATCATCACGTCGCTGGGCGGACCTGCCGTCCAGCATCCGCCTACGCCAGGATACTTTGCGACCGGCGTCGGCGGGCCTGCGATCATGAGTCCGACCGTGGGCTCGTACTACGTACCCTCAACTCCGATGGAGAGCGGTCCCGTGGCGTTTCATTTCCCTATGGAGCCATCGGAAGGCGACGACGAGTTATTTGACCGGATCAACAACGCGATCCAGTCCGCGAACTCGGTGCTTTCGCTCGTGCTGGGTGGTATTGCGGCCGAGGTGGGCAGCGGCGGCGGGGAAAAGGAGCAGCCGGATTATAAGATGCTTGATTTGCGGAGTATGTGTGAGATGGGGCTTGATATCACTGGGCAGTTGAAGGTTCGGTTGACTACGATCCGCGACGGGGATTATGGTGAGCGGCAGAGGTTTGGGGAGGAGACGAATACGTTTGTTAGAGTATGTTTTTTCTTATTCTTTGTTTATCAGTGGTTTGAGGAAATGGCTAACATTGGAATAGGTCATCATCAACATTTTGGAGTTCACAAAGACGATTCTGAGCGACTACAACTTCCTAAGCGAAGCTCGACCGCAACTATCCTCGCTGACGCGGGTGACCAAAGAAGTGCTCACCGGCGCCCTGCGACCGAGTGAAAAGTCTTCGGCCACTGCCGCGTCCACGATGGTGGCTACTCCGAACCCGACTTCCAGCTGAATCTAGCTGAAAAAAACGACTTTTATATAATGATTACTGATGATGAATCGACGGAGATGAAATGGGAGTATTTGGGATCAATGGACGGGCTAAAAGGCGCATATATAGATGAAATGGATACCTCTGGATCTATATGATTTGTGTTTTTACGACTATATATATATATACAAGCCCATGCCTGGGATCGAGCTGCCGCCGCGCTTTGAATGCTGGGAGTGGGCGAGAGCAGGTGTGGGTGCATTACTGAAAGTGTACATGTGTTTTTTCATCTATTTCTTTCGTTTATTATACAGGGCGTTCGTTTGCTGTTATGATTATTAGATATCGTGAATTTTAAGTACATATTCATCCTTTATTCTGTTTATCCACCTGAGTATACTATGGTAGGATATGTATTCTTTATCAACATTTTACGTTGATTTTTAGTGGGCAAAATAGTGACGAGAAAGAAAAACTCGCCCGCCAACAACCGAAAGTCGCTGCTGCCGCTTTTTTTATATTTTTAACTTCACGTGGCTCTCAATATGAAGAAGTGAAGAAAAGCAATTTAGTATCTCTACAAAGCATTTTCTTTACTATTTTCTCTATTTTCTCTCTGCGGTTTTCTTTCTTATAAAAAGAAGAGAGGACGAAGGAGTGATTACTATCTTTACGGAGGACAGAGAATAGGTGGTCATCGCGCAGGATCAGTGCTGCTGCGTTTAACTTCTTCAGTCTGTGCACGCCCGAGCAGCCAGCACCAGCAGCAACTTCCAGCGTCTCAAACTTGTCGAGTCTTTGTCTTTCTTTTCCTTGTCAAGTGTCGTTATGGCTTCTTCGTCTTGGCCGCGGCAGTCCTCAGAGGTGCCGATACTTCACAGCTCGCGGAGTAGTCAATCATTAAATCTCGAAGAGCAGCAATTCACATCACCCACCACCACCACCGACGACACTTCCCACCCCGACTTCAACCGACCGCGCGCGACCCACAGTTTCGACTACCGTCTCGAAGACGACGACCCGTTAGCAGACGACGGCGCGCTCTCGAGTCCCTTCCGGTCGCAGCACGAGAGCCTGCTGTCGCGGATCGAGGCCCCCGCCGTGACGCTGGCCGGGATCGAGTCTGATGTGCCGGACGGCGCGCTTCCTGGGAGTCCGCCGGCGGAGAAGAATGGGATGAAGATGGCGTTTATGAATATGGCGAATAGTATCATTGGCGCGGGGATCATTGGGCAGCCGTATGCGATGCTGCAGTGTGGGTTGGTTGCGGGTGTTACGTTGTTGATCGTGCTCACCTTTGTGATTGACTGGACTATAAGGTATTCCTCCCCATCACCTTATTTATAAAACTACACACTCTAACTTTACAGGTTGATGGTCGTGAATGCAAAGCTGTCCGGGACAAACAGTTACCAAGCGACGGTATCAGCCTGCTTCGGGCGCGGCGGCTACCTCGCGATCTCGCTCGCGCAGGGTCTTTTCGCCTTTGGCGGCTCGATCGCCTTCACCGTCATCATCGGCGACACGATCCCGCACGTCATGCTCGCGCTCTTTCCCGGCGCGGCGAATATCCCCGTGCTGAACCTGCTGACGATGCGCAGCCCGGTGATGATCATCTGCGTGCTGTTTATCTCGTTCCCGCTCAGTCTGAGCAAGAACATTGCCAACCTGGCAAAGGCGTCGCTGATGGCGCTGATCAGTATGTTTGTCATCATCATCTCCGTCGTCGTCGAGGGCATCCGCGCGCCGAGCGAGCTCAGAGGGAACTTTTCGACCCCGCTCTGGACTATCAATTCCGGCGTGTTCCAGGGCATCGGCGTCATCTCCTTTGCGTTTGTATGCCACCACAACTCGCTGCTGATCTACGGCGCCCTACGAAAACCCACGCTCGACCGCTTCGCCCGCGTCACGCACTGGAGCACAGGCGTATCGATGCTCGCATGCATGACGCTCGCGCTGGCGGGTTTTCTCAGTTTCGGCGACCGCACGGACGGCAACGTGCTCAACAACTTTGACGCGTCAAACGTGATGATCAACATCGCGCGCTTCTGCTTCGGCTTCAACATGCTCACCACTTTCCCGCTCGAGATCTTTGTCTGCCGCGAAGTCCTGCTCGATTACATCTACTCCACATTCATCCCCCTCCCCTCCCCTTCATCCACATCCGCATCCTCCCCCTCCTCCCCCTCCTCACCAATAATCGACCCCTTCGCGCCCCGCGAACCCTCCCTCCGCGCCCACCGCCTGACAACAGCAGGCCTAACCATCATCACCCTCCTCGTCGCCCTCGTCGTCGGCAACCTCGGCATCGTGCTCGAAGTCGTGGGGTCCACATCGGCCTGCATGCTCGCGTACATCCTCCCGCCGCTATGCTACCTCAAGCTCGCGTCGTCGCAGGAAAGCAGGCGGTGGCGCGCGCGCGCGGGACCGATTGCGTGCGTGGTGTTTGGGGTCACGGTCATGGTTGTTTCGACGGGGCTGTCGATTGCGAAGGCGTTCGATTAGTTCAAAAGTGTTTTTGTACTTGTTCTCGTATTTGTTTTTGGTTTGTATATATGGCATAGAGGTCGTCGTTCATTCTAGACATGAAATTATAGATTTCCTGGTGCTTGAAGATGATAAAAAACAGTATCACTCAAAACAGAACGAGGCGACAGTTGTATATTTTCGGGCGTTGTTTATAGAGCTAGTTATAGAGAATTAATTGCATTGCTTTACCCTTTTGTCGATTTCAGTTGCTGGCTTTACAAAAGTTACAAGAAGGCACGTGGGATGTAGTGTAGCTAATTTCCATTCAAAGGTAAAGTCATAAACCCGCGCCATCGCGGTGGTTATAATACAGTCAATCAATCAATCAATCACACTAGAAATACAAAAAACGAAAAAGGAGCAAGCAGAGTCGAGGTCAAAAGGTATAAGCATACAGAGGAGAGGTAGAGGAAGAGGAAGAAACGTGATCAGTTATAAAACGACGCGTTGCATTTTTCGCGGTAGTAAGTGATAGCACCACGGACCGCATGCGCAGGGGACGTTGTTGATGCGAGGAGCGGAGTGGTCGTCGCAGTATCTGCGTCGTTCTGGATCTCGTGCTGCAAAGACTCGTCGTCCTCGTCCTCGTCGTCGATGTCAGTCACATTCGCAAACTCATCACTACTAAACGAAAACTCCTGCTTGCGATGTTGCGTAGTCTCATCTGCATGCTCTGTATCCTGCATTTGCGCAGATACGCGACGACGACGTTGGCTGCCAAAGTAGGTCGCTAGACTATCCCAATACGACGACGAGGGCATAGACGGCGAACCTAGATGTACTTTCATTTCCTGCAATTTGTCGCCTAGATCTGCGCAGGTCTTGAGCTCTGTCTCGGACGGTGATGCTTCTTCGTCAACGACAGCGGCGGCGGCGGCGGCGGCGGCGGCGGCGAAGGAGTTATCAGCAGTAACTACCCGACCACCTATCTCAGAAACCGCGGGGACACCATCCGACCGCACCTCAGACAAACAAACTGCCCCTCCGCGCGCGTGTTTCTGGATAAACTCCGAGACCACGGCGCCAAGCGACTTTGCAGAGAAACTGCTATCTTCGTCCTCGTCCTCGCTTCCGCTGAAACTTTCTTTCCCTCTTTCAGCGACGACGCGGTCGATGGCGCGGTGGTCTCGGTCCGAGATCTCGACTGAGGCGTCGGTGATTCGGTCTGGCAGCGAGCGACGGGGGATGATGGGCTCTGCGGTGGAGGGCAAGGAGGAAGACGAATATTTGAACCATTTGAAGCCGGAGATGAGGTCAGGAGAGATGATGTGCGAGATGTCGTTCGTCAGGGGATCGTCGGTAGTCTCATCAGCTAGCTCGGAGTCTGCGTCAGCATTGGCTGCTGTTTGCGCCATGAGGTGCTGGGCTTCGGGGACGGAGATGAAGCCAAGTGAGAGAAGTGAGCGATCGACTCCTGAAATGTCTTGCTGCTTTACTGAATCATCTCCAAGAGCGGTATCCGGTGACGTCCCAACCGCACTACTATCAGAGCTATGCTCCGACGAGTCGTCATTGACAATCTCCATATCAACTTCAGCGCAATCTCCTTCCAGATCCCCAACGCAGCTCTCGACAATACTCATATTCCTCTCTATCAGCCTCCGTTTCCGCTCCCACTCTTTCTCCTCCCACTCGTCCGTCTCCTCCTCGACCTCCTCAATCGGATCCCGCAGCTCGGGCACGAACCGCGCGCGCGGCCATTTAGACGCACAGTCCGTCACAAACACAGCATCAGCTGGATCCTGCGGTATTTCCTCGCGGCTCAGCAGCAGGGCGGGATCGCAGAGGATCTGCGCGCCGGCATACGACTTTGATAGCGTCTGCCGGAGATGCTCTTCGAGCTGGGAAATAAATTCGTCGTCGGCGTTGAAAAAATCATCAGCTTCGGGCGCGGAGGAGGATGAATATACCCAGTTGCCGTCCTCGATGGGTGTGAAGTTGAGAGACAGATTTTCAGAACAGGTTTGGTAGAGGATATTCTGGTATCGCGCGAGAGAATTTGGATCGATGCCGATTTCGGACAGCGAGATTTGTGCAATGTCGTGGTAGAGTAGTTGAGTTGCAGATTCAGAGCGGGTATCAGCAGCTTCACAGACGAATGATTCAGAGATGACAGGTTGTTCGAGGTTGCTGAACGAGCGGGCGGATTTCTTGGAGCGGCGACGGCTGCTGGTTCCGAATAACCAGTGACGGAAAGAGTGTTTGCGCAGCGTGGTCTTGTTGTCCTCACTCACTTCGTCCGCCGAAGACTCTGGTAAATCAGCAAAAGCTGTATCAGCAGCAGCACTGCCGCTTCCCTCTTCGGGCTGATCCTCCCGCCGCTCCTGATCCTTGCGCTCTTCCTCTTTGGTATCCTTATCCCCCGCCCTGCGCCGGTGAAACGGGCGACTTAGCGAGAGTTTCCAAGTACCGCGTTCTTTCTTAAGACCGCTTGATGGAGAGGAGAGATTGTCAGGTATATGCTGCTCTGGGTCTTGCTTGGGAGGGTCGACCGGTTCCTCTGCTTCTTCGCCCGAGGGAGGATTACTATAATCATCAGCAGCTGCTGCCGGCGTATTCAACGGTCCCGGAAACGGAGGCATATCATTCTCGTCAATCTCAAAAATACTCTTGGCATTCCTCCTCTATATATCAAAACCATGTTAGCCACCACTCCACACCTCCTCATCAAAACAAAGTGAGAAAACAAGCTTTGTGATTAATAGACCGCCTGGAGAATATATTTCGTTTCTTGATAGTCGAGTGTCTACCCGGCGGAATAAACGGCGCCACAGAGGCGGTGAAGGTAACTGCTTGCTCCGGCGTGAAGATGGTTTGCGCGAGACTGGTGTCGGCGGGGTCGGTCGAGGGGGTGGATGGGGTCTATTCCATGCAAAATGTCAGTCAGCTGCCAGCTCAACAGAGTGTATAGCAAGACCAGAAGTCTGGAGATAAAAAGGGTATATACAGTATGCGGACTAAAGAGCCTCGCGAGGGACTTGAACACGCTCATTCTTGCTCTTGTATCGGGTATAACCACAGATGAAGATCAACAGAGAACAGACGAGACTACTTTACAATCTCGATGGGCACTTCAACTCCTCAGCACAACCACACAAATTATCAAAACAGTCAACAGTCAACAGTGTCTACACAAACAGCCTCAGCAACAGTCTTCCTCTCAATCGCAGCAGTCGCATCCAAACCAAATCCCAGGCAGTTCCAGAATCCGCCCGGCCCGTTTTCTCGCCTAACAATCAAACTTTAATCGCAACTCCCGCTGACATTCAAAAACGGGGTTTGTAGGTGAGGGTGCGGCTCGCGCTTGGGAGTTTGACAACTTTTTTTTCAGCGCGGAAGGAATTTTACTGCTGAGAAAGGTAGAAGGCAGCTACACCGCACGACGAGAGAAAGGAATAAGTTGTCGTGAAGTTGAGGTTATTATACATCATGGCAAAAGGAAGTAAAGCCAAGAAGGCAACGACGGCAGGTGCTGCGTCGAAGCGGTTTGAAGCAGCGCTGCAGCAGGTCGAGAAGACTGCGAACGCGAGCGATAGTGATTCGGGCGATAGCTTTCTCGATGATGATGAGCCTGAAGAGGAGATTAGTGATGATGATGAGAGCGGGAGTGTTGATGAGTTTGGAATGCTGAAGTTTGGAGGGAAGGAGAAGGGAGAAGTGGATGATGATGAAGCGGATAGTGGCGATGAGTTTGCTGGTTTTGACGACGACGGAAGCAGCCACGAGCAGACCAAATCAGACGACTCAGCCTCAGACGAAGAAGAGGAAGAGGAAGAGGAAGGCCAGGCAGGCTACGACTCAGACTCCGACAACGAAAACGGCGATCTCATGAACCTCAAGCACGCGCTCACTCATGCCGCCGAACGCGCTGCGGCAGAGAAAGCCGAACAAGAGCGCAAGATCCGCAAACGCAAGCTATACGGCGACTGGGCCGACAACGCGCCTCCACCGCTCAGCGACGACGATGAGGACGAGGACGAGGACGGGAAGCCCCGCGAGAAGAAGAAGAAGAAGGTCACGCTGGAGGATATTCGCGCACACACCTCGTCAGCGTTCGGCACGCGCGCGATCGCGCGGCTAGATGAACTCGAGAAACGCGCAAAGGGCAAGTCGGAAGTCGTCAAGGCGCGGCTCGGCCGGCGGATCGAGCAACGCGTTGACCGCGCGGCCGCGTACGAGATTGCAAAGACTGAGATCAGCAAGTGGGACGAGACCGTGCAACAGAACCGGCGCGCGGAGACGCTTGAGTTCCCGCTGCAGCAGAACCGGTCGGCTCCAGATAATGTCGCGCAGGGCATGGATGACGACGCGGAGTTTGCGGGGGAGACGCTCGTGCATCAGTTGGAAGGGCGGCAGGTTAGTCTGGAAGAGGTGCGGGCGCGGCGGAACGAGCTGCGGAGGATGCGCGAGATGATGTTTAGAGAGGAGATGAAGGCGCGGCGGGTGAAGAAGATCAAGAGTAAGACGTATCGGAAAGTGCATAAGCGCGAGCGCGAGCGCGAGGAGCAGGTCGCGGCGCAGCTTAATGGGGAGGATGAGGACGTTGACGACGACGAGGAGGGATACGACAAGCTTGTTGCGCGCGCGCGCGAGCGGATGCAGTTAAAGCACAAGAATACGAGCAAGTGGGCGCGCGATATGAAGCGCATGAGCTTGAACAAGGATAAGAGCAACCGGGCCGAGCTCGAAGAGATGCTGCGTCGGGGCGAGGAGTTGACGCAGAAGGTCGCCGGATCTGATGACGACAGCAGCGGCGACGAACTTCCGGAGGACAATGACGAAGACGAAGGAGAGAGTGCGTCGGGGTCGAAGAAAGCAAAGGGGATTATGCAGATGAAGTTTATGAAAGACGCCGAAGACAGGATAAGGAAAAGCAACCAGGAGGAAATCGCTGCGATCCGCCGGATGCAGGACGACGACGATGACGCGGAGGACCTCGAGGATCAGGGCGACACCGCGCGCGAAGTCATCAACGAAGGCCGTCGGCGCTACGGTCCCGGCGCTCTTGAAGCACAGGCGGAAGCACAGGCCGCGGTCGACAAGTCGAATGAGATGGAGGAAGACGATAGACCTTCGTCGATCATCAAGAAGCGAGGTCGGAATATCGAGATCCGCCATGTGCAGGACGATGACGATGACGCGCCGCAGAAGAAGAAGGGCGGGAAGAAAGCGAGTGCGGAAGATGCGGCGAACCCGTGGATTCAGGACGTCGATCCCGGATCTGTTACAAAAGGCGGCTCGCTGCGTGCTGTCGACAAGGATAGCTCGCGGAGCGAAAAGACAGAGGCCAAGCTGAAGCGCGCGCGGCAAAGATCCGCCAAAGCAGCCGCTGCCGCGGCCGACCCCGCGGAAGGCGACGTGCAGATCAACGTGAACGAGATTCTGCAGGTGCGCGGCGTTCACGATGAGGTCGATGGCGACGACGGCGAAGTTCCTGATGCGGCGGTGACGATGGTGGCTAAGAATGGCCGGACCGAGTTTCAGCAGAAGGAGCTTGTGAAGCGGGCGTTTGCGGGGATGATGTTGTGCGCGAGTTTGAGGAGGAGAAGAAGCATGTTGTTGAGGACGAGGGGGATAAGGAGATTGATGTTACGCTTCCTGGATGGGTATGCTGCTCTACTTGATTATTGCTTTACTTTTATGATATGCTAACGAGGTATACAGGGATCGTGGACTGGTATGGGAACCCGCAAGTCCAGCAAGCGGTTCATCGAGAAGGTCGACGGAATCAAGACCAAAGACCGAAAAGACCACAAACTCCAGAACGTGATCATCAACGAGAAATCGATAAAGAAGAGCGCAAAGTACATGACCGAGAAAGTACCCTACCCGTACGAGACGCGGGCGCAGTACGAGCGCGCGATGCGGATGCCGATTGGAAAGGAGTGGAGTACACAGTCTACGCTGCAGGAGGCGACGAAGCCGAGGGTTATTGTTAAGCCTGGCGTGGTTATTGATCCTCTGACGGCGCCGTTTTCGTAGGGAGGGAGAGCATGGACGAGGACGGATAAGAGGGTTATGGATGTCCAGGGTTAATACAACAGAAGTTCTCTAAAGCCCCCACGATCATGTAGAATATACAATAGCATCGACTGTCCTTTTCAATGACTTCTTACGGTAATAAGCAGCACTGAGAACATAGCCGGTGTAGTGTTTTAACAATAAACAAAAGACCGGCTGTAAGCAAACCTGAGTCGCAGTCAAAAAATTAGGCTTCGGTCGGCGCCGGGGAAGTGCGTGCCGAAATTCCACTGCGCTTCGTTCAAAAGTATGAAAGCAGTTCACGGCCCACCTCCGAGGTTCTTTATCTTTTCCTCATTGTTTTGTCGATAAGAGAATAAACAGACAAATTCAACAGCTCACAGCACAATCTAGAGAAAGAGCAATTGCGGATAATAAAGATGTCGACCGCTCCCGAGTACCATATCGATCAACCCTTCCTGACGCCGCACAATCTCCTGGGCGAAGGCCCGACCTACGTGCCCTCGACCGACGAGTTCTTCTTCCTCGACATCCACCGCTGCCAGATCGCGTACCTCAAGGTTCCTACCGACTCGGCGACCTACACCGTCGCTCCCTCGAACGAAGCCGGCGGCGCGCCCGCGATCGAGGTGTTTTCGACCTCGGCCGCGGTCGCTACCCGCACGACGTACCCCGACTCCCCGATCGGTGTGCTCGCGCTGCTGCCGGACTCTCCCGACCGGTTCCTGGTAGGAGCAAAGTACGGGTTCGCGGTTGCGTCGCCCAAGAAGAACGCGGAGCTGGAGTACAAGGCCGATGTGTACGCGAGCGATCCCGAGAAGCGGGCAATCATGCGGTTCAACGACGGCAACGTGGATCCTGCGGGCCGGTTTGTGGCCGGGTCGATGAAGCAGGAGAATCCGACGAGCGTGGGCTCGTTGTTCAAGCTTGAGACCGACGGCACGGCGTCAGTTATCTTTGACGAGTGCGCGATCCCGAACGGGCTGCAGTGGTCTGCGGACGGCAAGACGATGTTCCACATCGAGTCGACCAAGTTCACCGTGTTTGCGTACGACTACGACGTCAGCACGGGCACGGTGTCGAACAAGCGCCCGTTCGTGGTGTTTGACAACGGCGAGGAGTGCGACGGCATGACGATCTCCGAGCAAGGCGATCTCTTCATCGCGGTCTGGAACGGCAGACGCGTCGAGCAGCGGTGCTCAAAGACCGGCGCGCTCAAGGCGAAGTACTTCCTTCCCGCGGCGAGAGTTACTTGCCCTACGTTTGGCGGAAAGAACTTGGACGAGTTGTACGTGACTACGGCGTCGCTGCATGCGGACGATCTGGAGTATGTCTGGACGGAGGAGGACGCGAAGAAGGATCAGGGTGGTGAGATTTTCAAGTTTAAGATTCCGGGCCAGAACGGTGTGCCGAGGGGGGTGTACAAGGGTTCCATCTGAGCTTTGCTTCGATGATCTGTTTGATTTATGTTGAATTGATTATACAAGGTAGACAACATAACAAAATACACTAGAAATTAAAGTAAAAGACAGGTAGACATCATAACCAAAAAAATACACAAGAACCAAAAATGAATCAAAATAAAGACACGGGAATAAAACGAAATCAAACACCAAGTTCAACAAAATCGTACACTAACCGCTTCGTGAGCGGCTCCTTCAAAGACTTTGAAGTGAAATACAGTCTGACGACGTACTTTCGCTCAAACTTGCCCTCGTCGACCTCGATATCAGTGAACCCAAAGGTCTGGAACGATTCCCACTCGTAGCTCTTGGGCTGCGAAAGATCGCCTTTTGCGTATGCAAAGATAAGCTTTGCGTCGGCGTCCCATCCCTGGGCGAGGAACGGGCTGATCTTCGCGGCTTCGTCGGCGGTGGTGAATTCCGAGCGCGCGACGACGGGGCCAAAGACGGAGGAGACGCGCGCGCGCTCTTCGTTGTCGAGGATGCGGGGTTCTTCTGATTTGGCGCCGGCGGGGAGAAGTTGTTCGATGTCGAGGCGGACTAGGCCTTCGGTGTCGGTGAAGAATTGGAGTTTGAGGGTGATTGGGGCGAGTTTGAGCGCGTTGCGGACGATCCAGGAGACGCCCTGGACTTTGAGGACCTGTGGGGGTTAGCGGGGTGAATGATGAGATGGGATGATGATGAGCAGCAACAAGGGAGCGTACATCGTCGACGGCGGAAGAGAGGTCCTTGTTCTGCTTCAAGGTGACCTTGACGGTGACCGAGGGATCGTTGAAGTTGATTGTAGCAGGGACAGACATTGTGAGTTGAGAAGAAGGCAATTGAAGGAAGAAGGGTGATAGGAATGGGAAGAGGAAGAGAGAGGAGGAGAGAAGGCTATTATACCTCCACCGAGTCAACGAGCGACTAGCCGCTTGGCCTGCGCAGAGGCCCTCGTGCTTGTCCAGAGGAGGGGTCTGCGCTTCCCCACACCAAAAGCGCACGTGCGCGCGACGAGGGCGTGAACAAGGACTCGCGAACGTGAAGATGGCGTCGGTTGGCCAAGCGACCGCCGGCGATGGGCTCTCGAACAAGGACCCGGCCGCGGGCTTTAGGTTTGGCGAGCATGTGAAAGCTGGCAGATCAACTCAGCTCAGCCCGGTGCCTGGAGGCTGTTGATGGGACGACAAGACAACAGCGGCGATGTGTGTTGATATGAGCATGCAAAGGCAGTATCGTAGACCATCTACAAGTCCTCGGTCGTCTGCAGAAACATCACCCTGCTCGTCTTCTGCCCGAGGAAGCGCTTCTCCACCGCAGCGCGGCCGCGGTTGTCGCGACTATTCACTGCAAAGGTGATCTCGGCATCACGTGATATTACGACTGCCAACGAGGGCCAACGCTCGCCGGTGGAGCTGATCATAGTGAGTGAGTGAGTGAGTAAGTGAGTGTGAGTGAGTTGGAGATGGGTAGTTGATGTGGATTATCATAAAGGATCTTTATGATGAGTGAGAATAATGGGTCTGGGTGGGTTATCGTTGATCCGGCGGAGAGAGAACAATGGAGACCGACAGCAGGGCGACAGAGCAGAGTTTGGCAGATGAAGATCGTCGGAGAAGAAGTGAGCAGTTTAGTCATCTTCTTCTGTTCTATTTCAGTTAACTGCAATTGTCTAAAGAAGGATAAAAAGATGCTCAGAACAGCAACAAACAATGACCGTGACCTCACCGCCACATTTTTAGGCATCGGAATTTTGCGGAGACGCCACAGGCCACGCGAGAAGAACACTTCTACGCTGATTTCTTTTAGAATTGATTTCCTTTATATTCAATAAAGGCACTATTTACAATGAGACAGGAGATGATATCTAGATGGCAGGTCAATGCAAGGGCACAAGCACAAGACACAGGACCGCATAGAACGACGAAGCAAAGAGAAGAAATCTATTTTACACAAAACGAACCCACAATTATTTTGTCTGAACACCGTATATAACAACGACCAAGCAGCAGCAACAAATTCTAGACTGCTGCCGCTGAATCTCTTCGTAACCGTTCATAAACCACTGGACTAGCCAGCCGCCGACGCGTTCTCAGACGCTTAGGCAGTGGCCTCCTTGAGGTAGGTGACCAAGTCGTTTCTGTCCTTGGGCTTCTTGAGACCGGCAAAGGCCATCTTGGTACCGGGGATGTACTTCTTGGGGTTCTCGAGGTAGTCGAAGAGAGTGTCCTCGGCCCACAGGACACCAGCGCGCTTGTTGGCGTCGGTGTAGGTGTAGCCCTCGGCGTTGCCGGAGTTGCGGCCAAAGACACCGTGGAGGTTGGGGCCGACCTTGTTGGCACCGCCAGCCTCGACCTGGGAGGAGTTAGTCGGTGTTCTAAGCAGATAATATTAGAATAGAAGGATTGGTTTGACATACGGTGTGGCACTGAGCACAGCGGGTCTTGAAAAGGGAAGCACCCTTAGTAGCGTCACCTAAACAAACCGATTAGCATACAGTCAGACGCAGATCAACCCACAGCAAGTACACACCAGGAGCGTAAGGCATTGTAGATAGTAGTGATTGAAGTAGACAAGTAGAGCAGCAGAGGCAGACTTGGGGAAGAAGAGAAGGAGCAGCAAGAGTAGTCGAGTATTTTATACAGCACCGCAGCCGGTTTGGTTTTCGAACCTTTCCGATTGGCCGCCACTCGCTCCGACGTGGCGCAGCACCCAAGCCACATGGCTGCCTGGGCCTCCCCGGAGCCTTCCCGGCCAATCACGGGCCCCGCCGGAACCGCTTACTGCCTGTGCTCCTGGCTTTTCGGGCCTGGTGAATGGCCGGCGCGAAGGTGATGGCGTCATGGAACTTGCGAGACGACGGTGCTGCAGCGGCGGATGAGGGCGGGCTGCGGGCAGGCTGCTGGCTGAGTGGGGGAGGGGAAGATGTCCTTGTCTTCCTTAGGATGTCTTCCTTCTCAGTCCTCCTCAGTTGGTTGGATATCGTAGATGTATTAATATCTTGTATGCAGACAACAGTCCTATGCAGACCATTGACTCCCCTCTTTGTTTCTTAATAGCAACAATATATATCTCCTCATCTCCTAGCAGGACCACTATCTGATCGTGCTATGGGCAAGCAATGCAATGCTACTAAACGGCACCCCGTCATCATCTAAAATATCACTCACTTGTCTATGCACTTGTCAGCACATCTTCTCTCATCATACACCACTGTTAATAAATGCACAACTTACCGATCCGGCGACAGAATCTGGATGCCTCGAATATGTGTGTCTTTGCCGGTTTGGTGGTTCTGCAGTACACTCAGCCGGACTAGAAATGCTTTCAGATATCCACTTCACCCATCCACGTTAGTAACAATTCAAACAACCAACAAACATAACAGCAATAGAATAACAACAGACGTACTCCTTCCCCGCATGCGCAAGCGATATATTTATCCACCCCACCGGCTCCTCCAACCCCAGCGCCATAACCTCGTGCAAATCATGATACCCCGACCCCGCAAACACCGCGATCTTCGACGGCGTATACGACTCGTCCCGCTTGTAATCCAAATACAGCATGATCTTTGCAATCTCGACCCGCTTCGCGAAATGGATATCGACATGGTGCGGTTGCGGCGCGTCGGATTGCCAGTACAGATCCGTGTTTTCAGACAGCAGCGCCGTCACGCCGAACCCGGGCTTCCACGTCGACAGCGTCCAGATCGCTTGGTTGCCGATATCTTTGAGTGGAATCTCTGGCATCTGCTCCGCCGTCTCCGCACCAGTCGCTGCCCCTTCTCCTTGCTCATCATCATCATCCGCCTCGCGCTCATCAGACGCCATAACCTCGTCCTCATCCACGTACTCTGCGCCGACTTCCTCCTCGCCCACCGGCGGCGCATCCACAAACTCCTCTTCGCGCGAGCGGTCCATACTCTCGTCAAAATCACTCTGATACTCGTCTGCTCGTTGCCGACCTGTATTAAACGACGCCATCTCGCTAGCTTGTTAGCTTCGATCTCCCCCTTCTCTCTTATCTACTTGCGTGCGCACGTATTCGTCAATCCCTTTGCCTTCTTAATAGTTCTTCAACAACAATCAGTTATTCTCATAGGAAACAAGTCTTGCCGCACTAAATCATCTCGCGGACACTCTCACTTTGTCTTCATGCACTTTTTCTTAAGCGCGTCGAGTGCGCGTTGGGAGGATGCGGCTCACGTGGGTTCTGTATATGCGTAAACAAATCCCTGCGCGTGCTTGCTTCATTCTACTGCTTGCTACTCACATTTTCTGCTTCTCTGTACTGTTTTACACAAACGCAATTGAGGGGGCCGGCCATGTCACTGAACCGCAAGTCTACACCTTTTAATATAGAAGAAGGAAATGCATTATAGCAGGATTCTCACAAAGGGAAGAAGAAGGAGGTAGTTGACCCAGACGCCTTTATTGAGGTATTAGCAGCACTTTTATATATACAAATACACAGCCGAAACAGTTACAAACTCCCTTTACTAGTCAACCGGCATATCATCCCCTTCCTCCTCCTCATCCTCCTCATTGTCGTCAATATCAAAGACCATATACCGCTGACGATCGTCCGCCAGCACCGCCGCCACCCGTCGTCCGGGCCTGCCGTTCACCGCCAACGCAACCGGCACAAACTCCTCCGTAAACGCCCGCCTGTCGGCCCACTCCGGCACCAGCCTCTCCCGCTCCGAAGTTAGGTAGTGGTACAAGTCGCCGTCGGACAAGATATCCGTCGCAACGAGGGAGGCGTCGGGAAACGCGTCGGAGGTGGTGAATGTGCAGAGACTGGCCTGCGGCGGAGAGGAAGAGTCTGGAGAGGTGGCGTGGAATAAAAACATCATTTTCTCGTCGTCGACAAAGGTCATTGATTGCAGACGCTGTCCGGCACAGGAAAGCAGGGATGCATGAATCTGCGGCTTTGTAAGCTCATTGTGATGTTTCAAGATTTGCACCTTGATCATCATTACTGGATACCTAGGAGTTAGCAAAATAGTCGAAAAAAAAAAATAAAAGAAGAAGCACGTACTCGCTTCAGCATCCACATCAAACGAGATCGCAACAAACAATTCAGACCCGTCGCCCTCGCCCGCGACTACCCGCGTACACGCCTGCATCTTCTTCAGATTACAGTTATCTTTAATCCTCAACGGACTTCCAAATACCGCATGCTTCTTCATCGCGTTCGCAGACTCTGTGAATGCATGCACACAAAGCTTATCTAGATCCTTGATCATCGTCCGCAACTCGACCGGCTGGAAGTCCTGGTTAAAAATCTTTCTGCCAGAGCTGTCGTTTTTGGCCCAGTCTGGTGTGCCGGAGTCTATCGGCTGTGATTTTGACGCGGCGAGAACAGGTTCGGCGTAGCTCGAGAAGAATTGCTTGACGGTAGGCGCGCCGAGGTACTCTGTGATAAACGTCGCGACTTTTGTCGACTCGATCTTGGTATCGACTTCCTCGTCCGGCACTTCGGTGCTTGACATCTCGTCGAGCATGTACTTGAACCAACCGACAAAGTTCTTGAAGTAGTCGTACTCGGTGTTGGTCTCCCAGAGAAGTCGGTGTGCTGCCGTCATAAACTCTTGGAGTCTGCTGATGATGTTTTCTATCGCCTCCACGTTAAGTCCAAGATGCGTACCTCGTTCACGCCTTTACTATCGTCAGCTCACAGTCACACCCAAATGAACAAATCGAAAACGTACCACTCAGCAAGCCCACAGATTCGAGTAAGCATGACCACCGCCCTCTCGCACGCCGGAATCAGCGACTCCGCAACCAGCTTGCGAATATTCTCGTACCCCGTACCCGCGCTCTTCTTCCACGCCTTGACCAACCTCTCCGACACCGAGTCCGCCAGAAACTTCTTCATCGACTCGCTCGGCACGCCAAACAACAGCGTCTCCAGCAACCGCGCGTCGACAGGGCTGTCGTCCGCGCACGCCTGCAACGCTTCTTCTAGCGAGACCATCAACGCTCGCAGCGGTTTGAGCACGTTGCTAAATTCGGAGAGGATCGCGTCTGTTACGTTGCTGATGTAGTCCATCAGCGCTTTTATCCGCGTGGACGAGAACGAGATCAGAGCGAGGTCGGCGCCGAATCTGCGGATGAAATGCACGCGCAGAGGAAGGAGTACTATGCCGCCGCTGACCATCCTCGCCAGGAAGCCATGGAATGAAAGGTTATCTGTAGTGCAATGATCAATCGCAGTCAACTATTTCCTTGTCAGCAAAATCAGGTCTCGACATTGAAGTGAAAATACATACTTGTAATCTAGGCGGGAACGGCAGATTGGCGATTGTAAAGTTGCCAAAGATGTTGAATAGGACGTTACCCGCCGCCTCGCCGCTGACCAGAATATCGATCGGGACCGGGCTGTCGGTGTCGAACCTGGTATTGATCACACTATCCATTACGAATTTCGTCGCAAACAAGCTGTCTCTGTAGGGCACGCAGAGCTGTTAGACAATTGCGCACTTGACCAAAAAAACATGCAATAAGTAGATAAGACATACGGTGCCAAAGATGCAGGAATAGGACTCAGTTTCGGAATAATTGAGGTGACGTCGACATTAATCAGATTATCAAACTTGGTCGAGGAGCGCGTGCGGATCGCTTCCTTGCTTTCAGACACCCAGTTCAGGCAGACGACGGCGGATGGTGAGGTTCTCTGATGCAAGAGTTTGCCGTTGTTTGGGTCGCATATCCGGACTGAGCCATCGGCGCAGCCTAGTGCCAGAAGTTTTCCTAGAATACAGTCAGTGGTTGATCTGGGTCGAGCATCCTGCAGAGCTCACCATCAGGTTTCCAGGCCAGCTTCAAAATCTTCGCATTTGCCCCCTTCAACGTCATCCTCCACACCAACTGCCCAGTGATCCGATAGAGCATTATCGTCTTTGGATCAGGCGAGAACGTCATCAGATCCATAGTCGGACACCAGCTAAACAGACTGGTCTCGACAGGCACCTGCAGCAGTTTCTCGTACAGCACTCTGAACGCTTGAGGCGCAGCCGACGCAGCCTGATGCCCCGCGGCCTCGTCGCTTGCGTCAGCCATGTCGGCAGATATCCCTCTTGCAGTCTATTGTTTGCGCGGTCTGCGCTGAAATCACGAACGGTGCCTTCTTGTTTATGTTGTTGCTTAACCACACGACGCGGCTTGATCCTGGCTGTCGCGTTTGATTTGAATCGCATTGTCTGTGATGCGGAAGACGCGCGGAGGGGCCATCAGATAACCAAAACTGGTCAATAATCAAAATTACGTAATTTCATTAAATAGCCCCGCAATCGCTCTCTGCGACGGCGCATTGATTTTGTGGTTGATTAGGACCTGTTCGCGGACTGTTCCTGGTAGCTGAGGACCTTGCCGTGTAATTGTTGGTATTTTGAGTATGTGTTTTTACATATGACAAGTAAACAATGAAGCAGCAGCAGCAACAGCAGCAGCAGCAACGACCGCAACGACAGGTAATGTTCACGCCAGACCACCACGCTGTCTTCAGCACCTGCTTTCTGCACCACGACTGTTTCGGCTTTGACAAACCTCTCGCCGGCCCCGACAAGCAAAGCATTTTCAGATCGACGAGGTACATCAAGCTTGCGGCTGACTATGGCTATCGGGCCACGCTTGACTCGGTAAGTTTCATTGTTTGAGGTTTTTGCCAAGTTTTGAGGGCTCGTTGTATTTATCAGTTCCAGACGTTCTTTCAGAAAAGTGATGTCAGAAGGCAGATTCACTATGTCGTGCGGGCGATCAGCGCTTGCACTGCGCTCGAGGATCTTGGAGACCATAGACGGGCATACAAGCATGCGCTCGAGGTCATCCACGCTTACAGCACCGAGCCATACGTACGTACTTTTGTCAATTCTTCGTTTGCCTATTTGCTTACACATGAAGCGGTATAGGCGTATCTGATTGCAGAAATTGTTTTGCGACAATGGGGAAGACTTGACGACGCGATGGAGATGCGGCGGATAGCTGCTACTCTCGATATGCAGACCTCTGTGCTAAAAGATGTACGAGCCGTTTCTTGATTTCTAATCAAGTCTAGAGTGATACTAACAATCTTCTCTAGGAACGATTCGTGAATGAGAAATTCGTGCTAAAAGTCCACAGTCGACTATTTGAGACACACAACACGAAGCAGATGAACAGGAGAGCAAAAGCCGTCGCGAGCCGTGCATTCACCTTTTTCCACGCCTCCGCATCCACAGCCGTGCGCGTCGTCAAACGTAATTCCTTCTCTGGCGAGGACCGGCAAAAGCCGCTTTTGATCGACAAGCCGTCGCTGATCGATCCCATCGCGCATCTGCCTAGCGAGATCGGCGAGCTTATACTCTCGTACGTTGATTTTCGGCAGCGGTACGCGCTCCAGCGCGTCAGTAAGCTTTGGCAGCGAGCGATTGAGAGGTCGTGGTGGCTTTGTCGATCGATTGATTTCCGGGGCTGTTATTGTGTTCCCGGACGGGTTGTTTTGGAAGCGATTGCTAAAAACAAGGGAGCGGTGGTTGAGCTGCATTTGGAGAACATTGTCGTCACTGACGTTGAGCACATCGCGTATTCGGTCTTCCACGACGACTACGAGAGTAGGTTCTACACAGAGAACGAAGAACGAGGGATCGTTATAAACTCTGAAAGAGGCGTCAATCTGAACTCGCTGGCAAAGCCAGACTATGACAGTCTGCGGAACTTGAAGGTGCTCACGATGGACTATCCGTTCGGGATGATCTCACCGTTTATTTATAATGCCCCAGATCCGGGACTGCATTTCCGTCATCTGGCCAGTCAATTGACCGAACTGCAAATCAGCGCGACAAACAGTTCTCCTGTCGTGTGGTTTTTCAGTCACGGCAATCTACCCAACCTACGCGTCTTTAAGATTTTATCTCCGCATACGGTGAAGAGTCTCAAGAGTGAGGATCTGTATAACCCTTCCAGTCACGACAATCGCGCGGACGAGAAAGTGACGAGTACGCAACTGCGAGTGTTTGAAATCGGCGCTCCTCTACCCGATAACGACGCGGAAGCGCGAGACTTGTTTGAATTCAACAGCTCCATCAAGCGTCTTCAACTGTCTCAGGCCGATTTGATTAGTTTTCTTGATCTGGTGCCGAACTTGGAGGAATTGAGAGTCAGGATGTGCGAGGTTACTGATTCTGCCTATCGACCTCAAGCCGAGCCGAGACAAGGTGATGATGAAGGAGAGGGAGACGGGGAAGCTGCTTTCCAAGGAATAGCAGAACGCGCGCGCGCTTATTTTCCAAGTCTCCCCAATCTGCAAGTTTTTGATTTCAGCTGGTCGCGATTCGGACCGCCGATAGCACCCCCGCCGCAGTGCAGGGTCCTAAACCTGAACTGCTCTTCAGGGCTGCGGGATGATCCCGAGTTTACGCTCGAGCGGATGATTGCTTCTCGGACGTTTGAGTTGCTTCCAAGTCAGGGTCTTCGCAGTCTGACGAATATTGGCTTAGCGTGCGAGCAACGACGCGAGTCTGCAGAGGAAATGCTGTTGGTGCTCGGGCGCGTGCTCGGTAGTAGTGCTGTGCTTGTTGAAGGAATCAATTTGAACGGCAATCGGCAGATAGACTACCGCTCGCTCAACAAGGAAGCTACCGACGGGTCGAAAAAGTCGTTACTCCGGCTTCAAAACAGACGTCGGAAATTGAAAAACAACTCCTCAGAGAGCCTTGAGGAGGGGTGTTTTCTATCAGACATGGCTGAGCTTTTTCCGGAACTGAAGAGCCTTGCGATCGGCCACAACAAGACGTTGGGAGACAAGGAAGTGATGAGTGTGCGCCTTTTCTCTAAACTTCAGTTTTTAGATATATGCTGTAGCAGCGTGACCGTGCAGGGCTTGGTATCCCTTTTATTCGGCAAGAAAGTAGCAACCCTGATATCCAGCGACGGCTCCGCGCCGCCTGCTGCATTCAGCAGCGCGATCGCGGACGCGATCAAGGCCGGCGAGAAGTTAGGCGAGATTGAGACGGTGTGGGTGCGAGGCTGTGTGAAGATTCCGATCTGGCTGCGCGAGACGGTGAAGAGGTTTGAGATCGATCTGGTGGACGATAAGTACGTGAGCCAGCAGTACGGATATCCGCTATTCGACGCGGACGGCGGCGGCTGTGTCCGAGCCGACGTGCCTGGGTGGTCTGCTTACACCCCTAAGGATGACTGAGGTTGATTGCTCATTCTGATTATTGCGCTGTGCTCAGGCGTGCCGGTGAGGATGGTGCTTGAAGGCTGACGGAATAACTTTTCGCACGGACTCTCATGTCTCAAGATTTGCCTAATCGAGGGTAAGATGCGAGCGTGCGGCTCACTGCTGGGAGGAAACGAATGATTTGTGACGTGGGGTAATTTTCTGTGTTATTCTCAGCGTAGATTTGTGCTTTTTTGTTGTAGAATTGAACGAGATGTTTGTTATCAGCTGCTGAGTAGAATGATTGAAAATAAAATAAATATGAGGATGAGAGCAGGGAACAGGCGATTAAGTTCCTCGCTAAACCTTCGCGAATGTCCCGAGGCGGTCTATCGGCACACGCAAAAGTCAATCAGCGGAGAAATATAATCACCATCCCCTCCCGCTGTCTCATAAAATAATATATAAACCTCCCGTCCTGCCCTTCACCGTCCCGATTCCCATCTTCCTCTCTCTTGTTTTTGACCTCAGCAGTATTCAGCAAAAGGAGACACAATGAAGCGCATCGAAACAGAAATCATCATCAACGCCCCGCCATCCAAAGTCCACGATGTCCTTCTCGACTTTGCCAAATACGCCGAATGGAACGCGCTCCTCCCCTCCATCAAAGTCTACAAAGGCGACGCCGCCGCCCCGGTCGGTTCAACCCTCGAAGTCCGACTGGCGCTCCCGGGGAAGTCGCCGATGACAATCTACCCGATCGTGCGGGTGAACGACGAGCGGAAACTCGCGTGGGAGGGAGCGGTCGTGCATTCGATCTTGTTTTCTGGCGTGCATGCGTTTGAGTGCGAGCCGATCGAGGGGGGCGCGAAGACAAAGTTATTGCAGTATGAGGATTTCTCGGGGTGGTTGCTGCCGGTGTTGGGGTCGATGATTAGTAGCGCTGAGGGCGGGTATAACTCGATGAACGAGGCGCTCAAGAAGCGCGTGGAGGGGAGTGTTTGATGTGGTTTTTCTCTTTTCTTTTATACTGTAATAGTCTTTCTTAATTCTTAATGTACACTGAACTTGGCTTATTCTACCGGCCAAGCTTGAAACACAGGATATCATTCCTCCCCTCTTCAACCGTATCCGACATCGCAACCCGAATCCCTCCCAGCCCTTCGATAAACGCAACCGGGATATCGCCCATGATCCGCCTCACCACGCTCTCGACTGGCGTGCCGCGTTTGACCAGCGTGCAGTCTTTGAACACCGCGTCGTCGGTGTCGGAGTTTTTGAAGTTGTGGATGTTGCGGACTGAGAAGACGGGGATCAGGTGGAGCGCGTTCGCGGCAGCTTGCAGGGCGCGGATGACGCCTGTAGAGCCCCATCGATAAAATAGCATATCGCGTAGCGTATCGATTCGCCTTTTATAAGCAGTCAGCATCCACCCAACAGTAAAACAGCAAACAAAACTCACATCTGCAACCTCTCATCAGTGATCTCCTTCAAATGATATTTATCCTCGGGATCCTCCGCTTTCGTGATTACGTCGTCGCCGCCTTCCTCGTAGTGCACAAACCGTTGCTTGACCAGCTTGCGGATAAACACCTCCGAGATCGCCGACGTCAGCACGATTTTCTCGGGGTCGTATTTCCGCGATATACGGTATATGCAGCGATCTGAATCTGGGTGGTCAATTTTGTTTAGCGCCTACGAGTAATTACACATGTGTTAGTGATTCAGTCTAACTCGCAGATACGCCTCTGGGCATAGTTACCAGTACTGTGGGAAACTTCTCGTCAACAAACGAGGAAACCATCCGGTGGACCGTCTGGTCTGACCAGTTCTCGAGTGGTTCTGTGAGTTTTATGCGGTCCAGACATCTCTGCACGACCGCCGTCGTACTTCCGTATCCTGCACAAGATCAACAATCAGCTTCTTGCAGAGATTAACAGCAGAAAAATACGCTTACCACTAAATTGATTTTGCAACGTCGCAACGGATGTGGATTCTATAATCTCCAGTCAGTCGCCAATCTCAAATACTTGAATCAAAGCGAAGACGTACTAGTAGACACATGTCTTCTCTTAATAGACCCCCATTTCTCCTTCAAATTCCCCTCTATCCACCGCAATATCTCGCCCCTGAGCCACTCGACGTCTTGTAGCGCGTCGTAGCCTCTGCGCGTAGTAGGTTAGCCGTGTGCTTGCTTTCTTATGGTGTGTGAAGAGAAGATAGATGTACTCAGTTGCTTTGCCTTCCGCATCTGTGCTTCCCGAGACGTCCACGACGTGGATTAATGCGTCTGCATGGCGCAGGTCATCCAAGAACTTATTCCCCAGTCCACGGCCTACCGATCATCTCAGTAAACAAATTACACCACCTATTCCAACGCCCACGACTCAAAACATACCCTCATGCGCACCAGGAACCAACCCAGCCACGTCCAGCAACATAACCGGCACAAACCGCTTTCCATCCCGACAGGACCCGTAGTTTGGCTTGCAATGCTTCTGGAGCCCGAAGCGCGCGCACGCACAGTCGATTTGGAGGTACCCTGTCGCTTTGTTGGGATCAATCGTCGTGAACGGGAAGGCGCCTGTCTTTGCTGTCGCGTCGGTCAGACCTGTGGTAGTAGTCCTGTTAGCCTCGTTTGTCGCGCGTGTGCTGCTTTTACACGAGATGAAGATTACTGTTTAACCTGTACACCATCTGTTAGTCCTCGCAATTAAGATAGATAATCCAGAGATAACTCATACATTGTCGACTTCCCACTCGACGGCTTGCCGACCAGTCCAATCAGCGGATCACGACCCATACTATCTCTCTCTCTTCTCCAACGTATATATACACAGGAAAATTCACCAAAGAACCTCGATGATATGCAACTGCAAACCTATGTGGATCTCTCAAAATTTCATCGGCGATAGTATATTTAGCGTTGCGGTTTAAGGTTTAAATGCTGCTCGTTTACCCTATTGAAATTCATACTAGAATCGTATTAACTATGCACAGTGGCTATTCTAACACATCAATATGCCGTATATACAAACACCCAGAACAATGCCATACAAATGAATCAGTCTCGCCGATACCTCCACCTTCACGCTCTGCGCCCCGCTCACCAACACGACGCCGTTCGTCTCGCCGAGGATCGTGGTCACCGGCGTAGGAATGGTGACTACTTCGCCGTCAGAGACAGTCGTGGTCGCTTGCGCGGTCACCAGCGTCGTCGCGAACAACGACCCGCTTTGCGCTGCGGCGGTGGTGGTCGTCTGGGCGGCTGCGTTGGTGGGAAGACTTAGTGTCGTGACCACGTTGTTGGTTGTGGCGGTGGTGCCGGTTGCAGAGGAAGATGCTCCGAGACCGGTGATGCCGGTTGGGATGCCGGAGTCGTCGAGTTCCTGCACGGACGTGAGATCAGAGTTGAAGTACGCCTGCGCGAGCCCGACCTTGTAATTATCGTAATCAAGCGCGACGTACATCGATCTCAAGAACGTCTGGCCGATGATCGACGTCTCGCTGGTGGGCATGATTCCCAGCACACACGAGTCGCCGACCTGATAAAAGGACTCGGCGACCGAGATCTCGATCTCGAGCGAGCTCTCAAACTCGAGGATGATCGAGTACTGGTCTGGGATACTGTCGCAGTCATACATGTACATGTTGTATCGCGAGTCAAAGCCCGTGGTTCCAAACAGCGCCGCGAGAGGCTTCAAGACCGAGTCCGGCAATCGGGACTCAAGAGTCCCGCTGTCGATCACCGAGTACACGACCATGTTTGAAAGCGTAGAGTTTGTGCTGTTCTCGCCCATGACTGTGATTTCATCCGACGTGGTCGACGATCTAACCGAGATCTTTGAGATCGAGATATTGGGCTCCAGATACGACCCCGTCTCGAGCGGCCGAAAATTAAACACCTCGAGCTCGCCCGTGAACTTGCCGCGATCGATACCGCCAAACAGAAGCGAGCCAGAGGAAGCCTGCACACTGTTCAGCCAGAGCGAGTAGAGGTTCACCTGCGTGACGTTGTTTGACCGCAGGCGCAGGGGGAGGTTTGCGTACTGCGCCTCGCTCTGCTCGTTGAAGATCATACCCAGCCCAAGCGCACCGTATCCAGAAGACGCGCTGGCGTCGGCGAGACCAAATTGGAAGCTCTCGAATGTCTGGTTTGCAAACTTGACGACGTCGGCGGCGTATGCGCCCGTCGCCTCAACCGAAGAAGAGTCGTCGAGCGAGGGCAGGGTGAAGTTCTCGGATAGGGAAGAGAAGGTGCTTGAGGCTGAGGAGTTGAAGTAGGGGCAGTAGGAGGCATTCGCGCTGCAGGCCGAGTACGACCCGACGGTCCATGTGTCGCCTGCGCTGGTGTCGATTGGCAGGTAGATGGTCTGCGCGGGCGTGCCGATCGAGATCTCTGCGAGGTACATTGTGTGCAGGTACTGGTAGACGACGGTGGAGACGAGGTCTCGTCGTTTGAGATCTAGACTGCTGTTGCTTGGGGTGGTGGAGCAGGCAGAGACGGAGAAAGGCACGAGGGTGAGGGAGAAGACATGGGGATCTTGACAGTGCGAGATGGAGATCCATGAGCCAAGCAGGACCGCGTGGAGAAGATAGAACAGCATTTGCTACTTTTGCTGCTGCTGCTGCTGCTGCTGCGAAGACAAGAACAGTGAACAGACGGGGGGCGGGCAGGCCATAAATACCATCTCTCTGCTTGATATCTCCAGCGCTGAGCAAAGAGCTGGCTCATGAACCGTTGCGGGAAGGGCGAACTGCGGGTGCATCGCTGGCGACGAGACCCCTGCTCGTACCGCGTGCAATGCTGCCCGGATATTGCCCAGCCTCCTGAGCCCCGTAGACCACTGTTAAACCACTATTCCGGGATCATGTCTGTAGTTTTGCAGTATTTAATGCAATTTTAGTATAAATAGAAGACATCTGTAATCAGCTTATAGGGGATCTTGGAGATCTGGTGGCTTCGAGCAGACAAACCCTGGCGCAGCAGATCTCCCAACCCGAGTACGCCCGCGACACTGGACACTGTTGACCCTTATAAGCAACGTAATTGAATCCTGATGAACTACTGAATAGCATAATTACAATGATGAAAAGAAAATAGTTATAATTATATTACATTGCATGCGATCCTTAAATTACACCTCCAGCATACGCTATAACACTGCTCAGCTTAAAACCCTATGATTTCTGTTATTGTACAAATAGCCCGCAGACAAAAGACCCTTAGCAAGCCTCGATCACCACCGCGCTAGCACCACCGCCTCCGTTGCAGATAGCAGCCACTCCAATCTTTCCCTTCTCCTGCTTCAAGATCGACGCCAGCGTGACAATCACGCGCGCGCCACTGCATCCGAGCGGGTGACCGAGCGCGACAGCTCCTCCGTAGACATTGACCTTGTCTGCCGACAGCCCGAGGATCTTGCTGTTTGCAACTCCGACGACCGAGAACGCCTCGTTGAACTCGAAAAAGTCAACGTCGGCGAGCGAAAGGCCCGCCATCTTCAACGCCTTCGGGACCGCGAGCGCGGGCGAGGTCGTGAACTTCACGGGCGCCTGCGCAGCCTCGCCCCACGCGCGGATCTTCGCGATCGGAGTCAAGCCAAGCTCGGCGAGCTTAGCGGCCGAGACCAGCACAAGGGCGGCAGCACCGTCATTGAGCGGCGACGCGTTGGGGGCTGTCACAGTTCCGTCCTTCTTGAAGACCGTGCGCGCAGACCGCAGCTTCTCCTCGTTCAAGTTCGCCTGCTCCTCGTCGACGCTGATCGTCTTGCCGGGCTTCCCACGGAACCCAGGAAGCTCGACCGGCGCGATCTCGGCCGCGAACTTGCCCTCGCTCGTGGCCTTCTGCGCCCGCTTGTAACTCTCGACCGCGAAATCGTCCTGTGCCTGGCGCGAGATCTCGTGCTCGGCCGCACACACCTCGGCCGCGTCGCCCATGAACGAGTTGTCGTACGCGTCCTGCAGACCGTCGCGCTGGAGACCGTCGACGAGCGCGCCCGAGCCGTACTTGATGCCGTTGCGGACGGCGGCGTAGTGTGGCACGTTCGTCATCGACTCGCAGCCACCGACGACGACAATGTCGGCGGTGCCGACCATGATGTCTTGCGCGCCAAAGATAAAAGCCTTCATGCCGGACGCGCAGACCTTGTTGACGGTAGCAGCGACGACGTGCTCACCGAGACCGGCCTTGATAGCGACCTGACGCGCCGGAGCCTGGCCGACGTTTGCGCTCATGACGTTGCCGAAGTAGACTGTCTCGACGGACTCGGTCTTGATCTGAGGGACCTTGGCCAGCGCAGCTATAACTCAGTCAGCTTCAGGTCTATGACCTCTTATCAAGCGGCATCATTCATACCTTTGACAGCGTGAGCACCGAGGTCGGTCGCGCTGAGAGACGCGAGCGAGCCAAGCAGACTGCCCATTGGCGTGCGGGCAGCTGCCACGATATAAACATCACTAGGACTGGCAACCATTATTTCTGTATTTATTCAAACAAGCAATTGCAAAATATAGAGACAAAACAACAAGCGGGCGAGCGATAGAGGATATATAAACACACAGACCGCCGCGCAAAAAAGCTCGTAACCCGCTCCATCGGACAAACTCAGGCGCCCAGGTCCGGCCGCAGTATTTCCTCTGCGCGTACAACTCAGCACATCCGCCGCCTGCACGCGTACACCTCAGCACGGGTCCCCCAACAGGCAGAATGAGCTAATTGATGAGTAATTGTTTAAGCTCCGATGACAGCGCTACCCCTGAAACTAAGAATTAAGGTCGGCTTCGGGTTCGGATAAGATGAGAATGACTTTTGGATTGCTGTACACTACACTACACCTACGCCCGCCGGCTCTTCTTCGAACTACGCTTCCCGCTGCTGCTGCCCAACTTGGTCTTCTCAAGCTTCTTGAGCTCCTCGTCGTAGATCTCTGCAGCAGTCCCCGCCTCACCCTTGCGCTTCCTTTCCTTCCCGCTCTTCACGCTCACGACGCCCTTGCCGTCCTTCGCAATCCGGCCCGCAAGTCGGTCAGAGATATCCCACTCGGCCGGGTCGGTGTCGATCGCGTACTGCGTCAGGTCGAGGGCGTTGATCAGCTCTTTCTGCTTCTCCTTGAGTTCGTCGAGCACCTCCGCGCCCGCGTCCGCGAGGTCGTCGGCCAGTCGCTGCGCCATGGGCGTGAAGCCAGACACCAAGTCACCGTTCATCAGTTCCTCGTCATCGATGCCTTCTTCGGCCGGGACAACAGCCGACGAGACGTCCTTGCCGTTCTGCGCCTCGCTTTTGATCTTATCAGACGAGCTGAACAGCGACTCCTCCACAGCGCGCTCTTGCACACCTCGGAAGAATGTCGAGATCTTGCGGATGCTCTTTGCAAACATCGCCAGGATCTGACTGCTTGGCAGACCCAGTTCTTTCTCCATCGTCGTCACGTCCTTCTTTTGCAAACCAATTCCAAGCAGAATCGTCGCCTGCACAGCCGACAACTTCACCTCCTCCTCCGTCTCTGAGATCAGCGTCCGAAGTCGGTTCTGCGTGTAGAGCTGCGCGATCGGCGGCAAGAGATCCACAATCACGTGGTAATCAAGCAAATTGTTGGCATACGACTCCAGCCGCTTCAAATCATACGGCGAAAACAGGCTGTCGACGTCCTTCTTGCTGATATACCCCTTCTGGCTCACGGCCGCGGACTCGAGCACAGACAGACCTGTGACGGCCGCAAAGTCGCGGAACTCGTAGGCAAGCAACTGCACAAACCGTTTCCGGAAATCAGACGCAAACGCATCGAGCCATTCGCTGTCCCCGTTCGGCGTCAGCGGCTTGATCATGACGCACGTGTGCTCGCCCGTCAGCTCGTTCGCCGTCTGGCGCAGGTAAACGGGCTTGTACCCGCCCTTTTTCCAGAACTTGAGCAGCTGCGGCGTGAGACCGTATGACACGCCGAGGTAGTCGAGACGCGAAGGCGACTGCTCCGACAGCTTGAGCAGCAACGGCGGCATGCTCTTTGCGTCGCGGACCTTGATTGTCTCCGTCAGCAGCTGCTCGGACCCAGACTCGAGTTCAGTGTCGGTGACGGTCGCAACCTTCTTTTCGGTCGCGCTCACGCCGGCCGTCGGCTCTACGAGCGGCGCGAATTTGCCTTGGAAGTACTCTGTCAGCAGCTCCATCGAGCGCGAGCCGTACCCCATCTTTGTGTACTCTGGATGCGTAGCGATACGCACAACACGTGCGCCAGACAGAGTTCCAAACTCCGAGTCTTGGAACTGCTGCGAGACAATCCAGGGAATGAGATCGCCGCCCGCGCGTTGGCCCCGGTTCAGGTTGTTCATGATACTCTGCTTGGAGATCTCACCTTCGAGCGCGAGTTGCACAACACAAAGGGGTTCCGGCAGCCGATGATCGGATTCGTCGGTCGGGGGTAGTAACACATAGAGCTGGTGCGCGGGGGCATCACTCAAAAGTTGAAGATCATTCGGCGTGTTCTTGTAGTGGCTCGCGACGTAGAGCGCCATCATCCGATGCAGAAACGCCTCAGAGACCGGATGGAACGAGAAGAGCGTGTCCCGATTGACGCAGTACAGCTGGCACTCGTTCGGATGCGGGAACCGCTTCTTTCCGCCGGCAGAGGATATGCTCGGCGGCAAGGTCGCCTCGAGACAGAGAAGCTTGTTGAGCCATTTCTCAACCGCGTCACCGGGTGCATACCGAATGGGCTCGTTTAGCTCGATCTCGCGTAGAGTGCGGCTCCCGAACCCACCCGAAAGGTTGAAATTCGTCGACTGCTTACCCGATCGATCCACGACCGCGATCGCGTTCCCGCTTGCCGACGACGACGACGAACCGCTGTTTTCCTTTTTGGGAGCAATCATGCGTGACTGTTCGCGTAGCTGTTGGATAAGCTTGAGCGAGAGCGAACGACCGGTTCCCTCGTATCCGTTGATGGTCGAAGCCATAAACACTAGGTATGGGCCAAGAAGCTTCTTGACCAGAGGCAGGGGGATCGCGGCCGCTTCGTCAATCACGACGAGCTCGGCCTGGCCGAGCACTTGAGCATCCTGCGGGCGGATGTACTGGATAGTCTGGCGATGAGATCTAAAGATGTTGACGCGCACGATTGCTTTGTTGAACTCGGGATCAGTCGACTGTAGAATGTCGTAGTCCATGTGCTCGTCGTAGCCGAGGGCGTCGAATCCCTTGAAGATAAATTCGAATAGGGTTTTCAAATTCTCCGGGCTGGGGGAGGTGATGAAGATGTTTGAGTAGCCGTGTGATACCGCTGCCGCTACGGCAAGACCCATCGCAGCGGATTTACCCCGGCCTCGGCCGGCGGTTAAGGTCACGGTGCCGCGTAGCGATTTCTCTTCTAGCGATTCGATAAAGGTGACGATCGCCTTTGCCTGATCTACGGTCTTTGCGACACCCACGAGCGCGCCCGCGGGCTGCACATCTTCGAGGCTCTCCTTGAGCTGCTTGAGCTCCTTGGCCTCTTTTGACAGGTTACCCTGCTCGTCGTCCTCGTCCACGGGCGGCAGAGGCTTGACGTTCTTTGCGCCGGAGATGGGGAGCACGTTGAGTTCGTCGTCGACGACAAGACAAGACTCGCAGCTTCCGAGCGAGAGAATGAAGCGCTCGTTGAAGCGCGCGACGACGTCGTCGTGCGCCTCGGTCCGGTACCGCGAGTGGATGTCCATGGTCATTGTGTAGAGCTGCTTGAGGCTCGACATTGTTTTCAAGAGAATGACGACTATGCCGCCGCCTTCGACGGTCTCGATCGTTCGCGCGAGAAGGTTGGGAGTGAGGGCCTCAAAGTCCTGCAGGATGCACATGCCGAAGGTGTTGCCGAGGATTTTCTCGGTTTCTTTGTAGTAGACGTAGCGGATGCTCTGCAGGCCGACGAAGAGCTCGAATGGATCTTCTGAGTTTGCTTCTCGGACGCCGCGCTTGATGTCGCGTTTGATCTTTGTCTCGCGTTTTTTACGGTGACTATACCATAGTTAGTACAGTGTTGAAGACATGATCAGGTGGAAAGACAGTGATGGAGCAAGAAAGGATAGAGGTATAAATTCAGAGGACAGACTAACCTGGTGAAACCCAAAAGCTTGCTCTTGTAGGCCCACAGAACGGATTTGTTCATTTTGAGGTCCGTGGACGAGAGCAGGTAGTGGAGGTTTGGGAGCTGATCGCGAGCATGGTCGCCGATGATGATGAAGAAACTGCGCTTGTGTTCCTGTGGAGGATTGTTAGATGTGGATACGAAGAAAGAAAAGTAAATGAAGATAAACACACCTGCACGTTATTCCGAATCAGCGTCGGGATACGCGAGTCGATGGCCTTCTTGACCATTTTATATGCAATGCAGATGATAGAGCAAATAGATCAGAGTCAAGCAGACTCAAGCAGTAACTATGAAGAACAAAAAAAAATTCATAAATTTTGCGCTGACAGGCAGTAATTGGGAGGAAGGGGTTTGTGCTTGGCGGCGTTAAGACGAATGAGCCTAGGACGGTGCGCAGGGGGTGGTCGGCTAGCAGAGGCTTGCTGCATGCGACCTTTCGTCTGGCTGAGCCGTGCGGGCGGGAGCGCAGGGGGCTGCTGGTGCAGCAGAAGCGGGTGCAGCAAATGCCTGTGCTGCTAGGCTGAGAGTAGCGGGTGTTGATTGGGCGGTGCTGCTGCAGAGAGGTGCTGCCGCTGCTGTTTTTAGTAATAGTAGCGTGCAGCCAGCGCTATCGCGACTTATCGCCCCTAACAGCGTCCGTAGCCCATACTTTGTTCACCACCAGTTTCGCAGTCTCGCGTCCAGCTGTCATCCTTGTCACTGTTCTTGTCGCTGGGAATTCTAGCAGCGTGACGTGGGGCTCCGGGTGTGCTGCTGCTGCACCTTCTTGCGGCGTGCCCAGAAAAAGTATAAGGTTGGAGGAGTCGGTGGCCGGGGCGTCCCATGTGCCTGGCGACAGACAACGGCGGTCGCCTCCTCTGCCCCGCCTCTTCACGGCCGTCACAGCTGCGACCGCGAAAAAATAAAAATCCCTCGGACTGCTCTTGTCCCCGTTCTCTATTTCTCTTCCGCCTTTGTCCTCCTCCTCTGCCGCTCCTCACCGCCCTCCCTACCCTCCTCGCCCTCAATGGAGACAAAGACGCTCCTCGTGCCGCCTCAGACCTACCGCCCTGGCGCGGCTGGATCCCTCCTCCAGGCACGATCGGCGCCCGCCTCCACGACTCACGCGGGCATCTTCATCATGTGCGTTCTCTCCTGCTCTTGCTTGTTGTCGCCCTCACTGACCTCGTCACAGTCTATGGATCTGCATCTCCTCCTTTGTCATCCTCTTCAACAAGTCCATTCTATATAATGACCAGTTCCGTATGTGCTGCATCCCACTATATCTCTTCTTCTTACTCATATACTGACCACCGCATCTTCCCGACAGCTTACCGTACGTCTCCCGACTCCACTCGTCACCATCACACCAATTCCCACCACCCTCCTCCTCTCTTCTTTTTCTAACATTTTCTTTTCTTTTCTCTAGCAATATTCCTCACAACCTGGCACCTCGTCTTCTCGGCCACCGCAACCCAGACTCTTGCTCGCGCGACCAACTTCTACAACGACCGCCCGCTCGAGATCTCCCGCGACGTGTACTGGAAACGCATCGTGCCAGTCTCGATCTTCTACTCTCTTTCCCTCGTCCTCAGCAACCAAGCCTACGTCTACCTCAACATCTCCTTCATCCAGATGCTCAAAGCCACCGCCCCCGTCGCCGTCTTCATCGTCTCCTACGCGCTCGGCGTCGAGTCCTTCCGCGTTGACGTCCTCGTCAATATCTGGATCATCGTCTTTGGCGTCTTTGTCGCCTCCTTTGGCGAAATTAATTTCTCGACCCGCGGTGTCGTCCTGCAGATGCTCGCCATCTTCTTCGAGGCCCTGCGTCTCGTGCTCATGAACAAACTCCTGCACTCGCCGACCGCAAAGACAGAGCAGGAAAAGACGGTTTACAACCCCAAGCAGGGAAAAGGACAGTCAATGGACCCGCTTGTCTGTCTCTACTACTTTGCTCCGGTCTGCGCCATCACAAACTCGGTTTTGTTTGTGTTGTCGGAAGAGCGCACAAAGTTGACCACGGCTGCTCTTCGAGAACTAGGACTTCCTATCCTTTTCGTCAACGCGCTAGCTGCCTTTCTCCTGAACGTCTCCGTGGTCTTCCTCGTCGGGCGAACTTCATCCCTAGTCCTCAGTCTGTGCGGCATCTTAAAAGACATTGGCCTCGTCCTCGTCTCGTCCCTGATCTGGCGAACCACAATATCAAAGCTGCAAGTAGTCGGCTACATCATCGCTTTAATCGGCATGTTTGGCTACAAGTTCGGCTACTCGCCTTTACTCCTTCTCGCGCAGTCGACCGACAGCCAAGGCTATAAAGCGTACTACTCGCGCCTCTCTCTTCGCCGGCGAAGAAACATCGGCACCGCCTGTCTGCTTTTATCAGCCGTCGCCGTGTGTTTGTTTTACTACTCCCAGTCGCTGAGAATAGCCGGCGGCGTTGTCGACGGCGCGTTCGAAAACGTGCTTGAGGCGGCTTCGTTGTGACATGGCGAGGCCTCTCTCGAGCGATAAACTAAAAATCATTTTCTATCTCTATCTGTGACGTTTTTCGTTTTTCATTAATCTCATGTGCGCGAAGAGCACTGTAACGAATTGACTGGTTTTGATTCTGTACTTCTAATTATCATTGTATAATGTGGGCGTTTTTGATTTTCTTGATTTCTCTCTTATCCGAATCTTAAAGGTTATATATACGAATTGATCAACGGTGGTATTTTGTGCTATGTATGAGTCTGCATTTGTTTGATTTCTGTTTTCTTTTCTCTTCTGTTTTTTTCTATCTGGGTTTAAAGAAAGAAAAATACCTCATGAGTTTTTTTTTATCGTCTATTTTCGGAATGTTTGATAGCCATTTATTTCACTGGTCAATGTCTGGTTTTTATATGTGTTGGCAATAGAACAGGAATTTCTCGGTTTCATTATTACAATTCTAAGTATCAAGACGCAAGCAGCTGAACCCGTGTTTCAAGAAAACACGCTTTCTCATGCAGTCGTTGAAAAATGACTCAAGAAAGAGAGATAGTTAGGCACGGCTAGAAAGAAGAAAAAGAAAAAGAAAAATATCGGTTGCTGAAACTTTAGCCACCTGCACAATGCTGAAACGAAGCAGGTGTGTACGAGTGATGCGGTGGGTAGTGATAAGCTCCAACTCGAGCGAGGAGGGTGATGGTGATAAATCTTCTATTATAGTCTGTATGCTAGGTTATGACAGAGTTTACCGAGTAAGACAGAAAGCTGTGTGTCTGGATTCAACGCTGGGGATGGGAATAAGAGACATCGAATGATTATCGACGAGCGAGCGATGAGGTATTCAGCGCTGCGTCCGTTTGTCAGTACTCCTCTTTCTTCCTGAGATTGTCAGAGATGCGTTCTTCTTAGCTAGTACCCCTACCCGTCTATATTGGTTCATCATTTCAAGCGATACACCATCCATCTAAGCACACTTCTTTCATGGTTCTGTCGCCGCGGCGCGCTGGGCTATTTCCCAATCGAGTAATGTTATGAGCGCCAATACACCCCCTCTTAACACCATCTACAGAGTTACTACAGCATCAAGCACACTACGAATCAGCCCACAAACATACTACAAACAGATTTCTTGTATAAAACCACAATAACCAGCCTTCACAGCATCAGAATAGCAAGATAGAGAGCAGGGTTAGGTGGGTCTACAGAGGGATTAAATAGGAAAAACAGAACTTTTTTGGTGTGAAGGTAATAAATAGTCTTCAAATAAGGGCTCATTCACGAGGGCAAGGGCAAGGGTACAAGTTCAAGATGATAGTTCCAAACTTATGGGTGAGAACGTCCATTCCTCTAAACTACCCGCCATCAGATGTCCTTCTTATGTTCCCGACTCTGCTTCATTTCTCTCGATCCCGCTCGGCATCTCTCTTCCGTTCGGACCTCTTTTCCGTGCTCTTCGCGGCAGTCTCAATCGCGCCGAGGATGCGTCCCCATGATGACTCATCGCTTATATCATGCGGCTCTGGTTCATCAGGGTCTGTCTCTTCGTATTTGGTGTGTTTGGTTCGATGGTCTAGTTGGTTATGGCACCTGCTTCACACGCAGGAGGTCTCCAGTTCGATCCTGGGTCGAATCATATTTTTTATTTTTTTTTATTTTTTTTTATTTTTTTTTATTTTTTTATGGAAGACTGCTTTTTTGTTTGATATATTTTATAAGGTGATTTTTATCATTGAGTAAATAATGTGATACTGTAGGTGGTTGATAGTGAAGAAGAGCAAACTGCTATCAGAGAAAAAAAACCAAGAAGCTAGTGCCGGTCCAAGGCGGAAGTGTTATAGCGAGCCAGCTAGCTTTGGATGGTGCATTAACTTTGTGCTAGCGCTCTTAGCCATGAGTTTTGGTTTGTTATATGTGGTGTTGAAGAGTAGAGAAGCGGTTGTTATAGCGAGTGAGTGAGGGTAGAGGAGAATACCGTTTAATCTAGGGAATGAGTAGGAGTTGACAAGAAGTCGGTATAGAAGAGGGAGACAAGGGCAGCAGCAGGCGCGTAGAAGAGAAGTCCAAAGAAGGAAGCCGGGAAGGAGATCGTGGCGACTGATAGCGGGTATTAAAGTCTAGTTGCAGAGAGCGCGAGACGGTCTGCTTCCGTTCGTGTTAGTTTGTGATGAGTGCTGTGACCGGAGCGATAGAAAGAGAGGAGAAAAAGAAAAGAGATGGCGATTAGTGGTGAGCAGCGAGCTACCAGCGCGGAAGAAGAGCGAGGACCGGCCAAGAAAGGAAAGTCGATTGAATCGCAGGTGAGCTCGAGACAGCTCAGCGGCAGAGAATCGCAACTGGGCTGCATCACAGTTGCCCGAACGAGCTGACGAGCCGAGCTGGTCCCAAAGAGGCAGCTGCACGGTGACGCGGGAAGGGAAGCAAGGGGTTGGGGCCGACTGCTGTTTCCCAATCTGCTGTATTGAGATCATGACGATGGTGGTTGAAGGCCTGGAGTGGACGATAGTCGTCTGATAAGAACAAGAGCACTATTACAGCAACAGAACAAACAACCAACTCAAGAAAGAGCAACGGTAAACAACGTCCAACTCGGCCTTTCTTCCGCCCCTCTGCCAACCCGCCATCCACGCGCTAAGCCCGTCCAGGCACGCGTCGCCCACTTTTGGCTTTGTTTGTATTTATCCGCACGTGACCGGCAGCTGTTCTGCAGCAACACAGGGGCAGCGAGTTGATCCTCGCCTTCACGCTCTCTGCTGCTACTCACCGCCTCTCTCGACTCTTCCTCCTTCTCGCTCCTGCCCGCTGCCTCCCGCCGTGCCTCTCCGCCCGCGCGCCCTGTCCGCCGCCCTCTCTCCCCGCCCGTGTCCCGCCCGTCGCTCGTCCGCCCGTCCCGCGCGCCCCGCCTCCTCGCCCCTCCACTCCCGCTCTGCCGTACCGCCCCTCTGACCCCCCGTGATCTGACGCGTGTGATCTGTGTTCGTCCATCTGCTTGGGGTACGTCCGTTCTGTATTTACGTCCATTCCGATCGCGCCCGTCCCTGCCTCTCGTCTTTGCTTCTCCTGCTCGCTGCCTCTTCTCTCTGCCGCTTCTCCTCCCGCCGGCCCTCTGTTCTTCTTTTGATCCCGCGCGCGGCTGGTGGGCTTCCACTGCAGTTTTTTGCGGAAAGCTTTTTTGCACGATATATCGCCTTTTCTGCGTCCTCTGTCGAGTTCGTGGGCAGTATATCTCGACTGGCTGCTCATAAACGTCCTTAAGCACGGCCAGGGACGGCACACGATCTGCCTCGCAAGTCCTCTAACAACCATTTTTTCTGGCGTCTGATAGATATATTCGGTCACTGGTTCTGCACCTTCTCTCCTCCAGCAGCTCATCTCTTTCTTACCCATACCTCCTCCGTACTCCACTCCATCCCTATGTGCCAACAGATCCTGCTCCGACCCGCATTTGCATCCTCCACCTTCTGTCCGCTCTGAGTCATTTCTGCACGAACCATCATCCCACGACCGCCATATAGACTTAAGACTAGACATAGAGAGAACATGAATATCCAAAGCATGCATGACCCGCACCCTGCGCCTTCGGCCTCGCATCAACATCCGCCGCCGCCTACCCAAGCGGCTCCTCCTCCCCCTCCCGCCGGCGCTGAAAACCTGATCGGTATCCCAGGCTTCTTACCCTCGTCCTGGCAGGGATCGGACGAGTCTCTCCGCCACGCGCTCTCGTACCGTGCAGAGGAAGAGCGGCGCCGCGCGGAAGAAGAACGAACAAAACAGGAAGAGTATCGTCTCGAGCTCCGCAAGCGCGATCTCGAGCTTCTCCGCGAGGGTATGCGCTACGGCATCCCTCCGAGCATGATTCCATTTATCTTCATCGGCAACGGTGTCACCGGCGCCACGGCCGAGTGGATCCGCGACTACGTTGCCCGGATATGGCAGCAGCAGCAGCAGGAGATGGCTGCCGTGTCTGCCCAGGCGGCGTCGACTGTCTCGACCCCGGGCGGCGCCGGCGATTACCGAAACGATCCCAGATATCACTCTCTTCACCATCGCAGCCAAAGCGCTCAGTCGATCCCTAGTCTGGCCCACAATCCCATGGGACCCGGGTTAAACGCCCCTCCTCCTCCGCCACCACCAGCTCCTCCCGCTCCTACCCCGTCTCTTCCCCCACTGGCCACTGCTGCTTCCTCACAGGCCTCACCGTTTGCTGTTCAGCAGGAGCTGATGTCTCCTGGATCGCAGACCCGTGCTGTATATCACGGCAGTGGATCCTCTGTCACTCCGCCTCTGCAGGTGCGGCAGGTAGACTTTCCTCCAGGGAAATCTCAGCTGTACAGATCTTCTCCTCCTATCCGGTCTCCATCTCCTCCTTCCCAACAACAACAAGAACAACAACAGCAGCAGCAGCAGCAACAGCAACAACAACAACAGCAGCAACCAGCTATCCAGTTCTACCACTGGCAACCAAACGCCAAAGAACGAGCCCAAGGAGTAAAAGAGCAACCCGGCGACTCCAGCCGGCCTTCTCATCCTCCGCTTGGAAACGGCATCCCCCGCTCTCCCACCCGCTCGATCCTCAACCCAACACAAGAAGACGCGAGCACGCCCAAACGACGACGACAGACTTCCGTGTTCGACGCCGGCACGCCCAAGCAGCATCTCCCGCCGTCGGGTGCCAACGTCACATCCGCCGGCGCGTCGCCTACCCAGAGCGCGACTTCTCTACCCCCCATCTCTTCTTTAAGCGCCAACATCCCTCCCCGGAAACGCGGCGCGGGACATACCCGGCACCGATCAGAAGCCAGTCTGCACGGTTACGAGCCCTACGCGCGTCCGGGTTCGATGCACCTAGGCCACGGTCCTGGCCCGCACCAGCTCGCTGGCCCCGCGATCCTGAACCCGAGTTCGACAAGTAGTGCATCGACGCCTCGCGGCGGAGGCGGCATGCAGCGGCGGAGCGAGTCGGGATGGGACTCTGGCTCGGTCGATGTGCTAGCCGCCGCGGCTGAGAGCGAGCGGCAAAAGGAGATGTCGGCGTTGCGCGAGCAGCAGGCTTCTGAGCAAGCTCGGAGGGCGGCCAGTTGATCTAATTATTCCGGAAAAATAGCTGTTGTGAATGCGGGTCATTTTTGTACATTCTTGTTTTAATCTTGGGGGTACCTTGCCCTGAACATCATTTCTTTCGTTGAGGAAGGAAATCAAAAGCAATCTTATGAAGATTAATGATTCGATTGATGACCATGGCATGCACATCTTTTTCTTCTCCTTCTTTCTTTTGTTTTTATGATGTTGATTGGTGATTTTCTTACTTGCTCCCGTTTTTCTCTTATCTAATACCATTTACGATTTCAACGACCTTTTTTATTTTCTTTTCCTTCTCTGTTGTGTTTTGTTGCGTGTTGGGTTTTAATCTTGAGAAATGAAGGGGAAAGAAACTGAGCAAAGAAAAGAAGTGAATGCAAAGAAGATCTGCGTCTTGTTTTCTATTTATCTCTGCGATTACATTTTCTCTCTAATTTTGATGCTTTATGTGTTTATGCGTTCTTTGTTTTCAAGTCCCGGGGATACGAAAGGCATCCAGGAAAAGTACATTTTTTTTCTCATTAATTTTTCTCTCAATCTTTGATTATACCTAATTCCTGCTCTTTTCTCCACCTTCTTCTCTTTTTCGTCTCTTTCGCTTTCGGCATTTCTCTATTCTCGCTCGACTCGATATATATACATTCTATTTCTTCTCTCCGCACATTTTTCTCGGGTGTTTTTGGTTGTGTCTTTTTTTCTGTTTTTTCTTCATCTCCGCTCTCAGAGTTATCTTCGAGTTTTGTAGCTCTTCTTTTTTCTTATTTGTTGCCTACACGCATTTTTTAATCTTCGTGTGTTTTTGAATAATTTATGTGAATTGGTCTTTTAACTATGTGTTTATTCGCGTTATAATCTGATTTCTGGCTCATAGTATATCCATAACCCCCTGTAGGACACTTTTAAGATACAAAGATTAGTAGAGGATATAAACAGTATCATTATCTCCAGACATACAAACGTCTCAAACTACCAAATTAGTACAAAAATAATATACAAGCCGGCACGATGTCATAAACATCAACTCTATATCCCAGCTCCATGCAAACACGTCCTTCCTTTGCATCTATGCTCTCAATATTTTCTCGCCGGCGCACTCACGTATTCCAACCAGCACTTTGTAGGCTGCGACGCCTGCGGCACCATCGTGATCCCCGTGTGCGGTTCATACACGCCTTTTTCCTCCCAGACGCGTTTCCGCTGCTGCGCGAGCACGTTGTTGTAATTACTCGCTGCGCGCGCGTGCTCGAGCATCCAGTTCTCGTCCGTGATCACCACGTTCTTTTTCCTCCCTTGGTCCCGGAACGCGCCGACAGAGTCCTGCAGCGGCTGCCCGTTCGCCTGCTGCGTGTGGTAGACCGACGACGCGCCGTGCCAGGCCACGTACTGGTTTCGGTTATACTCGATCCCCGGCGGCGGCAGCTTATCTTCCGGATCAGCGATGTCGCCTTCGACCGCGCCCTCGGCGCGTGCTCTCTCTTCGTTGTAGTCGTCGGTGATTTTCCGGCCGCCGACGATGATGCGGGCGCCGAATTCGCGAAAGACAGAGCGCGCGGTGACGACGCCGATCGGGCGGCCTTTGTAGGAGTGCGGGATCAGGTTGCGCTCGATCAGGTCGTATTTTTGCCGTTCGTCGACAATCACTTTGAGAAGCTGGCGATGGCGCTGGAAGAACAGGTAGGAATCCCGGAAGCCGATGCAGCGCGCGGGTTCGGTCGAGAGCATGTAGAGTCGCTCGCCTTTGCCTTGGATTGTGAACGTCCGGCATCGGTACTCGCGCCCGCCAGCCAACCGACCAAACTCGTCGACCTTGGTGTCTCCGATCGGGTTGCCTTGCACCACGATCTCGTCGTCCTTAACCTCCTGCGGATTTCCATCCAGATCCAGCGGCGCGACCGTCTGCGCATTAGCCGCCGACCTCGCCTGCATATTCCGCATCCGCGCCGCCCGCGCCTTGCGCGCCGCCGCCGCTCGCGGGTCTTCGCGAATCACGGGCTCCTCGCCGTTCGCGTTCTCGGTGTCTTGCTGCTGCTGTTGTTCTTGTTGTTGCTGCTGCTGCTGCGACGTGGTTTGCCGTCGCCGCTTGCGCCGGGATGTGCTCGTGTTCTCGTCATCATCGTCGTCATCGTCATCGTCTTCGTCTTCGTCGTCGTCGTCCAAATTGACGTCCTCGGCCTTGATTATATCTTCATCATCGTCGTCGCGATGCCGTCGTGGCCGGCCTCGAGTGCCGTGCGTGGCGGGCGGTGCGGTTCGCGGGTACTTGTTTTTGCTTCCAGGCGGGCGGCCGCGTGGTCTTCCCCGAGGACGCGGGGTGTGTGGCGCGGGACTTGACATGATGCTGGGTTGGAGATGCTGGGGAAGTGGAGATGGGTGAGGCGGGAGATGGAATTCAGTTGTCGTTGCTTCGCGCTCAACGAGGTCGTCGAGATTTCTTGATTCGCGCGCGCGTCGAGGGAAAGACGAGTTCAGATGCTTAAGATCCGGGTGATTGGAGATAGAAGATGCTTTTTATCGGATCAATTATGGTTTATAACAAAAAGCCATGTCCTTTTCTGTGGTCGAATTGCCAGGTTTGTTATTTCTCGAGCAAAAGTAAAAATTGGGTTGAGCGCAGGGGGCTGTTGCGCTGCATAAGTCGATGGGCGTGTGACGGTTATGTTGTTTCCCTTTTGGGTCTACGCGTGTCGACTGTTTCGTGTCTGAAAGATAATTATGGCTTTACAGATAGATAGTGTTGAGACAGTTGTTGTATAGAGATTTGGAGTAGAGTCGGAGGAGTAAAATGTTATGCGATAACTGCAGAGCTCATGTAGCAGGTGAATGGAGCTGAGAGAGACTAGAAGCACTGATTGAAGTTTCTACTATCAGATGTGTATCTGTCTGTGCTTGACTTTGTTCCCAATTCAGTCCTCTTCACCATCCTCAGTCGAGAAAGACTCTCGCTGCTGTTCAGGCTGTTTGAAGGCAGTGCAGATAGGACGATCTCGATTATGCCGGCGACTAGTGAGCTGCGCACTAGTTAGCTCAGCTAGTGTGTCATACATTATATAATAATATTCAGCGCAACAGAGCTATTACTATATGGCGCACCTATGCAAACACAGTTCTACTTACGGCACACTCGCCACACTTCTTTCCTCAGATAAGGCAAAGGCCCAGATCACGCGGGCAGATAAGAAGGGCACCGCCACCGATGACGCCACTTGCGGCGGTGCTTGCGATCACGCCTGGAGCCGGCCGCCCGCCAATCCGTAAGCTCGTCGCCGTCTCCGCCGCTCTCTGCTCTCTTCCCTCTTATCATCCTTCCCTCCCTTCCTATCTCTCCCCCACCGCATCCCCCTAACTTATTCCTATCCATTCACAATGAAGGCCTCCGCTATTTTGGCCCTCGGTGCTCTTTTGAGCTCCACCGAGGCTGCTGTCCACTCGTAAGTGCTCTACACTCGTCTATCGCCACTCTACAGTGGGTGTGTGACAGCAAGCTGACTCTCTCCAGCATGAACATGAAGAAGATCCCCCTCACCGAGCAGCTCGCCAAGGTATGTTTGCCATCCTGCTCTTCTGCTTGATATCTGCCGCTTCTCGCGATTCCAGCGGATATCATCAACTATCACCAACTATCACCCCATCGGACATCTCCTAACTGCGTCAACAATCTAGCTCGACATGACCTCGCACATGAACGCTCTCGGCCAGAAGTACCTCGGTGCTTACAAGGGACAGGAGTTCGATGCTGAGGCCGCTCACAACGTTCCTCTCACCAACTTCCTTAACGCTCAGTGTATGTTTATCTTCTTTGATCGTCGCTCTATGCTCAGTGGCAAAGTGGTGGGCACCGCGCCCCATTCTGCTCCCGGCTCCCTTTTCCGATAATCCCGCTTGTTGTTATCAAACTTGATAGTGCCATTGCAAGCGATACTACAGATTTGATTGTTCTTCTTTTGCTGTTTGTATTTTTGCATTGCATACCGCATGCATTTGCAAACCGCAAGCGGGATTATGAGTAATCGCCAGGGAAAGGGTTTTGCTCGGAGTTCGCCTTAGCCTTCTTTGTTATCCTCTTACTAACTTGGGCGCAGACTTCACTGAGATCTCTCTTGGAACCCCTCCCCAGGAGTTCAAGGTCATCCTTGACACTGGTTCCTCCAACCTGTGGGTTCCTTCCGTCTCGTGTGGATCCATTGCCTGCTACTTGCACACCAAGTACGACTCGTCCGCGTCGTCGTCCTATGTCAAGAACGGCACTTCCTTTGACATCCAGTACGGATCCGGCTCGATGTCTGGCTTCGTTTCCAACGATATCTTGACCATCGGTGACCTCGAGATCAAGAGCCAGGACTTTGCTGAGGCCACCCAGGAGCCCGGCCTTGCCTTTGCCTTTGGCCGTTTCGACGGTATCCTCGGTCTTGGATACGACACCATCTCCGTTGACGGCATGGTTCCCCCCGTCTACAACGCCATCAACCAGGGTCTCCTTGACGAGCCCCTCTTCTCTTTCTACCTCGGTGACACCACCGTCGATGAGGAGATGGGTGGCGTTGCTACCTTCGGTGGCATCGACGAGTCTCACTACACCGGTGAGATCACCTGGTTGCCCGTCCGCCGCCAGGCCTACTGGGAGGTTGACCTCAAGAGCATCACCTTTGGCAGCGAGTCTGCTGAGCTCGAGAACACTGGTGCCATTGTTGACACCGGCACTTCGCTCATTGCCCTCCCCACCGGCCTTGCCGAGATCCTGAACATGGAGATTGGCGCCAAGAAGAACTGGCAGGGACAGTACACCGTTGACTGCGATGTCCGCGACACTCTCCAGGACATCTCGTTCAACCTCAACGGCAAGGAGTTTGCTATCACCGCTAAGGACTACATCATGGAGGTCCAGGGATCCTGCATCTCTGCCTTCATGGGCATGGACTTCCCCGAGCCGGTCGGACCCCTCGTCATCCTCGGTGACGCTTTCCTCCGCAAGTGGTACTCCATCTACGACATCGGCAACAACCGTGTCGGTCTTGCCCAGGCCAAGTAAATCTCCTATGTCTGATCGGTTCGAATGAGAAAATATCAAACGTAGAAAGGTCTCGAGACATTATTTGCTAGACATTGGGATTACTTTTGCTTTGTTGTTCGTTCGGGTGAATCGATAGGCTTGAGATTACTTGCTTGCCTCATCTTCTCTTTTCGGCTCTTATATTTTTATCTCTTTTTTTTTCTTCTTCAGGGTATGTTCTAGTTGATATTTGCAGGACGGTAGTGGGAGGAGTGCTTGGTTTGGGTATTCATTTAGTTTTTTCTCTTTTTTTTCCACTATTACTTTTTTTTACCAATATTCTATTTTTTATTCATAATACAGTGCCATGAAATATAGTCGTAGAACAATTATTTTGGTTGAGGAGGAAGTAGTTGGTGGTGCATGTAAACTGTATGTGCAATAGATCGTGGACTCTTGTGGAGTCGACTTACACGATCGTCTGCGATCTGTTGATCTGTTGATCTATTGATCTTGACATCTGAATCAGGTTTAGAATAATGATCTGTTAATCTTGACATCTGAATCAGTTTTAGAAGAATAAGATGAGTAGGTTTATTTTTTTTTCTTTCTTGGTTTAACAATACGGTACCGCCGCGCGCTCTTGATACATACAAGATACATCAAACAAGTCTGCTCTCTGCTAAGAAATATAACAAAAATATAAAAAAACGACACAACGCAAAAAGATGAAAAGACAACAATGAGGAATAAAGAATATAAGAATACAGCAGCATAATAAAAAGACAACAACAATTATACAACAACAATGATACAACAATAATACAACAACAATACAGCTAGAACAGCATGACAGCACAACAGCATGTCAGCACAGCAACACACCAGAACGACATCAGAGAAGCAGATACAGAAAAATACAGAGACAGAAAGAGCGCGCATAAAGCGACTGGTGCCAGGATCGGGAAGAATGCATTACGCATACTCTCAAACAAGAGACTAAGCTCTTGCTCAAGAGTTATGTGGGACTCTGCGACTCTCTCGAAATCGCCATACCCACTAAAACCCGACTTCACCCAGAAGGCAGTCATGAACCGCCCCCGTATTGGTGGATTTGTCAACGCTGCGCTTGAACCGCTTGGTCGTGCGGACTCTCTTCAACACCCGTCGCCTCGGGGCTCCCTTGCGACGGCGCGACTTACCAGGCGCATGTGTTTCAGAGACGCGAACAACGAAGACGTTTTAAATCCAACGAGCAACCTGGCTAAAGAAGAAGCTCATCAGATTGACCGCCCTGACCAACCGCGTCCACCCTGACAAGCAGGATCCTCGGCGCGTACATGAGACGGCCACGCAGAGGGACCGGGCCGACAACGGAACGGGAGTTCCTTTGAGCGAGCGCTCACCCGGTATCTGCGCGGGCAGGTCATATACCAGACGGCTTGGTCGAGTTAGCTTCTCTCGCCCTTTCGTCTCTCGCATGCATAGCACCTCGTGGAGTTTCCAGAATGCTAGTCCTATCAGCTGCGGTATATGCTACTCTTAGAGGAAGCTACCTGGGTATATGCTACCCTCACGAGAACTTCATCTGTTCCAGTCATAGCAGCCCCCAGAGAGTGCTACCTGGCGCGGCGTAGTCTGCTCTCAGTACGAGAACGCTATCCGCGCGGTATATGCAACTCCCTGGAAATGCTCATGGAACAGCGTAAGTTACTCGTTGAGAATGCTACCACTGCGGTATATGCCACCCTCCAAGAGTGCTACCTGCGCAATATAGCCTGCGTTGTGGCGACACCACGAGGTGTCATGCATGCGAGAGAAGAGAGGGAGATCAAAGCCTTCTTTTCCGCCTACACCCCACTGTCTTTGCCGTCGAGAGAGAGAGCCGGGATGTCGTTCGTCTCGATCTATTGCTGGGAAATAGATCGGAATGTCGTCGGTCGCGATCTATAGCTGGGAAATAGACCGGACAGTTATCGTGGGACGGGGAAGCTGAAAATCCGAGATGAGGGAAGAAAGAGAAGGGGGAAGAGAGGGAAAGAGGGCGGGCGCCCTTAAATGTGCGGATTCCAGGACAGGCGGGCGGGCGGGCGCGTGTCTGGCCATAATAGGGTTTCTAGTTCTGGACGAAAGTAAACATGCAGTTAACGCGCCGGCCGTTTCGTAATCTTTTCATTTTTGTAGTAATATGCTCCTGATTATAAACAGTATTATAATACTTTATATCAGTAAAGTCTTATGGCAATATTGAAAATTATAGGAAATAAGAATAGACAATACGCTTATATTTTGCCGGGAATATCCCCGTCATAGCAACTAAAAATCTCATCAATCTACCGATAACCAGAATAATCCCGTAAAAGTAAAGCTATACATGCAGAAGCGTTACTGCACCAGTAGAACTCTTAGAGTAGCAATGATTCTATATTATTGAGATTCATCCGCCATTATATTCAAAGAAGGAAGCGTGCCGAGTTAACATATATGTGTAGGGTTTTTAGGGCATGTGAAAACCCTACAGAATTACTTTACGCGCTCGAGATGTACGAGAATCAAAGTGGTAGAGAAACAGGCCTGGTTCAATTGAGTGTGTACGCTATAAGGCTGTTGAGTTAGTTTATTGGTTTATTGATAGTGTTGGATGGGTGGTTTATTGGAGTGATTTGAGGAAGTCTTGATTGTTGACTTTGCTTTGCTTTTCTATGAGGTAGATCTTTGGTAACAAAAGGGTAAAAAATCTCTACACAATTATATCTTAGTTACCTCTCAGTCACCTTTTCTCTTACTCCCGCACCCTAGACGACGAGAAACTGGGCCAGGAGAAATAAAATCAGTAAATGGCTTAAATAATAATATGACGTCGCTGGCTGGCAAAGAACATGAGCCGCAGACACACTCCACTCTCCTCCCAATAACCACCACAATCCTCCTCACCACCACCCCCCTCTCTCCCTCCTCCCCCGTCCTCATCTACGCGATGCGCTTATCCGACACCCCGGTAACGGTAATAACCCCAGGCACCTACCAATCCGGTCGGAAATGCGGGTACTGCGGGCGCGACGACGGCAGCGCGATCTTTGGCTTCTCCGCGCTGTCGCTCACCGCCGCGGATTATCAGGAGTTTATGGATCGGGGGTATCGTCGGTATGTCTTGGTTTGTTGCGCTGTGATTGTGATGATTGTTAAGTGCTGACGTTTTGGTGTTGGGTCTAGGTCCGGGACGTTTATGTATAAAGTACGGTCGTCGTCTCGTTCGATTTTATATATTATAGCCTACTAACGACAACAGCCTGATCTTCTACACTCCTGCTGTCCACAGTACGCTATCAGACTACGCGTGAGCGACTACAAACCTTCCAAAGAACACCGCCAGACGATAAACAGATTCAACCGGTTCGTGCTCGGCGCCGAGTACGAAGACGCACTGCAGCGGTACGAGAAAGCGCAGAAGCCGTACGTGTTTTGACATCATAAGCAGATCATCTATATTTATAGCAAACGACTGACGCGAGAGATACGACCGCAGAAAAGACAAGACGCGAAAAAAAAATGCAGAATTCGACCTCCTACACGCCATCCACCGCGCCGAATCCGCGCTCCTCCCACCTTCACTCTCGCACATCCCGCGCGCGCACGACTTGTCCGTCCGGCTCGTGACGCCGGAGTACACGGACGAGAAATTCGCGCTCTACAAGCATTACCAGATAAGCTGCCACCACGACGCCGAGAACGAAATCACAAGTTCCGGGTTCGTGCGGTTTTTGTGCGGGAAGCCGTTCGAGCTTGCGTCGTCGGCAGAAGAGGAGGGGAAGAAGAGGCTGGGATTGTGGCATCAGATGTATTATCTGGACGGCAAGCTGATCGCGATGGCGGTCCTTGATTTCCTGCCGAATTCGATATCTGGGGTGTATTTCATGTGGGCGGAGGAGTACGGCAAATACAGTCTCGGCAAGTTGAGCGCGTGCAGAGAAGCTGCGCTTGCGGCGGAAGAAGGCGACGAGTTTTACTACATGGGTCTCTACATCTACAGCTGTCAGAAGATGAAGTATAAAGCTGCGTTTGCGCCGTCCGAGTTGCTCGATCCGGAACTGTACGAGTACTTTAGGTTTGACAGGTTCGAGCCGGAGTTGGAGAAGTGTGAGTATGTCACGTTTTCGAGCGATGCGGACGCGGTTGAGAGAGCGCGGAGGAGGCGCGTGGAGAGTGAGATGGCGGTTGATGACGAGGAGCGGGATAAAACAGACGAGCAGGACGCGCATAGCAGCGACGACGACGACGACGACGACGACGACATGAAGACCCTATTCGAGGCAGATATGCCAGGAATCCCCCCTCTCACACAGATCAAGACCGAGATCGACCTAAGCAAGGTCCAAATCCTCGTAAATCACTACGTTATCACCGCAAAAGTACGTCCGCTTCCCTATTTCTCTCTAACTTGTTGAATACAGCTCGCTGATTCGGGGTCGACAGATAATGAAGCAGAAAGCGCCGGATCTGTATAAGAGCGTGGAGGAGGATATACTAGCCACCGTCGCGGCGATGGGCGTAAATCTTGCGTACAAAGTGCTGATTTGGTTGACGTGAACCATCAACCATTTACTCGCGGCTTGGATTGTATATACGTATAATGTCTTTGATGTGTGGATAGAATCTATTAAACACAACAATAGAAAGATGCAAATTATTCGAGAAAGAGTCACGGAACATCAAACAAAACAGGTAGTAAAGTCTCAAGAACAACAAAATGAGTCAAATGTAGTAAAACATGGCGCGCAAAAACACGACTCGCGACATTGAAATAAAGCCCGGTCGGATTAGATATAATAATAGAATAATACAAAATTCATGAGGATACATGAAAGGAAGGATGATAGCGTAGATATTAACGTGTGGTGGTAGAACACGAACTGATAATGGAGATAAAGCATTTTACATGATCTTTGAGTGGCTGCGAAGAGGGAAAGGATGACGCGGGGTAGTCTTAACCGACGGGTTCACCGCTGCTGGAGTCGCCATCGCTGGAGGTGTATGCAACAGGAGTATCGAGAGCAGGAGCGGCAGCGGCATCAGCAGCAGCGTCGGCGATGACGTCGTCCTCGTTGATCACAGGCGGCAGCGCATCAGCGTTGAAAACAGGATCGAGCACGGATGGCTCCTCAGGAGGAGGAGGAGCGGCTTCGGGAAAAGGAGCAGCGGTGGGGACAGGCACGACAGCAGCAGGAGGCACATCCTCCGCATCGACGTTCTTTGTCTCCGCCAGCTTCTTCTCGGCCTCTTCCCGGCTCGTGTTCCGGTCTTCGAGGATCTTGCCCGTCGCGACGTCGTGTACGTCGACGTTCATGCAGAGGTCGCTCCAGGGGATGAAGTTCCCGTCCGGATCGTACGCGCCGCCGGTTTCGTAGATCTCCTTTGACTTTGCGATGACGTCCGGGTTGTTACGCTCACTGTACCACCACATCTTGGGCCACCACTCGTCCATGTGCTCTTTCGGACCGTTGAAGTGGAGGATAGGGGCGAGTTTGGAGGTGATGCGGTTGAATGCGTAGAGCCGGCGCTCGTCGGGCTTTTTGCGGGGGAAGGAGAAGATGTCGTCTTCGAGGAAGGTGATGTCGCGGTGCGAGAAGGTCATGGTCTGGAAGAGCTCGGAGGTGTAGTCGACAGTCATCTTGAGTTTTTGCTCACCGTAGATGTCGGCGATGTACATCTGATCGGAAAAGACCTGATCGGGTGGCGCGTGCGTGATGGAGTAGTTTGCCTGGTCGTAGATGTGGCGGAGCTCGGTGACGGGGCCGATGATGTTTCCCGAGTTGAGCCAGCGCGGACGGAAGTTGATGTACTGCTGGCGGTAGACTTGGTTGATGACGTCGGTGTTGGGTCCGTAGACGTCAGTCGGCAGCGGCGAGGAGGGGATGTTTGTGCACGCGGGCGAGCTCGGGTCGTTTGGCCAGCATTTTTTGTCGGCGCCAAAGACGACGGTCTGGTGGTTGTCTTCTTTTGTGGACTCGACGAAACGCGTGACAAAGTCGGCGTAGGGGATCTGGTACCAGACGTCGTAGCCGTCGAGGATGAAGGCGAACTCGTCGTCGCGCATGCGGTGCAGGTACTCGTCGATTCCGCTGATTTTGTAGACGCGTCCGGCGGCGGGGTCCTCGAATTTTCTGCCCCAGTTGATGAGCGTGGGCTTGGGGTAGTCGTTGATGAGGGCGGTGTAGAGCGAGCGGCAGAAGTTGAAGTGCGTGGAGGAGAGCGGGATGAGGAAGTTGATGTCGATGGGCTTGCCATTGACGAGCGGCAGCGAGAGAGTTTCTTCTTCGGCCTCCTCTTCGGCCTCCTCTTCGGCCTCCTCTTCCTGAGTCTCAGTCTCCTCGGCGCCAGCGACGAGGCCGACGGTGGCATCGGCGGTGACGTTGGCGTCGATGTCGGCGTCGGCGACGACAGCAGAGGACAGAGTGGCGGGGGAGTCTTCATCGGCAAGAGTGTCGACAGTCTCGACAGTCAAGGCAGGGGCAGACGCAGACTGGCCGTTGAGATCGGCGATAGGCGGCATGATGTTGTTTGCGGTCGTTTGGCCGATGGTTTGCTGCTCAGGCGCGTGTGCGGCCATGTTTGCGAGCGAGCCAGGGTCGACGAGGGACCAGAGGAGGAGGATGAAGACGGAGGCCGCGAGGGACGCGACCACGAGTCTGCGGGAGGACGCGGAGCGCATTGTGGAGCTGCGGCGTGGGGAGGAGGGGATTGATTGGGATGCGGGAAGCCGGATGGGGGATGGGGTTGGGTGGAGGAGGAGGAGAAAAATGATGCAGAAGGCGGCCGCGAGGAGAAGCAGCACCGTACGCGTTAAGCTGCATTCGGCTGTGCTGCGCGCAGAGAATAAAATTATGCTTATGTGGGCGTCATGTGACTGTGCGCAGAGGGGCTGGTGCTGGTCCCTTAGCGGCGAGGAACCGGTAAAACGTTTGCGGCGGAGGACATGAGTCTGGTACGGCTGCGTACAGATGAGACGATGGGAGTAGGAGGAGAAGTAGAAGGAGGAGGAGGAGTAGGAGTAAGAGCAGGCAGTGATTAAATACATGGAACTGAAGTGAACAGACAATGAACAAGCAACAACCAGAACTGGATAGTGATGAACTACTGAGCAAATCTGCATCGCGGACGAGGTCCAAGTCCAGGGAGCCGGAAGGCGAGCATTCTGTCTGGGCCCCTTCAAAGCAGGGTCTGCAGCGGCCTGACTGACGTCCACGGCTGAAGCCCGCGCGCTGCCGCACTGCTGCCGCCTCGGAGCACTGTCCGCACGCAGCTCAGTGACTCGGTGACTGGCAGCAGCAGCGCAGCAGCAGCACAGCAGCAGCAGCAGCGAGCACCTGCACTCTGCCCGGAGCCAAAACTTGCGCTTCCACGCATTCTAAGGGTGCTGCAGCACCGCCCTGGTCACACTTTCGGACCTACTCCTGCGGTTTAGGGCTGGGGTGCTGTACCCTCTGTGTAGGTGCAACTAATACAGAACGCACTGTGTCTCAGCACTAGTCTCTCTCTGATTATCATTCCCACAACAACCCCGCCCTGTAAGGTACAAGACACGCGTTCCTTACCGTTTCCTACCGTTCCAAGGCTGCCCAGTTACGGTTAATCGCCTTCAACCTCTGCCTTTTCTACCTCTTCTTCCCTTCCCAGCATTTGCCTCCTCGTCTTCTTCTTCTTCTCATCCTCTTCCTTTCTCCTCTCCTCCTCTCCTCCTCTCCTCCTCTCCTCCTCTCCTCCTCTCATCTCCCCCTCCCCCTCCAATGGCTAGCCCCTTCCTCCGCTCAAAGAGCCCCGTCCACACCGTGCTGTTCGCCGCCGTCGCGGCTGCGGCCATCCTCCTCCTCCTCGCCGGCTTCCGCGAGATGCAGACCCCTCTCGTCTCTGATCCCCAGTCCATCCTCTCCAGCTCCGTCATCGCCGCGCCCGCAAACGGCCTAGTCGTCGACCCCCAGCTGCCCTCCACCCTCGGCACCTCCGCTCCCGCCGCCGCTCCCGCTGCTGCCATCGCTGATGCTGCTGCTCCCCTCGCCGCGCCTGCTCCTGGCCAAGCCGCCGGCCAGTCGCCAGTCCCCGCCGTCGACGCCGTCTTCCTCATCCCGCTGACCTCGACTCACTTCAACTTCTGCCGCTCGCTCTACACCGCGCTCATGAACGACTACCCCAAGCCCACGCTCATCAACTGGGGCCAGACCTTCAAGAACGGCGCGCAGGCCCGCGTCAACAAAATCATCGGCATCGACAACGTGCTCAACAAGCTGCGCGAGGACCAGTACGCCATCATCATGGACGGCTTCGACGTCTGGTACCAGCTGCCCTACAAGGACTTTGTCAACCACTACCTCGACTACACGCGCGAAAACGACCACTCCGTCGTCGTCTTTGGCGCCGACAAAAAGTGCTGGCCAAACGATCTCAAGTCCCCCGCCTGCGTAAACATCCCCAACTCCACCCTGCCCGATGACATCTTTGGCGCGCACACCGACGACGCAAACTTCATCACCGACCCGGCCACAAAGTACATCTACCACCGCCCGCGCTGGCTCAACTCGGGCAACATGTTTGGCCCCGTCAAAGTCCTGCGCCAGGTCTACGAGCGCGCAAACTACCTCATCACCCACGCGCCCCCCGACATGGTCTTCTCCGACCAGATGTACATCGCCGAGGTCTACGGCCAGCAGAACCTGCCCATGACCGTCGACTTCACCTCCGAGCTCTTCCAGACCATGACTTTCTCCCACAACGATCTCATGTTTGTCGACGACGACGTCCTCGCCTCCCCGCGCAAGCCGCCATCCGAGCGCCGCCGCTACGCATTCAACCGCGTCTCCGGCGCGCTTCCCCCCGTCCTCCACTTCAACGGACCAAAGCAGGCCATGGACGCCTGGTGGCCAAAGATGTGGTGGTCCACCGAGCGCTCCAACCCGGCCGTCATCGCAAAATCAGAGGAGGTCTTCAAGACCGGCGGCGCCTTCGACACCGACGGAAACTTCATCCCCTGGGGCGAAATCTGCAAGGGCATCGACGTCCACAAGCCGTCGGGCTACATCTCTCCCCGATAAGCTCCTCTGTTTCCGTTTCCATTGTTCTCTTTTTTACTCATCCACGTCGCACTATGCAGCCATACACGTCCCCCACGAACTGTATGACTCGCAGACGTCCCCCCAAAATATCTTCCCTTCGAGACCTCAATGTCTATAATCTTGCTTATTGTAATATGCTTTCTAGACTGTTTATAATTCCGGGCTTTCTTTTGTGTCTTTTCTTTTCTCCACTGTTTCAGATCTTTGTGATAGTTACTCTTTTTTGGCTCTTTTGTTTAGTATTAAATATTTCTGGCATTTCAATGTTTCCTCTTTTTTTCTTTACTATTCTTGGAGATTTACGGTTTTCTAATTCTTCTTTTCTAATTCTTCTAATTCTCCTCTTCTTCACTTTGATTCTTTTGATCTCTATTTCTTCATTATTTTCTTTGGCTTTACTTTTTGCTACTTCTGCTGTATTTCGAGTTGCGTACAGCTACTACATCAATCATATCATCATTCATCATCATCTTATCTGCAATCTCTTTTTCCTTTGATAACTCTTCATCTCCTCTTCCATCTCCACAATTGACCTCAAAACACTCTTCTACTCCACTCCCTCTCCACTAACATCACCCCCGCAAACCTCCCACCACACCTTCACCAACTCACAACCATACGTCATCCCGCCACCACACCATCCCCAATTACTATAATCACAACAACTCCATAACCACTCATTTCATCATCTCAAGTTTGGTGTGTATTGCAGCGCAGCCAGCCAAGAGTCGAGCACTAATTTCCCCATCCGTCACAACACGCCTTGGCGCCATCATCTGCTTTTCGCAATGCGCCTCGCCATTTTTCTGACATGACAGGTTTGCTGCAGCAGCTGCTGCTGCATGTCATCTTGTTCCAGATCTCTCTCTATCTCTGTCGCTTTTGTTATTATTTTGATTTATAGATTGAATTGGATTCATTGACTTGTACATTTAGATAAAATTTACATTACAACGACACAAAACAACATAAGAAGAAGACAGAAGCAAAGAAGTACATGGACACTATCATCACTAAGAGCAAGAACGACGCCGGCGACCAAAAAAACTTTCAAGTCTCATAAACAAAAGTGAGTATAAACACAGAACTATGATACATAACCAACTAAACAAGCTAACTCGAACAGGGAATCATCAAAACAGCAGTTCAACAAAAAACAAAACCCCCGCACTATTCATAACAGACTCATAGAATTAAACTAATGGCATTTCAGCCTAGACGAGCAGGCCTTCGTCGCCGAAAACACGCTGCGCGTGGTCAATCATAAACTGCACCACGATGCCCTTCTTGTTCGCGTCCATGATTTCGCGCGAGCCAGAGTAGTCCCGGACGAGCGTCGGCGCGAAGACGACCGCGAGATTGCGTGATGTCATCTAGATCAATCATTAGTAGCTGCTCTAAAATACGTAGGCACAAACAGATTAAAACACTCACCAAATTCTTATCGCTGCTCTCGACAACCCGCGCCAAATGCCGCACCAAGACCTCCAAGCACCGCTGGTGCGCCGACGGCAAGGACTTTACGATCTGCGTCATGCTGTAGATCCGGCCCTCGACGTCGTCGATGTCAATCAAGTTCACAAACGCGAGGTACGAGTCAAACGTGATGATCGGGTTCGGGATATACCGCAGATACTGCTTCAGCACGCTCGTCACGCCGCAGATATCCTGCGCCATGGCCTCCGTCAGTTCCTGGTACCAGCGAATGACCAGGTCCCACTGCGACAGCTTCTTGTCCTTATCCTCCACCGGCTTCTCGCGCACGAGCTGGTTCATCTCCGCCTCGCTCAGATCCCACACCTCGCTCGGCGCCCGCTCAAACAGCAACTGGATCGCTGTGATCTGCGACTTAATCCCGCTCTTCCGATAAATGCCTTCGTAGTCCATCCCGCGCACCTCCACCTCCTCAATACAACGCGTGATAATCATCGGAATCTTCCGGCCTTCCATCGCCGCCCGCTCGCTTATATCCATCCCAAATAACTTTGGCTGGCCATTAGCTTCGGCTAGCTCCTCGCTCGACCCGCCGCCGCCGTTACCGGAAACCTTCATCGCCATCCCCCGCAGCTTCGATGTCGCAGAGTGCTTCCCGTTCCCGCCGTTTCCGGCCATCACGTTCAGCGCAGACATCGCGCTCGCGCTTTTGGGAAGCGAGATTCCTAAGCCGCCGGTACTATTCTGCTGCGGCGGTTGCAGGTATTGCTGCTGCTGCGGCTGCTGTTCGTGCTGCTCGGTTTCTTCAAAAGAAGACATCGACCCGTTCGAGTTATACGCAAAGCCCTGGAGTCCACCCACACCACCTTGGTGTCCTCCACTTTCGTTTGTAAACATCTTATTAAACCCCTTCGCAACCGCCGCGCCCGGCCCTCGCTTTCGTTTCCAAAACTTCAGTCCGCCGCCGCCGCCGTTGCTATTTCCTTGGTTAATCTCGCGGCTGCTGATACTGTGGACCATCGTCGGCGCACTCGAGTTGCTTGCACTTCCGCTACCGCTGCGATTGCGCGTCAACGGAGACGAGGAGGATGTCGACGTCGAGATTATCGTGATTGGCTTCGCAAGATGGACCGTCTCTTCTGCAACTACCACTTCAGGAACCTCATCCACAATAGGGCCGCCGCTGGACTGCACCAGCGGGGATTTAGCTTTCTCGTCGTTGGTGGGCGGAGCTACACCAGATGCACTGCTGGTATCCTTGTGTCGCGAGAACAACGGGATCTTGCCACTCGACATACTCGGCGAATAATCGGCCGACCCCTCGTTCTTATGCCGCGACGCACCACGACCGGCGGCACTGAACGCAGACGAATCACTAGGCGCAGGCGAATGCGACACTTTGTTGTTCTTAAACTTGTCCTGGATCTGCCGCGTGATCTCATCGTTCATATTCGAAAGCTGCAGGTTCTTCGTATTGAGATGTTCAGACTCGACCGTCGCCGCATCGCGCAACTTCATCAGCCGCGCGTTTTCTTCCAAAAGGCCGTTGCGCTGCGCAATCAGCTCCTCAATCTCGGTCTGCAGCACCTTCTTCGCCGACTCCAGCTCGGCTTTCATCCGCGACAGTTTCTCAGTCTCGTCTGCCAAACTACTCGTCGCTTGATGCGTCTTTGGCGTGTTCGGATTGTGGTCCTGTAACACCTCGACCTCGGTCTGCATCACCGTCCGCTGCGCCTCCAGGCTCGCAATCGTCTGCCGACGCTCTTCAATCTTCGCATCCAGATTCGCCGCGTCGTCAGACCCGTGCGCTGACTTTGCCTGTGCCTCCAGCTCGACAATCCGCTGCGTCGCGCGCGCAAGCTCGTACTTTAGCTTCGTGATCTCATCCTCGCCGTCATCATCCCAGCCCGCCATCCTGTGCCGTCGGCTGTTGTCGACCGTCAGCGTCAAGTCCGCGTAATCGAGATCAATCGGCTCATCTAGCCCCGCGCCGGACTCGGAGCTCAATATGCGCACCGTATCCAGCAACTCGGTCGGCATGTTTGGAATATCGGCTCGATAAAGTGGCGACGACGCGCTCGTCGTCCACAGAGACTCGCCCTCCGGCGGAGAGCTAGCCAGCATCGATCCCGACGGCTGCCGATTATGCGACCCGCCGTCCTGCCGCTGCATGCGCGGCGACGAGGCAGGCGAGCTACCGGTGACGAACGAGCGCATTGTGGCTCGGCTCGGTCGGCGGCGCAGAAGAGACTGCAGTCGTGCGCTGGCGGCTTTGCCGGGCGAGCGCGGGGAGGAGGCGAATTTTTGGTTGTTGAGGATACTGGCAAAGTCTTCGTCCAGGCTGAAACCGGTGCTCTCGACGAAATTTTCGGGCAGGTCAATATACTATGCACATGATTAGTAAATCTTCTTTGTAAAAAAACAGTGATACATACCGGCGACTCTGTAGACAACGTTCTTGACCCGCTCGACACTCCATTCCCAGTCTGCGCAGGCGGCGTAGCCATATGCACAACCGGCGACGCGCTCTTTTTCTTCGGTCCCAGCTTCGGCGTTCGAGGCCGAGCCGGGGTGTTGCGCGTTTTGTTTGATGTCTGTCCGGACTGCGTGGACGACAGCGTCGTCGTCGAATTTGCGTCTTTAGCGAGCGTCGCAGACGACACGCTCGAGCTGATCCGCCGCTTGTTGGAGTCATCCTTTTTGCCGAACGAGAAAAACCGCGAAGTAGATGACACAAGCGTTTCTTTGACTGGTGCTGCCGCTGCGCGAATGATAGTCTGCTGTTGTTGTTGCGACATTGTGGGTACTTGCTGCTGCTGCTGCTGCTGCTGAACTGCAACAGTTGTATTGGACGATGGCGCCAGAGCTGAATCGACTGTGCTCGTGCTTTCCGACGCACCAGTCGTCATGGTTGGCGTAGTACTGTTACTCGCACCGTGCCTCGCAAACGCCTTGTTAAAAAACGACCCGGAAGAAATCGACCGCTTCGCATGATGTCCGCGCTGCTTCGGAACCGAGAGCGCCGACTTACTGCTGCCGTCTGTGGTTGCTGTGGTCTCGACATCGAGACTGTGGTGACTCGAAGCAAACGAGTTCCGCGCCGAACTCCTGCTTAGCTCTGGAGACATCCGGCCGGTGAACGCGGGCGACATCGAGTTCACGACGTCGAGCTTCTCCTCGCCGGCACCGGCGGTAGAGTCATCAGCGGTATTCCTTCGAGGGAACGAAAACTCAGAGCCGACGCTTGTAGTAGACGCGCGTGCCGTTGGCAAGTAGCCACCGACCGCACCGGTGGCGGTCGTAGGCGTGTTAACACTCGCCGCCGACCCAAGCGCCGACGACTGAGGCTGCTGATCGAGCGTGATTGAGCGCGAGATCCGTCTGACTTTTGATGCGAAACTGGTCGACGAGCGACGCGAGCCGAGGTCGGAAAGAAATCCCTTTGACTGGCGCGAAAAGCTAGCAAACGCAGTCGATGAGGACGCAGATGATAGAGAGGCGCGGTCGTCGGCGCTGGGCTGCTTGCTTAGGATGACTTCGCTTTCGCTCGGAGCAGCCGAGTCGGGCCGGCCGTTGCCGGCGCTTGTTGCTACGCTCGCGCTTGTGTCTGAGCTCACGCTGTGTGAGAGGTCGGGCTGCAAGAGACTGGAAGGGGTCGTTACTGTTGACTTGACGGAGACGTGCTCGCTCACGGGTTCCTCTTGCGCGCTGGTCACACTGTCGGCGGTCGAGTTGGGCTGGGGCGGCGTTTTGTTGTCGTAGCTATCCATAACGGTCGCGGTCGGCGCGGGTGTGTCTTCAGAGACGGAAGCTGAAGTGGTTGACTGATGTGCGTCTGCGGGAACGGCGAGAGAATCGGATCGCGTATATGATGCTGGCTCGCGGTCGCCCACGTCCTCGTCAGCGCTGGCGTAGTCGGAAGCCTGGAGCGAGGCGTGCGAGTACGCGATCGAAGTGTGCTTCTGAGCGACCGAGATCTGCGTTCGCGTGGAGTTAGGCGAGGGAATAGGGAAGAGCGGGATCATATCACCCAGAGGGCGTTCGTCGGCGGGAGAAGAAGCGGCTTCAACGGTGTCGGGAATTTCCGCAGTCGTCGTCGCAGGGGCTGTGTCGGGGTCTGCGGTTATGGTTTTGGTGGGAGAGACGGAGGCGTCTAGGGTTGGACTTTCGGCAGCAGCATCATCTGGCGTGAATGGGATCTCTGGCGACTGCTCGATCGGCACCGGGGGCAGCGTCTTGTCGAGCAGAGACTGGGGAGTTGAGCGCGCCGAGCCGGGAGTCGAGCGGCCGCCGGGTGCGGCTACGGCGGCGGCGGGAGCGGTGAGGTCAACGGGCGGTGGGAGTTCGATAGCCTGGGGAGGGGTGACCTGTCGCTGAGCTTTCGAGCGTTTTCTGCGCTCCATGAGTTTGTCGTAGCAGTTCATGCAAAAGATGCCGTGGGAGGTGCGGGCGTAGCGCAGGTTTTCGATGGGCCGTTTGCAGTTTCTGCATTTGAAGCACTTTGAGCAGAACGCGGTGTCTTTGCCGGTGAGGATGGCGAGGTCGTCGATTTTCTTGTTGCAGACGCAGCAGGAGTAGCAGCAGTTTGCGCAGATGAGGTCACCATTTCCGAGGACGAGGAGGTTTGCGTCGCAGTCGAGTTGGTTGTCGCAGCTGGAGCAGCGGAAGCAGTCGACGTGCCATCGGGAGCCGCCTGGGGGAGTTAGTAGTGAGGGTGGGGGAGAGTGCTGGAGAGCAAAAAATCAATAATTACCTAATTCAAAAGCACGACCTTCTTCGAGGATCTGGAAGGGAGGAAGTGGTTAGAGCGGGAGGTGAGTGGTTGAGGGGGGAGGGGGGTGATTACCTTGTTGCACTTGCGACAGGAGTAGACCTCGTCGTCGACGTCTGCGTAGATGTCGTCGGGGGAGGGGTCCATGTCGGAGTAGCAATTATAAATAGGAATAAAACAAAAAGAAGAAGAGAAGGAGACAATAAAGAAGAAGAACTAGAACAAGAGAAGAGAAGAAGATGAAGAAGCGGTGAAGAAGCCAGGCAGGGGCCGCGCTCAGCATAATCAGCCGCACGCTCGCGCTCGAACAAATTAAGGTTTTGTCTTAGCTGTGTTTTGTACCCCTGGCGCGCGTGTGCTGTGTTTTGGTTTCTTATTTATAGAACATTGTCTGCTCTTTGTGTTCTTTCTTGCTCTTGTTTGTCTGTTGTTTGCTCAATTGTTCTTTTACTTTATCTCCACTCTCTTCTCCTCACTTTTCTCTCCATTTCCATATCTTCATTGTCACCTGATGTCACGTGACATTGCACGTGACTACAACCCTCCTCCTCTTGACCTTCTCCCGACACCTCATCCACCCCACCTCCATATACAATGCTCGCCCTCTCGCGCGCCTCGTCCTCCTTCTCGCGAGCCGGACGCGTCTCGGCGCGCTCTGGCCGCAGCAGCATACAGCGCCAACGCGTGCTTCTGCACCCGCACCAGCAGCAGTCCCGCCGCGCAATGGCTTCTGCCTCTGCCTCTGCTGGTGGTCCTTCGTCATCTTCTTCGTCCCCTGCACTTCTGCATCCTTCACTCCTCGCTCTGCTCGACGATCTCGACAAACTCTCTCCTCGTTTCTACCTCTCTCCCGGCGAAATTGACATCCTCACTACCCCCGCAGATTTCTACGCGACCCTCAAATCCAAGATCCTGTCCGCGCGCTCGCACGTCTTCCTCGCGACCCTCTACATCGGCCGCACAGAGCACGACCTCATCGACACCCTCCGCACCGCTCTGCAAAAAAACCCAGACCTGCAGGTCCATCTCCTGACCGACGCCCTGCGCGGCACCCGCGAAGCTCCGCACGCGTCCTGTGCTTCGCTCATGGCTTCGCTCGCCGCTGATTTTCCCGACCGCGTTCACGTGCGGCTGTTCCACACGCCCAAGCTGCGCGGTCTCGCAAAGGCGGTCACGCCCGTGCGGTTGAACGAGGGATGGGGGCTGCAGCATATGAAGCTGTACGGATTCGACGACGAGATTATTCTCTCGGGAGCGAACTTGTCGGAGGACTACTTCACCAACCGGCAGGATCGATATTACCTCTTCCACTCGGCTGAGGTCACCGCCTACTACCGGCGCATCTTCGAGGCCGTTTCTGCGCTCAGCTATAAGCTGGACTCAGACGCAAGCTCGCCTTCTCAGTTTAAACTGTCGTGGTCTACAGACCCGTCGCTCACTTCTGCGCCTGAACCGACCAAACATCCCAATACGTTCTGCAAGGCCGCTACAGCTCTAATCGCCCCCCTCCTGCGCCCACCCGCTTCCTCCACCTCCTCCGCCTCATCCTCCTCCTGCATCACAAACAAGCAAGTGAAAACAGTATTCTACCCAATCTCCCAAATGACGCCCCTCCTCCGCCCAAACCACTCCACCGAAGCCCCCGCCGTCGAACGCATGCTCGACGTGCTCTCCGGACCCGACCAGTTCTCGTGGATGTTCACCGCGGGCTACTTCAACATCCACCCGACCTACCGCAGCAAATTCCTCGACTCGGATCCGGAGAAAGGCATCATCATCACTGCCGCGCCCGAAGCAAACGGCTTCTACCAATCCGCGGGCGTGTCAAAGTACCTGCCTCCCGCGTACACGCAGCTCGCGCACGAGTTTGTGAAAGACGTCGCGGCGCGGAAGAAGAGCGAGAAAATCAAGCTTCTCGAGTGGCAAAACGGCGTGCTCAACCAACCCGGCGGATGGACTTACCACGCCAAAGGAATCTGGCTCACTCCACCCGCCGAGACCACGCCGTGCGTGACCGTGATTGGGTCCTCGAACTTCACGCGGCGATCGCACACAATGGACCTGGAGTCCAACGGACTGATTGTGACTGTCGACGAGGACCTGCGGCAAAAGATGAAGGACGAGACCGAGAACCTGCAAAAGTTTACAAAGGTTATGGAGGAGAAGGATTTTCAGGCTGAGAACCGGAAAGTGGGGTTGGGCGTTAAGCTCTCGCTCGCGGTGCTGGGTCTTGCCTTGTAGGCGGGAATAATTACTTGTGTAAATTACATTTTGTATATAGGTATGGTTGAATGAAGATGCTGAACTGTGAGCAGCTGTAATATGTACAAAGCAGAGATCACCTTCGTGGCCCCTTCCCGAATCTAATCTTACTAGGCACAAGCCTCAGCGCACTCATACTCTCCTGCAGCGTCTCAAATTCCGGATCCAGCTCCGGCTCGCCGTAGTCTGCATCGTCAGGTTCAAACGAGATCTCATCCGGATTCTTCTTGTTTTGTTTTTGTGCAGCAACATCTTGTAATGAAGCGTCCGGAAGCGTGTCATCGTCGTCATGGTTTGTTGTCGTGTTGCGATTTCTGCGACCTCGTCGCGGGCCTCTGCCTGATTTTTTCGTATCAGCCGGATCTTTTGGCTCGATCTCCATACTGTCCCCGGTTTTTCGCGGATTCCCCTTCTGCTTCGGCCGTCTAAGCAACGACGTCCGTCCCTTCGACAACCCGTAGGTAACAATGGAAAACATGTACTCCTCCGGATACTGATGCTCCCCCACCAAATGCTTTATCCGTTTATTCTTCGACTTGAACTTCAACGGACACTCCTCGACAAAACACTGATACGTATCCTCTCCGCGTTCGCGCCGGGCCTCGATAAACGGATCATGCTGCTCGGAAATATGCAGGTCCAGCAACCGATCGGACGGGAACGTGCGCGAGCACTCGAAGCACACTTTGCTGTGATCTTCACGATAGTGCCTTTCGTACTCTGCATGCGACGTAAACGACGTCGGATGCCGCAAACACCGCGGCGGAAGCGTGCACTCAATCACTACCGCTGCTGGTGGTGGTGTATTTGAATTATCTTCATCATCTTCCTTCTGATTGATTTGCCGGAACTTTGCCGGCTGAATCTCGTCTCTCGCGAGATCGTCTTCTGAACCTGATAGGCTGGAGGTATACCCATCCGACCCATCTCCTCCTCTTGTTCGCTTCGCCATCTCTTCTTCTTCTTCTCCTAGTTTAAAAGATGAAAGCATAAACAAATAATGTCGAGCCTCACTATGACGACGCGCTCGCTTAAATAGACACCACATATAAACTATTCTCTGCGCGAGCCTCTCTAATCAGCCATAACTCTGGAACCTTAATCTACTCCCGCAGTGTTTTAGCAAGGAGTTTGAGATTGTTGACATCTACGCTCGGCGACTGCGCTTGAGAAGATACAGATACCAGCTGTGCGTGTTTTTGCCGGGGAGATACCTGAAGAAAAAAAGAAAAGCAACGTCGTGGATTCTTTTTTTGCTTCGCGCGTTGAGGTTCTACAGAGTAAGGAGCACGAGGACGGAACGGAAACGATGGGCTGCATTTGCGTAACTGACCACTCTGGTGTTACGGTATTGAGAGAGAAGTTTTGGTAGATGATTCATGAATCTCTTGGACCTGGATGATGTCGTATGTATTAACGCGGTTCTGATGTGGCAGGCATTACGACGACTAGGAGATGAGATGCGGGTGCGGTCCCTGGGAGAAGTATATCTGGTGCAGGTACTCCAGAAGACGGCAGTCTGCGAATGCATATTACTAATAGCAACGATTCAGAGCAGAGAAATTGTTATGCAAAGTGGAAGAAAAGAGCAATTCTATTTCATGTCTGGAAGGAAGCAGAGGGAGCAGGAGCAGATGCGATCACGTGCTGCGTATTTACCTTTTCCAGGTTATGAGGCAAAGATGCTCCTGGCTCAGCCGCGATTCAGCCGTGAGCAAAGCGAAGCAGGTCCGAGAGCGACGAAAGCAGCGACGAGGAGGGAGGAGGAGGGATTAATGCGCATGACGGATCGGCAAGAGACAGACGGTAGGATTGTCTCTGGGGGGAGGGAGCTGCAAGGGAGAAAGCAAGACTCGGCCCGGGTTGGGAGTAGTCGGAGCAGTTGGACGACCAGGATGCTGCGGACGGACTGCCGATCCGGGGCACGTCTGTGCACTGATCTGCCTTGTTCTCTGTGCGTGCCTGCATGGTGCTAAGCCGGATCAGTTGAGAGGACAGGGAGTGGCGATGGGGTGGCGGGGAGGGGGAGGGGCGGCGGAGTGCGGCCGCTAGTCGAGAAGAGCAAGGACGAGGGTGTTTCAGTTCAATCTGGGAGCCTGAACGGGAATAAATGAGAAACAGCCGAAAGAAGAAGAAGAGAAGAAAGAAGAAGCAGCAGACTAAGAGGAAAAGGGACAAGTCTGTGGTTTGGCAGCTGTGCGAGTCGACGTACCGGGGCTCGCGGTAGGACAGCACAGACACTTGTGAGCCGACTGCCCCACACTCGCTTTGCTTCTTCTTCTTCTCTTCTTCTTCTTTTTATATCGCCCTGTATCCTCTTCTTCTGTTCTTCTTCTCTTCTCTACTCTCTACAGTCTAGTCTAGTCTACTCTCTTTACTCTCCGTCACTCGCTACTCTACCATGCAATCGCCCTCCTTCTACCGCCCCCTCCCGCTCCCTCTGGATCACGCTCCTGACGCCTGTCTCCCCCCAATCCGCCCCTCTGCCGCCCTCCCTCTCCCCCCTCTGATGGCCCTCCGCTCATCCATCCCGCCCCTCAGCGACCTCTCGTTCGCAGCCCTCCCCCCGCGCGACAGCAACCTCTCGCAGTTCGTCATCACCCGCGTCATCCGCCCTCTCTACTGCTCTCCCTCGTTTGAGTCCACCGTACGCCAGCCCATCCCCGCGCCCGCAAACCTGCACCCCGTCCACGCCAGCATCCACGCCTACGTGCCCCGCGGCCTCCGCCACGAAGGCGGCCGCTGGCTCGCCTACCGCCGGAACTACCTCGTCGTCATGGCCAGCGCCTCCTTTGATCTCCCCGTATCCGCGCTACCCAACCCGCGCCCGCAGCCCTCCTCGCTAGCTAGCTCGTTGATTGGCGGCGGACACGCGTTCTACACGCAGCTCAACTTCCGCAACCAGCCCCCGCGCACCGTGCGCGTCACGCGCTTCGCGATCTCGATCCAGGCCGAGGACGAGGCGAGCGGCAAGTCTGTCGCGCTGATCCAGCACACTTCCAAGCGCGATGCCGGGCCGCAGCGTAAACCCGTGCTCGAGCCTATCACGCCCATCATTGCCGCCGAGGCCGCGAGCAGCGGCAACGGCAACGCGCAGACTCCCCGGGCGCAGGCCGGGTACCCTTCGTCTTCGTCTTCGTCTGCGTCTGAGGCTATCTTCCGGAATCTGCAGTCAAAGTCTACGTCTGCTACCTCGTACGGGTTCTCGAGTTCTGCAGCGGACTTTTCCGGCGCCGACACGGACGACAACGAAGACGACCCCTACTACGACGACGACGACCATCTGGCCGACGGCCGTCTGGCCGACACTGCAGTATTTGAGCGCATCCAGTTCAAGAAAGCGACGGCCAACAACGGGCGCAAGAACACCGCGCAGCAAATGTTCAGACTGGTGACGGTGCTGTACGCCGGAATCAGCTACGAGGACTGCGCGGGCGGCGCGAACGTCGTGGGCCCGGTCGTGCTCGACGATCGTAACCAGATCGTGTACGTCGAGCTCCAGCGGATTGCCACGTCGGGCATAATCGTGCGCGGTCGCTCGCCGGGGCACTACGCCGAGCGCGGAGCGGGGAGGATCTGATCTAGCTGAGAAGAGGTGAATATAGTTTGGTAATGCCTTGAGGGCATGTGTATTGGTTTCTTGTATAAACCCGGATAATTGTTTATTGCTGCTTGCTCTGCTATCTATTTTGAATCTTGTATATCTAATTTTGCTTTCTGTGGACCTGGCGAATCTGGCGTGAATGTTTCTAATATCGATTGTTTGCTTCTGTTGCTGGAATATTGTACAAACCGTTCTCTTCTTAGGATCGCTACATAAATGTATTTCTACTCCTAATCACTTTTCCAAATCCGGCTGTCTTGGACGAATTGAGGCATATCCGATGATCATCGGGCGTTTGGGTTTGTGGAATTGGATAACCGCGCGCGTATTTCCTGATCGGGAAGTACTTTAACCAGCGACGGTTATGCCGCGAGCAGAAGAAGGTTCTGCTCCTTTGCATCTTGTCGGCAGAGGGGACATTCGGGCTTATCGCTGTTAGCAGCTACTTTTGAAGCATATAGAGCAGTATAAGAAACAGACTCACCTTCTCACCGCACCACTCGGATATGCACTCCCAGCAAAACAGATGCCCGCACGGCGTCGCGGTCGGATTCGTCATGTAGGAAAGACAGAGCGGACACTTGCGAGAAGATTCAGGGATGTACCGCATCTTTGTCTGGTCAGATAACACGACCGGCGCAGTCGTCCTCGCGCTCTCTGCTGCCGTTGCCTTCCTGCTGCTCGCGTTCAGCGCTGCCTGCTCATCCGACGACGGCGACTCGGGAAGCAGCGTCGAGAGCTCGCGGCCTAGTTTGACGGCAAGTTGCACGGCTAGCAAGAGGCCGAGGATTTCGTACCCCGGCCGGTGTTCACCGTCCTGCAGCTGTCTGGGAAAGATCTGTTTCATGTCAATCAGGACTGGCCTACACCTAAAGTAGAAAAGAGCAAGAAAGAGAAAAGGAGTACGCACATATCGAAGCCCCCAAATCCGCTTCGCGACGTCGTAATACGACCCATGAAAGTAAAACAGCGCAAGATGCAGCGACGCAACTGCTTCTCCCGACGTCAGCACCGACAGATTCCGCAGCACCAGCCGTTTCAGCAGCACCGCAAACTCTCCCTGCTTCTTTTCGTCATTATTAGTGTTCTTAGTGGTGTTTGGAATCCGGTCGAGTGCCTGTCGGATCCGTTTGCGTAGTTTGGGAAGGTTTTTGGTGAGGATATAGGGGATCAGTGTGCTCGTAGCCACGAAGCCTAGTCGTCGCTATTCACAGTGCGTCAGTGTGCTATTCTCGCAAAGGACAACTACGCCTATCCACTCACCTTCGTCGACGGACGCGCTGCCAAATCCTTTGTGACATAAAACACATCGCAGTACTCCTCTCCTAACGACCGTGTCCCGCATACAGTCGTGAGTCCGAGATAAACCAGACTAGAGAGCAGCGACACCTCAGCCGAGAGCCCATGCAGAGATCGCGATCCTGGACAAAGGTCAGCAAGAATTACACTCAAGTACAAGCACATACATACCAATCACCCGCCTGAGCACGCTCGACAGTTTCTCCTGCAACTCGTCCTGCACTTGCTCGTCTTTCTGAGCGGCGCGGACTGATCAGAGTTAGCATCGTCAGATTGATCTGATCTATAGCTGATCTGTACGCACTTATGTCTGCGGCGGGCGCAAAGACAAACGGCTGCATCGACAGCTGCTTTGTAGTTGATTCCTCTGCCATCCCTGCTGTCTGCTGTCTGCTATCTACTGTCTGCTGTTGTCTATCTACAGCTACAACGTGGGGTTGGGTCTGCCGATGCCGAGGCGCGATGGCTGACATCAGTGCGGGCCTGGTACTGTCAGGAGTCTCACCCAAAGCAGCCTAGCGTCAAAACCCTAAATTGGCGATGAGGCTCGTTGAGGCAGCACAGGCGGCGGCGCGGCAGCAGCAGCGGCAGCAGCCCAGAAATAGCGAAAGGCCCTGAAAGCTCGGCGCTGGTAAATATCGGGGAACTGCTTCTTTGGTTGTTGTTTGTTGTTGCTTGTTGTTGTTGGTTTATTCTACTCGTGAACAGAAACATCGTCGCCGCTCGACGCGTGGAATGTGCTCTGCATCTGCATCCTGGACTTGCATTCACGCGACACGCCGTCACTGACCTCTTTTCGTCCATCCCGCCATTGTTCGTCTCCTTCTCGCCCCTGCCCCTCTCCTCCCTGCCCCCTCCTCTCCTGCCTGCCCGTCTGCTCTCAGACCTTGGTCTTGTTTTCTTGACTTTCCGCTAGCTCATGTCCGACGCTTCTGCTGCGTCCTCGCCCGATGGCGCTCACGCTGCCTCTGCTGGCATGAGCGCGCTCACTGAGGATCTGTTTAGTGCCTACTTTCCTCTGCCATATCGCGTCGTCGCGACAATCATAATAGGTATTTTTGTCCCTGTCTAATTTTTCATTTTTTATCTGTCCTCCCGCTAACTTCTCAGGCGTCTGGGGATGGGCATTCGTCCTGCACACCCTCACCCGGCTCCAAATCAACGTCGAGTCCCTCCTCCGCTTCAACCAAAAGCACAACTCGCCGCCGCTCTACCAGATCGTCTACCAGATCGGCACGATGCTGCTCGTAGTCTACAGCGCGACCACCGCGCTCCTGTGGATCGCAGGCACCCACGAATTCACATTCACCGTCTTCGGCTTCGACATCCTCCCCTTCCTCTGCTTCGCCTCCATCCCCGTTATCTTCATGTTCCCCGGCCACCACGGCCACCGCTCGAGCCGCAACCGCTTCATGTCGACGCTCAAGCGGATCTCGTTCGGGGGTCTCGACGCCGAGACTCGGTTCGCGGACATCATCACCGCCGACGCGTTGACGTCCTACTCCAAAGTCCTCGCCGACGGCTGGATCATGGTCTGCATGGTCCTCTGCGGCCGCTCCGTCGCCGCCATCCCCGACCGCACCTGCGGCGGCGAGTGGGTTGCGCCGATGATCATCTCGATCCCGTACCTGATCCGTCTGCGGCAATGTCTCACTGACTTCATGCGGTCAAACATGCAGGACTACGCGCACCTGCTCAACGCGGCAAAGTACTCGACCACTTTCCCCGTCATCATCCTCTCGGTCGTCAAGCACAAGTACGACAACTCCGAGGGCGCAACCTACGTCGGCGCCCTCATCATCTACGACCTCTGGATCCTCTCCATGCTCGCAAACTCAATCTTCTCCTTCTGCTGGGACGTCCACAAGGACTGGGACCTCACCATCTTCGTCCCGGCATCCAAGCGGCCCGAGATGGCCCACCGCGGCCTGCGCCCGATAACATACTTCCCGGCCTCGTTCTACTACCTCGCGGTCGTGCTCGACCTCGGCCTCAGATTCACTTGGAGCCTGAAGCTTTCCCCGCATCTCTACTTCTTCAACGACTTTGAAGGCGGCGTCTTTGTGCTCGAGGTCATGGAGTTGTTCAGACGCTGGATCTGGCTGTTTCTCAGGATCGAGACTGAGTGGATCCGCGCGACCGGCGCGGGCATGAGAGTTCCTCTGCCCATGTCTGAACTCCGTCCGAAGGACTAATCCCCTCTTTTTTCTTCGTAAGAGGTCCAGACGATCACCACCTTGTGCATTTTCTTTTTTTTCATTTTAATACTTGTTTTGCATTACTACAGAAGTGTGCTCTCACTCTCACTCCTCCTTCCATCTTCCGTGGTTGAAGTGAGGATTTTAATTCCGTTGTATGATACTGAATGTTGTATATAGAAGTATGCCGTACTCTACATGGTGTTGTAATAGACTTAACCACAATTCTTACGTATAAAGCTTTAATTTTCGTAGAATATATCTAGACCGCCCCCCTCTTTTCACAAAAAGTAAAATAAAATAAGAAAATGTGAAATTAAAAACAACTCTCTTCAATCAACCTGTTTAAAAGTGGATGGCCTTGCCGTAGGTCGCCATCGCGGCCTCCTTGAACGCCTCCGAGAGCGTAGGGTGCGCGTGGCAGGTACGCGCAATGTCCTCCGAGCTCGCGCCGTACTCGATCGCGAGCGCGCCCTCGGCAATCATCTCGCCCGCGTTGGGGCCCATGATGTGGATGCCGAGGATGCGGTCGGTCTCCTTGTCGGAGATGAACTTCACCCAGCCCTCGGTGTCGAGGTTGGTCTTTGCGCGCGAGTTGGCGGCGAACGGGAACTTGCCGACGTTGTAGGCGATGCCCTTCTCCTTCACCTGCTCCTCGGTCATGCCGACCCAGGCGACCTCCGGGTGGGTGTACATCACCGACGGGATGACGCCGTAGTTGACGTGGCCGTGGCCGTTCTTGATGTACTCGACCGCCGCGATACCTTCCTCCTCGGCCTTGTGCGCGAGCATGACGCCGAAGGTGACGTCGCCAATCACGCGGATGTGCGGGTACTTGGTGCGGTACTCCTGGTCAATGACAACACGCCCCCGCTCGTCGACGTCGAGCTCGACGTTCTCGAGTCCGAGGCCCTCGGTATATGGCCGGCGGCCGATAGCCACCAAGACAACGTCCGCGTCAAGCGTCTCCTCCTTGCCGCCCTTGGCCGACTCGACCTTGACCGCCACGCCGTCGCCGGAGGGATCGGCCGCGAGCACTTTGGTTCCGAGCTTGAACTTGAGGCCCTGCTTGGCGAGCGAGCGCTGGATGTTCTTTGAGAACTCGGCGTCCATGCCCGCGCCGCCGATCGCGTTCATGTACTCGACAACCGTCACCTGCGATCCCAGCCGGCTCCAGACCGAGCCGAGCTCGAGTCCGATGATACCACCGCCGATGATGACCATCTTCTCCGGCACCTTCTCGAGCGCAATCGCACCGGTCGACGTCACGATCTTCTTCTCGTCGATCGTGACGCCGGGGAACGGCGTGGCCTCGGATCCGGTAGCGATAATGATGTTCTTGGCCTTGAGCACTCCCGAGCGCTCGCCCTCGTTGCCGGTCACCTCGATCTCGTGCGCGTTGAGAAACTTGCCGGTGCCCTTGTAGTAGTCGACCTTGTTCTGCTTGAAGAGAGTCTCGATACCGCGGGTGAGGCCGGTGACGGCGTCATCCTTGGCCTTCATGAACTGCTCAAAGTTGAGCTTGACGTCGCCGACTATGTCTGTTAGCATCAATTCTGCATTGCATCACTTCTGCATTGCATCTGAAATAAATCAAAAAAAAAATAGCTTACCCTCAATCCCACGCTTCTTGGTATCGTGCAGAATCTCGTGGTAGAGGTGTGAGTTGTTGAGGAGAGCCTTGGAAGGAATGCATCCGACGTTGAGGCAGGTACCGCCGGGAGGTCCGCGCTTGTCAATGCAGGCAGTCTATCACGAGTTAAATCAATTAGTCCGGATGGTTTCGAAATCTCATTTTTTCGCTTCTGTTGTTACCTTCAGACCAAGCTGGGCGGCCTTGATCGCAGCCACGTATCCGCCAGGACCAGCGCCGATGACGACGAGATCAAGCTCCTCGGCTACATACAAAGAACAAATCAGCAAGACTGTCTCAACCCTCCTCCCCCCCCCTCCTCCCTCCTCACCCACCAAAGACTCAAAGAAACATACACTCGGTGGCCATTCCTCTGCGGAACTGGCCGGCAAGAACCGTCTGCCGGTAAAGAACAGCAGCGCGCACGCCGTTGCTGTGGGCCACGCGCATCGACGCCTTTGACGATCCAGCAAAAGTTTTCAGCATTGTGGAATAGAAAATGTGTGTTGTTTAGGAGTAAACCTGCACGGAGAATATCAAAAAGTTGCTCTTGATATCAGGACACGGGCTATGAGAGGAAACACACAAAAACAGCTGCAGGGCCGGGGAACTATTTATTTGAGCGCCAGGATTGGCCGGGTGGCTCATCTCAGGGTTCGGGTTCGACCGGCAGGCTTCCGCGCCTCACCGTCGGATGTCGGACCCCCACCCACTCTCCTAGAGCTATGCGCAGAATAGAGGATCGTGACTGTGTTCACATGGTCGCTGTTACGAGAGATGGGAAGTGGTCAGATGCAGATGCTCTTGGAGAGAGTGGTGAGGAGTGTGCTGACACGCTTCCGCTAAGAGGGAGGATAGAGGGAGGATAGAGGATACAGAGGGCGGTATACTGTCAGATATGTCTCGTGGTCTACGCAAATGCTCTTTGAGAGAGAATTTGTTGATCTAGAAGTCAGCAATGAATTACTATCATGCTGTGTCATATCCATGTGCTGTGCAAAGGCAGCTGTCTACACTTCAGAAATAATCAATAGCAACTTTTACTCTATATACACATTCATCGTCTACCCTTCGTCCGCTCTTTGACCGTATTCACCTTCCTCTCCTGCGACGTCAGATACCTAAACTTCTTCTTCTTCTGCTTCGGCGGCACCGGGATCCCGTTATTAATCTTCTTCACGCGCTCGGCGTACAGCGCCGCCCGTAGTAAGCTCTTGTGCAGGATCTCCTCGTCTGACTGAAACTCCTTCGTGCCGCTGCGCGCAGACGAGACAGTCAGAGAAGTAGAAGGCGCGGGCTGCTCGTTTGTGATATCGTAGCTCTCAATCTCGACAGTCGTAGTCTGGCCTTCGTCGTCCTCGACTGTGTCCTCCGTAAACACAGCGTCATACGTCTGCACGACTTTCTTGCCCGTCTTTAGGATCCCGTTGATTTCATCCTGTTTGTCGATTGATGCTTTGTTCTCTTCAACAGCCGCGGATGTCGATGCGTCGGTCTCGTCTTGAATGCCGTGCCACTCTTCGGCCTCGAGATCGGCGTCTGAGTCTCCGTTTTCAGCGTCGCTTGAGTCGTATCCCAGATCCAACTCCGATCCTTGCGCTGCATGAGCCCAGCGTTAGCCCCTTCTTCAAAAATATATTCTGGTCCTTCATTAAACACAAGAGAGAAACTCACCACCGTATAAATTCTTTGCAAACTCAACCCGCTCTTCAAGCTCCTGCTTCCTCCTTTGCCGCAGCACCTGCCTCTCCTCGCGTCGCTCCTCTTTCTCATGCTCGACCGCTTTCGCGATTGCTTTTTCGCGGCGCTCGACGTTTCGTTTGTGGAATCCTGTAAGATATTCCCTGTACGCAAAAGTTAGCCCAGCACGTTAATAAATAAAGAAACAGTCATAGATGCAAAACTCACTCTCGAGCTTCCTTGTCAAACACAATCTCCCTCGGCCGTCGCTGCACTCTCGAGTCTGCAAACGACCCGCGTCCACGACCGCCTCTGAACGATGATCCACCGCCTCGTCCGCCTCCTCGTCCACCTCGGCCGTCACTTCTTCCACCCCGACTGTCGCTCCGTCCACCTCTAGTAAACCCCCCTCTGCCGCGCGAACTCGATCCTCCGCGTCCGCCTCGACCTCCTCCTCCTCGTCCTCCCCGTCCTCCTCGCCCGCCGCCTCTGCTTCCTCCGCGCTCTTCTCGAGGCATGTTATATATCTTTCAAATATTTGTTCACAAAAAAAAACAGAATGACAAATCAGCACAAACCCGTCGTATCAGCTCTGAAAATTTATTTGATCTCGGTACGCGCACCAAGAGGGCCCGTCGACTGGGAAGTTTTTCAAGAAATGCCACGTGACCATCTCATTGGGTTAGGTGTGACGAGTGCATCACCGGCTTATCTAGAAGTACTCTTGGCTGCAGAGCAGAAGTGGGTCGTCTTCCAGCTTTGCATTTGAAGAGGAAGAAGAAGAGGAAGATAGGAAAGATGGACGAGCTTCCGGTTATTGATCTGTCGTCTGCGGACGTGGCTGAGGTTGGTAAGAAGCTGTATGAGGCGGCTAGCACGCTTGGCTTCTTTTTTGTGGATGGAAGCGGGTTTACTCAGGAGGAGGTCGACTCGATGTTCAAGTTGGTGAGAGCTCTTTTGACGACGACAGGCGATGTGAAGAAGGGCTAATGAGGAATGTAATGTGCAGGGAGAAGAGTTCTTTGCGAGGCCTATGGATGAGAAATCAAAGTATCCTATTACAAACAACAGGGGATATTCGGCATTCAACCAGGAAGCGTACGTATTTACTCTATTAGCTATTTTAGTTGTTATTGGACGACGGGCGATAGAGCGCTGACACAGAAACCAGACTTGACGTTGACGATGGGAAAAAGAAGGGCGATCCAAAGGAGTAAGTATAGTCTGGTTTGTACCTCGCCTCGCGGCAGCACAGCACAGCACAGCACATCATCTCTCTAGATTTGTAACGAGCTGGTGGTGCACATGACGATCCTGTGAAGTGTTTACGGGATGTCAGGTGGTGCTGATTATCTGAGACTTGCGAAGGAGCCATCTGGATCGCATCGCTAACACGACTCTGCCAACCTCCAGGATTTTTAACTTTGGCCCGTTTGAGCAGTCTGCTAATCCGGACCGGCAACCGCTTCCGCCGGTGTTCGACGAGGCCCGGCCGGCCATGGCCGAGTTCACGGCCAAGTGTCATGCGGTCGCCAACAGGCTGCTGGAGGCGCTCGGGACCGCGCTCGAGCTCGAGCCGGGCTGGTTCGCGAGCCGGCACGAGCTCGAGAGGCCGAGTGGGTCGACGCTGAGGATACTGCATTATCCTGCGATGACGGATGTGGAGGGGCCGGCGGACGAGATTCGCGCGGGCGCGCACACGGATTACGTGAGTGGACTTAGTCAAGAGATGAGATAACGGGGAAACTGACAGACTGAACAGGGCGCGGTGACGTTGCTGTTTCAGCGCGAAGGCCAGGCCGGACTGGAGGTGCAGTCGCCGGTGACGAAGGAGTGGATCCGGGTGCCGGCGCCGGGGTCGCGGGCGGCGGGTCGGAGTGCGCCGATAGTCGTAAACATCGCAGGTGAGTGGAAGGTCACGTTTGCAGGTCATGAGCCGAGCAGGGTTGAGTCAGGGCCGATTAGCTAACCAAAAGCAAACAACCAGACCAGCTGAGCTTCTGGTCAGGCGGCGTTCTTCGGTCTGCGTACCATCGCGTGCGGTTCCCGGCCGCGGCGCAGCGCACGGGCAAGGACCGGTACTCGATGGCGTACTTCTGCCACCCCGCGGACGAGGTCAGGCTCGAGAAGATGCCGAGTGCGATTATCGCGAGGGAGGAGGGGGGTGTGTCGTGGGAGGAGGACGGCAAGGGCCGCAACGAGGACATCAGACGGACAGTCGTGGACGGGCGGGTGCTGACGGCGGGCGAGCACCTCGCGCGCCGGATAGCGCTGTCTTACTACTGAGCGGTGTTTAGTTTGCTAATACAGAATGAGTTGTTAAGAGGAGCTGTAGCAAGTGCAGATGGCTGTCGGAAGACGGGGACAGGGACCAAACCAGACGAGATCAAAGACAAAACGAGACGTCTGCGGGATAAGGTTCAATGGTCAAGCGAAATAAGTTTTAGACGCCGGGGCAGATGCGTCTCTGTTGGCAGCCTTTATCTGGTCCGGGTTGTGTCCTCTCTCTCTTTCTCTCTGTAATAAGCCAGAGAAAGGGGAGATAAGCAGTGAGTAGACTGTAGTTGTTTAGATCATTAACTTACTTCTACTAAACACCACTGCGCAGAGGCAGCATCAGAGGACTTCCCAACCGCGTGGCCACGTGGCCCGGATTCAGGGGCTCCGCTTAGCTTCGGCCCAGCTTAGATTCGCACAAGCCTCGCGTCCGCCGCAAGTCGGGCGTCTGGCCACATAAATATCCACCGCTTCCTCTGTGCTGTCTTCTCTTCCTGCTTCCTGTTGCTCTGTTGCTGCTGCTCTGTCTGTTTGTTCTTTTCTTCTCGCATCTCATCGCCATCATGCGCAGCAACAGGTCGTCCGCCGACCCCTCTGACCGCTGGTTCTACGTCGCGCCCCAGCAGCAGCCCTCCGCGTTCTCCCAACCCTCCATCTTCCCCCAGCCCCAGCACAACTTCTACTACCCTCTTCCCCACGACTCTGTCTACGCGACCGCTGCCGCGCCTTCCCAATCCTCTCCCTTTCTTGCCTCCTCCTCTGCCGCGCAGTTCCCGATCCCGCAGTGGTCCCAGCCGCAGTACCCGCTCACCTCCTCGCTCGCATCTGTCGCCATGGCCCTGCCTCACTCCGCCGTCGACGCGCGTTTCCTTTCTGCAATGCATGCAATGCAGATGCAGGCTGTACCGGCCCCGCTGCAGCACATGCAAACCAGCCTTTCCGATCTCTCGCTCATAAACCCGCTCACTGCGCAGCGCCAGCTCACTCCGACCGTCTATCGGCGACGGGCGTCCGTATCTCGCTCAAGAACAGGTTCGTGCTTCTTCTTCCTTCTTAAATAATTGAAACACGCTCACACCTAAGTTTTTTAGGCTGCTGGCAATGCCGCGTCCGGCGCAAGAAATGCGACGACAGGAAACCAAAGTGTCTTACCTGCGAGCGCCTTGATATCTGCTGCATGTACGGCCCATGTCCAGAAAACATGCGCACTGTCGAAGATCGTCGGCGCGCTGCCCGCGAGCTCACTGTTCAGATCCGCGCTGCTGTTAAGCGCCGGTCTGCTGAGCGTGCGGCAAGAAACTCGAAGGCAGCTGCGGCGGCCACAATCGCCGCTGCTGCTGCTCCTGCTCCTGCTGCGCTTCCTGCTCCGCCTTCTGGTTTGGAGGTGTCAGTGGCTATGATGCGCGAGCCGTTGGCAGAGCCGAGTACGGCCTTGGTGAGCACGGATCCAAAACTGACGAGTTCTGGGTACCAGCTACTTCCAGACATTGGCCCCGGGTCGACTGCGCGAGAAGAAGCGGATCGGGTGCCAATTTCTCCGCCGGCTTTTTTCGCGGTTGAGATACAGACGCTGGATTTTGATTCTCCATTGTCTCCGCTGCGAGTGCTGCAAGAGTACGTTGACCAGATCCCGCGGTCGATCTACTCGAGCCACACAGATGCTGCACGACAGCTGGCGTATGTGGTTGTGTATTTCCGCATGGCGGCGCGGATTCTGTTTCCCGGGTTGTTTCTGCAGACTGATGATTTGATAGACTGTCAGACGCTAGTGTACTCGATTGCGGTGCAGGATGCGTGGGTGTGGCGGAGCATATGTGCGATAGGAAGTGTGTTTGCGAGCATGGCGGCATCGGGGGTGCTTGCGGTGGATGATGTTGATTTTTTGACGTCAGGAAGTACGGCGTTTATTGAAGAGGCCAACGCGCTGATGTCTGAGTACCCGGCGCGCAATGAGGGTGGAAGTTTGTCGTCGCGGGGGGTGATTGACAGCCGAAGTGGGAGTCTTGTGCTGGGGGGTGGTAGCAGCATGATACGATACTTCCCGCGCAATCGGATTGAGCGGGTGATGGTGCTGGGGTGGAATGTGTTTACGCTTGCGCGAGTGCTGGGCGCGCATTACTTTGGAGCGTTGAAGACGTTGGTGAATTTGATTTCGCATTTCGGGCTGTTGTCTACGGCGGAGCATGTGAGCAGTAGTCCGCTGCTGAGGATAGTGACGGCGCATACGATTCACGCGGATATTCTGGTAGCTACGAACGAGGTGCAGCCGGCGATATTAGCGGCGACGTATGGGGAGATGCTGGACTGTCATCTTTCCGGGGGGACGACGTTTCGGACGGGGATTGCGACGGGGATTCCTATTTCGACGGCGTTGTTGCTGATGTTGTCGCGGATAGTGGAGCTTGAGTATATGCTGTGGCAGGAGAGGAGGGGTGGTGGTGGTGGGAGTAGTGGTAGTGGTAGTGGAAGTGGTAGTGAGAGGAGTAGGAGGAAGATGAGGTATTTGGATGAGATGGAGGGGGAGGAGGAAGAGGAGGAAGAAGTGTTTAGTACGAGTGGAAGCGCATATGTGGCATTGCGGGTGGAGAACGCGGCGGCGTACTTGGATGGATATGTGCCGGAGGTGGATAGTCAGCGGACGACGACGCAGCGGTGCTCGGAGTTGATGCGGCTTGCGGTGCGAATCTATCTCGCGGTGTTTTGTGATCCGGGGATGATCTCGGACGAGAAAAGTGAGCGGGGCCAGGTTTCGGTTGAGGCGCGGGAGGGGATTGTGGTGAGGGAGAGTGCGAGGATGTTTTTGGAGATATTGGTGGAGGAGTTGTTGGAGGATGGAGTGGGGGAGGAGGAAGAGGAGAAGGAGAGGAGGGTGGAGAGGATGAAGGATCAGGAGTTGGAGCGGGCGATTACGTGGGGGTTGGTTGTTGTTGCGAATGTGACGGGGGAGGAGATGGAGGTTGGGTATGGGAGAGGAGGAGAGAAGGTGAAGGGGCGAGAGATCTTACGGCGGACGTTTGAGGAGAGTGTGAGTAAGGGCGAGTTTGGCGGGTGGGGACGGGCGTGGGAGGTAGTGAAGGAGGTGTGGAAGGCGGAGAATTGGGCGGTTGGAAGGAGTTGGCGGCAGGTGAATTGGGGGATGGGGCCGTCGTATTTGCCGGTAGTGTTTTGAATGAATATATGAATGTGACGAGAGAAAGAAGAAGAAGAGAGGGTGGGAAGGGAGAGGAGGAAAAGAGGAAATAATTAGAGGATTGATTAGAGGAAGTAGCTCGGCAGGCAGGGCCAAGTGGAGAGGGAGTAAGAATGAGCGAGGGCGTGGGGAGGACAGTGGAGGAGGGTTGTAGATGAATATGATTAGACATAGATGAAGATGAAGAGTACAGAATGTATTATTTGTTTATTGATTATGAATTGATTGATTGATTGATTGATTGATTGAATTGAATTGAATTGAGGATGATGGATGGGATTGAAGAGAGAGGGAGGGTTTAGATCATCTGGTTAGGGTTAGATGAGTGAGATGAAGATAAGGGAGTTGAATAGTAGAATAAGAGTAGAATGGAGAAAGGGCAGGAATATGGTAGAATACTAAGATAAAGAAATAGAGAAAGAAAGGAAAGAGAAGAAAGAGAGGAAGAAGTAGCAAAAGACGAGAGAGCAATCCGAGGGAGGTCGGCAAGGATCAGACGATTTGAACAGAGTTGTGATTTAACTTTAAATATAGAACTCTAACCACAACTCTATCGGCGAACGGTGCTTCGTGCGCAGAGTGTTTGCAGGTGAGAGCGAGCGGGTTTAATAAGAAGGAGGAAGCGGAAGAGGGAGGAGCTCGGTAGAAGTATCTACAAGTCGGTGGTTGGTGTCTGGATTGAGATGGCAGAGATTAGAGTGAGGAGATTGAGATAGAGGCTGGTGGGCGGACGGGGAGTGGGTTGATAGGCTGCTGGAGACTTTCTCGGACGGTCTTTCAAGCCTGGTTTTTAGCAATTAGCTGTGCAATTAGCTGTGGTTTGGTTGTCGGTAGCAAATGATCTGGTGATAGAAAGAAGATGTTGTAGTAACTTAGTAGAAGTAGAAGTGGTTGTAGAAGCAGCAGTAAAGCAGACACTCCGGCCCACTCTCTTCTTCCCTCTCATCTTCTCTCCCTCCTCTCTTCCTCTCAATTCTCTTCGCAACAAATATCATCTTCCCCAAGGAAAGAATAAGCGCAGGTACTCTATGCAAGCACCGATAGGGGTCGGGTACACCGTGTGACTGGGTCGTGGTTAACGAGCACCGGGGGCTGGTCGAGGCGATGCCAGGGGGTGTTTCCTGTCAATGACCTTTGTGACTTGACCTGATCTGCTCTTCCTCCTCCTCCTCCTCTTCTTCTTCTTTACCTCCTCCCCTTCCTCTTCTTCCTACTCCTCCTCATCCTCACCTTCTCCTCCTCCTCCTTCTCTCCTCCTCACCACTATCCACCATGTCCCTCGACTGGGCACCCCTCCACGACCCCGTCCTCGCCGTCGCTAAATCCGCCTTCTCCCCCGCCGGCATCGACGCCCTCTCCTCCCTCTCCCTCCGTCTCGGCGACACCGTCTACATCTTCGAGCAATCCTCCCCCTCCGACCCGGCCTTCTACCGCGGCTACCTCCTCTCCTCCACCACCCCCTCCGCAAAACTATCAAACCGCATCCGCATCTTCCTCGGATCATTCCCCGCCTCCTGCGTCACCATCACCGGCCCCGCAAACTGCCCCCTCGACCAGGCCCTCATCCTCGGCTCCCAGCCCTCGCAATCCCTCCAACTCCACTTCGAAGACCCCTCCTCCGCCTCCGCCGACCCTTCCGCCCTCTCCTCCCAATCCCTCCCCGTCATCGCTGAGATCGAGTCCGCCCTCCACGAATGGTGCCCCGAACTCACCCACGCCCTCTTCTCCTCCCCCTCCCGCAACTACCCCAAACTCAACTCAATCGCCTCCCTGATCTCGGACCTCTGCGAAACCCGCAAATGTCTCCTGCTCGACATCTACTCCGCCGCTGAGCGCGACTCCAGCATAAAATCTGCCGTCTGGCTCCTCGTCCGCGGCAACAAGCTCCTCTCCGGCGATGTCATCGTCCGCGCCGAACTCGACGGCCGCATCCGCGTCGGCGACTACAACCTCATCTCCCTCTTCCGCGACCAGGAAATCATGGCCCTCTCCACCCACGGCATCGCCGCCTTCCACACCTCCCGCGCCGCCTCGCTCGAGGTCTCGGGCAAAATGGAGCTCCTCCATCTCCTCGCAAACTTCAAGCTCGTCATCGGTTCCTGGCACGACGGCATGTTTGCCAAAGTATACCTCTGCTCAAAGTCGCGCGTCTTGACCGAGTCTTTTGTCGTCAACGGAGGCGTCCTCGACCAGCGCGCGCTCTTTGTCGATCTGCCCCCGCTCGTCGCTAACGACGACATCTTTCTCGTCGTCGAGATCTTTGAGACTATCTACATGACCACCCAGATCACCGGCGTCGACAAAGTCTGTATGTGCTCTTCCTCTTCTCTTCTCTTTCTCTCTTCTCTTTCTCTCTTCTCTTTCTCTCTTTCTTTCTCTCTTCTTCTTCCTCTCTCTCTGAACATCTACTAACTCTCCACAAGCAAAATCATACACCATCAAAGCCCGCCGCGGCGTCGGTCTCGGCGTCGTCGACATCGGCCGCGTGATGCGCGAAGTCTCCGAGACCGAGCGCGACACCACCCTCCGCATCTTTGCCTCGTCTGCTTCTAGCCAGGCTATGGACGGCATCGCCAAAAATGGCTGGGGCTCGCTTCGTGATCGCCTTGTTCGAGGCGTCGCGGATGGAATGTAAGTGTTATTACTCGATTGTTTCTGACTGATCATGGTACTAACTGAGTATAGTGAACGGGCAGGAAAGATTGACAAGGTCATTGTCGGCCTTCGTGCGTTCGAGTCCTCGAACTCCAAATCTCTAACCGCTTCCATGCCCTCCCTCTTCTCCGGTCTCTCTGGCAACCCGCGAACCCTCTTCACTTCCTCAACCACCATCCCTCGCGACGAACTCTACCTCACCATCGGCGGCATGCACTTCCACTGGTCAGACTTCAGCGGCCGCCCTATGCCCGAGCTCAGCAACAAAGCTCTCTACTTTGTCACCTTGTCCTGCAACAAGGAGTCCACCCTGCGCTTCCACGGCCACGCGGGCACCGAGCCGCAAGACATGTGGACCTCCACCGTCGTCTCGCGCGACGAGAAACTGTCGGAAACAGTCTGCCTGTCCCCGCTCGCTCGCAACGCCGAGATCCTTGTCCGCGTGCACCTGGCCGACGGTAAAGCGATCGGCCAGGGCAAATTCCCGGTCTGGAACGAGGACGTGATCATCAAAGATGCGAAACGCAGCATCCGCATCGCGGACGTCAACGGCCTGCAAGTCGGCGTGCTCGAAGTCGACAGCTGTCTTGTCTCGAGCGAGTTCTCGTCCGACGAAACCCTCAACGACCTCATCCGCTGGCGGAGAATGCGCAATGCCAAAGAAGACAGCCGCAAGGCTATGATCTCGGTCCTCAAGCAGATCCGCTTTGTCGATCCGAACGAGATCTCAAAGCTCCTCCGTGAGGCTCTAGATTCTGTCTTTGGCATCATCGCTTGGAAGGCTGGCGATCTCGAGTTTGAGGATGCTGCTTTTGCTGCTCTCGCTCATATCCTCGTCACCGTCGAAGAGCGGTATGTATTTATCTTATTTTTCTAATCATTTATTTTCTCAAGCTAACAGAAACAGCCGCGACCGAGCATTGCTGGGCGAATACATCGATGGCCACTTCAACTACCCCAACGTCCTCGGCCCGCTAATCTACGGCTTCCAGCGCTTGCTCGCAAAACACAACATCCCCGACGCAGGCTCGAACGTGCGCGAGCTGCTCAAAGTCGGCGGCATCATCCTGCGCTTCATAAACTCGTGCTGGGACAAGTTCCAGCAGCGCGACTCGATCTCGATCGAGATGCAAAACTACATGAAAGCCGTCGCCGACATTTTCCAGCAGCTTTGCCGCATCATGGAACAGAGCCAGGTATCGCTCGAGGCCAGCCAGATCTCAATCATGCTGCACTTCCCGCAGTACGTGTCCGAAGTGGGCTCGATCTTCAGCGGCGACAAGATCTTTGAGATGATTATCCTGTTTGTCGACGCCAGCGCAAAAGTCGGCTCCGTCAACCCAAAACTGGATATGCACAGACTCGTCATGCTGCAGGATCTCTCGCGGCTGCCCATGTTTGCCGCCGGCGATGCCGAGATCCGCCGCAGACTGACCGTCCACACCATCGAATGGCTCAAGCTCTACATCATCCCCGCCGGCGACGAGGACGTCGCGAGCCTGGCGACCTGGCAGGCGTGGAAAGACAAGATCCGGCTCTCGTGCGCGGTCCTGGCGACGCAGTTTGGCAGTCTCTGGCCCACGCGCGAGCAAAACAGCGAAATCTGCAGTCTGTACGTGCAGCTCCTCCCCGCCGTGACGGCGACGTTTGTGTCGCTGCAGCAGGAGCGCAAGAGCGCGTTGATCAGAGCAATCACCGCGCCAAAGTTCAGGAACGAGTTCTCGGTCTTGTTCCCGGAATCGTACCCGATCCCGCCTAACCGCCCTGTGGACACGAGTATCGACAAAATCCCGTTCGACGAGCTCGCGATCGAGCTGTCGTGCATGCTCGCTGCGCTGGCTGAGTTTGCCACGTATGAATCGGGCGGGTCGTCGTCGAGCGAGGCGTTGACGGAGGAGCAGGCGATCCAGCTCATGAGCAACGTGCTCAAGATGGTCGACTCTGTGCTCAAGGGTAAAGCCGTGCCCAAGTCCTGGCTTTCGGTGTACCTCTACATGCACCGCTCGGTGCTGTCCTGTCTTGAGTTCATCGCCGTGCTCTTGACCGAGTACTTTGCGCCGGACAAGGACACGGGCGAGTTACCGCTCGACAGCCGCATGATTGGCATCTGGCACACTTTCTTCGAGCGGTTGATCGACCTCGTGGGCTCGACCGCGCTCGAGATCGAAGAGATCTCCGACCAAAAACGCCGCACTGTCGAAGCCATCTGCGGCGACGTGCGCGAGCAAGGCGCGCTCCTGCTCTCGCGCATGTGGGCCGAGATCGGCAACGACGCGAGCGAGCAGGTCAGGGCAATGTACGGCCTCGAGACAATCGGCGGATACCAGAAGGTGTTTTGCACGAAGCGATCGAGTCGCGGGTATGGCCTCGTCGGACGGATCGCGGAGTTGTGGATGTCGAAGAGTAGAGAAGTGCGAGCGCATGCGATGGGTATTTTGAAGAGCATGATTGTGCAGGAGTGGCATACCAAGCACTCGCTTGATGATCTTCGCAGTGATATCATTGACGTAAGCGTCTCCTTAACTCTTTTATTTTTTCTGTTTGCTAATCGTTCATCAGACGCTGGACCGCCTCTTCCAAAACAACGCGCGGATGCTAAACCCAGACACCTTCGCGCTGGACGAGGTCATCGGCTCAATCAAGACCGCCTTCCCCGCCTCCAGCGAACTAGGTCAAGAAGTGCACAGCCTGCTCGGTGTCGTCTCGCGCCTGCTCGACCTTCTTCTCGAGCTGCACTCGCTACCCGAAGGCGACGCCTACAACGACGACCGCGTGCTCTGCACTCTGTCGCTCATGGAATGTCTGCGCGATTTGCACCGCGAGGAGACCTTTGTCAAGTACGTGCACCAGCTGATCCGCATGCAGGAGAGCAGCGGGCACTACGCCGAAGCCGGTCTCACGCTCGGTCTCCACGCAAAGATGTATCCCTGGCGACTCGGGATCGAGCTTCCTCCGCTACCCGAGCTCGAGCTGCCATCGCAATCCGAGTTCCGCCGCCGCGAGGCGCTCAGTCTTCAGATGGTGCGCTACTTCACGCTGGGTAACGCGCCGCAGCTTGCGCTGCAGATGTACAAGGAGCTCGTGACGAGCTACGAGACGATCTCGTTCGAGCTCGAGAAGCTGCACGGCACCGCGACCGCGATCGCGAAGCTGTACAAGGACGAGATGTCTGCGAACGCCGCCTCGCGCCCGCAGCCGCAGTACTTCCGCGTTGTGTACTCTGGCCTCGGGTTCCATCGCGCGCTGCGCGGGAAGCAGTTCATCGTGCAGGGAAGCAAGTGGGAGAAGCTTGCGGACTTTACGGTGCGATTGCAGAGTCTGTATCCGCAAGCCAAGATCGCTACCGCAGGCTCCTCGAACGGGTCGACTACGACGAACGGCAACGGAGTGAGCAGCAGCAGTGCGAGCAACAGCAACGGCAACGTGAACGGCAACAGCACGGCCGCGAAGCACATGTCGATCGCCTCGTCGTTCTCGATGCTGTCGCAGACGAGCAGTCTCGAGGCGTCGCTGGCGGTCATGAACGGCGAGGAAGAAGTGGAAGGCCAATACCTGTCGATCATTGCTGTTGCGCCCGAACCCAGCCCTGCGCTGAACGCGGCAGTCGACATTCCGCCGTCGGCGCGCGACTTTTTCCTTCGCCTGAGCCTCGACAGATTTTCCGTCTCGCGACCGATCAAGCACGGCACCGTCAACGGACGGCCTGTGAGCGTGTCGTCGGCGAACCCTGTCGACGTGTGGGTCGAGAAGACGGTGTTTGCGACGCGCGAGCGGTTCCCGACGATTCTGCGGCGCAGCGAGGTCGTCGCGACCGAGGTGATTTACCTGTCGCCGCTCGCGAGCGCCGCGGAAGCCATCGCGCGCAAGGCCGGCGAGATCCTGCAGATGGCGCGGCGGTCGAGCGCTGCGCCGGGCGACGAGATGTGCAGCTCTCAGCTCGGCATGCTTCTTTCCGGCGCCGTGGATGCGCCCGTGAACGGAGGCATCCAGGTCTACCGGAACTTGCTCGATCTGTACGAGTCCGACCAGTCGCCTGAGATCATGGAGCACAAGGAGCGCACGCAGCTCGTGCTGCTGGATTACGTCGCGGTGCTGATGTACGCCCTGCACGTGCACTCTGTGGTTGTCGTGCAGGCGCTGCGGCCGCTGCACGAGAGTCTGATTGTGCTGTTTGACCGCAACTTCAAGCACGAGATCAAGTTAGTCGAGGACGAAGGCCGCGTGATTGACGCGCTCGAGCTGCGAAACGGCGTGCGCCGCGCGCCCGAGGACGGCGCGAGCCGGATCGGATTGACGCAGTTGCCGGCGCTGCAGCCCTCGGCGACGATGACGACGATCGCGAGTAGTAGTCGCCAGAACGGGTACGCGGCTGCGGATATGGTGAAGCCGCCGCCGGCGTCGTCGAAGACGACGATGAGCAGTGTTACTACGTTGAACTCGGCCGCGAGTCAGTCGGCTGCGAGCTTGGTGTCTAATCCATCCCGGTCGTCGACGGCGGCGTCGCCTGCGTCTCCGAACGGGGGGCATAGACGGTCGCACTCGATTCGGAATTCCGAGCAGCAGCAGCAGCAGCAGCAGCAGCAGCAAAGAAAGACTGTCGAACGCAAGGTGTCGTCAGTAACTCTGAAATCGGAGAACTCGATCAACTCGTCAGCCGCGTCGACGAAGAGCAAGAGCTCGACCGGTAGCGGCCACAGCAGTCTCGCGAGCCGGATGGGCATGGGCGGCATGTCGCGGCGGTTCAGCAAGATCCGGCTCGCGAACGGAGGCAGCACGGTTGATGGCGCGAACGGGACGTCTGCGAGCGCGGCAGCGGCGGCGGTGACGGCTGCTGCGTTGGCTGCGAACGGGGGTGCTAATGGCGGACAGGGGAATTTGAACGGGCTTGGGTTGACTACGAAGCAGGGGTTGGGTGTGTTTAGAGAGGAGTAGGAAGGGGGGGTGAAGTGTGTTTTTTGGTTCAGTTTTGAGTAATTTGTTGTTTTTTTGGAAAAGTAATAGTTTATAGTTTGCAGTTTGTTTACAGATACACGGTAATATCAAGATATGATAAACACGACAGATAGATGAACTCCGCTAGTGCGAATACAGCCGACCGCAGCCCACATCAATCAAAACTGATGATCATCGCCATTTGCGTCTGTGACTCTGTCGGAGCCTCCGGGATCCTTGTTTCTGGGTCTGGTCGATGTTCTTTATTGTTGCTTTGTCATTGATTATGTCATCCTGCTCTTCCTCCTGATTTTCGCTCTTCCTTTCCTCTTCGCTCTTCCTCTTTAATCCTCGACTTTTGCTTTTCGTTCGGAGCGGCACCCACTCTCGTTACAATTGAGCCCGGAGATTCTGTGAATGAGCGCGCTGTTTTGCGTTTAGAGGAACTTATCTGCTGGGATAACTGATTGCGAGAACACCCGGTCCCGGAACTACTTGCTATACAATCACATTTACTTTACATATATCCAATCCGCGTGCGTACATCCACGCACCCTCGCTTCGAACACCCCACCCCACACCTCCAGTCTACAGTCAATGCTGCGGTATAATTTCCGCCGGACGCAGCGCGTTTGCGTGCAGGTCAACCACAGACGGGCGGCAGGTCGTCCGCTTGCGTTGGCTGCTCCGTCGGCGACGTTCTCGTCTTCGTCGGCCGCGTTGATTCATCCTTCGACTCGATCTGGAACCGCTGCTGCTCGACCGGCAGATAAGAGCACGAGCTCTGCTTCCTCTCCGACTGCTAACACTACCTCCTCATCATCGTCTTCTACTTCTTCTTCTTCATCATCCACCACTGCTACCGCCTCCTCCGCCTCCTCACCCGCCGCGTCGCAACACTCATCGCAGTCGCTAAACGCACAATCTGTAGCCTCGCTGATTGCGTCGCTCTTCCCCGGCGGCCCCACCCAAACCGACGCCGAGCGCGCGAGCGTGCCGAACTCGAAAGCCTTCTCGGACCCGCTCTCGATCGTGGCGGCCGAGATGACGAGTCTGACGACAAACATCCACCTGCTGCTCGGCTCCGGCCAGCGGTCGCTCGATTCGGCGGCAAAGTACTACGTGCAGAGTCAGGGCAAGCATATCCGGCCGCTGCTGGTGCTGCTGATGAGCCGGGCCGCGCTGCAGGCGCCCAAGGCGGACAAGTTTGAGCCCGCGAGCGAGATTGACGAGAGCATATCGCCGCTGGATATCCTGCGGGACTTCAACCCGGCGAATATAATATCGACGATCGCGACGAGCGTGCGGGAGAAGGTGAGCAGTAGTGCGGTTGAGGTGGTCGAGGAGAGCACGGGCGTGCTGCCGTCGCAGCGCCGGCTGGCGGAGATCACGGAGATGATTCATGCGGCGTCGCTGCTGCATGACGATGTTATCGACGACGCGGAAACACGCAGGGGCGTGCCGTCGGGAAACATGAAGTACGGGAATAAGATGTCGATCCTGGCGGGTGATTTTCTTCTCGGTCGCGCGTGCGTGTCGCTTGCGCGGTTGAGGAACGCAGAGGTCACCGAGCTGATCTCGACCGCGATCGTGAACTTGGTCGAGGGCGAGGTGATGCAGCTGAAAAACACTGCGCCGGAAGACTCAATCACGGGTGTAGCCACCCCCGCGACGTTCAAGCACTACCTCGACAAGACGTACCTCAAGACCGCGAGTCTGATGAGCAAGTCCTGTCGCGGCGCGGCCGTGCTCGCGGGCGTGAAGGGCGAGTTCGTCGACGCGGCGTACGAGTACGGCCGGAATCTGGGGATGGCGTTCCAGCTGATTGACGATCTGCTGGATTACACGGTGACCGCGACCGAGCTCGGCAAGCCTGCGGGCGCGGATCTGCAGCTGGGGTTGGCGACCGCGCCGGCGTTGTTTGCGTGGCAGAAGTATCCCGAGCTCGGGCCGATGATTCGACGCAAGTTCAGACAGCCTGGCGATGTCGAGACTGTAAGTATCTTTTCTTCTTAAGTGGTCTTTTATTCTCGGTTGTGGTTCTAACAACAATTGGTGTAGGCACGAAGGCTTGTTGCGGAATCAGACGGCGTAGAGCAGACGCGGATCCTGGCAGAGACATACTCGAGCAACGCGCGCGCGTACATCAACAAATTCCCTGACTCGTCTGCCAAAGAGGCGTTGATTGACATGACGCAGATGGTTCTCAACCGAAAGAAGTAAGAATGCGAAAAAAAAATGTTCTGCATTGTGGTTTTTTTTTTTTCTTTCATACACCTTCTTGCATCATAGCTTGTTTATAAATTAGACTGCTGTCGTTGTCGTCTTTGTCTGTGTTATCTGCTTTTGTTTTTATTTTATTTTGCGGTCTGTATATCTGTATATAGTGATAGCACACAACATTTGTCATTTACCTTGTATTTTCTTCCGTCTATTCAAGCTTCATATCTTGTTTACGTCTTTGTGTTTTTTTTATTTTGCCCTATCTGTTCATTTTGCTCCATGCTTGCTCGCTGGGTGCTTTGGTCGGGGTAGGATGTACGATACTAATATATTTCACAATGTTGAAGATTTATCGCGGTGGGAGAAGACGATCTTGGACTGTTGGAATATAGATATAGAGTACGACCCGCGGTACCATTTTCTTTAACGATATATAAAAGACAAACAACAAGCGACAAACAAAACCATTAAGAACTCCGGATATTATAGACAGATAAACCCTCAAGAGCAGTTTTCAATTTTTAGAGTATAGTAGGGAAGGTGGAGACCGGGCGGCCATCGGACAAGGCCGCTCAGACAGCGCCACTGCCGCTGTCGCTGCCGCCGCTCTGCGCGTGGCGTCTGGCCTCTTCCTCCTTGAGCTCGGCGACAGACTTTGTCTGCTGCTCGGCGAGCGGGTGCGGGAGCACGCCGGTCTGCTGCTGGGTAGTGGACGAGGCGGGCGCGGGGGAGGAGGACGAGGGCGCGGCGTCGCGGTAGTGGGTTGTGGTGGTGGTGGGAGCGGTGGTGGGAGCCGGGGTGGATGAGCGGGCGGGGCCGTCGGGGAGTCTGATGTGGCCGCCCTCAGAGTCGGAGACGCGGAGACGGGGCATGCCGCCGCGCTGGATGATCTCGGAGTAGACGCCTGGGGCGCGGTCGTAGTTGACCACGCCGTTCGAGGCGTCCTCGCGACGGGAGTAGTAGACGTACTCGCTGGATCGGGGTCAGTGTCGGTCGAAAGAAAAAAAGAGGGAAAAGGAGAAAACGTACAGGTAGAGGGCGTGCAGAAGACCGGGGAAGTAGCCGAGCATGGTGAGGCCGATGTTGATGAGGAAGTCGACGGAGCAGCCAGAGATGAAGGCGACGCCGAGGGGAGGGACTGGGGGTGATGAGGTTAGCGGGGGTGACGGGAGAGTTGAGGAGAGAAAGGGTACTCACGGAAGAGGGAGGCGATGATGACGAGGATGGAGGAGATGGGGTCCATTGCAGCAGAGTATGAAAAGTAATAAGAAGAGGTAGAGAACAAGGAACAGAACAGCAAAAGAAGGGATTTGCAGCGGTGAAGAAGAGAAAAAGCGGTCGCTATTTGAACCTGTTCTTTGTTCTCGCTGACGTCACTCAATTCGGCCATCTCCACCAGCTCCTCTTCCTCCTTCCGGCCAAATGTAAATAAATCCACCTCTTGCTCTTTGCCGTGTTTTTTTCTTGCCTGTTTCCTGCTCGCGGCCTTCTCCTGTGTTTATTCTGCTTTCTCTCTTTTCTGTGTTGTATATGTCTGCCGCCGGCGAGACGGGCGGATCAGGCGGAACTGATGCGGAAGTATAGTGTACGCTTATGTAAGATAGTTGTAACCCACTTCTCCACACTTTTTTTTATCGTCTGATCCTCGGAATTAGCCATCCACCGGCTCTGCTCTCTGCTTCTGCTGTCCGCTGTCTGCTCTACATAGTCTACTCAGGCGCTCTCATTCACATCCAGACTGGCGGTTGAGTTGAACAGCTCCACGACAGCTCCACGACCGCTCCGCGTGACTGCAACAAGAGTCATCACCAGCACCTGAGGGAAATAGTATAAAGAGACTTTCGGAAGCAATAACATCTATTATGCTCACAACTGCTCTGCTCCTGATCTGATTCTGTTCTACTCTCCGTCATCTTTGTCTATCGACCATGGCGCAAGAAACACATCTGCTCGTCACCCTCGCGGTCGACTGCGTCAACGCGCTCGGCATCGTATGTCCTCCTCACCTTCCTCTTTCTCATCGCTCTCACTAACATCACATACCTGATCCAGGCCTCGAAACGAAACTACTACCGACTATTCCACTCCTTTGTCCTCGTCCCAATAGGCGTCGTCGTCGTCCTTCTCTACCTCTACGGCGTCCACAGAGTCATAATCCTCACAACAGTAAACTTCCCCGCCTCCGTCGTCTGCATGCTCCTCCTCTTCCTCCTCCTCCTTCTCATCGACTCCACCCTCGGTCCCCGCCGCACAGCCATCTTCTCCCGCATAATCGACGTGCCGCTCGGTTTCGCGCTCCGATGGATAAACACCTTCTTCACCCCTTCCTTCGTCACTCTACCCTTATCCCCCGCCGTCGGCGGCGCCGAGGTCGGCAAGATCGCTGCGGTCTTCATTCTCGGATTCGTAGTCACTATGGCAATCACCGCATACATGGTCGTCTTTCTCCAGCGCCTGTTTGGAACCTCGAAACGCGCAATCACCGAGCGCGCGGAAGAAGTACCCCCGCACTCTGCCCACGACAACAGTCTCGATCTGACCCAGTCCATCGAGCTCGACGTGCTCGAGCCCGCGACGACAACAACAACACACCTGCCGCCGTCGCCAATCGACATCACGCCGACACAGATCGCGCCTCCGCAGCCGGCAGCTTCGGCATCTCATTCGTCGCCTAGGCGTGCGCGGGAAGTACCTTTCCCGACCGCGTCGGCGCAGCACCTGTCGGATTCGGAGTCGTGGATGAACAACACTATCGACGACGAGCTCTCGAGCATGGACCCGTCTTCCTCGCTGCCGCTGGGGCGTGTGCAGACTTCGAAATCTCACAGATCGGTGCATCATCGGCAGAGCACGGATTTGACGAGGACGAGCACGCTTAATAGTCTTCGGCAGGTGATTTCCAGAGGGAAGGATTCTTTTAGACAGCAGCAAGCAGGCGAGAGCACGGAGGGGATTTTGAGTCTGAATACGGCCGAGTCCAGAGATGACGGGGAGAGTGAGGATGCCGAGAGCATTCGGCGGAACGAAAAGCATGACGCTGGGGCTCATACTGTCGGCGTCGCTGAGGTTTCGTCGGTGTTCACTGCGACTGATGCCGCCAGCAGCATCGCAAATCAGACTTCCGAATCCGATACAGCGTCTACAGTAGGCTCCACGCAGCAGCAGCAGGTAGCTGCATTTTTCTCCATCGGCGAACCTAGTCCGCGGGCGCAGTTCTTTGCAAACTGGATCACGCAGTACCTCGACACATTTCTCTACATCACCGTCTTTCTGTGCGTCGGCCTGCCGCTCCATTTTGCAATCAACTACTCGCTGATCGCCTACAGCACCTTCACGATTCTAATGTTATTCTTCGGCCTGCGACTGCCGCCTAAAGTCCGCCGGTTCATCCATCCGATCTTCACCTGCTCGGCTTTCACGATTTTCGGAATCTACGTCATGGCGACTGCCAACCACCAGACTTTGGACGACGGGCTGGATCAGTACAGTACCGGTCGGACGTATCTCTACTTATTCGGAGTGCCAAAGTACTACGGCGTTCGCCCCGGCGCCGGAGATCTGATGAAGACAATGCTCGACGTCAGCATCGTGTCGCTCGCGCTGCCAATGTACCGCTACCGCGGCGACCTCAAGAAACATTTCCTGGTGATTATAATCCCCAACATCGTCATCGGCCTCATCACGTTCTTCGCCTACCCTCCCCTCTGCTACGCCATCGGCATCTCCGCCGAACGCAGCATCGCCTTCATCGGCCGCAGCGTGACCCTCGCGCTCGCACTCCCGGTAATCCAAGCCCTCGGCGGCTCGCAATCGCTCGTCGCCGTCGTCGCGATCCTGAGCGGCATCGTCGGCGTCTTGATTGGCGGGTACATTCTCAAGCTGCTGCGCATCCGCGAGGACGATTACCTGACGCGCGGAATCACGCTGGGCATCAATTCGTCGGCGGTCGCGACCGCGCATCTGCTCACGATCGATCCGCGCGCGAGCGCGCTTAGTAGTCTGAGTTTTGTGGTGTTTGGCACGACTATGATTATCTTGAGTGCGATCCCGCCGATCGTGACTGTGATGAAGAACATGGTTGGTTTGTAATGATTTACGTTCTTTAATTGTTTTAATGACTTTTTGTGTATATAATCAATGTCCATACTATTTCTATTTACATATAATGAAAAACGACCGTCACTATAAATTAAATATCCCCGAAAACCAGAGCGCGATGTCGTAGAACTGGACTTTGAACTGCCGTCTGTAGAAGCGAGCGTAGGCTCCAATCAACTTTGTGAACCTCACAGGAGCCGCAACTTTCAATTCAGAGATCTTTTCCTTTTCCTCGTCGAGTACGGTTCTCGCGCAGTAGCTGGCCATGATAAGGAACGTCCGCTCCGGGCCAAGCGAGGTATGCAGCCCCTCGTCCAGCGCCCGCGTGAGATCGTTCGTCTTGAGAATAAGCAAGACGATCGACGGTACGCCAGCGAGCAACTGAATCAGGTTCGGGAGCAAACCGCCCTGGATCGCCAACGCCATGCGCTGCATTTCCTCGCGGCTGCGACGGCTCATGATTGATGTTGTCGCGCTGGTGAAGTCGCGGCCGGTGATTGCGCTGGCAAAGAGCGGGAACTGCGCGTCGGTGATGCCTGCGAATTCCTTTGCGTACTGGCGCATGCGCGCGACGTCGGAGTCGATGACTGCGAGCCAGAAGCGGGAATAACTGCGGCGCAGGGCGAGCGGGACGTCGCGGTAGAGGCCGTGGTCGTAGAGCACGATTTCGAAATTGTGCTCGCGGTAACGGCGGAGGGAGTACCATGGCGGCCGCTCGGATTCGGGTAGCGCGCGGATGGCGAGGTTGCCGCCGTGGGGGTCGCAGTGGATGCGCACGTCGGGGGTGAAGATCATGGTGTTGAAGATGTGCGAGAGGCAGATGCTGACTTGGTTGCGGGAGATGTTGTGTTTGTCGAGGTATTCGAGGTTGTCGGGACGCGCGCCTGTGACGTCTATAGTATATATTAGCACTTGTTCTTGATTGGGGAGATTAGATGCAGCTTACACTCCATGACTAGGATACGAGGCTTAGACCAGATAATGTTGGGAACACGCATAGCAGTCTCGCCTTTCAGCTTTTTAAAGTATTTTTGCGTGCGCACAGCGTTCTTAGCCTCCTGCGTGAAATCGAGCTCGACAAAGATGGACTGGTCGAGCTCATGATAGAGCCACATTGTGGGGTACTCTGGGAAGAAGCGATCGATAGCCGAGAAGACAAGCTGGGTGAGCTTGAGGTCTAGCGGGATAAACTCCGCCAGCGCAGGGTGCTGGAACTTGACGGCAACGCGCTCGCCTGTTTCTTTGAGTGTCGCGGTATGCACCTGCGCCAGACTCGCGATTCCGATCGGCGTCTCGTCGAATTCCGAAAACACGTCCTCGATCTGAAGGCCGGTGTCTTTGCTAAACATCTCCCGGATGCTCTCGATCGACGACACCGGGCACCGGTCCTGGAGCGGGATAAACGTCGACGTCCACTCCGGCGGCAGCAGATACGTCATTGCGCTCAGGTGCTGGCCAATCTTGATGTAGATCCCCGCGCAGGCCTCGAGCACTTTGTACGTCCTGTCCGCGCACCGCTGATGGCACGCCGAAAGCGCGGCCGCGCGCTCGTCCTCGGACGCGTATGTCTTGCCGAGCACGCGTCTGTAGTCGTCGAAGCAGGTCGCTGCCGCGACAGCGATGCGCGTACTGCGCTCGGAGGAGATGTAGAGGTGCGAGATCATGCTCTCGAGCTCGTCGTAGTAATACGACACCGAGCCCGTGAGTCCGACGGCCGAGACCGCTGCCGCGACAGTTTTGCCCGAGCCGGGAATCACGGGCGGCGCGAAGGCGGAGGAGAAGAAGCTACGCCGGCGGGTGCTGCTGTTGTTCGAGCTGTTCCAGAACCGCCATTGTCGGGAGTTTGGCTTTGTGCTGCTGCGTGGGTGGGAGTGAGTTCTGCCAGAATGCAGTTTTCGGGAGACGTTGGTTGATTGAGAAGGCTTGGACCGGAGTAGACTGTCGAGGTGTGTGAATGGTGAGGAAGGGTGGTTGCCGAGATGGCGGATGGAGGGCCTTCCAGCGCGAGGAGCCGAGAACAGCGGCCTGAACATGGCGACTGAGTGCTAATTCAGCAAGCACAGACTTATACTAAACGACGTGATTAATAGAAGTCTGTCTGTTTCCAGATCAACACGCGGGATCCTCTGTCTGTCTGCTTGCTATCGAATTGCTCGTGCCTGCGAATCTCGAAAACGAGCTCTGGCTAATCTTTTTCCTGTCGGCGCCAACCGGAATGCGGCTCCGAGCTGCTCCGATGTGTTTAGTAATCAATGACTAAGTAATTGAACTTTATTGCGGTTTAAGGTTTACAGGTCTGCGATGGAGTCGATGGAGTGGAGCGGAGCGGTTGGTGTAGATGTGGTTGCTATTACTATAGTTCTGTAGTTTCTGTAGTAGGAGGTATAAAAAGGACAGAGAACAAGACGATGAGAATAAAGATGAAGAGCAGAGCAGGAAGATGCAGCAGAAGAGGTGAATACGATGAGGTCTGGTGAGAAGATGCACAAGGTGACGAGGCTGTCGAGGCCACCGCAGGCTGCAGTCGGGTGCTGCACAGAGAGAAGAAGGGTCTGCGTCCAGAACAGGTATAAAACAAGCAGAGAACAGTAGAAAACAAAAGCAGAAATACAATAAACAAACAACCAACTCTCCAACCAGATCCCACCACAGAAGATCCCGTGTGGCGGTTCAGCGAGGTTTTGGTGCAGAGCCAGAAAAGTGGCTTGGCTTCCTCGTTTTTCTCTCCGTCCTTGTCCTTCTCTCCTCGTCCCCATCCCTTCCCTTCCTTCCCCCTCTTCCTCTCCCTCATACCCAGACGCAATATCGTCTCTATCCTCTTCTTCTTCTCTTCAATTGTCTGGTCTGGCCGCTCTGGTCAAACTATCTCCTCATGCGGTGCTCTTGCACTCCTGTCATCGCCCGCTACTTCCTCCTGCTGGCGCTCTTTGCCCTCGTGCTCATCGCTCTCGAGGGCGTAGAGGCCGGCCAGGGTCTCAACAGCAGCAACAGACAACAGCGCGAGGCTGAAGTCGTGCTTAATCGGGCAGCTCAGGAACAGCGGCAGCAACAACAGCAGCACGAGCAGCAACACCAGCAACACCAGCAACAACTACTCCCGAGCAAAAACCAAAACACAGACATCAACATCAACGACGCAGACATCGCCTCGCGTCCACGCAAAAACCCTTCCGGATTCACAAACCCATCCCGTCGATCGTCGCCCAGCACATACTCATCGCACAGCGCGGCAATCTCCTCGGCCGATCAGCGCCAGATCGAGGACTGGAAACTCGCCGATTTCCTCCTGATCGCGACCGTCGATGGATCGCTCCATGCCTGTGAACGGGATACGGGGATTGAGCGGTGGAGCTTGGGCGGTGAGGGATCGGTCGTCAAGACGTTCAGCGATCGCAGTCTTTCTGACGACGACGAGGAGTTGACCTGGATCGTTGAACCGCTCGGCGACGGCGCCCTGTATTACTTCACCCCAAACTCCGGCCTACAAGTATGTCTTCATCACTCCACGCCTAGACTTCTGATCAAATCTAACATCAATAGAAACTACCAATCTCAATCAAGCAGCTCGTATCCGAATCGCCATTCTCAGTCAACGGCGACGACAAAGTCTACACCGGCTACAGACTCACGACCCTCTACTCCGTCGACGCCCGGACAGGCAGGATTCTCAAAGTATTTGGATCCGGCGCTCCCGCGGCACTCTGCCCGCGACGCCGCAATCTCGAAGATTTCGAGGACGACGATAATGATTGGGAAGGTGCTGTGGGTGATCGCGAGACGTTTTTGGTCGGTCGGACTGGTATGTTCTTCTATCCATCTTTCTAATTGTCTTTGATTTATGCTGACGACTGTAGAATATCGGCTGGAAATATCCTCTCAGTCTAGCGATGGTGGTAAGGCCGGCGCGATCTGGAATGTCACCTACTCGACATGGGGTCCGAACAACATGGACACCGATCTGATGGCCCAACACACTATGCCGCCCGACAATCTTTATGTATACCCTCTGCATGATGGCGTTATATTGGGAGTTGATAGATTCAACGGTGAGTTATTATTATTCTTAACAAATCAACAGCGCTGTACTAACGTGGGTACAGAAACGAGATCATGGTCCCGAATCCTGCCTTCCCCCGCAATCACAACATTCGACGTCTTCGCGCCCTACGAATCCATAATCGGCCGCCGGTCACCCTACATCCTCCTTCCACAGCCCGCTGCGCGCGACACAAAGTACGAGTCCAGCGCCGAACTCTCGACGTTTGTCAGTCGCACCGACGACGGCGGCTGGTACGCGCTCTCGGCGCAGAACTTCCCGGTGCTGGTCGAAAGCGCGCCGATCGCGCGCTGGAACCTCGGCGTGATGTCGTTCGATGCCGAGAATCAGCGACAGTCGCTGATTGGGGTTCATGACGGGAAGCGGTCGTCGTCAGTCATGGCATCGTTGCCCGGGATCGAAGGCGGACCTATGCGCACGCCTCCGCAGATTGGAGCTGGTAGCGGGTCGAGTCTGTCGTCGCGGCTGTTGGGCGCGGGAGACGGATCGGCGGGAGGGCTTGGTGCGGCGGCGGGAAGTTCGTTGCCGATGCGGGCGCTGGTTGATATTGCGCTTGTTTTGCCGATGCTGCTGGCGGCGTATTATCTCTTGCTGCGGAAGAGGGGTGTGCGTGAGTTTTTGTTTGATACGGCGGTTGAAGAGAAGAGTGAGCCGGTGACGGAGCGGGAGATTGATGTTGTTGCGACGACTACGCCGGAGAAGGAGGCTGAGAGTACTTCAGCAACACCAGTCGATGAGATTTCCAGCACTGATAAAGACGACACAGCATCACCAACAACAACAGCAACAGCAGCAACCCCTGCCAAAAAACGAAAACGCGGTGCTCGGGGTGGCCGACGAACACAGGGCAACAAAGAAAACAAAGAGACGGCAGAGAGCAAGAGCGTTGTAGTGGTCGAGGACCGAACGCGCGCAGGTCAAACAAGTGAAGGAGTCGAAACGAGCGAGGTTGTGGGTGGCCCGTCGCGGATCAACTCGCTCGAAGTCAGCGACGTTGTTCTTGGTTATGGATCGCACGGGACGGTTGTGTATGCAGGCACGTTTGAGAACCGCGAGGTTGCAGTGAAGCGAATGCTGCTCGACTTTTACGACGTGGCGTCGCATGAGATTTCGCTTTTGCAAGAGAGCGACGACCATCCGAACATTGTGCGGTATTTCTGCAAGCAAGAGAGCGAGAAGTTCTTGTACATTGCGCTCGAGCTGTGTCCCGCCACGCTGCAGGACGTGATTGATCGGCCGCAGGAATTCAGCGCGCTGGTCGAGCGCATGGCGGACCCGCGAGACGTGCTGTCGCAGATCGCGAACGGGCTGCGATACCTTCACTCGCTCAAGATTGTGCACCGCGACATCAAGCCGCAAAACATCCTCGTCGCGCCGCCAAAGAAGTTGCGGACGGCGGAGGACGAGGCGGCGAGACGGCGGCCGGCGCGGCTGCTGATTTCCGACTTTGGACTGTGTAAGAAGTTGGAAGGCGATCAGAGCAGTTTCCGCGCGACGACGGCGCATGCGGCAGGGACGTCTGGATGGCGGGCGCCGGAGCTGCTGATTGACGGAGACGATAGCTACGCGAACGGCGGCGGAAGCTCGAGTTCGCATACAATCATGGCCGCCATGAGCAGCCACAGCAACAGCAACAGCGAGCCCGCGGTGATTGACTCGCTCTCGAACCGGCGCGCGACGCGCGCGATCGACATTTTCTCGCTCGGCTGCGTGTTTTACTTCTTTTTGTCGCACGGGAGTCATCCGTTTGGCGACCGGTACCTACGAGAGGCGAATATCGTTAAAGGCGAGTACGCGCTCGATTTCCTGGACGTGCTGGGCGCGCAGGGGGTGCAGGCGCGGGATCTGATATCGCGGATGATTGAGCGGGATCCGAATCGGCGGCCGAGCGCGGGAGAAGTGCTTGCGCACCCGTACTTTTGGAGTAGTCAGAAGAAGCTTGATTTCCTGCTCGAGGTCTCTGACCGGTTCGAGATCGAGCCGCGGGATCCGCCGAGCGAGTTGCTGGGCAAGCTCGAGTCTGATCCGGAGCATGTGGTGTATAATGACTGGTACAAGCGGCTGGACAAGAGCCTGATTGAGAACCTGGGCAAGTACCGCAAGTACCACACCGACAAAGTGCTTGATCTGCTGCGGGCGCTGCGGAATAAAAAACACCATTACCAAGACCTGCCGCCGAACGTGCGGAGCGCGCTGGGGAAAGTGCCGGAGGGGTTTCTGGGGTACTTTGAGGAGCGATTTCCGAATTTGGTGATGCATGTTTATTTCGTGGTGCGCGATAATCTGCGGGACGAGCCGCAGTTTCGGCCGTACTTTTGTTGTTGATTGATTTTAGTAAAAGGAAGGAAGGAGGAGGGAGGGAAGGAGTTTGCATGTACATAAACGCAAGGCATGATTTACCATTTCATTATTTGGAGGCGTTTCTATCTATTTATCTTATCTTTTTGGTTTATTTATTTTTGCTTATTTTGTTTAGTTATGCTTGGATACCGTGTTAAAAGTAGCAATTGTCAGATATCAGAATGTATTCATTCACATGCACATCACCGTAGTTCGCTATAAAATTAAAAAAGCAGAAGAGCAGCTGTACGGCACAGGGAAGATCCCGTTCCGAGACCCCTCGGCAGCAGTTCTTTTATCTACGTTCTTTATTTTTTATAACGATATGAAAAAGAGGGACAGATTGATCACCATGATCTGCACGTCTTCCGTCTTCCGTTCCGCTACTTATTTCTTTTTTTTTTTTTCAAGCAGAGATGATAATCTCCCTCTCTCCCCGCGCCAGTTCGGCCGAGCATCTCTCTCACCTAACACTAAATCATAAATCATAAAAAATAAGAAACGATAAAATAAAAAAGTAAGACGACGGAGGTAAAAAAAAAAGACGGATGATGACAATCCCGGCGGGATGATGACGATGACCTCACTGAACTCCTGAACCACTTCTGACCTTGACCTCTCACCTCTGAACTCGGCTCGCTGATTTAACTATTAAAATTTTAGAAAACTCGGAGTCGGAGTCGGGCGGGAGTCGGAGGCGGCGGAGGCGGCGGAGGAGGTGGATTTGGTTACTGCTTTTAGTAAAGGTGGTGGTTTGTTCGATTTTCTTTATCGATCTCGTTCTATTAAACACAATTGACGGAAAAAAAAACAATAAAAAAAAAACCGTAAAAAACCAAAAAAAAAAGGGAGGTTTTGATGGTGACAGAGCGTAATCGCACAAGTGGAGCACAGGTGTAGTACAAACCCACACTGCAGAGATCCACACTGCAGCTATCTTTCAGATTCTGAGATATCTCAAAGATCCTATTATACTTCTTTTCTCTTGAAGAAAAAAAATCCGCAGTCATGTTCAAAAAATTCTGTAGAGCTGAAGATTGTGCTTTTTTTTGTTATTCTTCATGAGTATTGGAGGTTGGTGGAGTAAGTGGGAAGAGTATTTCTTATTTCGGTAATATGATTCGTTACTACTTATTCAATGACTACGACACTCAAGATTACTATACTATATATGACAACTAACGAACTACTATGCACACCCCCAAAACAATCTACACCCTCGCCATCCCCGTATCCTCCGCAATCTTCCTCACCAGCGCCCTCTTCAAAAACTGCTCTCTCGCCAACGTCCTCGCGTGCTTCAAAAACTCATCAAGCCCGATCCGCTCACGATCCAACGCCTTGCCGAGCACGTAGATCGTGTCCCCGATCGCAAGGTCGTCGGCTGCTAACTCGTAGATCTGGTTGAACACCACCGCTTCCGCGCATACGATCGAATTCACGTCTAAATTCGCCTGCGCGCCGTCTTTCTTGGCCTCCGCAGTGCGCGCTTCGGCCTGCCCGATCCGATCTGAAAGGATCTTGAGATTCCGCTCGCACCCTTCCGCAATCCTCTCGAGCTCGCTCGCTTCCCGCGCGAGATTCGTCTCCGCGCGACTGAGCATGTCAAGCGTGCCCTTGAGCTGATCGGTCTGCTTCTTCATCTGCGGCGCGGCAGCGTCTGCTTTCCGTTGCAGCGCGTCCGCGATCTGCGTTAGCAGACGGGTTTGCTCGGGGTGGGGCGGTAGAGGCGGGTGCGCGGACTGCACCGGGGCGGGAGTCGAGGGCGCGGGCGGGGATTCGTCGATGATGTCGCGCGTGTATGGCACTGACGCGAGATCTGCGAGCGCGCTGGGCTGTGTTTGTGAGTAGACGGGTGGCTGAGGCTGCTGCTGCTGCTGCTGCTGCTGCTGCTGAGGCTGCTGATACTGAGGTTGGTAGTACTGCTGCTGCTGCTGAGGTTGAGGTTGTGGCTCGGGAGGAAAAGTCGGTGGGCGCTGCTGGTATGGCTGAGGAGTGGACGACGCGAAGGAGAGCAGGTTTTCCGGCATTTGTTGTGGCGGCGGTGCAGAAAATTGCTGCTGTTGATATTGAGGTAGGGACGGCGGCATCGATGGCTGTGGAGGAAGCTGCTGCTGCTGGGGTTTCCCATACACGGGCGGTTCCTTTCCAAACACGTCCGACAGCACAGCGCAGAACGCAACAAGATTAGCAGTCTGCGGGTTCCAGTACGAGATAAACGGATGATACACCCTCCCGTTAGTGTCGACGTGGTTGCCTGCGCGGATGGCCATGGTCTGGGTGGGCGTGACGAAGGCAAAGGGCGCGGCGTGCGGGTACTCGTGCGGAACCCAGATCGAGACGGGGATGTTGTAGGTTGCGGAGTGGAAGAAGCAGGGGAGGGTGCCGTGGAAGTTGAGGAGGAGCTCTGATTTGCCTGTTTCGTAGGCTGGGAGGTGTTAGTGTGTGGAGGGGAGGGGGGGGGGACGAGGACGAGGACGAGGACGTACTGTGGACACTTGTTCGGGGGGAGAGGGAGGGTTGGGATTGGAGGAGTTGGACGGCATCGGAGTATGTGCGGTTGATATCTTGATATTCCTGGAGCAGGTGTTAGCAACAACATCATAACAAGACAGTGATATGAACTCACCAGCAGCAAAACCCGATGGAGCCACTCCAATGTCTGCGGAGGCAACTGTCGCGCCATGATATGAGTAGTCGCTGTTATTCTTCTTCAAGCCACGACACCAACACGGTCTCAACAAGTCAATCAATCAACACAGCTTCCAGACAATACCAATTGCCCAGCACAGAGCGCAGTCTCGATCAACAGCACTCTGTTTATCGCCTCTGTTTATCGCGGTCGAGTTGTCGAAACTCGTGGTCGAGCCTCCGCCTTCACTCTCGCCTCTGCCGGTTGCGGTTCGGACGAGACCTAAACCTGATTACATAACGTTTGCTGGAAAGGGTAAATTGATGGATTTATAATCAGGGATTAATCATCGACGGAGGTGTGATGTCGTCGTAGATGTGATGGTGGATAAGATAGTAGGAGATAGTGAATTCATAAGAATGATGACATTAGAGAGTGAATGTAAGAATAGACAAGATAGACACCGAACGCCAGAAACCAGATGAGCAGACATAAAGACATAGAGAAAAGCATAGAGAAAAGACGTAGAGACATAGAGGAGAGATATATACAGGTAGAATCATAAACATAACAGTAAACAGCTAAGCAACGTCAACTAAAGTCGCGCTCGGAGGACACTGTTTCTCGAAATGGACGTGCTGCGGACTGCAGACAGGAGTGTAGACCGGCGGCGGCAGCGCGAGGTGATCAGGATTATGCTCGTCGTCATCATCAGAAGTAGTATAGGAAGACAAGGATGAGTAATCCGACTCGTCCGAGCACGAGTCCGGGATGAGAGCGTGCGGGGCGACGGCGTGGGAGACGACGCGGACGAGTTCGGGAAGATCGGCGTCGAGGTCGAGGTCGTCGGAAGAGTCGGCGGCGACCTCGCGGGCGACGAAGCGGTGCATGTTTGCGGAGGAGTAAAATGAGTCTGGGCCGTCGTCTTCAGAGTCGTCCGAGTCTGAGTAGATATCTTTCTCGTCGTCGTCGTCGTCGTCAGAGTCGGAGTCGGAGAGGGAGAGGGAGAAGATGGGAGAGGAGGATGACGGGGAGGGAAGGACGCGAGGGGAGGAAGGGGCGGAGTGCGAGCTGATGAGTTGCGAGCGCATTGCTTCGAGACCAAAGCCGTCGTCGAGGTCGTCGAGGTCGTCGAGATCGTCGTAGTCGTTGTCGACTAGCCGGTCAACCTCGTCATCATCCTCCGAGCCGTCCGAGCCGTCATCAGACCCTTCGTCCTCGTCAGAGTCCGAGTCCGAGTCGTACTCATAAAAGTAGTCGTGCCCGGTACTGCTGGGCAGCACGAGCGACGAGGAAGAGGAGTGAGCAGGGATATCGAAGTTGGAGAGGTGACTCATGAGAGCGTCGAGGAGGTTTGCGTGGGAGACGAGGACGCGGAGGTCGTGGTCAGACTTGCGAGCTGCTTTTGACAGTTTTTCGCGAGCTCTGGAGGCGAGTCTGAAGGACTGGGATATGGAGAGGGAGTCCATTGCATGTATTCTGATAGCAGGAGGAGATAGTAGTTGAACAGAGAAGAGAGGAAGAAGGAGAAGGGCAGGTCTTATTCCTCAGCAGAACTCGGCCCGACCGGCGTCCGGCTCGAAACGAACCGGCGCCAACCGCGGACTTTTCCGTTTTGGGAAATGCTGATCCCGCGAACTTTATTCGGTTTTAACTTTCGCCTTCGTCATCGCTGAGCTGAGTTGATCCGAGGCCGACTCTGATACTGCTTCTACTATCAACTACTTCTACTACTTCTACTTCTACTACTTCTCTTCTTATTCATGTCCAGAACTAAAGTCGTCAGAGACACCGACAACGACGCCCTTGTCGCAAAATGCGCCGCCGCAAACGCCCTCTACTTCACCGACCCCCTCCTCTCCCTCTTCCTCCCTCCCGCCCTCGCTGATCCGCCTCCTCGCAAACTGCCTCTCTTCAACCGCGGCACCTACCTCCGCCTCTCTGCTCTTTCCCGTCTCGTTGACTGCTTCGTTCGTTCTGGTGGCCGGCAGATCGTCTCGCTTGGTGCGGGCTCCGACACCCGTCCGTTCCATATCCTCGCTGCGGACTCGACCCCTTCCGACTTTGTCTATCATGAACTCGACTTTCCCGCTTCCGCGCGCAACAAAGCCGCCCTCGTCCGCGCCCACAGCCAGCTCAATTCCGTACTCCACCAAGACTCTCTCGTCTACAACATCTCTCCCGACCCTCCTAAACGCCAACCAGGCTCCCTCCTCCCTCGCCCGCGTCCATCCACCGCCTCCTCCTCCGCAGACGACCGCACACCCCTCCGCTCAAAATCATACTACATCCACGGCCTCGACCTCCGCGACCTCACCTCCCCCTCCGCAATCCTCGCCCTCCCAGGCCTCAACCCGTCCCTTCCCACCCTCATCATCTCCGAATGCTGCCTCTGCTACCTCGAGCCCTCCGCCGCCGACGCAATCCTCGCCGCCTTCCTCACAACCTTCTCCTCCTCCTCCTCTCCTTCTCCCACCCCCCTCGGCATCGTCTCCTACGAACCCTTCTCCCGCTCTGACCCCTTCGGCAAAGTCATGATCCACAACCTCGCCTCCCGCGGCATCTCCCTCCCCGCCATGATCGCCTTCCCCACCCTGCACGCCCAACTCGCCCGCCTGCGGTCACTAGGCTTCCGCGCCGCCCGCTGCGCTGATGTAAAGTTCATCCACGACAAGTGGACGTCGGAGGAGGAGATGACGAGATTGGATAAGTTGGAGGTGCTCGATGAGCGGGAGGAGTTTGATTTACTTGTTATGCATTATGGCGTTTACTGGGCTTCTAATCTTTCTTCCTCTTCTCCTTCTACTCCTTCCTCTTCTCCTTCTACTCCTCCCCCTTCTACTCCTCCTCCTCCTCCTTCTGATCCTTCTACATCTACCTCTACCTCTACCTCTACATTCACAGGCGCCTTCCAAGGCTGGAACACCTTCCCCCACCAATCATAATCTGCATCAGCTAATAGAATACGAATGACTGTATATAAGAAAAATACACACAAAAACGAAAGTTACATACAACAAAAGATATTCACAGAAAGACTCGCAAACACTCCATTCCTTCCACTCAAACAATGATAACTCACATGATAAATCACATGATAAATCAACATGATAAATCAATTAAACAGCAGACACCGTCGCCCGCTCGGCCGACGCAGTCGTGGTCCCCTGCTTATTCTCCTCCTCTTCCGCAACCGCTCGCCTTGGCGGCTGCTCACTACCATCCTCCTCCTCCTCCTCCTCCTCCTGCACCGGCAGCGCAGGCGACGACGCGCTCACGCTCCCCCCGTTCGAAGACGTCGTGCTCGTAGCCGACAACCTCCGTCGTAAATGCTCCGCCGCCCCGCGCTCGACCGCGTCCCGCTCCTGCTCCCGCCGCTGCTCGTCTTCGATCAACGAGATCCTGATCGCTTCCATCACCATCATCTCCTCCAGATCAACCATCCTCCGCGACCGCTGCGACGGCGAGCGCGCGCTGCTGCCTGATAATAACGACGATACTCGGCGTGTAGGACTGTGCCCTTGCGCCATCGACAGATTCGTACTGCTGCTTGAATTGCTGCTGCTTCCACTACTACTCAGAATCGTGATGCTGCTGCTGTTGTTGCTGTTGCTGTTGTTGTTGTTGCTGTTGTTGCTGTTATTGTTGTTACTGTTGTTGTTACTGTGTCCATGCCCATGCATCCCCGAAATCAACAAATCCAACCCCGACGGCCGTGGCACCCGATGATGTCGATGTCTCCGCCCACTTCCAGAAGCCTCACCCGCATGCGCTCCGCTCCTCGCCGCTCCTCCCACCGCGCCCACCCCTCCCGCGCTATTCCCATTACTATCCAGCAAAAACGCCGCAGAATGCAACGCCGTCGCCGCCGCCGCCCGTCTCGCCGCGTGCGCGTTCGCGTTCGCAAGCTTCAGCTGCCAATCAGGCCGGATCCGATCCGTCGTCACCACCTCCGCCGCCGTCGACGCGATCGTCGGCCGGCGCTGCCGTCCTGTAGTTGGTGTGGTCGTGCTGCTGCTAGACATCGTCGACCCCGCCGATCCGACAGAGACAGACGAGCCCGCCGCAGACGAGTGCCGCGAGAGCGTCGCGCGCAGGACCGACCCCGCCGACTGCGACGCCCCCAGGCCGCTGCGGAACGGCGGTGGCGTGTACGTCACGCCAAAGTCAGGCTCGGTGCAGTACGGACAGCACGCGCACTCCGAAATCAGCTCGACCATCCCAAACGGCGTAACATGCTCCGGCGACCCCGGCGCAGCAGGCGTCTCGTGCTCGGGCACATGCGGTTCCGACCGCTTGATCTGCACAAAGCACTCCGAGCAGATCGGCTGGTCGCAGCACCGCGTCGAGTTGAGAAACGGCGGATAGTACAGAAAGCAGATCGGGCACTCGATCGAGTTGCGGTACAGCGCCGTCGCCAGCGCGCCCTTTTTGTCCACGCCCGAGTTCGAGCCCGTGGAGGAGGTCGTGCCCGAGCGCGCACGGCCGCTGGGGATCCGCTGGTAGTGCTGCTGCGAGGAGGTCGATGCCGACGACGCGTTGGACTCTGATCGCGACCGGGACGAGTAGGGGTGGCTGATCGTGCTGTCGACCGACGTCGACACCACCGAGGGCTCGGGCTCGGCTGCGGGGATGGGCTGGTGGCGGATGGCGGCGAGTAGTTGTGTGTCGGTCCAGGAATCGTCGTAGTCTTCCAGTCCTTTGAAGAACGGGGCCAGCCGTCGCTCGATCTGTAAACAAGAAAAGTCAGCAAACAAGCAAACAGACAGCATAAATCACTAATCACAACCCACCATCAACTGTCTAACCACACGAGCTTTGAAATCCGGTGTGCCGGAGTATACGCCCTGCGGAACTAAATACCCACCATCAACGGTCTCCTCGATATTCAGCGCATGCCGCACCGCCGACCTCGTCGCCGCAAGTCCAGAACCCGAGGCCGACGAGGACTGGCGGTGGCGGGAGTATCTACGGGAGGAAGAGGTCGAAGGCGAGGAAGCCGAGCCACCAGCAGCGGCAGCGGCGCCGAGCGCGGGCGGGGCGTCGTATAGCGGGTCGCCGGCACGGGACTCTTTGCCGGCGGAGTTGCCCATGTCGGGAGAGTCAGAGAAGAAGAGAAGAAGGAGGACAGGTCGAGGAAGTTGGGAAGCGGAGGAGAAGAGAAGACGGTCTTCGGAGGAGGCGGAGTGCGGAGGAAGGAAGGCTGTGGGGAGGCTGTTTAAGTGCGGAGGGGTTGCGAGGGTTGTGCAGCTCGGCGTTATAGCTGCATATGGAGACAATCATATAAGACTATAACTGATATAAAGAGATATATAAAGAATGACTATATTATAAAACATAAAGAGTGACTACAACAGAAACAACATAACGGTATACTAAACACACTCTGCTCCAAGGTGATTTTTCTTCTATATCATCACTATCCCGATCCCAATCATTATGCAAACCGAACAAGTCCAAAAACAAAAGACAGAAACAAAACCAAACAAGTAACAAACCATCTATCGTGAATATCCAAAATAAGAAACATAAAACAGAAACAAGAAACAAAATCAAAATCAAAACAAGACAGCATCACCGCAGTCCAACGACAAACCCGACCACGATCCCAACTATCGCCCCCACAAACAATCCCAATCCAACCACCCGCGCAACAATCTTCTCTCGCCGCGGAATCTCCCCCACAATCTTATCCAGCCCACCAAACCCCATCACGAAATACATCGGCGGGAAACACAAACACACCACCAGCAGCGTCCGCGCAACCTGCTCGCTGCACGCCCGCCGCGCTCGCGGAATATATGCAGGGTAGTCCGTCGGCGACTCAAACATCGACTCGTGTCTGAATCGCCGCGCCTGCTCGAGCTGCCGCAGAAGCTCAAGCGGATCTTCACTCGTCACCGTCTTCTCTACCGCTGGGACTTCCAGCGCCTTGCTCATCGCGGCCGCTGGCGCAGTCACTGGCTTCCTCTCCTCCTCTGCCGTGATCGCCAGATTCGGAGATGCAGCGTTCGGCAGCGGCGGAAGTAGTACACTACTCCGGCACACCGCCGTCGCAAACTGCCCTCGCGGCTGCTGTCTCACAATCGCCGACAGAGGCGCCATCGAGTTTGTGTATGGGAACGTAGACATCGAGAGACCCTCAGAGTACACCGGTATCAGCGCCCGCTCGGGTTTCCGCACGCCTCCATCTTCCGACTCAATCTCCCGGGTTCGGTAGACGTATTTGTTTGCGTACTCGGCCGGCAAGTAAGGATAGACAGGGTGTGAGAGACCAGCTGCGCGCGCCTCGTCCTCTTCTTTGAGCTGCTGCTGGAAAGCGACACTATGGCTCGCAGTCACGTCCTCGTCAAAGTCCTCGATATGAACCTCTCCTTCATCCTCTCCGTCCAGCATCGACCGCGCGTACGGGTACTGCGTGTACTGCGTCGAGTCGGCCTCGTCGACCGAGTCGTTCACCAGCAGACTCCGAGTCACGTACTGCCCGTTCTCGTCAATCTCAATCACGCGCGCATCATCCTCCGACCCCAGATCGAAATCGATTGTCTGCCGATCGAGCTCGTGCGTGTCGTCGTCGCCACTACTCAGACTGGCGCCTTCCATAAAGTATATGCGCACATCGTCCACGCTTCCGGTCTCGACCACATCCAGCTCGACGGGCGGCGGTGGAGGAGGGAAGGTAGCAGCGAACGAGAGCGCGCTCGCGCTATCGCTGTCGGTGGAGTCATCATCAGGCTCTTCTTCTGAGGAGTTGTAGTTGCTGCTGATTGCGTTGAAGTAGAAGCCCGGCACGCCGATATATGCACGCTGGGCGACGTCGACCTCGCCGACGTCGCCGTCGCGGGTGGTGAGGACGGGATCGGCAGCGGGGGAGTGCAGGACATCAGAGTCGATAGCATAGGGACTGCTGCCGTCGTCGTCGAGTTCGTCGTCGTCGGCGTCGGAGGGGTCGACGGTGCCGGGGAGGAGATCGCTCGCGCCGGAGAAGGAGCGGTAGGCAGCCGACCCGCGCGGGGCGATGGAGTAGCGGATTGAGATCGAGCCCGAGCCGTCGGAGTGGCGGGAGGAGTAGGCGGATTTGCGGAGGCCGTCGCTGGTGCGCTGACCGCCGCCAGATGAGGCCGAGTAGGCGGATATCGGTCTTGTGGAGAGGATGCGGCGGGGAGGTTGGCGTCTGCGGGGGAGGAGAGGGGGGAGGAGGGGGAGGAGGTCGAGGAGTAGATGTTTGATATTTTGCGGACGTGGTGGAGGTCGGGGGGCGGTTGGTGTTGGTGTTGCTGCTGCTGTTCATGATGTTCATGATGTTCATGCAGTTCATGCAGTTCATGCTGCTCAGGCAGCAGATCGCGACTGCCGTCGTCGTCGACGGGCGCGGAGATGTCCATATCAGACGAGGAATAGAAGACAAAGCAGAGAAATAAGAAGCAGAGGCGACGAAGAAGCAGGAAGGCGGAGAGAGAAAAAAGAAGAGCAACGAGCCGGTGGTTTGTTTAGATTCGACGACGGCTGTTGTGGGGACAGTTTTTCCGAGAGATAAATTGGTAATGTGAGGTTAATCAGCTCGGGTTGATTTGCCAGAAGAGGAGGAGGTAGAGAATAGAGAATAGAAGAAGAGTAAGAATAAGACTATTCAATACATTAATACTCTCTAAAGAACATGAATATCTGCTATCCGTGCGGTGTGCTTTGGATGTAAACAAACCCGACTCCGTTTAGACTTTTGTGTGGAAACCATGGCAACCGCTTTGAGTTTACTGCTCATCAACACATCCCTACTTCCTATATCATACTCTTATACTGATAACATACTCTTATAACAATAACATATTCATACAACACACATGCTCTCGGCCTCGCGCCTGCTCTCGCGGGCTTCCCGCGCCTTCTCTCTCGACCCCGACTCCTCTCCAAAAGCACACTCCGCAACAACACCGACGCGCACTTCCTCCCACCGCCGCAGCAGCAGCATCGACCCTGATACCCTCCGCTCAGACAAACGACAGCGAACTTCATACACAAGAGATGCAAAAGATGTCGAGAGTATACCACAGACACGCACTACAGACAGCACCACCAACGACGTCTTTGACGCACTCTTCACCGAACCCGCCGTCGACTCCGGCTCCCAGATCGAACGCACGCGAACAGCAATGCTCTGGCGCCTTTCCCACACAAAGCAGGAAATCGCCCTCCTCGAGCAAGAGATCCACAAACTCGAGCAGTCAGCTTCAGAACCTGCCTCGCTCTCCCCCCAGCACCTGCTAGTCAACCAACTCCTGACCTCAAACGACGCCGCCCTCACCGCCTCTGCCACCGCCTCTTCCTCTCTCGCGCTCGATCTCCCTGCACTCGCCAACACCGCGATCCCACACATGCCGGCACCCGAGCTCGATCTTGACCGTCTGCGCCGGTTCACAGGTCTCGAAATCACCTCCGACGGCACAGAAGTCGAGTTTGCGTCCTACGAGCAGCCCCTCGATGACCAGCAGGTCTTTGTTCGCACCGCCCGCCACTCCATCTCAATCACCCACCCTTCCTCTACAATCTCATTCTCACTATCTCTCGTCGTCAACCAATCCTCCCTCGAAGTCATCTCCTTCTCCGTACTCGACAGCTCAATCCGTCCCACATGGGCCCGCGCCCCTCTGCAGCGCTGGATATCAAATTTCTCCTCCACAGACGACGACTCGTTCCAGCAACTCGACATCTCGTGCTTTTTATTCGGCGTCGCCGATATGGCGCGCATCACACATACGCGCGCTCAAGTCTTTGCCAACATCGCCCGTGCGTTTCCTCATCTCGTGCATAGCTCAAAGTATACAAAACTGCGCGAGTCCCTTGATGATCTCACATCCAAGCCTGAGCCTGACGAGGAGGAGGAGGAGGAGGAGGAGGAGGACTCTAACAAACTCATCTCCGCATCAGGGTTGATTACTTGGCTGGGCGAGTCAACCCTCGTCGCTCAGCAAAGTCAGTCTAGTCTCCAACTCGTGGTGTCATGGACAATCGAGATCGAAGACGTCACTGGCGATGCTACGAGTAATATCACCGCCCGCGTCACCGTCCCAGAGAACTGTGAGTATTGCTTCTATACTATATCTTTTTTGACTACAGTGCTAACTATTCAGACAACAAACTGGATGATGCGCAGGCTTTATTGAAGATTCCAAACGTTTTTCAAACACTTGTACAAACACGGGGTGTTTTCAGAGCTACAAGTATCATTATTCGCAATCTATTCGAAGAGTAATAGCAATAAGAGCAATCTACATTTAGCTTATTTGAACTTTTCTATTAGATTTACAATAAAAATCATGTACAATCCCGAAGTTTTTAAGATTCCCTAATCTTTCGTTTTTAGATATTTTGACCTAGGTCATGCACACAAAAAATACTCCATTTCATACACCCCACTTCAAAGAAGAACTAGCTTATTTCTTCTTCTCAGCAGCCTCGTCAGCCTTATCCTTAGCCCGCTTAGCACGGATGCCAAGGTAGCGGGCCTCAGAGCGGGCCTCACGCAGGGTTCGGTAGGCGTTGACAGACTTGGCCTCCTCGGTGATAGCACGGGGAGCAGTCTCGGGAACGGGCTGGACGATAGGAAGAGCGGCAGCAACAGACTTGATCTGCGAAGCCTCGGCGATAGCAGCAGCGTCAGCGTCACCGGCCTTGGGCTTGCCAGCCTTGCGGGGGAAGAGGATGAGCTTGGCCTGGTACTCCTTTAGTCTGGCGACGTTGGCCTCGAGACCCTCGACCGATCTGTTCTGGCGACGGAAGTCGACAGCGATGCCGACGGTCTGGGCAAACTTTCTGGGGATGCCAGCGGCCTTGAGCTCCTCGAGAGTGAAGCCCTTGCCGGCGCGAACACGGCGGTTGTATCTGATGGTGGGAGCGCGGACGACGGGGCGCAGGGAGTCGACGGGTCGGGGAGCGACACGGGCGGCCTTAGCGACACGGGCGGTTCTGCGACGCTGCTTGCGGCCGGCCTGGTCGAAGTGGACGCGGACTCGGCGGTCCCATTGCTAAGAGATGTTAGATGATGTTCTGGGAGTCTTCTTCTGTCTAGCTGGATCGACAAACCTTTCTGAAATGGTTGGAGAGGATGGGGTAGTTCTTTGCGATGGCTAGAGATGTGTTAATAGGACGTTCAACACAGATACACAGATATCAACACATACCCATTGCTGCTGCGGTGTTGTTGCGAAAAGACCGTCGACAGTGCTGATGAGGAAGAACGAGAGATGTGAAGCAACGAGTGTCTGTGTGTCGGTCGGGAGCAGTGTAGGGTTCAGTGCTCAGTAGTCAAGACACCACACAAAACTGGTGGTGGCGCGTGACTGCTTTTTGGCGAGAGCCAAACCCTAAACTCTGCTGGCCGCGACTCAACGCCGGGGCAAGTTGCTCGTCGCGAAGAGAACCGCTTGCTCTGCACCAGCATTATCTGAACATCACAACTGCAATAATGGCCTCTATTCAAAGCGTCCAGGTGAGTTGTTCTGTTCTTCTTCTTATTCTTATTCTGTTATTGTTCTTGTCTTTCTAACTATTCCTAGACCTTCGGCAAGAAGAAGTCTGCCACCGCCGTCGCCTACGCTAAGGTAATCACCACCACCACCACCACTCCTATTCTACTCCTGCGATGAACCGACATCAAGGATCATAAGATCAAAGACAACGAAAGAACACACATTAACTCCTCTCTTATAGGCCGGCAAGGGCCTCCTCAAGGTCAACGGTTCCCCCATCCAGCTCGTCCAGCCCGAGATCCTCCGCTTCAAGGTATCTATCTCCATCGACAACACTCTACAATGCTCTGCCACTGCTGCGTTGACTGTGTCTGAAGTCACAAGCAGCACTGCACTCGCAGCACAGCAGCACCAGATCTAAAACAATATTAACACCTCCCAGGTCTACGAGCCCCTCCTCATCGTCGGCCTCGACAAGTTCGCCAACATCGACATCCGCGTCCGGGTCACCGGTGGTGGCCACGTCTCGCAGATCTACGCCATCCGCCAGGCCATCGCCAAGGCCATCGTCGCCTACCACCAGAAGTACGTCGACGAGCAGAGCAAGAACGAGCTCAAGAAGGCTTTGATTGCTTACGACCGTACCCTCCTCATCGCTGACTCGAGACACCCCGAGCCCAAGAAGGTGTGTTTTCTTCTTCTTCTACTTTTCCTCTAGTTTATTATAGTAGCATGCTAACAACCCTCTAGTTCGGTGGTCCTGGTGCTCGTGCCCGTTACCAGAAGTCGTACCGTTAAGCGGTGGTCTGCTTGGTGCTGGGTGCTGTTTCTATATATATATTTTGTATTATGATTCATAATTTGCAATAAAAGTTTTAGGGTCAATAATTCCTGTCCAGATGTAGTTATCTGTAGTTGTTCTCGTACTTTGTAGTTGAGTAAACCTCCTCTAATATCTATACTCTCATAGCCACCGTCTACTCCCATCTACTCTCCCTCCACAAATGAACCAGCAACACCCACCAAAAACAACACTAATCCTCCACAATGTACCCGACAAATGCCTCCTCGGCATCGACCTCCAGTTCTTCACCTCGACCCTCGACTTCAACGGCATCAAGGTGATCCCCGCCGGCGTGCACGTCCTGCACTGGAGTCCTCCGACGCCGTCCGCTGCTACCAGCGGCATCCTCCCCGCGCGACGCATTCGTCGTCTTCCTGATGACGAACAAGAAGAAGCAGCAGTAGCAGATCAGACGCCTGCAGACGACGACGGGGTGCCGCTGAATAGCAAGTTCGCGCCGGGCGAGACGGTGATGAGTAACATGAACCTGCGGATGGCCAAGTTCTTTGAAGCCAAGGAAGGCAGAGTGATCCAGATGGCGTGGAAGGACGAGGTCGAGGAGTTTGTCGAGTCTGACCAGGATCTTTCTGGCCGAGGTGAGCTTTTCTTCTTCTTATAAAGATTACAGCAGAAGTGAATGCTAACAAGAGCGACGCAGATCTGATTGATCTCTACTCCCATCTACTGCCATACCCGGACTCGACTCCCCCCTACAGCGATCTCACATCCCTACTCACGCCCGAACTCTTGTCGACTTTCCTTCCTCTCTCGTACGTCGAGAGTAACGTCCCTATCTCCTCAATCACCGCCTCCTCCGCCGACTCGATCCTCCTAAATCAAGCCATCGCCAAAGCCTCCTCCACCTCCTCCTCCTCCTCCTCCTCAAAGCGAGCATCATCCACGGACGAAGACAGAGAATCCTTCAGATTCCTCGCCTTCGATCTAAAGCGACAACGCACATGGCCCGAAGGCGCGACCGGTCGCCAAATCACGGCCGCCGCTCTTGATCGCAGCTGGTTCTTAAACGACCTCATCTCTCGCGAGCGAGATGGCAGTAAGTTCCCCCTCTCTCGCTTTAAGACAGATACAGAAGCTAACGACGCTAGACTACAACGCGATCGTGGCTGAACTCCAACTCTGCTTCCTCCTCCTCGTTCTCCTCGCAAACTACGCCGCCGCCGAACAATGGAAACGACTGCTCGACCTCCTCTGCTCCTCGCAGTCCGCGCTCTATACCCACGCTTCTCTCTACCTCTCGCTCCTCGCTACCCTCGAGGCCCAGTTCCAATGCGTGCCCGAGGTCTACTTCACCGATCTCCTCGGCGCCCAATTCGTAAGACGCCAGCTGCGCGCGCTGAGAAAGAGTATCGCCGACCCGGACTCGTTCGCAGCAATGGTGTCGTCCTCAGATACCCCCCGCCCTCGCTGCCTTCCTCAACCCGCTCCACGCTTCTCACCCACCTCTCCCAAATCTCGTCGACGCTGTCTGACAAATTCGCGCTCGATATCGAATCAAGCCATACCCGCGCCTCAGCCCGCAAGCGCAGGCAAAAGGAATCCACGCTCGCGGCGCTGTCGGGCGGGTATTCGTCCGCCTCGTTTGCGAACGGGTTCGAGTCTGTGCATCATTATGGCAGCGATAGCGAGGATTACGATGATGATGGGGAGGGTGAAGACGCGATGGGGAAGATTGGAGCGGAGTATGATTCGGATGATGTTGATGAGGAACGGGGCGAGTTTGCGCCGGTTGTTGTCGAGTTGTAGGATTTGATAGGCGTACGATAGGGTGATATTAATACAGGCATAGCTAATAATACAAATCAAAACAGTATACACTACTCGACAAACCTCGACCAGGAAACACAAACACAAACATCTAAAACAAACTACTAATGTACACATTACTAAACATACAAAACAAGTTAGCGCTGCAGGACTATCCACACCACGATCCGCTCCTTCTCACTACCCTCCGAGTTCACCGTCATGTTTGTCCCGCCAATCATCCCGTACCTCTGCGGCGCGACCACAACGCGTCCGGCCGCGTTCCCGACCGGCGGCGGCGGCGGCGACGCATGCACAAGGCACTCGACGACGTTCACGCCGGGGTTCAACTTGATCTCGTAGTAACTCTTCGGCGGCTCGTTCAGTCGTCGCGAGGCGGTGCTCGGCTGGATGAGCGGACTGAGCCGGCGGTTGTTGAGAGACATGTAGAGGTTGTAGTGCCGGGTGAGGAGCGAGAGCGAGAGCGTGGGCGAGATCGTGATGATCGAGTAGGCGGCGGGAAGGACGATGGTGAATGATTGGAAGATTTCGGATTTGTTGGGCGGGAAGTCGATGTTGTAGGGTGGGAAGGCGGGGTGGTTGGGATTCGAGGAGATGGCAAAGTGGGTGATTAGTGCGTCCGCGATGGCTGTTAACTCAAGTTAGTATTGCTCTGCTTCCTCTTAAATATAAGCAACTTACTCTTTCCGGGTCCGCGCAACCGCGACTCGTCAGGCTTCGCAGGCGCGCTCGGCTGATTCCCTGGCTTACTTCCAGGAACAACAACAGGCAACGCCGGCACCGACGAATTACTCTCACCACCCGCCGTCGCAGCACCACTAGCATCTGCCGTCCCCGCCGGCGCCGCGCCGTCCTGCTCGTCGTCGTCCACAACGTCCGCCAAGAGCTGCGACTCGTCATACACGGGCTGTCTGTCTCCCGAGCGCGCAGACTTGCGCAGCGATCGCCCTGCGGCCGTCTCGGTCGCGTCTGAAGATGTGTCGGCGGCTTGCTGCGGCGTGCTGGCTTTGTTGCGCGGCGGTCGGCCGCGTCCGCGTCGTTCTGAGGATGGCGGCTCGGGCTCTTGTTTAACCTGCTCTTCTTCCTTTTCACTTTCTTCATCCTGCGACTGCGCAACAACCGCAGCAGCCTCGCGATCGCGCTGCTTCCCGATATTCAACTTAATCTTCTGCGACGTCTTTTGCGACGCGGCCCCATCGTCTTCGGTTTTGACGCCGAGTGAGATCTTTAGTTTGACCGACCGGCCTGCTTGCTCGTCGTCGAGTTCTTGCTGCTTGCGTTTTTTGCTTGTGCTTGTGCTGTTGTCGTTGTTGTTGTCGGTCGTGCTGGTCGCGAGATCGCCTAGGTCGCGTTTCTTCTTTTCGAGTTTGCTGTTGAACGCGCGCTGGGGTGCATGTTAGTTGTCACTCGCTCACTGCCTTTGAATGATAGAATTGGGATAGACGTACCTGGAGATGACTGGCGTCGTTATGAACCTGACTATTCTCCTCGTTGAAAAACATTGCATTCTCAAAGATCAATTGCACAGCAGCCGCGAACGCGTCCAGATCGTTGTATTTGTTTTCCTTGACGTTTTTCTGCGCGGTGGGTTAGCATCACCAGCTTGAATAAGTTCACAGAAGAGCGACTTACGATGACGGTGTTGAATGCCATGGGCTGCTTGATGATCTCGTAGTATTCGGGATAATCGTCCGCAGAGGGTTCGTCCATGAAGAGCTCGCTGAAGAATCGACCCCGTTTGCTATGATTGATGTCAGTATGATTGATATATGATCACCACCGCGAGACGCGATAACGCGACGCGCCTGAAGCGCAGAAAGAAAACACAGACCTCGTCCGCATATTTGTGAGCTCGTCGACGATTTTGAGCATCGCCTGCTTAACTGCTTCGTCGGGCATGTCGAATATGATGATAATATGAAGAGAGAGTGACGATAATAAACAAGGAAATAATATTATTCCAAACAAATAAGCAGCGCTGCTTCACAGAGACTCCCTACACAGAAGAAGCAGAGGCAGAAGCAGAAGCAGCAGCGAGACGCGACGCGTGTTTTGCTTCTGTTTTGTTTTGTTTTGTTTTTGTTTGTTGTTGTTTGCTGGCTGCCTTTCGTTGACCGCAGAGCAATCGCAGCTGCCGACTCGCGAGGGAAACCCACAGAATCGCTTATGTAAGTATGTGATTACACTGTGATCAGTTGTGAGTCATGTTGTGACCCAGAAAAGCAGGAACCGCCAAAACAAAAACACAAACACCGTCGCTCTGACGCGTCTGCTCTTCTCCTTTCCATTCCTGCTTCCTCTTCATCTTTTGAACACTCCTCATTCTCCTATTCGAACAGTCAGCGGTTGGTTCTTCTTCCTGTCAGTCAGCAAATGGATTCAAAGGCCAGGCGCGCCAAAGTCCCGCAGCAGCCGCGGATGCTCACGGAATCTGAGAGAGCGCGGTTAGATGAGTTTCAAGATCTGATTCATTACTCCAGTCGGTGCGTCTTTTCTTTGTTTGTTGTGTTTGTTTGTGTTTGTGTGTGTGTGTTTGTGCTTGTGCAGCGCATGTACTGCTGACTCGGACTTTTGCGTGTCGGACTCCAGCTAACCTCCACCAACAGATATTCAGACGACCACTTTGAATACAGGTACCCCCATCCTCCCTTCCCTCACCATCCCACGCGCAAACAAAACTAACCTCCATCTCTCCTTTGCAAAAGACACGTCGCGCTGCCGAAAAACATGCTGAAAGTGATCCCAAAGGACTACTTTGATCCCGAAACCGGCACCCTGCGAATCCTGCTCGAGGAGGAGTGGCGCGGGCTTGGAATCACCCAGAGTTTAGGATGGGTGCATTACGAAACGCATAGTACGTGAACACATAGAGCTGAGGTGAGAGAATGCATCGAATTGAGCTAACTTCCTTCCTCTCGCGTTATAGCACCGGAACCGCACATTCTGCTGTTCAAGTATGTCCCATGTCTTCATTCTCTCTCTCTCGCATTGTAAGACTAACCTCCTCCGCAGACGCCCACGAGAATAAGCTCATCCTCCAATCGAAACATACCACACATTAATAATCAAGAACCAGAATCAGCAAACACCCAAACAAGCAAATACCCAAAGAAGAGGATCGCACCGAGAAGATGGAGACAGGACTAGTATGAGTGCACGAGTTGGATGCGAGAGACTGCTGGAATACAAATGCGCTGGAGGGTTTTGTTGTTGTCGTTAGCGATAGTTGTCTATTCAGGTTGCAGTTTGTATGTACATCCATCGTATCAATGTCTAATTCATTCTCACTTCCTTTAACCCGCCTCCATCTCTACACCAGCAAATCTATCCACGATATATATATAAGTTCTATATATAAAACTATGAATACAATCAAACGAAACAGATGAATAAAATAAACAGAGATCAAAGACTTGATATATACCAAACAAGTAGACAGATACACTAATAATGTAAACAAAAAAGATACAGAAAAAGAGGAGCTGGAAAGAAACCCGAAAGACATAGGTAATTAAAATACATGAATTTCCAATTGCAAACGTCAACCGTCACTGCAGAGCCCCCTAACTAGATTGATAAACACACATAGTACAAATAACCAACAGGAAATAGAAAAGCAAACGTATTTTTGGGACACACGAAAACAGATTGGAGAGTAACAATGACGATAGGATGAAACTGAATAGCGCAATGCAGAATAGAAGAAATATGTAATCAAAAAAAAAAAAAAAAGACAAAATATGCGCTGCTTGTTTTTTTAGGTAGTCTCTACTCATTCTTCTTCTCCTTGAACGTCTTCATATAAACATCAGGACGTCCCTCCAACATCTTGCGCAGCTTATACTGCACCTCGACCTCCTTCGACGGCGGCACAACCGGACCGATCCGCCGCCAGTCCTTGAGCGCAACCGCAACAGTGTCGCCCAGCTTCATGCGCCGCGAAATCTCCGCCCGGCGGTACTTTGTCAGCTTCTCTTCGTAGTCCGCGCCGAGCTTCACGAGCACGGCTTCGGGGTCAATGCCTTCGAAGGGGTCTTTGCGCACAGGCGCAACAGGCGTCGTGGTGTCGGCCTTGGGCGCGGCATCGCTCGAGGTCGTCACCGCCGACGCTTCCTCCTCGGTCTTTTCGGTCTCTGCCTCGACGGTCTTCTCGGCCTCTTCGACAGCAGGAGCAGGAGCAGGAGCTTCCTCGGGGATAGGCAGGACCTCCGACTCGGGGCGGACATAGCCCCAGGGGGTATCGAACCCCTCACCGCGACGGAGCGAGATACCCGCGGTCGAGAGCGACATCAAGATGCCCTTCTCGTAGGCCTTGACGGCACCACCTGCCTCCTCGATCTTGCGCTTGCGGTTCTCCTCGCGCCATTCCTCGGGCGTGATGCGACGAGCGCCGGTCCAGCCGATTGCGCGGAGCTGGTCGGCGGTGACGTCCGGCGCCTCGTGGAACGGGTTGACCGAGGTCGGGTTGTATCCGCCAAAGAAGAAGACGAGGAAGATGACGGAGCACTTGAGGACGTGGAAGACAAAAAACACAATGTCGACGATCCAGTCCGACGAGCCGTCGTGCTCGTCCGCGGGCGCGTCCGGGTCCGGGATCTCGGGGAAGAAATGCTCGTACACCCGGTTTCCGATCGCAAAGAGCGAGATGCCGGGCGTGGGCGTGAACCACTCCGGCAGGTCGGTGTAGAGCCACAGCAGCAGGATGCCGACGACGGCCACCCAGCGGCGGGTGTGGGTCTTGAAGATAGGCACGAAGAGCTGGCCTTCGCGCGCGACGTCGCAGATGCGCTTGGTCTCGTCGATTGGCGTCTCCTTGCCGCTGTGCTCGAAGAGCAGCGCGCCCTCGCTGGTGTAGAAGCCGGGGTTGGTGGAGAGGTGGAAGCCGATGGGTCGTCGGTGGAAGAAGAAGGTGGGGGAGAGGACGAGCGGGAGGGTGTCAAAGATCGAGTAGAGGATGGAGACGGGCTGGTCGCGGGGCAGACAGAAGCAGTAGTCCTTCTCGTTGTCGCCGTTCAGACGGACGTAGATATCAATCAGCCGGTCCTTCTTGGGGGCCTCGGCGGGCTTCTGGTCTTCAGACATGCTTGGGGAGAGGCAATGGCAGTGAGAACAACACGAACAGGCTACGAAGAGGTATACAAGCACGAGACAGCAGCTGCAAGTGAGAATAGACCGGGGGATAAGGTGAGGGCGAAGGTGGAGTAAGAAGGAGGAAGTGCAGTCTGTGCGGTTCAGGATGGTGTTTTGGTGGGGCGGCGGTGGTCGAAAGATAGCAAATCGGTTCCGCGGCTGTGCCTCAACTGCGCCGCCGTCGCCGCGTTTGTGCTTCTTATCTGCGCCCCACCGCACCCGACTCATCTTTGTCTGTGGACTAGTCGTCTGATGATTGCTATTGTAGTTGTTTGTAATTGTATAGTGTAATAATGTAATGTGGCATAGATAACGTCTCCCTACTCGTCCAGCATATCTCTCTTACAATCCATCACTCCCTTCCGAATCACGTCCTCGAACTTCCAGCGCGGGTGCTCGCTCGGCCGGAACTTGAGCATCAGCATATCTCCAATCTCGTCGCACGCCCGCAGGATCCGGTCCAAGTCGTCCTTGTTCAGCGACGACGACATGCAGAACCGCGCCCGCGACTTCACCAGCGGCGTGGCAGGGTACCCGACCACCACAATCGCAATCTTCCGCTTCAGCATCTCGTGCGAAAACGCTGGCATCTTGGCCGGCGAGTAAATCATAAGCGGGATGATCGGACTGTCGTCGTGGCCGTACACAATGAATCCCAAGCGCTTCAATCCCAGGCGCAAGTACCGCGAGTTGAACGCGATGCGCTGCAACCGCTCCTCGCCCTCGCCAGGCACAATCTCGCCAATGATCGTTCGCAGCGCGCCCTCGATCTGTCCCAGCAACGGCGGCGACATCGTCTCGGCGTAGACGTACGCCATGTTGTCGAGCTTGAGCCGGTCGATGATCGCCTTATCGGCCGCAATGTATCCTCCCGCGGCGCCAAACGACTTTGTGAACGTGCCCATCAGGATATCGACCTCGTCCGGCGAGATGCCGTAAAAGTCGCAGATTCCGCGGCCGTGCGGGCCGATCGCGCCAACAGAGTGCGCCTCGTCGGCGAAAATGTAAAACTTGTATTTCTTCTTGAGCTCGACCAGTCGCGGCAGGTTCAGCATCGTGCCTTCCATCGAGTACAGGCCCTCGACCACAATCAGGATCTTCTTCCACGGACGGTGCGTGCGCGGCTGGCCCTGGCTGATCTGCTCGCGCAGCAGGCTCTCGAGATCTTCCATGTCGTTGTGCTTCATAGTCTTGATGACGGCGCCCGAGAGTCGCGCGCCGTAGCGGATAGAGGCATGATTGAGCTCGTCGGAGATGATGAGGCAGCCCTTGGACACCAGCGACGGCAGCGCGGCACCGTTAGTAGCGTATCCCATCGAGAAAATCATAGAGGCCTCTTTGCCAATGAACCGGGCCACGAGTTCCTCAGTCTCGACGTGCAGGTCGGTCGTGCCGGCCTCTGCGCGCGGGCTCGCGGTCGACGTGCCATAGCGGTGGATAGCCTCCTCGAACGCGTCGACACACTGGCCCTCAGACTGCGCAAAGCCGAGGTAGTTGTAGGACGAGAGGTTGAGAGCTTCGGTTGTGGTGCCGGTCAACTTGAAGGTCGAGTTGTAGTCGCTCGAGGTGCGGTCGAGCAGGGTGAGGTAGCGTCCGGGGACGTCGATTGTCGGTCGCGAGAAGCAGTCGTCGAAGCGCTCTTTGAGGCGGCGGACGTAGAACGAGTCAAAGTCTGAGGTTAGAGGAGCATATCCCTAGAGACGCGTTAGTGTGAGTGTTTGTGTACGCGGGCAATGCATGAACGCGCGCTACTAGAACCCAACGCAGAAAATGCTATCATAAAGCAATTCAACATAGACAACAACAGCCACATAATTATAATACAACAAACAGCACAACAAACAACAAACAACAGCAAAACAGTCGGGGGTGGCGCGGTTGAAGATGCATTGATGACGGCGCATTTGGTGGCGTCTGACGGGTACACACAAACACAACCACGATAAACAAACATCAAAAAAACAGAGGAGGACCTACGTTTCGCTCGATGAGGTGCTGATATTTTTCCTTCTTGAAGCGCTTGCCGAAAAAGTCGCGGACGTGACCAAAGATGATGAGGATGAGGTAGGAGATGTAGGTGGTGAGGAGGTAGAAAAGAGGCGGCTCCTCCTCGATAAAGTCAGGGAGCACGCCCTTTGCCTGCTGCGAGACGTGCAGATGGGAGGGATGCACAAGCGGCCCGAACTGCGCGTGGCGACGCTTGAGCTCCTGCGGGGAGAGGTTCGCGGACGCCTTTGAGACGGCTGAGGCGGAGGAGTAGGAGAGCAGGCCGAGCGAGGGCGCGGCAGGGTCGGCAGTCATGTTGTTGGGCGACGACGCGGCGGAGGAGGAGGCCGAGCTGGAGGGCAGCTGTATCTGAGCCTGAGCCTGCGCAAACAAAGAAGCCAGTTTTGTTGGATTTGACGGCATTGATCGGCGCCGTGGCGAGACGAGGGTGTGGACGAGGTGTGGACGGGGAAGTTGATGAGATGGGGAGGTCGGAGAGGAGGACGCGAGAGGGCTTTCAGGCACAGGCTTCCTGCCGCTTTGGGTCGTGGTTAGAGTGTCACGCTAGTAGTCACGTGGGCTTAGGTAAGGGATTATGTGTGCGGTGCGTAGTCATGTATTATGTAATGTGCTGTCTGAGAATAAGTGTACTCAAGGACGGCGGTGAAGAATGCATTACTGGCGGTTGTTGATGCTGGCTGATATTGAGAACAGACAGGGAGAGACAAAGAGGATATGTGTCGCCGGGAAGTCCGAGTGCTTTGCAGATCAAAGAGAAGAGCAGGTAAAGAGAAAACAAAGACCCTGCAACCGACAATCAACACCCTGGCTACCTCTACCGCATCCTTCCCTGCTGCCCAACAAACCAGCAACCAAGAGCGAGACGGCTGATCGGCAGGCCTCCGCGATAACGCGCAGAGGAAGCAGAAGGCGGTAAACAAACCGCGGGTGCGGAAATAGGGTTAAGATTCTCGCTTAGCAGTTTATATTAGGGTGCCTGATTTGATGATCTAAAGTTCATTCGTGACGTCAGTGATTTGACTTATCTTCCGACGGGGATGCGGATGGGTTTGATCTTGACGTGAGGGAGGAGAGGCTATGACGTTGTGTGGCAAAGCTGTAGTAGAGGCAGCAGCAGCAGATGTAGATGAAGTAGTGTCGTGGTAGTGATAGTAGTGATAGTAGTAGTAGCAGCAGCAACATCAACATTAACACCAACATCAAGACAACCCGCATTCGTCATCCAAAGAAACCCACACGCACCAACGCACAAACGCACAAACACAAACACAAACACAAACACAAACACACACATCCATCGTCCCATGCACAACTAACAACAACAAACAAACGGAAACAGGAGGGTGGCGGGAGCGAGGAAGGGATGCGCCGCAGTTGCCAGAACGTGTTCAGCCCCCTCCTCCTGCTCGCCTCGATTAGCTCCGATCGTGAGTCCGAATCCGAAGGGTGCGTCCCTCGTTTCTTCTATATTTGTCCGGCTGCTTTGTGTTTTGTGGTGAGTTTGTGTGTTTATTTGTATGTTGCTGCTGCCGTCATCTTTTTAATACTCCTGCACCACTCCAGATGATGTAAATGCGATAATCTAGATCTGTCTATCGTTATATGACCTCTTAAGACCTCGCATCTGATGCGGTGGCTGGCTCAGATATATTAGACCCATGTTCATACTCAAGCAAAAAATCATCATCTGTATATATTCAGAATACAAATTTCATTCATCTAAACACTCAATCCACACACCGCTGGCTGGCTGTACCTGGCCGTGCGTGGCGGTGAAGCCTTTCATACTTGCTCGTCCACCTAAAAAAAACCACCCACCCACGCGCACGCTCGCCTCTAAACCTTGATTGCGCTGTCTTATGACCCGGCCATGTGCTGCGGGGAACAATACGGCGAAAGCAAAGGGATATCAGCTCTGATTAGAGCACCTACAGATTCAGTTTTCTTGAATCTGCGGTAACCCGATCGCTGCAGACTCTGGCTGCTGCTCTTAGCTGCATGCATCCGCACGGCAGCAGCTGCGCATCCTCTCTCGATCGCTTTTGACTGCTGACAACCACACGGCCCTCCAATCGCGCCCTGCAGCAAGCTCCGGAGCACACGCACATGCACACACATACATACTCAAAACGCACAATGCTGATGCCATAAAAGGCATCAAACGCTCTGGTTATCGCCGGAAGCCCCGGGGCCCGTGCGGCGTTGTGGCGTAATGAGCTTGCGCGTGTTTACGCAGCCACGGATCGCGGAGGCAAGAATGCGGGCTTTGTTTGTGTGTGTGTGGTATCGGATGTCCAGAGACTAGGAAACACCGGTGAGGAAAGGGAGAGCAAAGGGACGGGGGTGTACGTATGCGTAACGGTCTGTGGTTTTCGACTAGGAAGCACAGGAGTCGTACGAGCCGAGGAGGAGTAGTCTAACCTGGGAAGACATAAGAGTGCAGCAAGAACGCATTGTTCTCTACCTTCTTTTGAGCATGTTGAACAGAAAACTAGGATACAGTAGAAAACAGAACTAGAACTAGAGACCAAACATGAAAGAGTAAAAACAGAGGATTTCCAGAGAATTCAGGAGACTCCTGCAACAAACCAGGCTGAACTCGTTGTGGCTCGTGTGTGGCTGGTGGGGGGCACACAAACCCGCTCGGCTGAGCTCGGTCCAGTCGTCCTCGCGCCCTGGTTTCACGGCTCGGACTGAGGGTTGAGAGGCCTAGGGCGTCGGCGTCTGCGTTTGCGTCGTGGTTGTGGTTGTCAGCTAGACCTAGTGCCGTGGGGAGAGGGAGGGTGTGTGTTCGTGAGTGTGTGTGTAATAAGACGGTGAGTGTGATGCTGTAGAACAGCAGCTATTTGTTGTTATAATATATCGAGAATATAAGCAATGTTATATAAACCTCGGAGATCAATCTGACTGCTATTCTTACCAGAAAGGAGGATTAACGTGGAGCACGTCGCAAATACCTTAACTGGTAAGGCACTGAAGCCTGAGCTCGGGTTCGCTTGCAACCACCGCCCACCTGTCTCGAGCCCTCTACTTTTTTTTTTCTTTTACAATGAGTTATAAGTTACAGATGCTGACTGCTTGTTAATTGAATAATGTATCACGTTTTATGTGGTGGTTGACGGCTGAACTGCTGTTCTGTTATATCACGGATATTTTGGGAATATTTTATTTTCGTGACGGTCCCTTGGATCCGAGCGACCGAACACTTTCCGAATCCGTTCAGCTCTGGTTTTCACATTCTGCGCGGGCTGCGCTCAGTGACTGTGAAGTAGATCTGATATATTAACAGAAGAGTGTTGAGTTATAAAGAAAAAAGGGGATATAGAGAGATTTATTAGCAGCAGGAATGTCTTAGCGATAGAGTAGAGAGACAGTTAATAGTCGCGACAATGTCTGAACTAATAGTTTACCGAGCTACAAAAACAAAACTGCTCCACCAGTCGCCAGTCACCGCCCAGCTCAATCAATCACACGGCTATTCTCAAGCCGGCAATACTCCTCATATTCATAAATAGCAGAAGAACAGGATATGCAGAGAGAGATAGCACGAGAAAGTAGAGATGTCACGTAGACGGATGTAGTAGTTGAGATGAAGAAATTTATGTTTTGAAGATCTGCTGTCATCACCCTGGACGAGAGTTTATGCCTGGTCTGACCGTGTGTGTCTATGTGTTTTTATTATCTGACACGATAGAGATCAATAGTGCGATAGAGATGATAGCAAGCGGTAGCTTTCAGATAGAAGGAATAGAGAATGAGTAAGGCTGGCTGGCGACCAAAAGCAGAAGGCCTAGCTAACTGACAGGTTCGCTAGAGCGATACTGTCAACCCAGATCAAGAAGATCAAGCGCAGGGCAGTGAAGTAAGTAAGTAACCTAAGCAGCAGAAGAAACTTTTGCGGTTGGTTCTGTCACCGATCGGTTGGGGACGGGAGCGGGCAGCAGAGAGAGAAAAGCGGTCCGAGCAGTCGGCCCAGTTCGAGGGAGAAAGTGCTCATGCTCTTTCTAATCAATGCTCGAAGCGGAAGCTGTTCTGTTAAAGGAATGAAAGTTTTGCTGGGAGTAGTTAAGATTGGCGATGTTCATCAGATGTTCTGATTATGCTTGTGTTTTTTGAGAGGTTTACAACAGAGACTATACGATAAGAAGGCAAGAAGGTCTTTTCTGTATTTCTCAGCAGGACAGAGCTGGATCCAGCAGCTGCAGAAGGCAGCCAGCTAAAGAAACGGCCAAGGCAGGCAGTCTCCGGGATTTCAGCACGTGTGGCTAGTGGCTTTGCTTCCGTACTTCACGATGCTGTCACTCCGTTCATCACCTTGAAGCTCAGCACTCTTTAGTCTTGTTAGTCTTTTTGGTCTGTCTAGTCTGTTTTATTGTTCGGTCAGAGAGTACTTGTCGCGTGCCAGTGCTGCTACTGCTGGCAGAGAAGAGGACAGCGGTGGTAAGTAGTCCATGGCTGGCCTCGGATTCGCGTTCGGCTGAACACGAGCTGTTCCAACTCTCGCCGCCGATTTATTGATTATCGCACCTCAGAGACCCATGTCTGCTCCCTTCCGCGCCCGAGTAAGAAGAGAGTAAGAAGACAGCAGCAGCTACAGAGTAGAGTATTAATACTTAACAGGACGACAGGCTACTCAATCTGGATCCGAACTCGAATAATCGCGCTCTTCTTGCTCTTTGACTGCAGAGCAGTTGCAGTGTGCCCGGCATGGACGGCTAAGTGATGGACGGCCAAGTGGTCTGCCCGCACTGCCCACAAATATGCACACGCGTGCGATCCCCCCGTTGGCTGTAACAATATTTGAAAGCTGTATTCTATAACAACTATACTATTATCATTATATCATTACTATCGCAATCATTCTACCACAGTTATTGCAAAAGAAAACAGAGACTCGGAAACTCCTCCGGTTCGATGACGCAACAGAGTTTCTATATTTGGCCGGGTACCCGGCGGTATCCTCAGCCACAGCCATATGCAGTACACACCAGCCACAGCCACCAGTCTCACAAGCAAACTTTCTTTTGCTCCTCCTCAAACCTGCTGCGTCTTCCTCAACTCTCCTTCTTTTCTCCATCTCTTCTTCCTGTCCTTCTTCTTTCTGTCCTTCGTCCTCCTCCTCTTCGTCTTCTTCTTCTTCATCTTCCTCCTTTTTCTCTTTTTCATCATCATCTTCTTCTTCTTCTTCTTCTTCTCCTCCTCCTCTTCTCTCATTCACTCGTTTCTCATCTCCCTCCCCGATTCACCACCTCGCATTCACATCCACCCCTACTCCTCTGCCTCCTCCTCCCATTGCATATCCTTCTCTCCTCTCCTCCCCTCCTCTTATCCTCCTCTGCCCACCGTCCGGCATGTTCTGCGCCTAATCTACTCGCCTCCTCCCTCCTCCCCGTAAGTCCCCTCCTCTTCCCTTCCTGACCTTCTCCTCCCCCAAGATCATCCCAACTCTGGCTCTCCGACTCCAGAAGTTGAAGCCAAAGAGTTGAAGACCTCAGGAGCTGCTATATCTCCTCTATCTTCTTTCTCTTCTTTGATCTCTGCTTCTTCTCATTCAAGTCTTCTCTGCTGCATCCAGCCTTCCATAATTAGCCGCTGACTCCTCAGATCTAGTCTTGTCTATTTTTATTCTCAAAAATAACAAGCCCTACCCCTTGATTACCACTCCGACCTGATCTGGAGAAAGATTCAATAATCAACATCATCTTTCTCTTCTAATATCTAACTCCTTGCATTCTCTCACCGCCATATCTCACCGTATGTTGTTGTCAGGCCGTTCTTCCCACCCTGACCTTGCAGCTAACCTTATAGCCTCACCCAGATGGCCACCATTCAGTCCCAGCCGGCGCCATATATCATGCCCACCACATACGCCCCGGCTCCTGTCGTCACAGACCACCGTCGCTACTCGATCAGCTCTGCCGTCACCTCCCCCGCCTCCCCCTCACCATCTGCACAACTGCCCGCTCCCAGCAAACCGGTCCGGCATGTGCCTCACTCGCCCTCATTCCGTCAGCTGCCTTTTGCTGGCATGCCGCGCTCCGCCTCGCCCGTGACCTCGGTCCAGCCTCAGGCGCCTCCCGCCGGTCAGGCATACCTGCCGCAGCAGTCCCAGCGGTACCGAATGGGCCACCATCGCTCTGAGATCTCGCTCTCTGCTTCGGGCCGCAGCGTGAGCATGCCTGTCAGTTCGAGCTCTGCATACTCCTCCCCTTCCCCTTCTCCTACTGCTTCTTCCTCTTCCTCTGCTATCTCCCATTCCCGCTCCAATTCAGTCGCCTCAACCTCTTCTTCATCCTCGCCCACCGTGCTTGATCAGACTTACACCTACAATGCGCCTCCCACTCGTCCCACACTACCTTACTCCAACTCTTTCTCCCACCCACCCCAGCAGCAGCAGCAGCAGCAGCAGTCTCACTCTCCGATCTACGCACCTGACCAGTCGTACTACCAGTACCAGCGCCAGTCAATGGCCTCCGCATCTGTCCCGCGCTCTCTCTCCCGTGCATCGACAGCGGCTTATAACATGGCACGTACCTCGTCGCCTGTTCGTCAGCCACTTTCGCGACCGGCCTCTGTGCGCTCGTTTTCGGCGCCGGAGGAGCACTCGCAGCTGCGCTACAACTCGTCGTCTACCTCCTTGTCATCCATGTCTTCGTCTCCCAAGCCGTCGTCGTCGTCTTCGTCTTCGTCGTCTACGGCGTCGCGGACGAGGGAGATGAGCACGGCCAGTGCTCGTCAGCAACACTCGCGCCAGCCGTCGACCGACAGCGTAGCGACCACTGTCTCGACCTCGTCGACGTCGAGCAAGACGCATCGCCGCAACGCGTCGTCGTCGACGGTGTCGGATTACGAGCGCAAGAAGGCGCTCAAGAATCTCGAGACAAGTCCGACGGATCAGGATCGACTGGGTCCGCGGTTCGCCAACGACGACAAGGAGACTAAGAAGAAATCGCGGTTCAAGAAGATGCTCTCGTTCATTGCGCCGCAGCAGCAGTCGTCGACGACAGCCCCCGTCTACGGACCTCCTACGCCGGTGTCGTATATTGTCACTTCTACTTCTACATCTCCCGTGAGCACGAAGAGCATGAATTCTTCGATTCCGGCTCCGTCGCGAACGTCATCACACGACAGCCGCCGCTCGAGTCGCGCGGTGGATTCAGTCGACGTGATGGAGTATAACTTTTTGAACGAGTCAATCTACAAAAAGCAGGCGACGGCGGGAAGCCAGCAAGAAGCCGAGGACGACGACGACAACACGTCGATCCGGTCGACGGCCTCGTCGGTGTCGAAAGCGCTGCGGCGGTTCTCGACCGGGCTCTCGTCGCGGCGGCCGTCGAAGGTGTCGAGCATGTCGAGCTTGAATAACGGGTCGTCGTCAAACTCGAGCTCGACGGCTAGTAGTGTGCGGGATAGCGTTGTGATTGCGGACGAAGGCGAGGATGACGATGACGCGTCGCAGTATGAGACTGTGCGGATGTATGAGCCTGTGAAGAATCCTGCTGTTATTCCAAAGAGTATTTTGAAGAGTATGTGTGTGTGTTTGTTCAGATTCGGAATGCGCTGCTAATATCTTATTATGTATAGATCCCCATCAAGGACAGCAGGTACCGACGCCTAGTGTCTCTCCTGCAGCGAGTGACGCGTCAGACTCGTCGGATAGCACGTCATCTGGCATGACGCAGGAGTCGTTCGCCAACTCTCATTCGTCATCCTGGACCTCTCTTGCTCTGAGCAACAACTCTCCCTCCCCGACCTGCAACGAAGACTCTGTGAAAGAAGCCGCGAAGCCGTCGACGAAAGAAGAGGGCGCGGCGGTGCAGTTCTCGCCCAACATCCGCATCTACTCGACCTGGAACAGCGGAGAGTACGATCGCAAGATCCCTGATCCGGTGCCGTACCACACGTTTCCGATGTGGATGATTTCGCAGATCAAGGAGGAGATTAATAACTACAAGAGCAATGAGATGGAGATCCACGAAGAGTCAAAGTGCTTTACATGCTACTATTGACTGTAACTCTCTGAGTTTTTTTTTATCCTGTTTCATAATAAGTGTGTGTGTGTTGTGTAATTGTTTGCGTTTTCTGGTATTGCGTTTTCTGCATTGATCATTTACACGGTTTGTTTTCATCTCTCTTTTTTCTATACGTATGACCTTGTTTCTATCCTTCTTGTTTTATACTCTCTACTTTTTATCTTTCGGTGTCCGGATTTCCCTTCCATTATATTCCTAATCTGCTTTTTGTGTTTTTGCATTGTTTCCGTGTGCTTTTCCACAGCTCTTAATTCTTGGTTTTTCTCTTTTTTTCTTTTCAACCTGTGACGGATTCACTCACTCTCCTAATATCTATCTATACACACGCTTCATCTTTTCTTTTTTTTTTGTTTGTTTGTTTGATCTGGGTTTTGGCAACACTTACAAGAAAAAAAAACAGGAAGCAAGCAGCAGGACGACGGCTTAATCTCTTAATATTAATACTATTCAGATCGAGAGTGAGCAAAGCGAGCGAAAGTGAAATACATACAACAAATATGACAGCAACTGTTAATAATCTACTTTATCTTTATTCTTCATTCTTTGTTTTTTTGAGATGGCTCTACATATTTCGTCAATACACTTGTCGTATCCTATCTGATTGACTGCAGATCCGCAATCAGCGATTACAGTTTTACATCTTCAAACTCTAATTAGATGAGTTTATTAGCTTACCAAATTAACCAAACCTAACCCAATGAGTATATATTTAAGGTTTTATTGCGAGAGCTTCGTGCGGATGAGTTGGGTGGACCTGCTTCTGGCACACGTGAGTTTGGTTTTAGGAGATGGGGGGTGAGAGGTGGGTGGTTGGGGGAGGTGGAGGGGTGGTTGGGGGATGTTGGAGGAGAAGGAGAAGAGGAGGGAGGTGTAGAAGGTGAGGATTGTGTAGTGAGTGCGTGATTTCATGTTCGGAAGCGGAAAGGAAATACAGCAGAAGACTGCAAAATCGTAGATGATGATTTATCGCTCAAACTGCTGCAGGAACATCTTGTCCGTGCACAAGTCTTCGAAAACCTACGTCGTGAAGACGGGTGTGAGTGCGAAGAGAGGTAAAGAGACAAAAGAGTGAACGGAGGGAGTGTTGGTTAAGCTTTGGTTGCCTTTTTTCACGTGCGAACACCCTGGTGGACTTCCACCGGCCCTCATCGACGGTGGATACTACCTCAACAGAGTGAGTAAATACAACTATTTCCTGTAGAACATCAAATAGAGAGCAAAGAAGATGAACGAGAAGAAGGCAAAGAAGGCAAAGAATGGTGCAAGATTGCCTGCTCCGAACCGACGAACGCGGTGGCGACTGTCTGTGTTGAAGTTTCGGACTCGTCGCCGTCGCCACCCGACGACAGCGCTGCGCTGCACCTTGCTAGCTGTCCCTGACGAGAGTGAGAGAGATGACGACACAGGATACGAGAGCAGCAGCGGCGATTAAATCTTCGTCGTAGAGATAGATTGCGGTGGTGCAGGTAATCTGGTACTCAGAGCAGACCCTGCTCTTATCGCTCCCACTCCACGTCCAGCCGCGAATTTTTCATTCATATTAGTAATAACTAAAAACAAACCACTCATTCAAACATCCTCGGCTTTTGCGTGCTTATCAGCCGTAGAGGCTCGATAGCAAAGTGATTGGGAATAGCGTTCAGAGGTAAATAAAGATTCCTCCCAACGCGCGCGTGCGTCGCGGATATCTGGCCGACTACCAACCCACTTCCCGACTCCCTTTGCTCTCTTCATCGGCCTCTACCCTGTCTCTTCCCTGTCGCTGCCTCAAATCTCACGACTAGAGCCCGCTCATCCTCATCTCCTCTCTGTTTATACTCCTGCCTGCTCATGACGAGCCCATGCAGCTCAGGGCTGCGTAACCTGTCTTCCGATAACCACCCCGACCTCCCCCATCCAACCTCCTCCAGCCCGCGCGCTGAACTCTTCGGCCTCCCCGTCGAACTATACTGGAAAATATGCTCTCATGTGCGCTAGCTATCTCTTCTTACTATCCCCCGGCACAGCTAACACATCCACAGGTCGCAGACTACTCCTTCCTCAACAACTTATCCCTCACCAACCGCAAGTTCCACGAGGCCACCTTACCGGAGCTCTACCGCACCGTCAAGATCTCCGCGCTCTCGCCTGACTCTCTCGCGCAATTTCTCGCGTTACTCCCCGCGCGCGCTGAATTAATCCGCCGCCTCACAATCTGCACTCCGTCTTCCGGAGCCACTGCTGCTGCTGCTGCTGCTTCTTCTTCTTCACCGCCCGCTCCGCTCACAGACGCCGCGCAACTAGACCTCATCGCGAACGCGATTCGCAATCTACACCGCCTGCAAGCTTTCGAATGGAACGCGTGCAAACTCTGCATGCCAGCCGACATCCTCTCGGCGATCTTGCTCCTGCCCGACCTGCGCGCCTTGCAGACCTGCTCTATCCCTTCGACTACATACGCGCCGCCGCCGTTCCAGCCGCGGCTGAGGTCGCTTAGGATCCTCAGGCTGAGGTCGTTGGATGAAGCGCGGACTGTGGCGGGAATTCTACATGCGTGCAGGGATACGCTCGCGTGCATCAGCATCCGCGTTGCGGAGAGAGATGATTTAGCGGACAATGTGATCAACGATCTCGAGCCTCGACTATGGAACCCTGCTCCTCAGAACGAAGACGACGGAGACGAAATAGACCTCACGACGACGAACCTCAAATCCCAATTCCTGCATGTCCTGCTCACGAATCCTTCCTCGTCTGAACCGCTAAAGCTGAAAATCGAATCGCTCGCGCTGTTCAATTTCCCGCGTCTGAACCTCGACTTTCTCTCCTCGATCGTCCGGTTCTCGGGCTTACACACGCTCAGACTGGATACCATGGACAACCAAGTCCTCTCGACTCTGTCGCGGGATACCGTCCTTCCACCGGTGATGAAAGTGCTCGATCTGACGTTCGGCAAAGCCGCGTTTCCTCTCGCACCGACCGCAGCCACGCCCGAGCCGCCAGCGCATGAAGGACAGCCGAGCGAGATCGAGAATAGGCCGCCGATGATGAGCACGCTGCTGCGTGATCTGCGGGCGGTGGAGAACCTCAACTTGAAGTTATTCTGCGAGCCGTTGACGGAGGGACGCGTCATGTCGGAGTACATCGCGCCGTGGTTGCTATCACTAAATAGCAGCAGCAATAGCAACAATATCAATGCAAGAGAGAAGCATAGGTATCATCAGTATCACGCGCACCATCATCATCTCCGTCATCTCCGCCATTCGCAGCGCCGACAAAGTCAGCACGATTCAAGGCGCCACACGCAGACCCACCGACGGAACCAAAGCACATGCACGGCCTGCGCGGCCGCAGCAGCAATAGCAACACCATCTACACCGCCCGTGCATCTGAAAAAGCTCTCGATCCACATCTGGTCGATAGCAGCGGGCCAATCGATTGCGCTCGCGCCGTGGTCACTTCAAGACCTGCAGACGCTCGCGACCTCTGCGGCAGGCAGACACATCCGGTCGCTCGCGATCGACTTTTCGCGGCACGTAATCGCGTTCGAGGATCTCGTTTCGCACATGCAGAAACTGCCGGCGCTGCAGCACCTCTATCTGAACTACACGCCGACGACGTACTACGGCATGGGCGTGTACGACGTTTGTCGGCGGCAGGCGACGATCTTGAAGGCGGCGTTGCCGGGTCTGGAGTTGTTGTGGATGAACTCGATCGAGCTCGTGGTGCCGATCCGGTGTAAACGCAGTCCGAGTCCGTCGGTGTCTGAGAGTAATCCGCGTTCGACGTCGACGGCGTCGAATAGTGGTGTGTCGACGCCGGTGGTGACGGAGCGGTCGGTGGTTAGATCTGGCGGAGTTGATGGCGAGGCAATTGAGCGGTTAGCGACCGAGGGACTTGTCAGCAACGACGACCATCACTCGATTGACGACGACGAGGAGTACGCTTATGACGAAGAGTTTGAGGATGATTATGAGGAGGAGGAGGAAGAGTATGAAGAGACGGCGGGGTACGATGAGCACTTTGGCGACGAGTTCTTTGCCGATGATAATAATTTCCACATTTTTGCGACGAAGCTGTTTTAAGTGGCTTTGTTTGTATGTATATATGTGTATAGTCATACCATAATGTAATGTTGTAATATTGTGAACAGTGTCAATAGAAGCGGATATAGGGTTTAGATAAGTTAACCACAGGCTTTACCCTCGGTCCTCCCCACGCTCTTCCCGACACAGTCTTCACCAAGCACTGTTATACTATAACTCAGACATAGAAAGAGAGAAATAGACATGGCTGGACCAGCAAAGATCACGACCAAAGAGCAAGTCGAGGAATTCCTGAACTCGTATGATGACTTTCTGTTTGACTGCGACGGTGAGCACTACCACTATCGATACCGCATATCTTTTTTACGACAATTTGTGCTGACGAGACGGGGTTTTGTTAGGTGTTTTGTGGCAGGGAGATCAGCTCTTGCCTTATGCTGCTGAGACTTTAGATCTCTTGCGTTCGAAGGGTATGAATTGAAATACTTTGGTATATATAGTGCTCGCAACTGACTATCTGTATTCAAGGCAAGCGACTCATTTTCGTGACGAACAACTCGACGAAATCGCGTCAGGCTTATACCAAGAAGTTTGCAAAGCTTGGAATCACCGTCACTGCCGTATGTCTACTATCTCATCTTTTTTGAGCTCAATTGATCTATGCTGACTCGACTGGACTACAGGAAGAGATTTTTGGCTCTGCGTACTCGTCGGCAATCTACCTCAGCAAAGTGGTCAAGCTGCCTAAAGACAAGAAAGTGCTCGTCCTCGGCGAAGCCGGTATCGAAGAAGAGCTCGCGAGCGAAGGCATTCAGTACGTAGGCGGCACCGACCCTTCTCTGCGCCGCGACATCGCCCCCGAGGACTACGACAAGATCGTGCCGGACCCGAGCATCGGCTGCGTTCTCTGCGGCCTCGATCTGCACATCAACTACCTCAAGCTCTCGATGGCGCTCATCAACCTGCAAGTCCCCGAGACGATCTTCCTCGCGACAAACATCGACTCGACCTACCCGACCAACGGCAAGCTCTTCCCCGGCGCAGGCACAATGTCGGCCCCGCTCATCCTCGCCTCCAAGCGGCAGCCGATCTCGCTCGGAAAACCATCGCAGGCAATGATGGACTGCATCAAGGCAAAGTTCGACTTTGCGCCCGCGAGAGCCTGCATGGTCGGCGACAGACTCGATACAGACATGCGGTTCGGCGTCGAGGGTGGGTTGGGAACTCTGTTTGTGCTCACCGGCGTTAATACCGAAGCAGACGTGTTGGCGGCGGATGCACCGGTCGCGGTTAAGAACTACATGTCGAAGCTGGGCGATATCTACGAGATCCTCAAGAACTAGTTCTGTTCGTTTTTGTGTTTGGATAGGTATAGATTATAGAATATTCCTGCCAGTCAACTATCTTGCTGGTCTGATTTTGTCTGCAGAAATATATTTTAGAAAATCAAGTCTACATTACATGTATCGTCATTATTTCAAGTCTTTCATTCTACCAACCGCACCAAAAAACTAATAAAGAATCCCCCACATGAGAAACGTAAAGACAAACAAGCGCCGATTTTTTAACTTTTTGTCGAAAAGAAGAAGAAATAAAGAGAAGGATTACCACATCTATTTATCAGTAACGCATCCCTCACTGGCGTTCGAGACGCTCTTTGCGTACTTGTACAGAGTTCCCTTGTTATATCTCAAAGGCGGCGGCACGAACTTTGCCCGTCGCTTCTCAATCTCCTCCTCCGGGACATTCCAGTCAATCACGTTTCTCTCCGAGTCAATGACAATCTCATCGCCATCCTCGACCAACGCGATAGGACCGCCGTCCATAGCCTCGGGCACGATGTGTCCGATCAGGAAACCGTGCGAACCACCGCTGAATCGGCCGTCGGTGAGAAGAGCAACGTCCTGGCCGAGTCCGGCGCCCATGACGGCGCTCGATGGCTTGAGCATCTCGGGCATGCCGGGACCACCTTTTGGTCCCTCGTAGCGGATGATGATGACGGTCTTCTCGCCCTTCTTGATCTCGCCCCGCTCGAGCGCGGGAATGAGGTACTCTTCAGCGTCAAAGACCTTGGCTTTGCCCTTGAAAACAGTTCCTTCCTTTCCAGTGATCTTTCCGACCGATCCACCGGGCGCAAGACTGCCCTTGAGGATCTGCAGATGGCCGGATTTCTTGATCGGGTCCGAGAACGGCTTGAAGATCTTTTGGTCCTTGGGCAGGTCCGGGAACTTGGCCACGTTCTCGGCCAAGGTCTTGCCGGTGACGGTGATGGTCTTGCCGTCGATGACGCCCTCGTTGATGAGGAACTTGAGCACGGACGGGGTACCGCCGAGCGCGAGCAGGTCGGCCATGACGTACTTGCCCGAGGGCTTGAAGTCAGCGAGCATGGGGGTCTTGTCAGACACGGCCTGGAAGTCGTCCAAGGTAAGCTTGACGCCGACGGAGTGGGCGATGGCAATCAAGTGCAGGACGGCGTTGGTAGAGCCACCGGTGATGGTGACGTAACGCATCGCGTTCTCGAACGCCTCTCTGGTCATGATATCAGACGGGCGCAGACCGGTGCGCATGAGGTTCTTGATCGCCTCTCCGACGTCGATGCACTCCTGCAGCTTCTCGGGGCTCTCGGCCGGGAACGAGGACGAGCCGGGGAGGGTCATGCCCATGGTCTCGGCAGCAGAGGCCATGGTGTTGGCAGTGTACATGCCACCGCAGGCGCCAGCACCGGGGCAAGCATGTCGGATGATATCAGCACGGGTAGGCTCGTCGATGGTCTTGGCGAGGTACTGGCCGTAAGCCTGGAAGGCGGAGATGACGTCGATGTCGGTGTCGGGCATGCAGCTCGCGCGCCCGGCCTTGATGGTGCCACCGTAGACCATGATCGAGGGGCGGTTGACGCGGCCCATGGCGATGAGCACGCCGGGCATGTTTTTGTCGCAGCCGGGGATCGAGATGTTTGCGTCGTAGTGCTGGCCCATCATGACGGTCTCGATCGAGTCGGCGATGAGATCGCGGGATTGCAGCGAGTACCGCATGCCGGCGGTGCCCATCGAGATACCGTCCGAGACGCCGATGGTGTTGAACTGCAGGCCCTTAAGACCGGCCTTCTCGACGCCTTCTTTGATGCGGAAATTGAGATCGAGAAGGTGCATGTTGCACGGGTTGCCGGAGTACCAGACACTGGTGATGGTTAGTGAATATAACTCACCCCACATTCATCACAGCGATCAGACGTACCTCGAGATGCCGACCTGCGCCTTCTGGAAGTCCTCGTCGGTGAAGCCGGTAGCGTAGAGCATAGCCTGCGACGCGCCCTGCGACTTTGGCAGCGTGATCTCTGCCGAGTATTTGTTCAAGTGCTCTTCATCAAACAGCGTCTTTGCCGAGCCAAAATTTCTCCGCAGAGGAGCAGCGGTCGCCAGCCTCCGCGCGAGAGCCGGCTTTGTGGAAGAAGTGAACCGGAGCATCTTCTTCTTGTGTATTATTCTGAATGAACGAGCTGACGGAGTAGTGTTCCTGGTTTACTCGAGTTGATCCAGTCCTGATCCTGCACTAAACAAGAACGAAGAAAAAATCTGACTGAATTACAATTAGTCAACCGCTGGTAGGCCGCTCGAACGCCGCACTGCTCGGCGCCGATATCGGCATTGTGAAACCCCTCAGAGTTCTATTAATGAGGTAATTGGGGGGGGTTTACTTCTGCTTCACTACCCAGCGGTCTCTTCACCAGATATCAGATTAGATCAGACAGATCAAATACAGCACAATGACGAGACATTCAAAGAACAAGTATGCTCCACCATCTTTATACATCCACTCTCTCTACTCCCTACTAACTTCAACAGCACAGCCTCCCCCTTCTTCACAGCCTACGAACGCTCCCTCCTCACCCAATACGGCAAGCAACGCAAACGGCTCACCGCAGACTCCTTCCGGGCCTTCGACGCCTGCCACCTCTGTCTCATGTCTGCGCGCGACCCCGTAGCATGCCCGACAAAAGGCCACATCTTCTGCCGCGAGTGCATCATGGAGAACCTGCTCGCCCAGCGCGCAGAGATCACGGTCAAGAACGAGGAGATTGCCGCTAAGCACGCCGAGATGCTGCGTGCGCAGCGCGAGAAAGAGCAGGACGAGCGGGAGAAAGAGGTTCGGAAGTTTGAGTCACTGCAGTCCGGAATCAAACCATCTTCCTCCACAGACGAACCCGGCGCGAAACGCAAACTCGACCCGGGCGACCACGAGCGCTCTGAATCAACGACCGCGATCATCTTAGCCTTACCTCCTCCCACATCGTCGAGCAGCAAAAAACAAAAACTGCAAGACAGCAGTACGGATGAGCCACCGCCAAAACTCGTACCGTTATGTCCTGCCTCGGATCCAGAGGACACCCACCCGCTCTCGCTCAAAGCTCTTACACCCGTCAACTTTGAGACGCTCAAGGACTCGGCTACGCAAGACTCGAAAACTCGAGTCTGTCCTTCCTGCTCAAAAGCATTCGGCACCGTCCTCGAAGCCTACCGTGAGTTCTTCTATTACTACTATTTGAACTTGGAACTCGACACTAACGACTAGAAAAGTCGCAAAACCATGCGGCCACCTAATCTGCAAAACATGCTTTGAAAAAGTCATGAAGCCAATGCACCCGGGCGAGCAACTCCTCTGCTACGTCTGCCAAGCCGACCTATCCCCCTCTCCATCCTCCTCATCATCATCATCCAAGAAGAACAAAAAGAATAAAAGCGCGGAAAGAGGGCTGATTTTCCTTCCGCGTGAGGGGACTGGATTTTCCGCTGGTGGAAAAGCGGTGGTCGAGAAAGCAGGCGTGGCGTTCCAGGGTTGATTTTGCACACAGAAACGCTCGGCTACACTACATTCAGACAGACACATCGAGTATACCTTCTCGAAACTAATATAAATGTACATTACTCTCTCGATCAACTAAAAACTGGCTTAGCTAGTTCAAAACATCCCATCGTCATCCGACAAGTCAAACGCTTGCATTTGCTCCTCCATCTTCCGCAAAAGATGCTCCAACGACCGACGAGTTTTACTAATAATATTAGACCTAAACAGCGCGTTAGCTCACACCCATATTCTCAGTAAGATTGTTGAAAAAGCAGACGTACTCGTTCTCAATCATTTCTTTCAGATTTTCAATCTTCGCCGTTCGAAGTCCTGAGATCATCAGTTGTGAATTGCGCTTGCTGGTAATATCCTGCGCCTTTCCATCCATCGAACTCGTCATCGCCACAATCTTCTTCGCCTGTAACGTAGCCTACACAAACACAAATTAGTCTCTTAAACCAATCACACAGAATAAAGAAGGGAAACTCACAGATCCAGACCTAGCTTTCAACCCCGCCTTCTGCTCCTCAACTTTACCCTTCACCCGATGCAGCTCCTGGATCCACTTCACCTCCACATCACTCAGCGGCAACGGCTGCGTCTCAATCAGTCGCTTGTAGATCTTATCCGCGCGCTCGTTCAGCGCTTGTTGGCGCGCGAGGATCTCGTTCACTTGTGCGTTCACGGCCGTGTGAGATGATGAATTCCCTGATTTTTCGAGAATCTCGCGTAGTTTGCCTAGTTGGCGGTCTAGTTCGCCTCTTTGCTCCATCAGCCTAGATAAAAATAAGCCAAGTCAGTACTTTGAACTAGAAAGTCAACAAGCGATACTACCCACCTCCTCTGCAATCTCAATCCAACACTCTGCGCATTCCTCATCTCGCTTCCAACAACCACAGCCGCCGATCCCAGAAACCTCAGCGCCTCCTCCGAAACCTCAACCGGTCTCTCTGTCATTGAAAAATTCACACTCCGCCGATTCCGCGCCAGCGCCGCTTCAAGCGTACTACTGCTCGCCAGCGCACTCGTCTCAATAGGTACCGGATTCATCAGCGGCTGGTAAATCGGTTCCGCGCTCGATTTCGAAGGCGGGATTGCTTTGCGAAGCGGGCTTCCAGGAACGTTGGGCTGGGTCTCTGATCCGTCGCTGTCCACAAAGACTTCCACAGATCCAGTGCTGCACAGAGTAATCAGCACATCACCAAAGAACGCATCCGGAAGAAAAATCGCGCCCAGACTACGATCTCTTCCGTTACTGCTGCTGTTCAAAAGCGTCTTGACCTCACTCTTTGGCTTACCCCCCTTTTGCAAAAACAGCTGCTGCAGTTCGGGCTCAGAGTGTGCGCTCGCGAGCGCTTCGGAAAGCTTCCTCTTCCACTTTGATATGTCCAGCTCCACTGCCCGATGTGCGCTCATCAAAAGCACGGTATCGTTTCCGGCTTTGGAGTCGACAAACCAGTACGTGCTCTCCTCAGCAGCCGGTTTTGATCCAAATTTCGCGCTGCTGCCAACTTTCAGTTGTAAGCTCTCCAGAGTCTGTATAACAGGCTGCTCAATCGCACCCAATCTCTCCTCCTCGTCGCTGTAAAGCGCGGAAAGGATGGACGACTCCCACAGCGCCTCATTGGGCGCATCTTGCAAGAAGATATTCACTTTCCCTCGCTGGTCAACAGTCAGCAGCACAGTCAGATCCTCGTCCACCTCCAGTGTCGTGATATCACAGGACGTAGATCCGTAAAGCGACGCCGGGAACAGCATCGGTCGCAGCGGACCTTGCAATTTGACCACATGACGACTCGTGTCTGGACGTTCGAAAACACACAGATCAGCTGGATCGCCGTATTTATTTATCCGCGGCGCGATCTTTGTCGACAGCGACGCAGTGTTACATTGCCGAGTGACTTCAGCGACCCAGGTGACTTGTTGCCGACGCCTAAAACGCTCGATCCTGGCGGTTTCTTCTCGCGACGACGATGAGGGTGACGAAAACAGAGTGGTGGTGATGTCGATGTCGGTATCGCGATCCTCGGCAATCGCCCATTGCAGCATCAGGTTTATGCTCTCGCGTTCAATTGCGCAGTAGCGCGGGATAAACGGTGCGAGCACGCAGATGTCGCCTTCAGATGATAAAACGTATAAAGACATTGTGCCCAGGCCTTGCTCGGGGACGCCGAAACACATTGAGACCATCTCCATACAGTCGTCGTCGAGTAGTCCAAACGTGCTTGCCCGGCGATCCTGCTGTGGCGCGCCGAACTCGAATACCTGCTCGGGCTCGTCGTAACTGTAACTAAGGTCGAACATTCTACATGATGTCAGTATCTTGACGCGAGCGTAGTTTTGAGATAATGACACATACCTCAACACATTGTCAGAGCAAAGCACAATCAGACAATTGTCCTCTTTAGAAAGAGGATGCCATAATGCCATTTTGATTTTCAGATCGGCGCTGAAGACCGCCTCTCCCACCGCACGATGCCTGCTCGTAGTTCTTGTCAGAATAGCCCACGCTTATAAATTGTAATAAAAATATTTGGAAACACACCGTGAATGCAATCGGGTCTCTATAAGTTTGGAAAATCCAGGTAGTGGAAGAACGCAGGTTAGGATATTTTGATCTCCAATGATTGCCATCAAAGTACCTGTCTCGTTGATCTGTAACCTCCTAACGACGAACTCGATCCGTGGTATATTCAGGACCTACATTATCAACATAAAGTCAGTCTGAGCATTCTCCAAATCTTCATCAGACAAAAGAACGCGTAAAGGCGCACCTTGTAAAACCTGAGCGATTTGGCGTCGCGCATAGTCACGCAGTCGACACATCTAATCTGGCCCTCGACGACGACAAAGAGCTCTGACCCGCGGATGGCAATAATGTTCTGCACGAGATCATCTGTGCCGCTGCCGGAGAGTGTCGGGGTGCTGTTTGTAGCGGGGAATAGAGATGATGTTGTTGATGTTGATGATGGTGTGGGAAATGTGAGCGCTAGAGATGGTAATGAACTCGAGGCTGCTATTCCAGAAAAGATCGGATGGCCTGAGATCACGCTCTGCAGTCGCGAGTCCTTTATGAACCCCATCTTTTGTGGTTTCAATGCAGACAGGAGAAGGAAGTTGTTGTGAAGGTCGGATGGAGATGGGAGAGCGAGGGTGGAGGATTTGGATTTCGATGTTTTTTTCGCGTTTAAGGTTAATCTGCCAGGAACGAGGATAAGTTGATATTGGAAATACAGCAACCATCTACTACTGACTACAACTATTAATACTTCTACTAATACTACTATCAAATGTATAAAATACAATAAATCAATTGAATTACTGCACTCATCTACAGCAGCTCAACTGCTCTCAGCTGTAGAATCCGCACCTATACTTTTACTTCCACCACTCTTCCCCCCCAACGAGTCCAGGAACCTCGCAATCTCCGGATTCAACCCCTCAGCGACCGCCGACGGCGTCGCAGACCTCGAATCCGACGTACTCACGCTCGGGTCTATGGGCGAATACCCCGGATCAGGCACGCTGATCTTCGCGTCCAGGGCAGCAGCAGTCGCAGCCGTACTCGCCAGCAACTCCTCCAGCGACATTTTCGACGCCGGCGCGGTGCTATTGCTATTACTACTACCGCTACTGCTTCCGTTCGCCTCCTCTGATGGTTTGCCGGAGAGCATCTCCTGAATATCATCTTTCAGTCCCAGCATGTGTTTTCCCTTCTCCTCCAACTCGTCTCGCTGCTTCCGTTCGGCCTCCAGCGCAGCCTTATTGATGTCCACCAACGACTGTAGCTGCCCTATAAACTCCTCGCGCGCCTTTGCCAGTTCCGCAGACGCACTCTTCGCACTCTCGAGAGCTTTCAGCACAGACTCGATCCGCGAAGCGTACTCTGTCGGCGCAGGCAACGCTTCAGCGTCCACCAGGTCGCTGAACGATTTGCTCGCGCTCTCAAACGACGCGCCAAACGTGCTCGCACGGCTATTGACCTGGCCGTGTAAGCTTGAGAGCTTTGAGATCTCGGGTGCCAAACCCATTCCGAACGTCATGCCTTGGCCTAGACGACGTGATCCAGCAGCAGCTTTTGGCTTCTTTTGATCCGCATCTGTGGTGTAGTAAAGTGTTAGCTGGTCTTCTTATCTGATCAGAGCAATGGCTGTTTTAACTGTTGGAAAAGTCGAGGAGAAAAGGGTAGAGTACCATTAAGTCGATTTTGTATATCGTCGAGAACACTCCTGGCAAAGATATCGCGCTGCCGCCAAACATCGACCACGCGCCGTATCTTTGCCTGTAAATCCGCGTTCGTTTGTCGATACGTGTTTTCAATAACATCCGCAATAACCTACACCAGGTCAGTCTCGTTCTCTCGAATTGATCGTGTGATCGTGTGAACAGAGGAAGAAGTGGATTCGTACTGGAGCGAATGCTTTCAGGAATTCCTCGCGCTTGCGGGCACGCGACTGCTGGATTACTTCGTTGGCGAGGTAGATCAGCGCAAGTTTCCTGTGGGTTGGAGCTACGACAGTCAGTACGATAGAGACTTGAGATGTTGTAGTAGGAAGACGTACCATCGTTCAGCGCTTTTGACCACGTCTTTACAGTCTGCGCGGCGTGTCTTCTATGAAACATGATCTAACGCACACAGCGGTATTAGCAACCAACCTACAAGACTCTAAACAGATACGAAACCAGCTCTGCTTCGACGCTGAACAGGCTGTGCTGATGTGCTGATTCAACAGACGTACCCATTGCGAGATGTTCACGATCGCCTCCTGCGTCTCATTCACGCTCGACAGCTTGCTGGCAACCACGTCTTCCGAGTACGACATCTCCGCGACCGCTTCTTCCTAGAATCAATTGAGTCTGCGATGCTGTTGACGGCGATGCTGTGGATTCGACGTTGAGGTGAAGGCCCCAGCCACGTTTCAGCCACTTGAGGCGCACGCACTGCGCATCCCTCCGCCATCACCACAACCTCCTCCGCCAGATTCCACCCGCTCTCCAGCTCCAATCTTCTATTCCCAATCACTTCTACGCAGCTAACCAGAGCAGACAATGTCATACTTCCCCTCCCTTGAAGAGATTGACGGCGGCGTCACCGAGGCCCGCTCAATTGACGATGCCGGCGCGAACGGCAGCAGCGGCGACGTCCTCGACTTTGGCGTGCCCGACAGCGAGGCCGATTTCGTTGCCCGCGAGAAAGCGGTGCTCGGGGACTCGGACGCTGCTGCGCTCACGACCGACGGCGGTGATCTTTTGAATGGCGATGCGCCCGAGGAGTTGATCGGCGGCGAGAGCGCTGCGTTCAGTGCCCAGTCTTTCGAGGTATCTCAATCTCCTGCTTCTTCCATAGTCGTCGTGGATCTGATGTGCTGATATGCCGATGTTTGATGTTATAGACCCCAGTAGCGACAGACTACGAGGCACCCGCCCCAGTTGAAGAAGAAGAGCCCGATGTGATCAAGTACGTCTGTCCTCTTTCTATCGACATAACCATGATAACTAACGACGTCGGATCGCAGGGAATGGAGAGAACGTCGAGAACTTGCGATCCAGCGACGAGACGAGCAAAGCGAAGCCAAAAAGAAAGAAACCCGTGAAGCCGCAAAGCAGGCGATCGACGACTTTTACGAAAACTACAATGACAAGAAAGAGAAAGCCATCGCGCAGACAAGGTCAGTTCACTATCTCTCCTCCTTATCCTACCTAATCATAAATCTAACTGATTCTGTCTTTGATCGATACAGAGAGGAAGAAGCAGAGTTTATAAAGTCACAGGAAAGCACAGTCTCCGGCGGCACGACCTGGGAACGCATCGCCAAGCTCGTCGATCTCTCGGAGAAGAACGCGCGGACGGCCAAGTACGACAAGACCCGGTTCAGAGAACTGCTGCTCTCGCTCAAGAACGATCCCAATGCTCCCGGCGCGAAGGGTTATTAGATGTATTTGTGATGGAACGGGGAGGAACGGATGAACAATATCTTTGTACAAATAGATCGTGATACACAATCAGATTCATTCATTGTCTAAGCTATTTATGTATATCTCTTGAACCAAATTGAAAGAGGAAAAGAGGAAAAGAAGCCAAAATATGAACAATATAAATCTTTTGGAATACAAAAACGACTACTTACACACGTCTATAACAGGACTGATATGCCAGATATATACATACACAATATAATAACAAATAAGAGATTAAGGGCTGAAAGGCGTCACTCGGTCCTTTTCCTGCTCGGCCTGCTGCGCTTCTTCCTCCTCAAGCTCTTCGAGTAACTTTTCCTTCAAAAGATCTTCTTCCTCCTTAATCAACTCTCTATCTCCCGCCGGATCCAGCACTCCTTCGTCCTTTGACGGAATCTGGTTATCCAGCAGCATTTTTGAGAAAAACGTATCCGGATTCGAACTCAGCTCCTTGAACGTGCCTTGCTCGGCAACCTGTCCCTCGCCGTTCAGCACGATAATGTAATCGCTCTTCATGATCGTCGACATTCGATGCGCAATCGAAACTGTCGTCGTGTTGCTCTTCATCAGGCGCACGAGCGCGTCGTTCACCGCAGACTCGGACTCGGCGTCCAAAGCTGACGTGGCTTCGTCGAGAATCAGAATCGCAGGGTCCCGGATCAGCGCCCGCGCAATTGCAATCCGCTGCTTTTGGCCACCGCTAAGTTGTGTTCCACGCGCTCCAGCCTGCGTATCCAGTCCATCGGGGAAGTCTTGAAAACGCGTTAGTCTACTTGTAAATAACTTTACAAAATGCCCATCATACCCTGGATAAAATCGCAATTCGCCTTGCGCGCAGCCGCCGTGATTTCCGCACGACTAGCCGTCTTCTTTCCGTACGCAATGTTCTCTGCGATCGTGCCCGAGAACAGCACCGGCTCCTGTGACACGACGCCGATTGTTCGTCGCAGAGACTTTAAGTTGAAGGTTTTGATATCTTCGCCGTTAAGAAGGATGCTTCCGCCAGTGGGGTCGTAGAAACGCATTAGAAGTTGGCCTTACTTGTTAGTATAGCAACAGACGAATAAGAAAAAAGAGATAACATACCAACAGTACTCTTTCCCGCACCCGACGGGCCAACAATACAAACATTCTTGCCCGGCAGGACCTTGAACGAGAGCCCGTTAAAGATATGCACAGCAGGTCTGGTCGGATACGCAAACGCCACGTCTCGGAACTCGATCTCGCCCCGTCCGTTATTCGGCACCGGTTTTCCGATCGTAGTCTTGATCTTTGGCTTGCGATCCTCGAGCTCAAACAACCGACTTGCCGCACCAACACCCTTCATCAACTCTGCGTAGAAAGTCGAGAGTCCAAACATCGAGCCGCCGGTGTAGGCAGCGTACATCATGAACGACGACAGCTCACCGATCGAGATTGCTCCCGAGGTGACCATCGACGAGCCCGCGGCTAGGATCGCGAGGATCGTCAGGTTTCCAGAGAACCGCGTCAGACTGAAAAACATGGCGCTGTAGTAGGCTTCGCGTTTGCCGAGATTGAAGATTTCGCGGATGCGGTAGTTATACCGCCTGACCTCGGTGATTTCTCCCGAAAACGACTGCGCGGTGCGGATGTTGCTCAGTCGTTCCTCGGCGACTTTCGTAGCCTCTCCGAGCGCTTGCTGCGTCTCGCGCGCGATATTGCGGATCCGTCGACCGTAGATAAAGGCGAAGATAGCAACAGGCGGGACGATGACCATCATCACCGCCGTCAGCTTCAAGCTCACGTAGGCCATCATCGAGAGACCCGCGACACCGGAGACGACCGCGCGCAGTCCGTCGGAGAGGTTCTGGGTGAGCGACTTTGCGACGATGTTTGCGTCGCTCGAGAGGCGCGAGATGAGGTCTCCGACACGGTTCGCGTCAAAGAATTCAGCGTCCTGCGTCACGGTCTGGCGATAGAGCGTCGAGCGCAGACGGGCAACGAGACGCTCGCCCACGACGCGGAGGATTACGACACGACCAAAGTTCGCGGTGCAGCCGGCAATAAAAACGACGCCGAGCACGCCGTAGAACTGCGGCAGGGTCATGCCGAAGATGGTGGCATCGGCCGAGTTGCTGGTAGCGATATCGAGGATCTTGCCGATGGAGAAGGGGACGGCGAGGGTGACGCCGGAGGAAAGACAGAGCAGGACGAAGGCGCCGGTCATAGGCCAGGTCTCTCTCTTTGCGAGCGTGAACAATCGCTTGATTTCGTCGAGACCGGCGGTTTTCGGCGGGGCTTCGCGCTTGGAAAGACGGGCGGAGAGGTCGACGAGCGCAGCCTTTTGCGCTTTCTCGGTCAATTCGAAGCCGTCGCTGTCTTTGTCTTTGTCATTTTCATTTTCGTTTTCACTAAGAGTAGATGGTTGTGATCGAGGAGATGTGGTAGTTGATGGAACCTCTTTGCGGGCAGCGGGGGGTGTGTGGAGATGTCTAGATAAGATAGAGGAAGCCAAGGGCCGAGGACGAGAAGGCAGATAAGCCGGAGGCAGGGAAGCGAGGGAGGCCGAGCATGGCCGGGAAGAGAAAGCGCGAGAGGGTTGACGCAACAAGCAAGCAGCGGAGCGCAGACGCAGGAGCGACGCGGGTGTCAGCGGACGGCCCATTGCATGCCAAACCGCGGAGGGCGAAGATGACGGTGAGGATGAGGAGGAGGAGATGGACGAAAGCAGCCGCTATCGACGAGCAGCCAAAACAAACAAACAGCAGCAAGTCACCGACAGCAGGAAGGACAAACAACCAAAACTCTTCTTTTAAACCAAACTGCGGTCGCTGCTTTGAACACAATTGATTCGCGTCGAGCAAATCCCAAAATCATCGAAATCCGAATTTCTTTTCGTTCGCGCTGGCGGAGTGGGCGGTGCGTGTGGCGGTGCTAAGGCGCAGTTATGTTCACGTGACTGTACACGTGACTTAGTAGGTGACGAAGGGGACGGAACAGGAGAGAGACACGTTTGGTTTGCTTCCGCTCTGCTCTTCACCATCAGCAACAACCATCGCCACTTTCTTATCGCGAATCCGTTAGAAAATCGTTATAATAATCTACAATGGTGTGTTGCTGCTTATATCCGAGAGGCAGTAGTATCTGATGAATCGCTGCTATCGATCTTTATCGCGCAGTCACTGACTTGATAAACACAGGCCGACCAGCTTACCGAAGAGCAAATCAACGAGTTCAAAGAGGCCTTCTCTCTCTTTGACCGTAACAATGATGGTGCGTTCTACTCTTCCTGTCCACATGTTTCTATTGTCACGCCTATATCTCCTTCTACATCTCCATCTACACCCAACTAACCCCCTACAGGCCAGATCACCACCAAAGAACTCGGCACCGTCATGCGAAGTCTGGGCCAGAACCCCTCAGAAGCCGAGCTCGCGGATATGATCAACGAGGTCGACGTCGACAACAACGGCTCGATTGATTTCCCTGGTACGTAATTGCTGCTGCTTCTTCTTCCCTGCTCCTTCCGACCCCTTTGGAGTGGGCGCTCAGCGGCTTGACTACACTGCGGCTGAAGACTGACTATCGTGTCTTTTCAGAGTTCCTCACGATGATGGCGCGTAAGATGAAGGACACCGACTCTGAGGAGGAAATCAAGGAGGCCTTCCGTGTCTTTGACCGCGACAACAACGGATACATATCGGCTACCGAGCTGAGGCACGTCATGACCTCGATCGGCGAGCGTCTTTCTGAGGACGAGGTCAACCAGATGATTAGAGAGGCCGACACAAGTATGTTTTGTCTTTATTCAATCGATCTGCTGTCTCTTTTTTCGATCTTTGCTGACATTCGCAATCACAGACAACGATGGCCGGATTGACTACAACGAGTTTGTTCAGCTGATGGTGAGTTTACATATTGATTACGCGTAATCTGCTTGGCAGAACTAACATTGCTATATATAGTTGTCCAAGTAAACTACGATTACTCATGATTATGATCAGAGATGAGGGGACTGTATTTTTGGTATATTAGTATATGAATATACATATATTTATATTGCGTGACTAGCTTGATCTTTGGAATACGCGTCGTTCAGCCTGATATCTGCGCTGCATCCTCCGCCGCGTCTTTCTCTTCCTGTTCCTTCTTAAATCGCTCAATGTCCTCTCTCGTAAGCCCCAACTCGGCCAACTTCTCGTCCGTGACTGTCTCGAGATCGATGATCTCCTCCTCCTCTACCATATCCTCATTCGCAGCCTGCAGCTTCTGCTCCTCGAGCAGGTACACCGACCGCTGCTTGATATGACTGTACGTCTGCTCCACATCCTGCAGAAACGCGCCTAGAGATGGATGGTTCGGCGTCATAATCTTCCGGAAAAACACCGTAACTCCGTCCCGTCCCAGCCGAGCACAGTACTGTAGCAGCAGCGCGTTATGCACGTACCGCTTCGCGGCCGCGTGCTCGTTCTTCATCTCCTTCCCAAACGCCTCGTACAGGATCCCGTCGGCCTCGTCCTCAGACACGATGCTCGGGTGCTCGCCGATAAAAGATAGGCATTTCTGGTAGTCGCCCAGTTTGATTGCGGCAAATTTCTCTGCCAGCGGCGAGATTTTGTAATCTTCGTCCTCGTCGTCCGCGTCGTTCTTTGAGGATTTGCTCACAGGCTCGCTTTCGTCGTCCGCTTCGTCGCCCGGATCCGGTGCCACCAGTTTCTCCTTTCCCTTTGCCGAGGACGACGTGGGATTTAGTACCTCGATCTTCTTCTCGGTCGTCTTCGTCGTCGTCGCTGGTATAGACTCTTTCTTCTTTGACACTTTTGTGCTGTCGAAGCCGATCTTGAGATCCTCAGATGTGATATGCTTCGCCTCTTCGTTCTGCAGACTCGTCAACTTCTTCACGCACGCATCCTGCAGCTCGCTCAACTTCTTCTGATGCTTCTCAAACGTCGTCCGCAGCGTCTCGACAAACGGCTTTCCCTCCTTCTCCACCGCAGTCTTGACCTCCTGCAACACCTGCCCAACCAACGACTCCATCATCGCGCCATACGACGGCCCAGATTCAGGCGCTTTCTCCGCACCACCCGTCTCCTTAACCGCCTCTTTCAGACTCGCGTCCACCGCCGCGCGATCACTGTCCGCAACACTCTTGAGCGAGGCAATCAGCCTGTTGAGACGGTCGAGCAGGCTGCTGTTCATCGCGTTCTCGGCTTTCAGCGACTCGATCTCGTGCCGGCGCTGCGTGCGCTTCTCGTGGATATCCTGCTGCTTCCAGCGGATGAACGACTTCTTGTCGACGTTGGGGTGCACTGTATTGCGATGTCAGTATCAATTCCAGATCATAGCGACTGCTACTACTACAGATGATCTGCTGCGCGTACCTTCGATATCGGAGTCGTCGGAAAGCTCAAGCTTGTCCCATTTTGAGTAATCAACCACCATTGCGTTTTAGTAGTTTGTAAATGTATTCTGTCGTTGTTGCTGCTGATTGACCGAGTTGAGGTGGAGAGAACCAGGCGATTTAACGCGTAGCGACGAGGTTCCAGAAAGTGCGCGTGGAACTGTGGTTGTGTTGGTGCTTGAAATACCGGATATTGCTAATTGAGTAACCGTAAATTGAGCCCATTTTAAGCGCATAACTACATAACTATTTACTACTTACAACCCCAACACATCCAAAACACACAATCGCCTTGGCTGCGGCGGCAGTGCGGCCACGACGCCTCGGATCAGACATCGACACCACAACTACAACCACAACTACAATCACCAACAACAACAACACAAAGGCGGCCTTGGCAGAAGAAGCAGTCGCGGAAGCTTCCTCTCTTCTCCTCTCTCCTCTGCGTCGGCATGTTCCGCGACCGCACAGGGCTCTACTACTCCTACCGCCAGTCCTACGCCCGCCACCCCCAGTCCGCGCCATATCCCTACTCCGCCCGCTCCTCCACCCCCGCCGCTGCAGCCGGCCACACCCTCGACGATGCGCGCAACCCACTGCTCAACGCGGCAGACGAAGCCGCGGGCACAGGCGAGGACGACAGCGCAATTGAGCTCGACGTGCTGCCCCCGTCTTGGACCGACGTCGACGACGAAGTCAACCAGATCCTCGAGCTGATCAAGCAAAAGAGCCAGAAGCTCGACAAGCTGCACCAGGAACACATTCTCCCTGGCTTTGACGACCGATCGCAGCAGGAAGCAATCATCGAGAACCTCACCCGCGAGATCACGCAGCACTTCCACGAATGCCAGGCCCGCATCAAGCAACTCGGCATGCTCGTCCATCAGGCCGATCTGACGTCGGCGCAGATCAACATGTGCAAAAACATGCAGATCTCGCTCGCGACAAAAGTCCAAGACTCGTCCACCCAATTCCGCAAAAAGCAATCCGCGTACCTCAAAAAACTCCGCGGAAACAGACAGGCTGAGCTCCCGACCACCTACTCTGCAGTCTACCCCGAAGACGACCTCGACGTCGGCTTCTCGCAGTCGCAGATCCAGCAGTCGGCCCAATTGGCTCTCAACTCGGACGACACGATGATCCGACAGCGCGAGGCAGAGATCACGCAGATCGCAGAGGGCATCCTCGAGCTCGCCGAGATCTTCCGCGAGCTGCAAACAATGGTCATCGACCAGGGCACCGTCCTCGACCGCATAGACTACAACATTGAGAACATGAAGGAGCACGTCAAAGCCGCAGAGGTCGAGCTCCGACAGGCGGCTCACTACCAGCAACGAACACAGAAATGCAAAGTCATCCTCTTCCTCCTCCTCGCAGTCCTCCTCCTCGCCGTCCTCGCGACTATCAAAATCCAACACCGATCCTCTTCATCACCATCTCCGCCATCTCCCGCACCACCATCTACACAGCCGACCACTACTCCTTCTGCTGACTCAAGGTCATTATAGTGACGACTGAACAGCATATACAACGAGAATTGCATTCTGGATCTTCTTTGGGCATAATAGTATAATACATTTTTCATTGATATTTACTACTGAACTGTTAATTCAGTTTGGAATCTTTTCCCTCTTTTCCCTTTTCTCGACTTTATCCATCTTGAAGTCTTTCCTTTCTCCCTTTTTGAGAATGTTCATTTCTCCTTTCTTGAGAGGGTTTTTTTCTTTCCTCTTGGAACCTTCCTTTGTAGTTCGGCGGTGGCCTCACAAACCTTTCAATCTCCGCCCTCCCCTGCTCCTTCGCCTGCTCATCATCGATCCTATCCACCGCCGCCATCATCATCGCGAGCGCCACCTCCCGTCTATCTTTCCCTCTAGAAACCAAATTCGCTCCGCCCTTTAAGCAAGCTTTCCGGATCGCCTTGATCAATCCCGGAATCACAGCCACGAGCTTAGACTTACCTTCCAACCCCTTCATCGACCTGATCAAACTGAACGCTTCCTCGGTTGTGTTTGTAGAACTGCGAGTCAAGTACGAGAACCCATCGTACGTCGACGCCGCGCGCGAGAGAAAGTACGGCCGGAAGAAACCCCGCTTGGCGGTGCCGAGGAACGAGAATGCAAACTGCTGCGCGTAGGTCGTGGTGATTTTCTTCAGAAAATAGCGCATCCGCTCGCGCCGTAGCGTGTACAGCAAAATATACACAATGTCGGGATGCGGCGATAGACTGTGGACGCGCGCGCTCATCAGGAGCGTCAGCGCCATCACGTAGTTACCCACGCGACTGAACGCGAGGATCAGTGGCTCGACCGCCGTCTCTGCGAATCCATTCAGACCTAGCTTCTTGGTGAATTCCGTGACCACTACAATAAACCAGTCAGTAAACAATCAGCCCAGCAAACATTCGAGATCGGGTAGACATACAATCACACAGTACCTGATCCAGCACAGGCGCCAAAGGTTCACTCGAAACCGCAACCTGTCCGATCCGCTCGATCAACAACTCCAACGTAGCCTGTGCATTCTTCACCACTTCCCCATTCGTGCAATCCCCCTGCCACGAGTGCCGGATAATCTCTTGCGCAAGGTTTAACTGCTGCTCGGTGGATTCGGAGGTGATGAGTATCAGCAGCGCAGCGCGCACGTCGCATAGCCCAAAGTCTTTAGGTAGAAGCTTGAGCGCTGCTTTCGGTGACTCGGCCATCCGCATGTCGTACATCAACCCCTCTACTTTCACCTTCCGTGCCTGTAATTCAACTACCGTTAGATCTTGACCACATAAAACAGCACTCAGACACATACCTGGAAATCCTTCTCGCCCAGCGGCGTACCAACATATTCCCGAATCAGCGGACTCCAACTCTGCAGCAGCGACAGCTTCTCCGTCCATATCTTGTCCTCGAGATTTTTCCCCGTCTCCATAACCGGCAGCACCACGTTTCCCTGCAGATTGTGCGGATGCCGCGTGCGGTGTGTTTTCTCCCACTCGTCCTCCGTCGGCGCTATGAGGCCTACTAGTGTGCCTATATCGTCGGGAGTGTAGAACGCGTGCGGTTTGAAGAAGATTTCGGGGGTCTCTTGTAGAGAAGTCATTGCGATGATGTACTCGTCCAAAAGAACGTGATGGGCAGGAACATCTGATCAAACTGTCAGCTCTCTCTCTCTCTCTCTCTCTCTCTCTCTTAGTAGTCAGGAAATAAACATACGAGCAACAAACTCCTCCTTCTCAATCGGAAAATATTTCTGATAAAGTATTTTTGTGATATACGAAGTCCTCCCATAATGCGAGTGAAAGTGTCTTGTCTTTTTCGCATGCGCCTGGTCGCCTTTCGACTGCATCTTCTCCTCCAGCAATTGCTCCCTCTCCCTCTCGAACTCCTCAGCAGCTTCCTCACCGTTCACGGCATCCGTATGAACCCCCCTCCTCCGCACAGCAGCAACCGCCGAGACCGCGGACGGGATAGGAACACCAGCGCCCGGACGACGGGCAGCAGCAGCAGGAGCAGCAGTGTACATCGTCATCAGCAGCGGAAGACGAGTTCGCGACCAGACCGGTCGGAAACTCGCGCGTCGCATCGTTGATCTGACGAGGTTTGCTCTGTTTTGTTGTCCCGGTTTGAGCTGTCGACTGTGCTGCTGTGGTTGAATGATGTTGTTGCAGATTCGAGTATTATTTCGGGTTTTCGCCGACAAATAAAATTTTGGAGAAGCCGCACTGGGCTCAACCGATATTTGATTCACTTCTGATGATAAACTACTTCTGATAAAGCACTTCTAATGACAATATAACATTACTGACTGGAATAAAAGTACTGGAAAATACTGATGCAACTCTCTATCATACATAACCATACAATGCTCACACCTCCTCATCCGGCAGCCGTAGCCTCAACCACTCCAACAACGCCTCCGTCCCCTTCTCCACAACCTGCAACCGCGGCGTCTTAAACGTATTCCCCAGCACCTTCAGCTCCACCAGACTCTTGATCTTCCCCAGTTCGGGTGGCAGGTACCCGATCGAGTTATTCGATAAATCGATCTTGGCCAGCCCGCGGAACGACTCCGGCCAGATCTCGCTGATCCGGTTCTCGTGCAGATTCAACTCCTCGAGCGTCGCGAACGAGCGCACAATCGTGCTCGGGACCTCTTCAATCTTGTTAAACGACAGATTCAACTTCTGCAGCTGCGGAAACTGGCAGTTCGCCGCAAGCATAAACAGCGAGCCGATCGAGTTATTCGACAGATTCAGCTCCGCTAACGACCTCAGCGAAATCGGGCAATTGAACGCCTCCTCGTCAAGCATGTTGAACGACAGATCTACGACCCTCAGCGCGTCCGCAAACGCAAACTTTGTGATAGTGTCTGGAATACTCGAGAACCTGTTCCGGCTCAAGTTGAGCTCGCTCGCCGCCTCGCTGCCAAATCTGTACACCCCGCCCGGCATATAATGCTCAATCACATCCTCCGGGATCTCAGAGTACTCTCGACCAGACAGATCCACGGTCTTGGCCTTGGCCTGCGACCTTGTCTTGCGCTTCTGCACCATCAACTCGATCAGCTCCTCGGAATCAAAGTCGTCGTCGCCCGCAACCTCTGCTGCCTCCTTCTCCTTCTCGAGCCGCGCCCTCAGCCGGAACTTGATGTCTTTGGTACTCAGATAGGTAAAAGACTTTTCCGCAAACTTGTTTCCTTCCCACTTTAGTACCTCCAACGAGTCAATCAATCCCAGACCAGAACTCAATTTACTCAGCGCGTTGTGCGAGATATCCAAAGTATGCAACCCAGACAATCCCTCCACTCCCTCCGGCGTCTCGGTGATCATATTCCGGCCCAGCAGCAAATGCGTCAGACTGGGTGTACACAGCAAAAGCATACCCAACGAAGTAATCCGGTTCGAAAACAGATCCAGAACTTCGAGCGCAGGCAGAATGATTGCAAACTCAGACACCACCTTGATCTGATTATGACTTGCGCGCAGCACTCGAAGCTCGGAAAATCTGGAGATCCGCGCCGTCGAAATCAGACTTCCGCCCAATTTATTGTACGAAATATCGAGCTCCGTCAGATTTCCGTTCTCAATCGACTCAAACGGGAACCCCCTCAGCTTATTCGCCTTTATCCGCAAAACCTCCAGCGAAACCAATCCTCCCAACGCATCATTCGAGATCGACGTGAACTCATTATCGCTCAGATCGAGAAAACTCAGTCCGGAAAGAATAGAGATCGAGGCCGGAAGCTCGCCGTCAAATCGGTTGCCATGTAAATCAAGCGTCGTGAGCGATGTCAGCTTGAATATAGAACTCAGCGAGTCGTTCGTTAGTCTGCACTTGGACAGGTCAAGAGCTGTCAAATGCTGCAGGCCTGAAAACTGATATGGCAGCTTTCGAAGAAGATTGTTGTGTAGCTATACCTTGTCAGCCCTCTGTTTGCATAAAAAATGTCAGAGCATACTCACATTCAACACCTCCAAGTATAGAAACTGAGTACACAGCCTCTCATCCAACCTCTCAATCTTATTATCCTTCGCAGTGATCTGCTTTAAAAACACAAGACTCTGTCTCCGCGCACTCATATTACGCTCAGTCTCGAGATCTAGAAAGTCATAGACCTCTTCAGGGAAGCTCTCGATCCCAAATCCCGACAGATCCAAATGACCACTCCTTCGCGCTGACTGGATCAGCTTGAGTAGTTCGAGTGGAGTGCTCGTGCCTCTATTGAACGGATCTAGGACTTTACCCAGGTCTGCTGATGGTTTTCGAGGAGTCGCGTCAGCATCAGCAGCAGTCTTGCTTGGCAGCGGTCTTGCAGCAGAGTGGCTCGCAGCAGTACGGAACCTCGCCTGGCTTTGGCTTTGGCTTCGGGAAATCGGAGTCGCCGGTGGTCTCAGCGACTTTATCTCTGGAATCACTCTACCCGCAGCCGCAGTCGCGGGTCGAACATCATTTCCTCTCTTGTTTGGTAAGCGCACAGGCGTCGTGCTGTCATTGCTTGGTTGAGACTCCCGTTGCTGAATGCGCGATACAGTAGCAGCTTTGGGCGCGCTAGCTTGACGTACCGGCGTCTCTGCCATTTCTGTTGATGCCTGCCTGATGCGAGATACTGTTGACGCTCTGGAGACAGTCATACTAGTCTGCGGTCGGACACCGCGCACTCTTGGAGTAGCGGAACTAGGCGTACTTGGACTGACAGCCGAGCTTCTAGACACTGACCGACGTGGACCTAGAGGCGTGAGATTTGTTCCAGAAGCCACTTTTCTCAAGGTCCTATTGATCATGGTGGAAGACTGCGACTTGGGAGCAGGCCTGGGTGTTGTAACCTCGTTTGTATGATTGGGCTTCGATGCTGTACGCGTACCCTTTACGTCTTTCGCCGACGCCCGCGGCGTCGCGTCATCGGCGTCATCAACCTGCTGAGTAGATGTAGACGCGGTGCGAGATACGGTTCTCCGTTTGAGACCGAGTGGAGTTGCAGAAGGCGTAGACGTAGGTAGTGGTGGAGGCTTCGCAGCACGCACGCTCTGCGCTGCTCTCATTGAAGACGTAGGCCGTCGAAGTGTAGATGCGCGGGAAGGTAGATTCCTAGAGTCGGGTTTCAGAGCAGAAGCTCGCGGAGTCGCGTCACTATCCTCCTCCTGTGACTTGATGGAAGGCTGCGGCAGAGGCCGTCTTGGTCCGGCGGGAATACGACGGCCGGTAGAGGGTGTTGCTGTTGCAGTTGATCTTTCTGCTGTAGATGATCTTTCTGGTTTGATGCCCATAGCAGTTACAGACCTCTGGAGAGGTTGTCGAGCAGTGTCCGTCTTGATGGGTGTCTCGTCAACCTGGGGACCATAGCGTCTGATGTAAGATCGAGCAGAAGAGAACGCAGCCGAGGGCGTCCGACGCGGCATGGTTGAGGTCGAGTACGTAGACCCGTCGATCTGCATGCGCGACTTTGACCTCGTGAGCGGTCCTCGAGCTGTAGATTGCGGGGTGGGAATCACTCTGGTCGTCTGCCGATTCTGCGCCGCCGGCTGCAGCACGCGCGACGCATCAGAGCTCACCGACCGCGCAACGACAGTCCGCGGCGTCGCACCAACAGGTCTAGAGCTCTCGAGCGAGACAGATCGGGAGGAAGCAGCCACAGATACAGATCGGGTGTGGATCCTGGACTTTGACTGCCGCGCCGACTCGAGCTTCGCGTTGAGCGTCGTCGGCGGCCGCGAGATCTGGCTCGCATGGGCGGGAGTCGCAAGCACTGGCAGTGAGGGAAGCGGTAGACGGTGCGCAGACGCAGAAGTGGTATACCGCGGCGAGGAAGTGGCCAGCACTGACCGGGACCGGGACAGGCTCGAGACCGGCAGCCGTGACTGTGGCCGGGGAAGCTGACCGGGCGGAGTAGCGACCTGGGCCATGAATCAAGCAGCTCTCAGAACAGCAATTCAGAAACAGACAATTTAGATCCAGAGCAGAGTCTGCACCGGCAGAAGTCTCTTGTTTCCGAGATACAAAACAGAATTGTCGAGGCTTTGTTGAATGTAAACAAACAAACGGGTTGAGTCACGTGATCTCGCATCGCGAAATCGCGGTTGTTGTCGGTTTTGGGTGCGCGCTCTGGGAGCCAAACAAAGGCAGCGAAGAAGGAAAGAAACGGAGCGGAAGAAGACAACGAGAGGTTGAGAGCAGAAGCGCAGTGGAATAAACGACTGAAGGCTGCTACGACGAGATATTTACAGAGCTGGTAGGAGATCTGATTTACGAGCAGAGTTAGCAGCTTGCTGAGCGTGTTTGTTGACCTTCTCCGCGCTCGGTAGCAAAACAACAACATCGCGACCGCGTCCTCGACCAGCGAGTTTCTTACACACGAAGCGGTCGAAGGGGAGTTGGTGCATGATATAAAGGTGGGGCTTGCCTGTTTGTGCTGTTTTGTGTTTATTTTGCACGGCGAGGGCGTGCGTGTGTCGAGATATCGTCATCACTCCTTGTACGGTGTTTATACAATGCTAACCTCCATCGCCAGACTTGCATTCAGCTCAACTCAAACCATTCAACGCCTACTTCAAGCTTTTTTACACAGAATCAAGAACTATTCTACTCCAGCGCTTGCTGCTGACAGCAAACCCACAAACTTATACCCTCATACCCCAAAATCACATCATAGCCACCACCCATGTCCGACCACGCAGCTGCAGTGGCCTCTGCGACCCCCAATCCAGACCTCGCAGGCTCTCCCGGGAGACAGTCGGGCCAATCTCTTCTGTCCGACAGATCGGCGTCTACCGCCAGTCCACCAGATCAAGTCGCAGACTCATCACAGTCCTCTGCCGCAGGCGATCATCGCGTGCTCTCCGTCTCTAGCACGGTCACGCAGGACGAGTCCTCGCAGGAGTCGGCAAAGTCGCTCCCGAACCCCTTGACGCAACAACAGACAGCACCAGCACAGAGCGCTACAAATACACCTTCCGCACACTCTGACTCTTTTGCGCTCGCGGCGCCGCCGCCGGCGGCTGCGGCTACCGTGCGAAGCAAGTCGATGTCGTCCCCGGCTGCTGGCTTGTGGGCTTCGCAAAGCCAGCCGGTGAATACTGAGATTGACGTGAACTCGATCTTCTGGGACCTTGGAGATAGCGTATGTACTGCTGCTGTTGCTCTGCTCAAGAGGTTTTCTGACATGTCTTGCAGGAGGATTGGGAAGATATTCCCGCTACGAAAATTATAGAGATGGACTCTACTGCAGCGCAGCATCAGGTATCACCACATCTCAACAAAGTAGCATTTCCATCTACACATACTAACACTACTTCCACAGCTCTTCCGCGCCAACGCCGTCATTCAGAGACTTCGCGCCTCGCTCCAGAAAACCAAACTCGCGTCATCTCACCACCACCTGCAAAGCCGGCTTCTGATGATTGAAACGCAAGAGCTGACACGCAGACAGGAAGTCGAAAAAGCCATACTACAGCGCGAGGTCGACAAGCTGCGCCAGGATCTCATGTCTTCCTCGCGAAGTGTCACAGACGATGCCGCCGACGGGCCTGTGCAGCAGCATTATTCGATAATGGCAGATTACGAGGCCAACAGCACTGCTGACAAGTATCGACGGCGACTCGTCCGCGCCAAGCGAAGGCTGCGCGACGCACTGAAGATGGTCGAGGAGAAAGAGGACGAGATCGATCGGCTGAAAGGTCAGCCTGGCGCGAGAGGAAGAGCAGATCAGCAGCGCCAGTCAGGTAGCAGCAGTCACCACCAATCGCGACCCCGACGCCGAGGCGGTGGCCGATCACGAGACAAGAACGAAGAAGGTGCGCTCGCGGCGCTGGGGATCCTTGCGAGCCAAGTCCTGAGTCAGCAGCAGTTAGACGAATCCGAGTCCCACGAAGGCAGCACGGTCGGTTCTGTCGCTGGATCGCTGCCGGCCTCGCCTGTGCGCGGCGCGGACGCGGCGGGTCGGATTAACGCAGAGATGATTGTCGCGCCGTCAATCTCGGAAGCGCAGCGATTACGCATGTCAGGCCATCGTCTACCGGCACGCGCACCTCAGCATCAGCATCAGCAGCAGGATAACGAAGCTACCGATCCAGCAGACACCGATGTCGAAACCGGCGACGGCGAGACCGAGACCGAAGACAACAACGACTCATCAGTTGGGAACGCGGCGGCGGCAGTTGCAGCGGCAGTCGAGTCAGAGGTAGCGGCGGGTTCTAAGAAAGCATCTCAGAGCGAGGACTCGGCGACCGAGCCGATCGTCGACGGCGAAGACGTGGCAAACATCACAGAGATCAGCGAGGAAACCGGTCTATCTTCCACGACGACGACGACGACGACGACCGCAAAGGCGGGACCCAGCACCACGCCAGCTTCGTCTGTGACGCAACCCCATTTCGATCCCGATATCACCCTCGACGCGCCATCGTCGCCGCCTATCGCCGCAAGTGGGTTTCAATCTATAAATCTCCCTGCAAAGTCACCGTCCGCAGCAGCAGCAGCAGCAGTAGCAGCAGCAGATCCGAGGAAGCGCAGGCGGAATTCGTCGGTGTCTACTGTCTCTAGTGTAAGTGGAGAGTATGGCGCCGAGGGTCTGCGGAAGCAGAAGCTTGAAGTCGCGCGATGAGATGTAAAAGTGTACTTTATTTGAGACTGTATTGTTAGGAAGGAGTGGAGGTTGCGGTTACTTTGATTTACAATATTGGAAAGCACTGATTCTAAATCATATCATTTCTATATTTCTATAGATGTAAAGAGTAAAGAGGAATAAAATATGCCCGACCAATTCAGGATCAACTTTTATTAAGATAATTTCCATTTTTTATGTCCACATGATAATACATACATATAAGAAAACACTGTGCCAGAACAAGAAAAAATAGGAAACGGCTTTGAATTTTGGTTGTTTACAATCTGCGACCTCTGCGACCTCCCTTCCGGCCTGTAGTGAAACGAAGTTAGTATATAGATATAAGTATAGAGAAGAGAAAGAGGAACACGCACGAGTAGAGTCTGAAGGAACGGGGGTAACATCCTCGATGCGTCCGATGCGCATACCGGCACGGGCAAGTGCCCGCAGAGCGCTCTGGGCACCGGGGCCGGGGGTCTTGGAACCAGTTCCACCGGTAGCTCTGATCTTGATGTGGAGGGCGGTGATGCCAATCTCCTTGCAGCGGGCAGCGACGTCCTGGGCAGCCAACATGGCGGCGTAGGGGGAGGACTCGTCACGGTCGGCCTTGACCTTCATACCGCCGGTAACACGGGCGATGGTTTCGCGACCACTAGAAGAGACCATCAGTATTTGAGTTGAGAATTGAGGTGAGGAAGTTTTGGGTCGACGTACCTGAGATCGGTGACATGGACGAAGGTATCGTTGAACGAGGCGACTATTGATGAGATTCGAGTGAGAAACCGATTCCTTCTTCTTTTACAGCAAAACAAGCAAGACACGTACAGATGCGAGCAACGCCAAAGACGAGCTCACCCTCTCTGATCTGAGGGCCGAGGGCGATGTTCTCTGCAGGAATAGTTAGTCAACAGAACCTGAATCTCTCGTGTGCTTCTTCTCCTGCTCGTTCATCCAATATTCCTCCAATCTTCTATTCCTCTATTCCTCTTGATAGAGCACACACACACAAACAGGATACACACCCTTAGCAGCGGAAGTAGTCTTTGGTGGCATGTTGTTGATGTTTCGGGACGGACTGGTGAGAAAGACGGTCTTCTGGAGGCAGAGAAGAGAGCACCGGCTGAGTCCCAATGGCCGCCAACCCTATTCCTCCTCCCGTCTGCCAGTGTCCTCGACAAAGTAGCAGTCACGTTTAGAATAACCCTACATAACCCTACACTTCTGTTGACTAATCACTCTGCGTCTGCTTACATATCCAATTAAACTCCCTGCGGCTCGAATTATCATCCTCGACTGCAAAACTTCCCCGGGCCCGACATCGTCTTATCCTCCACACTTCCTCAACTACAGTCGCCATGTCCTCCTTCGATAGCTACTCCTCGCCGCTCTCCTCGCGCTACGCGTCGAAAGAGATGTCGGCCCTCTTCTCCCCCCGCACCCGCTACTCCACCTGGCGCAAGCTCTGGCTCACCCTCGCGACCGCAGAGCAGCAGCTCGGCCTCGACACCATCACCGACGAGGCTATCGCCCAGCTCAAGGACCACGTCGAGATCACAGACGACGAGATCCGCGCCGCGAGCGAGCAGGAGAAAATCGTCCGCCACGACGTCATGTCCCACGTCCACGTCTACGGCATCGCGGCCCCCGCCGCCGCCGGCATCATCCATCTCGGCGCCACGTCCTGCTTCGTGACCGACAACGCGGACCTCATCTTCCTCCGCGACGCCTGCGACATCCTCATCAAGCGTCTCGTCAACGTCATCCAGAAACTCTCCGAGTTTGCGCTGCAGTACAAGGACATGCCCGTCCTCGGCTGGACTCACTTCCAGCCCGCGCAGCTCACCACCGTCGGCAAGCGCGCCACGCTCTGGATCCAGGAACTGCTCTGGGACCTGCGCAACATCTCGCGCGCGCGCGACGACATTCTCCTCCGCGGCGTCAAGGGCACGACCGGCACGCAGGCCTCCTTCCTCACCCTCTTCGACGGCGACCACGTCAAGGTCGAAGAGCTCGACCAGCTCGTCGTCGAGCTCCTCGGCTTCAAGGGCGCGTACCCGGTCACCGGCCAGACCTACTCGCGCAAGATCGACATCGACGTGATCGGCCCGCTCTCGTCCCTCGGCGCGACCGCGCACAAGATGGCCACCGACCTGCGGCTGCTCGCGAACCTCAAAGAGGTCGAGGAGCCGTTTGAGAGCACGCAGATCGGCTCGAGCGCGATGGCATACAAGCGCAACCCGATGCGCTGCGAGCGCGTGTGCTCGCTCGCGCGCCATCTCACCGGTCTCTACCAGGACACCGTGCAGACGGCCTCGGTGCAGTGGTTCGAGCGCACGCTCGACGACTCCGCCATCCGCCGCGTCTCGATCCCGTCCGCGTTCCTGACGGCCGACATCATCCTCTCGACCCTGCTCAACATCACGTCGGGAATGGTTGTCTACCCGAAAGTCATCGAGCGCCGCATCATGAGCGAGCTGCCGTTCATGGCCACCGAAAACATCATCATGGCGATGGTCCAGAAGGGCGGCGACCGCCAGATCTGCCACGAGCACATCCGCGTGCTCTCGCACCAGGCCGCAAAGGTCGTCAAGGAGGAGGGAGGCGACAACGACCTCATCAGCCGGATCAAATCCGAGCCGTACTTTGAGCCTGTCTGGGCTGAGCTCGACAAGTTGCTCGACCCGTCCACGTTTGTGGGACGCGCTCCGCAGCAGACTGAGAAGTTTGTCAACGTCACTGTCGCTAGTGCGCTCGAGCCTTACAAGAACCTCATCGTGTCTGAGAAGGTCGAGCTGAGTGTTTAGTTATATAATGTTAATAGATAATGTGGACTACAGTAGACATAGACGCTTATATAAACATAGACTTTTATTCATTTGCAGACAAAACAACTATTTACTGGCCCTGCAACTTTTCCGCCTGCCGCTTCTCAGCAACCTTCTGCCTTCGCTCGCGCACGGCAGCAGCCAGGTCCTCGAGCATCGGCACCGTATCCTCCCACGACACGCATCCGTCGGTGATACTGACGCCGTACTGCAGCTGGTCTCTAGTGGCCGCGTTCTGCTTGCCCGGGTTGATGTTGCTCTCAATCATGACGCCCATGATGATCTCCTCGCCCTCGCGCACCTGGTCCGAGACCGTCTTGCACACCTTGGGCTGGTTGCGGTAGTCCTTCATCGAGTTGCCGTGCGAGCAGTCCACCATCAGCGGTATCCCCGCCGGCAGCTTCTTCTTCGCGGCCTGGATGTGCTCCTTGTCAAAGTTCGGCCCGCTCGTGCCGCCGCGCAGAATGACGAAGCAGTGCTCGTTGCCCTTGGTCGAGGTGATGGCCGCCAGACCCTGCTTGGTGACGCCCATGAAGTGGTGCGGCTGCGACGCGGCGCCGACGGCCGCGATGGCGACGTCGAGCGAGCCGTCGGTGCCGTTCTTGAACCCGACCGGGAACGAGACGCCGGACGCGAGCTCGCGGTGGAGCTGCGACTCGGTCGTGCGCGCGCCGATGGCTCCGCACGACAGCAGATCGGCCAGGAACTGGGGCGAGATAGTGTCGAGCATCTCGGACGCGATCGGCACGCCCATGTCCGTGAGCTTGCAAAACAACTGCCGGCTGAGACGCAGGCCCTTGTTGATCTTGAACGACTCGTCAATGTCGGGGTCGTTGATCAGACCCTTCCAGCCGACGGTCGTGCGCGGCTTCTCGAGGTACGCGCGCATCACGATGTGCAGATCGTCTTGCAGACGGTCGGCCACCTTCCGCAGACGCGCGGCGTATTCGTAGGCGGCCTCGGGGTCGTGGATCGAGCAGGGGCCGACGATCACGAGCAGCTTGTCGGACTTGCCGTTGATGATCTTGACTGCGCCTTTGCGGCCCATGATCACGGTCTCGTTCGAGCGGGCCGACTGCGACTGTTAGCATACAGACTCACAGTCTCAACAACAAGAAGCAAACAACAACAACTTACGGCCGGGAACTCGAGCTGGAGAAGGGCAGGAGGAACAAGGGGATCATATCCGGCAACTACACGGAAGAAAAATAGTCAGCCCACGTGTTGCTCATCGAAGAGGGGCAGGCACAGAAACAAACACAAACAAACGTACTTCGGACGTCCTCGGGCTCCTCGTTCATAACGCTGGAAGCAGCGGAGTTGGGTGTAGTGCCGTCAGCAGCAAACATCTGCGAGATTTGAGCGGGTTAGTGAGCAGCAGAGGAGATGAGGAGCGGGCGGTGAAGCAGGTGGCGGCGGCGGATGGCCGGAGAAGAGCGAGGAGGCCTGCGCCGGCACCAGCTTCAGACGGGGAGCAGACGTACGAGCGACGGAGCAGGCATAGTATTAGTGAGTTGTTATATCAGGGATCTCCAGCACAACTGGCGGTTTCTGAGCAGGAAGAAGAAGGAGAAGTGAAAATATTCCGAGGCTTTTTGTTTGCTCTTCCTCGGCCGGAGTTTCAACTTTTTTATGAAATCGAAAATTATGATTCATCCAGGCGGAGGCACCAACACGTGATGCTTATGTGATGGATTAGTCATGTAATTAGCTCGATGATAACTATGAGATGAGATGATAACGATGACAGTACGCAATTGCAAGTTGGATATGAACTGTGAAGAGAGATTGAACTGTTGACGGATTCTATTCTTTCTGACAACGAAAACATCGCGACAAATCCTGACTCTATCGTGCACCGCTGTCGATAACATCCACAGCATCCAGCCACTCCGCTCCACTCCACTCCACCACCCAGAATGCGCTTCACAAGATCATCAGCAGCAGCGCTACAACCGCCGCTATCAGCTACATCATCCATAACAACTGTCTTCAAATCGACAAAACGAGCCGCCTCCTCAAAAGCCGCTGATGAAGCCAGAGCAGTAAAGATCAGAGTGGTCGAGGTCAAACCTGATACCGAGGCGCCGGCATCAGCTCTGGTCAAGCTGATTCCTTCAGCTACCCCGACGCTCGTCAAGAAAGAGGCAGCGTCAAAAGAAGGATATATCCCCGCCGACCAGATCCTAGTCCAAGACCATTCACTCACCAACCCCGTCTCGAGCTCGATCCCTCCGCCGACTCTGATAATCCCCAAGGCCTACGAAAAGGACTTCAAGCTCGACGATGCGCTCGCCCATCTCATCTCTGTCGATCCCCGATTCAAACAACTATCTGACCTCTACCCATGCGAGTTCCTATCCGACCAGAACCTCGAAAACCCAGTCGATCCGTTCGAGTCCCTGGGCTCGTCGATTATCTCCCAGCAGATCAGCGGTTCCGCCGCCCGCAGCATCAAAGCCCGCTTCCTCTCCCTCTTCAACACCACTTCTTCCTCTGCAACCCGCTTCCCGACCCCCGCCGAAGTCCTCAAGACCGACACCGCGGCCCTGCGCTCGATAGGCTTCTCCGGCCGCAAAGCAGAGTACATGCTCGATCTCGCGTCCAAATTCGCCAGCGGCGAAATCAACCCCCACGAGCTCGTGTCGATGAGCAACGAGGAAGTCATCGAGCTTCTGGTCAAAGTCCGCGGTCTCGGCGTCTGGTCGTGCGAGATGTTCCTCATCTTTGGACTTAAACGCCCGGACGTGTTTTCCCTCGGCGATCTCGGCGTCCAGCGCGGCATGGCGAGTTGGTGGGGCAAAAACCTCGCGCTGGCAAAGGGGAAGAAGGGCAAGTTCAAGTACATGAGCGAGCAGGAGATGATTGAAAAGTCGGATTTGTTTAGACCGTATCGCACTTTGTTTACTTGGTATATGTGGAAAGCTGGCGATGTTATCGTGCCGATTGATGGCGCGGGCGATATCAAAAAGATAAAGGAGGAGTGATTGTCAAATGATTGTCAAAAGTCTTGATATTAGTTAACCCCGAGACAAAATAGAAAATAGAAAATAGAAAAAAAAAAGTAGAAACAGGTGATTTAAAACTAAATATACAAAACCGAAACGTGCAGACCATAAGAGAAAAAAGATAATATATTAAAAATAATATACCAGTTTTTAGTTTACCATAAGGATATAAAAGAAGCAACCAACAATAAGTAATAAAAAATAAAAAATAAAAAAGGAAGAAGTTCGCCTTATCCATGGAGTAATAATGTAGTGTATAGTAGTGATCTATGGAATGCTCTTCTTACTCAGTCTTCTTGGACGAAGCAGACCCCGTGGCCAACGCCTTCTGGGCCTTAGCCTCAGCCTTTGCCTTCTGGCGCGCAAGTCTGTCGGCCTTCGCCTTGGGTCCGGCCTCGGTGTCCAACAAGAAGTCCCACCATCTGAAAGAAGAGGCGTAGTTGCCGATAAAGTAGCGGTGGTGGTCGTCGTGGTGGTCAGCGCCGGCCCAGAACGGCAAAAAGTGGTGGAGCGACCAGGGGAACTCGTAGCCCGAGTGCGCGTCGACGGCCTGGAAGAGACGGAGGACGATCCAGAAGTAGCAGGTGAAGATGTGGAGGTTCTTGGTGAGCGCGCACCAGAGGATAGGCGAGCCGACGGTGCCGAGACCGAGGACCATGACCTCGATTGGCGACGCGTACTCGGCGGCAAGACCAAAGGGAGCAGAGTAGAGATGGTGCTGCTTGTGGATGTACTTGTAGAAGGGGCCGTAGTGCATGAGCCGGTGGTTCCAGTAGTGCCAGGTGTCTTCCATGCAGAAGAAGAGGGCAATCTGGTAGAACATGGTGAGGAAGTTAGGCAGGGGGGTGTCGTAGGCCATGCCAAAGTAGGAACAGATGGGGTGGAACACCCAGATTTGCGGGAGCTCGACGGTGAAGTGCGAGAGCAGGACGGCGGAGGTGCACTGCCACTGCTCCTTGAAGGTGTTGACCTTGCCCTGCTGGATTTTGTATTTCTGGAAGTAGGGAATGTTGTCGATGATCATCCATGGAATGCATCTGCCAAAGTAGAAGAACTCGTGGATGACGAAAATCATGAGGCCTAAAATGAACCGGGTTAGATAAGAGAAAAGAGAAAAAAGACGCGTAAGGGTTGAGGAGATGTACCGGTAGCGAGGACATCGTTCTGCATCCAGGTGTACCAGGACGCCCAGAGCTTGTCGAGGGTGTTGTATTCGGGGAAGGCCTGGCCGATGTTGGCGAGGGTGCCGGAGTAGGAGTCGGCGGCGAGGGTGGAGTTGTAGATGGAGCCGGGCCTGGTGAGAGAGTTAGTGGTGTCCACAGAGAGAGGAAAGAGAGAAGGAGAGATACATTTCGAGGTTCTGTTGAGAGAATGGCAAGGAGAGTGCGCCTCGATGGTTGAGCAGCCGTCAATTGGAGAGGAAGAGGTGGTGAAGTAGAAGAAGAGGAGGAGGAAGAGGAAGAGAAGGGGCCCAGGTAAATACGGACGTGCGCAGTGTTTGGTGGTGTGGTTCTCGCTCAGTTTGGTTGGGATCCGAGTTCCGCTTTTGTTCACCGCACCGAGTGGCGTTATCCCAACAACCCGAGCGGCTCGTGTTCGGATCCATACTGTCTTATGGCTATGATACTTCTACTCTTTAGTGTGAGCAAAAGTGTTTACTGTAGTTTAATGATAACAGCAGTAACTATCACATATCTCTTTTAATAGTTCAGTCAGTAGTTCTACTCAGTACAGGTATCTCAGCAACTACCTGCATCTACTCGTCGTTATCAGATCCTCGGATGCAGCAGGGCAAGGGCTCGGATGATATTCCTCCTAAACTTCGAGCGTGTTTGTTTTGCTTTGATTCCAGACCTGTTCGACGCGCTCTGCTCTTGAGAGTATCATCATCAGCTCATCGCGTCAGTAGTTCATATATCTGTTTATATCTGTGTTTATAAACAGCATGTGCTGATCTGCGGTTTTTTAATGTCTAGACACTGCTATTACTCTGCAGCACCATGGAGAACCCCCACGAGCAAGTGCAGAACGCGCTTCTTTCTCGCATCATCACAAACATCGTGCGCTTCTCTCTGCTCTTGATCTCATACCACGATCTCACTAACCCTCTTCTTTTACTTCATCTGCAGGAAAAACTCAACGAAGCTGTCATTGTTCTCAATCGTACTCTTCAGGTGTGTTGTCTCTGCTTTCTTCACCACTGCACATCGCGCTTCTCTAACACTACACTCACTCCAGGACGTCAACCGCGAAAACATGAACGTCGAGCTTCTTTCTCAGATGTGGGAAAACTACCAACGCAACGTGCTCTTCAACCTCGAAAGCACCGGCTCGCTTGAGAAGCCTATATGATCCTTTATCACTTTATATCAATTGTTTGGAGTTTTGCGTGCTTTTTTTCATGATTTTTATTTAATACAACGATTAACTATACCAATCTCTCTCTAAACTCTCCATAAACAGCCAGAATACAGCTATATCAAGTATCTAACGTAGAGCTTTGAGCAGCTTATATATGTCAAAAGGCCCAAAAACAAACATCCCAACTGATCGTTGATAAGCGGTCTTATGGCCCAGTTGGTTAAGGCATCGTGCTAATAACGCGAGGATCTGCGGTTCGATCCCGCATAAGACCAGTTTTTATTTTTTTTTTGTATCTTTTATCTTTATTTTACTGCTTATTTTACTATTTTTTGTATATCTCTCTTCTATCGGTTTAATCCGGCTGGGTATGGCTCAACAGTTGAGAATACTGAACAAAGCGGGCTGAAGCGAGTATCCAGGGCCGCCAGACGATATAAGGTTTTCCGATTGTCTTTCATTCAGTTGCCAAAGTAGGCAATTACATGCATTTCTAGAATTGTAAATGTCAAGTAATGTCATTGTGGATTATAACTATGTATATAAGATCTTTAGATGAACATACAACAATAAGAGGTTATCAACACTGCTCTCGCCGCTATCTACAGATTCTCCGGACGGCTGAGCAGGTCTCCGCGAGCCGCTCTCGGGCTCGGAACTGAGCAACAACGAAACGCCGGAGCGGGCCCTTGCCCTCCTTCCTCTTCCTTCCTGCCATCTGTCGCTGCCTCCTCTCCTTCCTTCACCCTCCTCCTCCTGTAGACCCTCCTTCTGTCCTCTGTCTCTCTCACTACTCCGCAATGGTCCGCTACGTCCCCTTCAGCGAGCCCCTTCCCTCCTGCAAGCCCATCCCGCGTCCGCCGCTCTCCAAGGACGAGCAGGACAAGTACGAAGCCGTGCTCGCCCACGTCAAGAGCATCACCACCCTCCCCGTCGCCGAAAACAGCAAGACCCTTGCTCCGCTCGACGACGAGGAACAGGCCTGGCTCACAAAGGAGTGTCTGCTGCGCTACCTCAGAGCGACAAAGTGGAAGGTTGCTGACGCGAACAAGCGCATCGAGGGCTCGATCATCTGGCGGCGCGAGTATGGCGTCGGCAAGCTCACTGCCGACTACATCTCTCCTGAGGTTGGTCTATTCTTCTTCTCATTTTCCTCCCATCACTCTAGCTGCGCAATTGAATATATTACTAACCTCCTCTATAACATAGAACGCCAGCGGAAAGCAGATTATCCTCGGCTTCGACTTCAACGCGCGACCGTGTCTGTACCTGCACCCGTCGCGCCAAAACACCGACAAATCCGAGCGCCAGATCCAGCACCTCGTCTACTCGCTCGAGCGCGTGATCGACTTCATGCCCTCCGGCCAGGAATCCCTCGCGCTGCTCATCGACTTCAAATCCTCGTCGGCGTCCAAGAACCCGTCCGTGAGCCAGGGCCGCCAGGTGCTCCACATCCTGCAGACGCACTACCCCGAACGTCTCGGCAAGGCGCTCGTCATCAACATCCCCTGGTTCGTCTGGACGTTCCTCAAGATCATCTACCCGTTCATAGACCCGCTCACGCGCGAGAAACTCGTCTTCTCCGAGCCCATCGACAAGTACGTCCCGGCCGATCAGCTCGACTCTGTCTTTGGCGGAAAGTCCGAGTTCGAGTACAAGCACGAAGTCTACTGGAAAGCGCTCGCCGAGATGGCCGCCGAAAAACGCGCCCACTACATGGCGCGCTGGCGCGCGCTCGGCGGCGGCGTCGGACAGTCCGAAGCGGCTCTGCGCGCGACGACCGACATCGAGCTCGAGCAGGAGCTCAAAAAGACCGAGACGCTCGAGGCCGCTGCCGAGGCCGCGGTCGCGGGCTCGTCGTCGTCGGTTAAGCTGCCGGAGGAGATGCTGGGGAACAACAAGACTGCCGAGGAGGCCGCGGCGGTGCTGGACGCGAACCATCAGCTTGGCGAGAAGGCGATGGATAACGAGGTCATGGAGCAGCTTAGCAAGGTTGCGCTTGAGGACAAGAGCTCATAACCTCTCTTCTTGCCTACCTTTGACACGTTTGTTATGTTCGTATACGCTTCTACACGTTGCATATCCTGACTTTTCCATCTACTTTTGACGCTGATATATAAACTGTGCACTTTGTATTTATTCTCTTCTCTCTTCCCTTCTCTTCTCTTCTACTACAGTGGGTTTTCTTTTAATTAATTAATTGTGTTTTTTTGTCGGCTTACATCTTTTGTTCTTTTTGTGTATCTCAGTTCCAGCTTCTTGTACCTTTTTCTCTAGCTTAGAATTACATCAACTCTCATCTCCATCAATCCACACATCTAAATAGCTATTCTTTTATTGTTCTTATAACTTCTGTACCTAGAATTACACAAACTCCCACCCCCCATTAACCCGCCTTTTCAATAATTCAGAAAGCTACACAGGCTTAGCACACTTCCTCTCCTCAGTCCCCCCAGTAACAGGACACTTCATCGTCCGCCAGTCGACAGGGTACATAGGTTCGCCGGATGCCTCGTTCGTGGCAAACACGACGCCGAGGTCGTTGCGCGCGGTCGAGAGGTAGTAGTTTGTGCCGTCGCCGAGCGAGATGACGAGCGCGCGGATGATGTCGCCGGGGCGGAAGGAGGAGGACATTTTTACCTTGTCTTTTTCGGTTAGGCGGACGTCTGTTGATCTAGAGGTGCAAAAAGCTGTTAGCATCGCACTTTCTCCACAGAATGAGAGACAGAAAGAAGGGAAGAAGAACTCACCTGATAATACCGCCATACTCGTCCGTCGCATTCCCATCTCCCGCAGCTAAAATCGCAACATTCGCCATACGAGGGTTAATCCGCAGCACCCGCGCCAGCACCACATCGTCCACGGCCGGCACCGCGTTCGCAGCATCAGCAGCCTTCTCCGGTCTGACTACCGAGATCGTGCGGGTGGTGTACGGTCCCGCAGGCGCTCTACTTCCGTTGCCGTTGCCGTTGCTGTTGATCCCATTACTACTACCGTTGCTGCTACTGCTGTTTCTGGAATCGCCGGCACTCTCGGCCTTGGAGAGTGCCCGCGTGACGACGACTTTTCCAAGCACAGAAGCCACGATCGCAGAGTTCTTGCCCACCGTCATCTTCGCGTCGACGTACGTGCCCGGGCCGGCAGTGTACTCGTTCGACGAGCACAGGAGTTGTCCTGGGATCGCGCGCCGGGGAAGACCATCTGGTAAGCTGTCGTTCGAAAGCGTTATTGTGGTTGCGGTTGATGATGTCGATGTGGATGTGGAGGAGGGAGTCGCGGAGAGAGGTGGTGGTGTTTGCGATGTTGATTCTGGTTTTAGTGTCTGCGACATGTTGATTCTCTGTTTTTCTATCAAAACCAAGTAGCGACACGATCTTCTTTGAACCCTTTATGCTAAATCTCCCGTTCTGTGTTCTGTGTAGATTGCAGTAGTTTGCGTTGAATATCAACAGTTAAAATCCAAGTTTATTTTTTTCCTTCGCGGTTTGCTCCCAACCTAACCCGCAACCGTCCTCGAATGTCTCGATATTCCAGATATTCCAACACCAACCGCAGTCTATAAGATAAAAGCAGGATATGTGATTGAAAAGAGGAGCGATAAGAGACTACGGGTGATTTTGCTTATTTGTAGAGATGTGTTGAATTATGTGGATTTGAGTTGGAGTGTGGTGCTGTGTAGAAGATGGAATTGATATTCGTTTTGATTCTGCTTTGCTTTGCTTTTGCGTATATAACAAGACTTATTTACAATAAAAATGCACACAGAAGGAAGAGTGGCCTCGCAGTCCCAAAACACAGTACTTCACAGTACTTCAAAGAATGCAGAGAAGAGACTGCATAGAGACAAAGAGACGGGAACTACTCCTCCTCCTCAACCACCCCAAACTTCTTCTTCATCCACTCCTTCGTCCCTTCATCCGTCATCTTCCTCAACGTCTCATCATCCAACCTCTTCCCTCTCCCCCTCCCCTCCTCCTTTGCCACCTCCCCCTCACCCCTCTCCCTCCTCCTCTCGTCCGCAAGCTTGCGCGCCCGCTCGGTCAACACCTCCTCGCTCAGCGGCATCTTGCCGTCCTTCACCCGCTGCGCCTGGATCTCGTCCACCAGCCGCGCGACTTCGAGCCGGTGGATCTCCTCGCGCAGCTCGGGTTTTAACTCGAGAGGTTTCGCGTTCTCCATCCGGAACTTGAGGAATGGTTGGCCGTCGTGGCCGACCTCGGACGAGGGAGCTTCTTTGATGACCTGTAAATCGTCAGCTCAGATGCTCACAAATAATACAAAAAAACCACATCGTCGAAAAGCAAAGCTCAAGAAAGAAGAGGTCAATAGGAAACGCACAAGTTCATACGGAATCAATTTAGCCCCGAAATACAACCCAACCAAACCACCCACCAGCAACGAAATCACTCGTCCCCTTAGCTTTTGCGCGTCCGTGCGTCTGTATACGCCGCCCACGTTCCGACTCATTCGGTCCTGTCTTTTGAAGTCCTGGACTGGTGTGGAGTGCAGGTGGTGGGTGAGTTTGAGGGCGCGATGGAGGAGAGCGCGGGTGGGTGAGAAGTCTGAGGGAGTTCGTGGGGCTCATCCAACTTTAGTTCCATTGAAGGTGTAGAAGCACTTATATTCATTCATTCATCTTCAATAAACGATTGGAAACAGAGAAATTGACATCAAACATTCAGAATAAAATTGAAATAAACACTAAAAGTACACTTGCTCACATACTGAGACATTGAACGCACGCAAAGACAAAACAAGAGCATCAAAACAATAAGACAAACATCTAATCTACACATTTCAGACATAAAGCACCCTCCACCATATCGTAGCACCCCCACACTTACACATCAAACAAGAACTACTCCTCCTGCACCTTCCTAGGCCGTCCCCGAGACCTCTTCTCGCCATTCGCGGGCGCAGGCGGTTTCGGTTTCGTCACCTTCGTCGGATCAGAGTCTTCCTTCCTCGGTCTGCCACGTCCCCGTTTCGGCGCACCGGGGTCTTTTGGTGGGCTTACCACCTCTGGGTTCTTCCGAGGCCGGCCGCGGCCACGCTTGACGCCGTCGGGCAATGGTGGCTTGCTTTCTTTGGGGGCACTGGGCTTGTTTGCCTTCTCGGTCTTGGCCGTCGTTGAGCCTTCCTCTTTCTTCGGACGACCGCGGCCGCGTTTCACGATCCTAAAATAAGTCAATAAAATGCAGGAAATTATGCAAAGAGGGAAGAAACGTACGTTGGTTCATCGGCTTCGGGTTTGGCTTCATCCGCCAAAGCCTCTGCCGACCGTTTACTACCAGCAACAGTAGCAGCCGCAACCGGCTTTTCAGATTTCTCCTTTCCAGTCTCCTCATCTGCGGCCTCCTCCTTCGCGGTCTCCTGCTTCTCTGCCTTGCCCTCCTTCTTCGTCTTCGATGCCCTCGGTTTCTTGGCACCAAGCCTGTTGAGCGAAACATCACCTTTATACACATCGTCGCTGATATGTCCGTCTTCAAGCGCTTTCGCGACTTCCTGCTGCTTATCGGCATCAAGCTCAGAGTACCCGTCAAGATCATCAGGTAAATTGTCCAGCGACTTTTTAATATTCTCCATAACCTGCGGCGTCACGCAATTCCTACATAACCCCGCGTCAGCATTCTCACAATCACAGCAATGCATTTAAATAAGAAAGGGACAAATACCAGTGTCGCCATTGATACGCCTGATGCTCGCCGACGGTGACGAAAACGCCGAGACGAAGTTCACCCTTTTGGATCTTTTCGCCGGTGGTCTTGCACCACGCCGAGCGACACGCCGCGCGGGCGGACGACGCGAGCTCTATATACGCGTTAGCTTGATCGTGAACGCGTTTGGGCGTGTAGAAATAGACATAAAGCAGATAGAAAGCAGCAGGTTTGGGATTGAGGAGTAGAAAGGGAGAACACACCGATTCTATATGACATTGTTTTGTCTGATGGAGCACTCGGACCTAGAGATAGATGTTAACAACAAGACATTGGATGAATATAGACAGAGCAGCGATGAAAGTAAATTCCAAATACACAGCACGACAATCAAACAAACAACACAGAAACAAAACAACAACAACCAGCGATAAAGCGTTGATCTCGAGTTGTTTACACTCCATCGAATCAACACACCACCGAAGCTCCACGCGGCCGATCACCGCCTTGCAGTGAAAGAAAACACCAACACAACGCAGCAATTACAAACACACGCAAATCAGCAGCACTCACAGTAGTTTCCTCTTCTTCTTCTTCTTCTTATCGACACTCGCAGTTGCTGATAACAAAACACGAAAGACACTTGTCGGAGCGCAATACAGAAAGCATTGGCGAGCGCGCATCAAGTTTAGAGTTTATAATTACATAAGCCGTCACTAATAAAATAACATTTACATCGGAAAGGGTCTTGTGCGTAAAGATCATCATATCTCGAATCCGGATACTCTTCCACTATTTACACCAGATCCCTGTTTCCAGTGCGAACAAAGCCTGATTCGCGTCTTTATGGGCGCTGACGGTGTTCAGACAGTCATCACCGCTGTTTAAACCGTAGAAAGCCGCCAATTGCGAGCCGCGCGAGGGCGAATGCGGGGGAGGCCGCTGCCGTGGCTCGCGGGCGGCGGGCCTCGGTTCTCATCCAACCTGACTTTACTTCTGCTCTTCCTCGATATCGTAGCTTCTTCCGTCTTCACATCTTCTCGTCTCACATCTACACTACAATGTCCGACCCCCTCTTCCAGCCTCTGGCCGTCGGCCCCTACACCCTCCAGCACCGGATCGTCATGCCGCCACTGACCCGATTCCGCTGCTCAGACGACGGCGTGCCCATCCCCGAGCTCGTGGTGCCATACTACGCCGAGCGCTGCCTCGTGCCCGGCACACTCATCATCGCCGAAGCAACCGACGTCAACGAGCTCGCGGGCGGCTTCGCGAACGTCCCGGGGATCTACACCGACGCCCAGATAGAGGGCTGGAAAGCCGTGACAAAGGCCGTCCACGACCGCGACTGCGTCATCTTCCTCCAGCTCTGGGCCATCGGCCGCGCAAACCCGGGCACGAAGCAACCCGACGTCGTATCGGCCGGCAACATCGCGATGAAGGACGGCGCCCAGCCCCGCGCGCTGTCCAACGCCGAGGTCAAGATGATGGTGCGCGCGTTCGGCCAGGCCGCCGCCAACGCCGTCAAAGCCGGCTTCGACGGCATCGAGATCCACGGCGCGCACGGCTACCTCGTCGACCAGTTCTCGCAGGCGGTGTCCAACAACCGCACGGACGAGTACGGCGGCTCGGTCGAGAACCGCGCCCGCTTCGCGCTCAACGTCGTCGGCGCCTGCGCGGCCGCCATCGGCGCCGACAAAGTCGCCATCCGCCTCTCGCCGTTCGCGACCGTCTACTCCACCGGCTGGGACGACCCCTACCCGCAGTACTCGTACATCATCAACCAGCTGCGCGAGCGCCACCCGTCGCTCGCGTACCTGCACGTCGTCGAGCCCCGCGTCAACGGCACCGTCGACCGCACGCTGACCTCGGACCAGGAGTCGAATTCGGACGCGTACAAGGCGCTCTGGCCGGGTGTCTACATCGTCGCGGGAGGGTTCATGCCCGACACTGCGCGCGAGTACGTGCGCACGCACGATAACGCTCTGGTGGCCTTTGGTCGCCGGTTCATCTCGAACCCGGACCTGGTGGCGAAGATCAAGGAGGGTCTGCCGTTCGTGCCATACAACCGAAAGACCTTCTATTTGAATAAGGCGAAGGAGGGATATCTGGGATACGAGTACGCAAAGGAGTTGAAGGGTATTTACTATTGAATAGAGTAGATATAGAGCTGTTGTAGATAATGTAAAGAAGTTATGAATATGTTATGTAATATTCCATCTACGCGTCGCCCTAACCCAAAACATATTTACGCGTCTCCTTCACTCTCCTCGTTATAGACAACATACACAACCCACACAGCATGGCAGATCTATACGACGACCTCCTCAGCGACGACGACGGTCAAGCGCCTGTGCAGACTCAAGAGGCGGACACGCGTCCGCTTTACATGCGCGACCACGAGCTCGCGATCATCACGAAGCAAACGACAGACCTGACTACCGCGATGAGCAGCCAGTTCAAGCTGCTCAAGACATTCATCACCGAATCTGCTGTTGCACGCGCGGAAGGCGCGGCGACGGACTCGGATGTTTACGACACGTGTTTTCGCGAGCTGCTGGATATCGAGGAGGGGTTGAAGGCCGGGCCGAAGGTGATGGGTGAGATCACGGGCAGGAAGGAGAAGCAGGTTGGGGACCCTGCTGCTTTTTTCGAGCACCTCATGGAGTTGGAAGCGATGGGAATAGAGGGTGTATCAGACAGGAAGAAGTATCAGAGAAACGAAGAGTACATCGAGTTTCGGAAAGGAGTCTGGGAGGCTATGTACGACGACGACGACGAAATTGAACCTCCTGCGCCGGACAAGTGGTTCGATAGACAGACAGGCACCGTCAAGAGCTTAGCCACGGTCCACGACATCCTCATCAACGGCGAAAACACCGCCGACGCAGCCGGCAACTCAGACGACGAACTCGTGGTCGCGCGCACCAAGATCTCGCTGAAATGCCCGCTGACGCTGCAGCTGTTCGTCAACCCGGTCACCTCCACCAAATGCCCGCACTCGTTCTCGAACGACGCGATCCGGCAGATGTTTGGCCGCACGACGCAGATTGAGTGTCCGGTCGGGGGATGTATGAAGAAGTTGAGAGTGAGCGATTTGAAACCTGATCGCAAGCTGGAGCGGAAAGTCGAGCGGTTCAAGGCTCGGCGCGCGAAGGAGCAGCAGGACGAGGAGGTTGATGAGATATGAGTGATATACGTATTTAGTCTTCTTTTATTAATTCATTTGTTCTGCAACATTTACTCTACAACTTATAACAATGTTATAGTAATTTCCGAATCCGTAGTCGTAATCGCTATCGGCGAATTGAGTTTCGTATTCGGGAAACCTTTTTCCCCTGACTCCCACCTCGACTCCATCCCATCCTCGACCAACGCTCCTCGACACTTCTCGATAGGCACTGCACTCGATAGAGCACCTGCACTCGAGAGAAGCACCGATAGAAGCAGAAAACAGCAGCAGCAGCAGCGGCAGAAGAAGAAGAGCACAGAAGCAATGGTTGCTCCTCCGTTCCTCGTCTCTGCTCCTGGCAAGACCATCATCTTTGGCGAACATGCCGCCGTCTACGGCAAGGTATCTCTCTCTCTCTCCCTCTCCACAACTGCTCAAACATCATCAACTAACAAAACCAGCCTGCGATTGCAGCAGCGCTCTCGCTGCGCACATACATGCTCGTCTCGAACCACGACCTCCCGCAAGACGTTATCTCGCTCGAGTTCCCCGACGTCAACCTCCAGTACTCCTGGCCGCTCTCCACCCTCCCCTGGTCCTCTGTCCCCTCGCTTTCCTCTCCCCAGAGTCCCCCGACCGAGCTCGACGACGCGCTTGTGAAAGCGCTTGACGCGCCGCTCACTGGAGTCACCGGGTTTCCCCAGCGCAGCGCGGCCCTCGCGTTTCTCTACATCTACATGTGTCTTATGAACGACAAGCGCTCCGCCCTGCAAGGCGTCACTTTCTCCGTCCGCAGCACGCTGCCGATTGGCGCGGGTCTGGGCTCTTCCGCCTCTGTATCCGTCTGCATCTCTGCCGCAATCTGCCTCCTCTCCGGCGCCGCCCCCGCGCCGCCTTTGACCGCAGCAACAGCAACAGCAGCAGCCGACGCGGCGAACCTCGCAGCAATCGACACGATCGACGGATGGGCGTTCCTCGGCGAACGCTGCATCCACGGCAACCCGTCCGGGATCGACAACGCGGTGGCGACGCGCGGTGGAGCGGTGATGTTCCAGCGCATGTCAAAGGGCTCGCCGAACGTGCTCAAGTCGATGCGCAGCTTCCCTTCGCTGCGCCTGCTCCTCATCGACTCCAAGCAGCCCCGCCGGACGGCCGTGCAGGTCGCGAACGTGGCCTCGCTGGTCGAAGAGTACCCGCTCATCACCGAGCCGATCATGAACGGGATCCACTCGCTCACCGACGAGGCGTACCGCCTGCTTCTCCTGCCCGCGGCCGAGTGCGACGCAGCATGGGCTGCTAAACTGCGCGGACTGGTGCGGATCAACCACGGCTTGCTTGTCGCGCTCGGGGTGAGTCATCCGAAACTCGAGCTCATCCGCGCGGCCGCCGACGAGCTCAAGATCGGCGAGACAAAGCTGACGGGAGCCGGCGGCGGCGGGTGCGCAATCACGCTTGTGCAGGACGGGGTGACGGAGTCGACTGTATCGGAGCTGCGAAGCCGACTGTCGCAGTACGGCTTTGACGTGTACGAGACGCGGCTGGGCGGCACGGGCGTGGGCTGCTTGTTTCCGACAAAGGTCGATAAGGCGGAGTGGGAGGAGTGGGAGGAAAAGCTGTTTTCGCTGCATCATTTGCTTGCGCTCGAGGGCCGGGAGCATATCGAGGAGACGGTCGGCGTCGAGGCGGTCGATGCTTGGGCGTTTTGGTGATGGCTGACTTGCTGGCTTTTGTATATTTACCTTGCGTCTATAGCTTGTATCTATCTTGTATACTAATACTGTGAATATTAATATTACTACACCTTACCATTTCTAATTACATTCAAGCACACCCCGCAAGTCTAGAAACAGCACTCCTCTTCTTGAAATTCCAATAATTCTCCCGCACGCAATCATATCTCTCCGCCAACAACGTCCACGCGTGGGTCGCGCGCGGGAAATCATTCCGCTCCGCATAGATTTCCGCCAGAACCTCGATCGCTCTCGCCGACAGAATATCCTCTTCGTGGCTGGTGGTGGTGCTGCTGCTTGTGGCGGGGAAGGTCTTGGTGAGGTCGGAGAGGGTGAGGCAGAATTGCTCGAGGTCTGAGAGTGGCCGGCCGGATTTTTTCAGGACACTGATGATGTTAGAGTCAAATAGTCAACTTAAGTACAGAGAAAACGGAGGATAGAGAAATATATACCCTAGTAGGTAATTCCAGGCACTGGGATTTTGGGGCGCCGTGAAGATTGCGCTTTTTGTGAATCTAGTAATTTCGTCAGTTGTCTTCACTCCAAGAACAGACAAAAAATAGAGAGAACCCACTCAATCTCATCATCAACAACGCTACTCAGAACAGCCTCCGCCCTCCCAAAGATCGCAAAAAACCGATGATTCCAAGCCGAGTTATTCCTGACATCGAGCTCGAGCATCATATCAGTGAACGGGACCTCTGTCGCCCACAGATCGAAGCGGCGGACAAGCCACTGGCGATAAGACCAGACATGGTAGTTTTTCGAGTCGAGCTCGAGCATGGACTCGATGAAGGGCAGTTCGCGGGAGGGGTCGCCGAGTTTTTCGATTATGACTTCGCGGTGGTTCCTGGGGGGTGGTGAGTGGGTTGTAAAGAGTGGGTTGTAAAGAGAGATGAGGATAGGAGGAGAGCTTACCAGATCTGATAGTTTTTGGTGAATCTCCTGCCGACGCCTTCAACCCAGATCAGTTCCTGGCAAAGATCCTTGTCGAGGGCGAATAATATCCTTGTCCGATACTGCCTAGATCACAGCTCAAGTCAGTCAGTGCCGATAGTGCCAGCCAGCGCCCAGCCAAGTACATGACACCCACCAGACCGTGTAATGAGCAGCATTCATATAAATAACATCCTCCGTCAGCTTGAGCGCGCGATCCGAGAACTCGTTGACGCGCATGACTGCCCGGAGATATTCCATCGCGATGCGGTACTCGTCGCTGTATGCGATTGGCGCGACTGCGTTCTCGCCGCCGTCGTTCTGCGGGATCGGGGCGATGTCGTCCCAGTTGTACTGCTCTAGATACGCCATGATTCTATACAATATCTATAGAGCAGCAGGAAGGGGAGGAGAGGTGGAAAGCAGGGTATTTATGTTGAGGATTCGCATTGTCTGAGGCAGAACAATCTTTAGATCTGAAGAGGGCAAGCCACAGAAGTGTCAGCCACGTGCGGCAATTCGTGGCTCAGTCGAACCCTAAATTATTCTGCTTTGAGTAATTTATTCGTGCCTGCTCTCCTTACGCTGGCCCATTGCTGGTTGTTGTTGGATAGATACTGTGCTGTTGTTGTATTCTTATTGTATAGATACTGTATTGGTATTGTATAGAATTGTATAAAATGGCATCTGCAATTCCTGGTCCGCGCGAGCTTCCCGAGTCCAAATACGACCTCTCGACGTACTGGGGCCGAGTGAAGCACAGCGCCGGAGTTTCTGATCCTCGGTAGGTCAACGCCTGCAATTGACTATTAACAACATGTTTCTGACTGCTGACATTTATCAAGGATGCTGCTGGTGACTAAAAAAGATCTCGAGGAGTCAAAGAGCTTGGTGTCGGCGTACAAGAATGGCAAGATTGCAAATATGACGCCGGAGCTGTGGAGGGCGAAGCTGGTTCTTGACTCGACTATTCATCCCGGTGAGTTGGTGATAAGTGTTGGACGAGGTGGGATTTATGCTAATTGCTATAGACACGGGCGAGCCGGTGCTGCTGCCGTTTAGAATGTCGTCTTATGTGCTGTCTAATTTGGTGGTTACGGTCGGCATGCTTACTCCTAACCTTGGTGTATGTATTCTCTTTTATCATTCACCTTCATTTCACTAACATCCCAGACCGCGGGAACACTGTTCTGGCAGATTGCAAACCAGTCGCTGAACGTGGCAATCAACACAGCAAACAGCAACAAGTCGCACCCGCTCTCGACCGCGCAGCTCGCGCAGTCCTACGCACTCGCAGTAAGTGCCTCGTGCGGAGTCGCGCTCGGCCTGAACGCGATCGTGCCCCGTCTGAAGCACGTCTCTGCAAACACGCGTCTGATTCTCGGCCGACTTGTGCCGTTTGCGGCCGTGGTTTCGGCTGGGATTGTGAATGTGTTTTTGATGCGCGGCGAGGAGATTAGAAAGGGCATCTCGGTCTACGACGTCGACACGAACGAAGACCTCGGGACTTCTCGCAAAGCGGCTGTATTTGCAGTCGGCGAGACGGCGGCCTCGCGCGTGATCAACGCGACGCCGATCATGGTCCTTCCACCGTTGATCCTGGTCCGTCTGCAGAAGCGGTTCAAGATGAACAAGCGCGTGGAGACGGCGACGAACCTCGGGCTTATCCTGGCGACGTCGTTCGTGGCGCTGCCGTTCGCGCTGGGGATATTTCCGCAGAGAAGAGTGTGGAGCGTGGACAGGCTTGAGAAGGACAAGTTCGAGGGTGTGCGCAATAGCAAGGGCGAGAGTGTGCGCAAGGTGTGGTTTAATCGAGGGATGTGATGTCTGATGTATTAGTAATGTATTAGTAATGTATTAGTAAGAGCTGACTACAGTAGTGTTAATTTACCCCACACCGATCCCGCCGGGGCAGATAGTCCGCGTCCGCCAGCGCTCGTCAGGGCCGAACAGACGATGAGACGATAAGAGGAGCTACTGATAACAGAAACAAGAATATCTACTAACAACCGCCTCTGCTACACCTTCACGCATCAGCAGCAAACAGGTCCGGGAAGAAGCGTCGAGGCCGAGCAGATCGCGGTCGTCGGAGCAACTAAAACAAGACCATCGCCGGTTTTTAGTGCGTCCGACGACCGCATAAATCGAGCCCCTCCTCCACCTCGGCTGCCTCTTCACCACCTCTGCTCACCAACACTTCTCACTCATCGTTCATCAACACAATGGCATCTTACGCAGGAATCAAAGGCCGCGTCTACGTCGTCACCGGCGCCGCGTCCGGCATCGGCCGCGCGACGGTCCTCAAACTGGCCCAGCTCGGTGCGAAGGGCGTCGCCATCAGCGATCTCAACGAGGCCGGTCTGGAGGAGACAAAGAAGCTGGCGGCAGAGTACGCCACGAAGATCGTGAACACAAAGCTCGACGTCAGCAAGATCTCCGAGATCGAGGCGTGGATCGATGCGTCGGTCAAGGAGTTTGGCCAGTTGGACGGCGCTGCGAACGTTGCTGGTCTGGCTGGTGGTGACGGCAACACCACCGTTGCTACTCTGGTGCGTTGAATCTGCTGTTCTGTGTAGTTATGTCCGACTAACAGTAATCAGGACCAATCGGTGTGGGACCGCACGCTCGGCGTCAACCTGACGGGCCTGATGGCGTGCATGCGCCGAGAACTCAAGTACCTTCCCCAGCCCGGCGGCGCTATCGTGAACGTCGCGTCGACGGCCGGTCTGCGCGGTCTTCCTCTGTCTGCGGCCTACTCGACGTCCAAGTTCGGCGTGGTCGGTCTGACGCAGTCAGCGGCGGGTGAGTTTGGCGAGAAGGGCGTGCGCATCAACGCGGTGTGCCCTGGGCCGATCGATACTGCGATCTTCCGAGACGGCGAGAAGAAGGGACTGTTTGACGCGAATATCATGAGCGCGGGCACGTACCTGAAGCGGATGGGCAAGGCGAGTGAGATTGCGAATGTGATTGTGTTTCTGCTGAGCGAAGATTCGTCGTTTGTGTGCGGTTCTGCGTGGGCTGCGGATGGCGGATATACTGCTCATTAGATGCTTATTAGTCTGCTTCTGCTGTATGTAGGTAGTCGTTAAACGAAGTTGCTTCGAACAGTTATGATAGTTGATAGTTGTAGGGTTTGATGATTATCATTAATCGTGCGGCTCTTCAGCGAACTATGGAGAAGAGAGAAGAGAAGAGAAGAGAAGAGCTGCTTAACAAGCTGCTTAACAATTAGAGAAAGACAATTGATAATACCACGTCATATTGCATTTGTCTGTTCTATTATCTGATTAATGATACCACGTCATTGTATTATATTGTATCGTTGTATTGTATGCACAGAGCTCAGACAGAGCCCGGACAGAGCCCGGACAGAGGTGATTTGATTAGTGATCGCTAATATCCCACTGCTACTGCTACTGCTACTACCACTACTACGTCTTCTCTCTTCTTCTTCTTCTCTTCTCTATGATTACTGATCCATGTCGTCATCTCTTGATTTCAAAGCATCTGCTTACCTCTCTGATTCTTCTCTGTCTGTCAACTATTTAACTGTCTCTGTATACCACTTCTTCTCTCATCATCACTCATCATCACAGCATCTCAAACACCACCATGTCACCCAAACTTCTTCTCACCGGCGCTACCGGCTACGTCGGCGGCCACGTCCTTGCCCACCTCGTCGCCTTCAACTCCCCCTCCAAACTCGACCTCTCCGCCTTTGTCCGCAAGCAATCCGACGCAGACAAACTCGTCTCCGTCTACGGCTCAAATGTGTCCGTCGTCCTCGGCCCTAATGCCTACGAGGACCCGGCCTTTGCCTCCGCCGTCGCGGAAGCAGACATCGTTCTCCACCTCGGCAACGCGGCCGACGACCCTGTCTCTGCTGACCTGATCGCGGCAAAGATCAAGGACGGCGCGCTGCTCATCCACATCTCGGGCTCGTTCGTCCTTTCCGACTTTTCCAAGCTCGACCAGGCACTCACGACCCCGGTCGACGATATCAAAGACATCAAGACCATCACTTCATTGCCCGAGTCGCAGCCCCACCGCGACATCGACATCAAAGTGCTCGACCTTAGCAAGAAGAGACCGAACGTCAAGACACTGATCGTCTGCCCGCCCTTGATCTACGGCCCGTCCAAGAGCATCGGCCATAAAGCCTCGATCCAGATCCCGCTTCTGATCAAGATCGCGTCAATCGCGAAAGCAAACAAGGTCTTTGGCACCGGCAACGCAATCTGGAGCACCGTCCATCTGAGCGACCTCGCAAACTTCTTTGTGACCCTCGTCTCGACCTACATCTCCGACCCGTCCAAGCTATCCTACAACGACGAAGGTTACTACTTTGTCGCCAGCGAACAACGCAGCTGGGGCGAGATCGTCGCCGCTCTTGACGCGCCGCTGGTACACTACGGAGTTATCCCCAGCGAGAACGTATCTTCCAAGGAACCCGCGTGGACTGCAGACTCATTCACGATCCTTGGAGACAAGTCGTCGTACGTCTACTCGCTCTTTACTAGCAACTCTGTCACTGAGCCTTCGCGCGCAAAGAAGTTGGGATGGAAACCGGTGAATGCGGGATTGTTGGCGGAGATCGGGCCTATGGTCAAGTTGTTTTCTGATGGAGTTGAGTAGTGTACTTTTTGTTTGTAAGTGAGTTGTCTTATAGATGTAGTTGTATTAATAGATACATAAACGAGTTCACAGTAGTTATAATACAACCATAAACCCGAGACTAGTTATCATCATAAACCCGAAGCTGCAGAGTATTGTAAAACCCTACACTATCAGTCATCATCTACACCTCCATTACATAATCAGCACTCATCATAAGTCGAAGTCCCAAGGTCGAGACTCGAAGTTGTCGATTCAAGACTACACACTCAACAGTCAGAATGTCGTCAACACCGGCAGCCAAGAGCGACGACGACCTGTACCGAGAAGGCTCGCAGTACCGGATCTGGTCGTTTAGCCAGAGCGAGCTGGAGGAGGTGCGACGGTCGGTGAACCGGATCGCGAGCGAGCACCTTGCGCATGAGCACCAGATGGCTAGAAGCGCAGAGAGAGGAGGGGAGGAGGAGGGAGTGAAGATTGAGTATTTGACGGAGGGGGAGGAGTATGAGATGTTGTTGCATTATTGCGTGAAGGTGCAGGATGCTGCTGCGGTGTATAAGTTGCCGTCACATATCAAGGTGCCTGCTCTACTTATGACGATGATTATATCGAAGAATACTGCTAACTAAGTGTACAGGCAACTGCTATTCAGTATCTGAAACGGTTTTATCTCAAATACAGTCTGATGGAATTCCATCCGAGAAATATAATGTCTGCTTCCACTGCTCACGCTTGAAAACAGAGGAGATCAACAACTGACTTTACTCTCCAGGTACACATGCCTCTTCCTGGCCACCAAATCCGAAAACCACTTCATCTCAATCGACAACTTCGTCCAGCCCCTGCAACGAGTCTCCAAACAATCCATCATCGACCTCGAATTCATCGTCGCGCAAACCCTCTCCTTCACCCTCCTCGTCCACCACGCATTCAACCCGATCCACGGCTACTTCCTCGACCTGCAATCCGTCTTCGCCGACCGCATGGACGAGATCCGGTCCGCGCACGACCGCGCGAGGAGGTACGCGAACGACAGTCTATTCTCCGACGCGGCGTTCCTGTTCACGCCGCCGCAGATCGCGCTGGCCGCGCTGATGATGGCGAATGAAGGGCTGATGGACGCGTACATGGACGTCAAGTTTGGGCAGAACGCGGTCTTGCTGCGGCAGCTCAAGACTACGACGGAGAGGATAAAGAGCTATATTGTCGAGGGGGGGAAGCCGAAGATTGGCAGCGAGCGCGCGCTCGCGTTGGAGAGGAAGCTGTATGTATGCCGGAACCCGGAGAAGGCGAGAAAGCGGTTTGGAAATGGCTCCAGCAGCGAGAGCTTGAATGACAGTGCAGAACCTGCGGCGAAGAGAGTCAAGATTGAGCAGGAGGATACAGTGATGACCTAGTGTATAGATCAAGTGTATAGATATCAGGAATTGTATGATAACTAACTGAATTAAAAACATTAATAACAACTTACATAATACAACGTAAGCAAGGGCCTAGTACCAGCAAGCCTCCTCGGGAGCAGCCAGAAGCACAGCTCAGCACCCGCACTGTTCACAGGCCAGACCTGACTCGAATCAACCAGCAATTGCACAAACGCGTGCTTGAGAGTCAGCCATGTCGCATCTTTCTACTCCGGCCGTTGTCATGGGTATGTTGTTCTTTTGATGTTTGATGTGGGGGGTGGAGTAGAGTGAGGAGGGAGGGAAGAGGAAGGTGGTGGACCGGGTACGGCGGAGATGGGTGGATGGCGGATTGGTTGATGGATGGATTGTTGGTTGATTGTCTTGATTTGAACTGTTTACTGACGATTGTGATTTAGACAAGTATGATCCCGATTGATTTGCATTGATCGTGGATGGCGATGCAGTGCTGCTTCGATTCCCGCACCAGATCGTCATTCAACTACATATCCCAGAGATAACCAAACTAACAACACTCGTCATCATCTAGTGGCACCGGTCTTACAAAGCTCGGCTTTGCTGGTAACGACTCGCCGTCGTTCATCTTCCCTACCGCGATCTCTACCCGCAACACCGGCGCCGCCTCAGGCCGTCCTCCGACCGCGGCCAAGCCATCCTTTCTCTCGGGCCCGGGCGCGAATTCGTCGTCCAGCGGCGGAAACCTGGCTTCCAAGCGCGGGACCGAGGATTTGGATTTCTTTATCGGGCAGGAAGCGATTGATGTTTCAAACACCCCTGGTGAGTATTTAGATGACGATAGAAAAAGAGGAAGAGTGCTGATGTAATGATAGGCTACGGCTTAAACTATCCCATCCGCCACGGTCAGATTGAGAATTGGGATCTTATGGAGCGATTCTGGGAGAATTCGATCTTCAAGTACTTGCGCTGCGAGCCTGAAGATCATTACTTCCTCTTGACTGAACCCCCTCTAAACCCTCCCGAGAACCGAGAGATGACTGCGGAGATCATGTTTGAGACGTTCAACTGCGCGGGTCTTTACATTGCGGTGCAGGCCGTGCTTGCGCTTGCGGCGTCGTGGACGTCGAGCAAGGTGCAGGATCGGTCGTTGACAGGTACGGTTATAGACAGTGGTGATGGAGTTACCCATGTTATTCCCGTCGCGGAGGGATACGTGATTGCGTCAGCGATCAAGAACATTCCGATCGCCGGCCGAGATATCACGTACTTTGTGCAGAGTCTTTTGCGAGACCGAAACGAGAAGGACTCGAGTTTGAGAACGGCGGAGAAGATCAAGGAGGAGTACTGCTACGTGTGCCCAGATATCGTGAAGGAGTTCAATCGGTTCGACCGCGAGCCCGAGCGCTTCCAGAAGTACCTTGTCGACCAGGGTCTCGGTCGCAAGGTGACTGTCGATGTCGGCTACGAGCGTTTCCTCGCGCCGGAGATTTTCTTCAACCCGGAGATTGCGAGCTCTGATTTCTTGACGCCGCTGCCGGAGGTGGTCGACACCGTTATCCAGAACAGTCCGATCGACGTGCGCCGTGGGCTGTACAAGAACATTGTGCTGTCGGGCGGCTCGACTATGTTTCGCGATTTTGGACGAAGACTGCAGCGCGATATCAAGCATATTGTAGATGCGCGCATTCATAAGAGCGAGGAGCGCAGTGGAGCGCGGTCGGGTGGACTTGATGTGCAGGTTATCAGTCACAAGAAGCAGAGGAACGCGGTTTGGTTTGGTGGCTCCTTACTTGCACAGACTGTAAGTATTATATATGTGAAGAGCAAACAAGAAAGAGAAGAAGGCTAACTAATGATTTGATACAGGCTGAGTTCAAGGGATACTGCCACACCAAGAAGGACTACGACGAGATGGGCCCTGGAATCGTGCGACAGTTTTCGCTTTTCAACGTGCCTTAGATGGAGAGTAAGAGTATGAGCGTGAAAAGAGAAGATGTTTGTTTACTAGTAGTTTTGTTATTGTTGAATGAGATATAGTTGTATCAAATAGAGATTAGACAATGAGTTGTTGTAGCTGGGCAACAAACGCTGGCTGCTGCGCGATTAACCTTTTTGGGAGCCGTTTTCGTACGCGCTCGACGCGTTCGTCACTTCCTCCTCCTCCTCTTCCTCTTCCTATTACACCCTCCTCCTCTTCTCTACTATACTTCTCCACAATCGCCCCTCACCGCCGTCCTAAGCGCAAGAACGTGTTTTGCCTCGAGCAGAACCGTTCTCCGTCGCCGCTCCAAATGCCAACCCTCTCTCCTCCACCCTTCACCCTCCTCACCCACCCTCCCTCCCTCCCCATCCCCATCCCCAGATCCGGCCCCCTCCTCCTCTCCGGCCTCGTCCGCTCTCCGCCCTTCCTCACCCTCGTCGCCTCTCTTCTCTCCGTCGTTGCCGCCTTCGCAATCCCCTACTCGCGCTACCTCTTCTCCGCGTCCTTCTCCTGGGCGTCCTTCTGCTTGGCCACTTTCCTCCCCATCGACCGCTTCCTGATCCGCTCTGATACCCAGCTCAAGTACAGACGCATCGATGTCGTCATCTGCTCTACTTGCATGGTCCTCAGCATTGTCTGCGCCAGTTTGCTCGGCGAACGTGGCAACGGTCTCTCTTCCGTATGCCGTCTCCCACCTCCTCCTACCTCTGCCTCTACTCACATCTCTTCTCACACCTCTAGGTCCTCATTCCCTTCCTCGTCCACATCCTCCGCTTCCAGTACATGTCTCCTCCCTCCCTCCCCACCCAGCACGAGAAAAACCTCTCCCAGCTGATCGCCGCAAACATAGACATGACCACCCTCGTCTTCATCACCTTCACCTCCTTCCTCGCCCTCGCCCCCTCCTACCCCGGCGCATCCCAGCTCGTGTTTGGCATGTGCTCCAGCATCTTCGCCGCAACCTACCTCTCCATCTCCGACATCAGCATCCCTCTCACCCGCTCCGTCCTCCGCGAGATATCGGCCTACACCTGCCTAGGATTGCTGCTCATGTCCCTCCTCCTCGACGGCTGGGCGGGCTGGCTTGAACTCGGCTCGTCCGACGGACTGGCATACATGATGGTCCTCTGGTCCTTCCTCTCGGCTGTCAAAAACATAATCATCATGATCCTCATTCAAAACCTCTCCCCCATCAACGCCTCCTTCGTCGACCTCATCGGCAACCTCAGCACAACCCTCTACTCCCCCGCCGTCTGGAAAATCAGCGCAATGTGCATCTCCTACATGGCCATCGCCAGCACCCTTCTCCCGCACCACATTGGCGAGAAACGCGTGCGGTTTCTAAAGATCCGCGTCAGCAAATTCATCACCCTCGTCATCGCGCTCTTCCTCGCCGGCTTTGGCCTCTTCATGACCATCAAACCGCGCTCGAGCGGCTACTCGCAACGCGTCACCGCCTCTTCTGCTTCGGCGTATTCGTCCGCTGCTACTTCTTCGTTTGGAAAGGACGCGTGGAACACAACGATCCACCCAATCTCCTACCTCATGGAATCCCATCTGACCCGCTTCGAAGACCTCGTCAACAGACAAACAAACACATACCCGGAAGCAGTCAAGGAATACAAGCGCCGTCACAACCTCAACCCGCCCCCGAACTTTGACAAATGGTACGCGTACGCAACCGAGCACAAGGCCGTCGTCTTTGACGAGTTTGATTCCATCTCCGACTCCCTCAAACCGTTCTGGGGTCTCGAGCCGTCCAAGATCCGCGAAAACGTCCGCGACGCGCTGAGTAACCCTGAAAGCCACTTGCTCGGCGTGCACATCCGCGGCGGCCAGATCGCAAACCTGACAGGGTTCACGAACGGCCAGTGGTTCGAGGCCGCGATCGAGACCATGATTGGCGAGTTTGTGCAGTATCTGCCGGATATGGACGTTGCTTTCAACATGCTCGATTCTCCGCGCGTAATCATCCCGCAATCGGACCTTACCGTGCTCAACAGCGCGGAGAAGAAATCCGGTACGAAAAACGAGTTTACGAAACCACCGACCGGCGAAGACGACCTGGCCGAGCAGCCGCTTATCGCGACCTATCGCAGCTCTTTCGACTCCTTCGCCCACCAATCGTCCTGGGGCCACGCAAAACTATCCTGTCCCCCCGACGCGCCGGTCAAGCTCGGAAAACCGTCGGACGGATTCAGCCAATACGGTCTCTCGATCGGGTTCCTGAAAAACCACTCGGCCGCGACCGACATCTGTCTCGAGCCCGCGTACCAGCACCAGCACGGCATCTTTGTCCGTCCCGAGACATTCAACATCATCGCCGAACCGATCCCGATCTTCTCACAAAGCAAACTGTCTACTTTTGGCGACATTCTCTACCCTTCTCCCTCGTACTTTGTCGAGCGCGCGATGTACGACGAGACAGCGGACACGCCGTGGTCGGAAAAGAAGGATGTAATGTACTGGCGCGGATCGTCGACGGGACTGCGCTCCCGCGATGGGTCCTGGAGACTCGGTCATCGGCAGCGGACGTTGGCGTATTTCAACTCTGCGACTGAAAACTGCACGCTGCTAATGGATCTCGGTGACGCCGAGAAGATCAACAAAGAGACCCCGCCGCTGACAACCCGCACTTCTCCCACTAGAGCAAAAAAGATCACAAAGCGCTGGTCCTCGTTCCTCCGCCGCCGAGAACAAGTAGATCCCGACACTGTCGCCGACGCAGTCGATCCAGTGAGCTCCTCGAACCCAGCGCAAGACCTCGAACAAGTCGAGAACGCGGTCTCGCAACTGACCGAGGACGAACCAGAGCCCGAGGCCGAAGCCGAACTGACCTCTGGCGGCGCACCCGCGCAAGCCAGCAGCGCCGCCGCCGCCGCCAGCGACGAGTTCTCGTCTGAGGAAGAAGAAGCCATGCTCGAAGTCGCGCGTCCGCACGCAGAAATCGAGGAAGCCGATAAACACCATTTCCTTGAGGTCGGCAAGAAGCAAGATGAAGAGCGCGAGCAGCAGCAGCGGGACTCGATGTTTGTCGAGCAATCTGTGTCAAAGCAGGTTTTCATCGACCACATCAGCGCTCAATTTTCTTCCTTCACGCAGTGCAACGAGGCAGACTGTCGCGAGCAAGAGGCGTTCTTCGGCAAACCGGCGCCGTACGCTGGGTTTCAGGAAACGTGGCAGTACAAGTACCTGCTCGACATGGACGGCAACTCGTTCTCCACCCGCTTCTACGCCTTCCTCCGCAGCCGCTCGGCCGTCGTCAAGCAGACTTTATTCCGCGAATGGCACGAGGACAGATTGATACCGTGGGTGCACTACGTCCCGCTCTCGCTCGACTTGAAAGAAGGGTTCGAGATCCTGCGGTTCTTGCTCGATAACGACGTGTCCGGGAAGTTCATCGCCGACTCTGGTCGGCGGTGGTCGAAGCGGACGATGAGGAAGGAGGATATGCAGATTTATTTCTTTCGGCTGATGCTGGAGTATGGTCGATTGATTGACGATAATCGGGATACAATCGGCTGTCTCTAAGCTCTTTTTTGTAGTTCACGTTTGGTATACCCTTTTTTGTAACTTTTTTGTAACTTTTCTGTAACTTTTTGTCATTGTTTTGTCATTCTGTATTGTTTTGTAACATTTCTCGTAACATCCTCATCTTTTTGTATATTATCCATTGGAACATCACACAATGCAACTTTTAATCTCATGCAAATCTAATCGTACAAACCACATGCTACACAATTTCTACAACCAAAACTTTTCTCTCTCTCCACTACCTCAAACCGTCTTTGCAAGATTAGCCAACTGCTTCGCAGTAATCGACGTCAGCGGCTTAATCCTAATCCTCAGCCTACTCTCATCATCCCCCACGTTCCGCGCCGCGCTCTGCTGAATCACGTTATACACCAAAAACGGCGGCATCTCCGTCACCCCCGCCATCTCGTCCGCCGACAGCAAGATCGAGGACGGGTGGACGTACACCGGCCGTTCAGGCTCGCGGATACACGACTTATCGACACCCCCGCGGCCGCTGAGAAATCTGCTGTCCTTTATGAACGTGTAAGGGTTCAGACGCACGTACGGAATATCTGTAATTTTAACCCGTTTCCGACCGCCTTGGATCGCGCGACTCGTGCTCTTGGACGCGTCAAAGCCCGCGACTAAATCCTCGCGCACGACGACCTGGTCGATAAACCCCGCAGTGACCATCTGCTTGAGCGCCTTGACCTGCACGCTGGAGGGAAGTCCGAGCTTGGTGTCAAACCTGAGGGTCGCGAGCTTGGGCGTGTTGATTGCGACAATGTGCGTGAGTTGTTGCCGCAGCTTGTGGATTTCTTCCATCGACTTTTGCCGTAGAAAGTTCTTGTAGCAAAACTCGGCGGCGTCGTCTGCAAACTCGTACGCGCACACGACAGAGAGCATTTTCAAGACGTCGCAGGTCGGATCCAATCCCGAAAACTTGCGCTGCACGACGTAAAACTCCTTCCGACGACGTCGATTGCTTTCGATATCTCCCTGATTCATCTTTCTGAGGTCGTCGTCGTCTTCCTCATCGTCCTCGTTCTCGTCGTCAGCGTTATCAAGCAGCTCGCTCTCGATCCCGAGTTCATGCTCGGACAAGAATGGATCTCCGACACTCAACGTCGCGACGATCGCGATAACGTACTGCAGACATTCAAACTGTTGTCCGATAACCACCATCTTTGCAAACCGCGGCGCAAGCGGGAACACGCTCATCGTTCGTCCGAGGTCCGTCAACGCACCGTTCTTGTCGATCGCACCCAGGTAATGCAGCAGTCGCTCCGCAAGCACAAGACTGTTTCGATCCGGCGGGGTTGGGAACGGGAAGTTTGCGATCGTGTCAATCCCCATGCTCTTCATTTGCAGAACAACACCTTCGATCGGCATGCGGAGAATCTCTGCCGTTGTAAACTGCGGGAACTCACTCTCAAACACAGCGGACGAGTACAGTCTATAAGAATGACCCGGCCCGGTACGTCCCGCACGACCGGATCGCTGATCGGCACTAGCTTTACTGATCCATCCCACGTCGAATCTCTGGACGCCGGTTTCTTCGTCATAGTGCCGCTCTTTGACACGTCCGCAGTCCACGACATAGCGTATACCGGGAATAGTCAAACTAGTCTCTGCAATATTCGTAGCCACAACACAGAGTCTCGAGCCTTCAGGCGGACTCTCAAAGATCTTCATCTGCTGAGCGGTAGGCAGAAGGGAGTAGAGAGGGAGAACATGAAGAGGACCGGTGTTGATCTCCTCAGTCTGCTCTTCGAAGCCTTCTTCGATCTCGTTTTCGTCCTCGTCATCGCTTAGGTTGTCAATGTCGAACGCGTCCTGGATTATATCGTCGCCCAGATCAACATCTTCAACCTCAACCTCAGCTACATCACATATTAGCTTCCTTCTAAAGATCAACGATTGCAAAGATCGACTCACCTTCATTAGCAGATAACTTCAACGAGACATCAACTTCCTCATTGGCCGCGCGATTACGCCCCTGCTTTGGAAACGCGGTCCGCAACCGCTTACACAGATGCGTAATCTCACTCTGACCAGTCATAAACACCAGGATTCCGCCAGGTGGCAACCGCTGATGAATCTTCTTGATCTTGTTGTACGCTTCGTCGAGGTAGTTTGTCGGCGTTCGACGGTTGAAATGTTTCGATACCTGTGTCTTGTTAGCAGAGATGTCCAGCTTAATCAATGTTAATGTGTTCTTACCGGATACTGTCTCGCGTCAACGTTCAGAACAGGCGGAGGCGCGTTGAACAAGGTCGAATTCATCGAAAAGTCAGTCACGCGCAAAGTGGCAGACATGATAATGAGCTTCAAAGGGGTAACCTTCGACCCAGTTTCCTTGCTCATATCGTACCGCAGCTTCAGCACTCGACTCAGCACGCCAATCAAGATATCTGTATTCACGTTTCTCTCGTGCGCTTCGTCAATCACGATCGCAGAGTACCTGCTCAGCGTGAAATCGGTCGCCAACTCGCGTAGCAAGACACCGTCCGTCATGAACTTCATAGCCGTCCCAGGCCTTGTATTCTGCTCGAATCGAATCTGGTAGGCAACCTTGTCCTTGTGTAAAGCACCAAGCTCCTCACTCACTCGCTGCGCCATACTGACGGCCGCGACACGACGGGGTTGAGTGATTCCAATCATTCCGGGATTGTCGCTACTCGGATCGCCATAGCCTGCCTCGAAGAGAAACTGCGGCACCTGTGTAGTCTTACCACTACCAGTCTCACCGCAGATGATAACGCATAGGTTATTATGAATCGCCTCCATAATCCGCTGCTCATCCTGCACGACCGGCAACTGAATCCGCGCAGCCTGGATCTCCGTCTTCCGCTTAACCTGCACAAAGTACGACTTCCGCTGGTCCGCGTTCTCGATCGTGACGATGTCGGGCGGTGGGGTCGCGCGGTCTTCGGGACGGTCGACTGGTTCGTAGTGGACTTCGACGCGCGGCATCGTGTTGATGTTTGACAGGCTCTCGGTCGTGCCGCCTCGGAGCTGATCTTCAGCCCATTTTTTGAAGCTCGCGCCACGAGAGACGCGCGGGGTATCACTGTCGTCGTTCTCGTCGCTTTCTTCTTCTTCATCTTCTTCATCTTCTCCATCACTTTCTTCATCACCATCTTCCTCTTCGTCCTCATTTTTTTCTTCGGCACCGTTGAGCTCTGATCCATTTGTTGACTCATCTCCAAAACCAGTCCACTCCTCCCCATCACTCCACTCTTCAGACCCAGACCCAGACTCAGACTCAGACTCTCCACTTACAGACTCGTCATCCTCATCCTCGCCATCTTCACTCTGCGACTCCTCCTCGCTCGAACTATAATCCTCCTCATCATCGGCCGCAACCTTTGCTTTCCGCAACTTCTCCTGCTCCAAGCGCGCACGCCAAGTATAGGGAACCTTCTTTTGACTGCGCTTCAGTGGTTGAATCTCGGGCTTTGGCTTTTTCTGAAGGGTTCCAAAGCCGAATCCAGCACCTCCGAATTGGAATGTAGGTTTGAATTCAGATGTTGTAGTCGAGGGCGCAGGTGTGGGTGCAGCAGACTGATCTAAAGACTGATGATCGCCGTTGAAAACAGTGGGCTTCTTTGTAGAATTATCCTCGACATCCGAATCACTCTCAGGAAGCGCACGCTTTCGAGGCTGCTTCTCGGTATTGACGCGCGGAGTCGGGATATATGGAATAACAGGTTCAGGCTCTGGAGCCTTCTCGGTTTCAATCTGCCGTTCTTCATATAGCAACTTCTTTTGCTGCTCGTCCAAGATACCCAGATGCTCATTCAACAGCGCATCCCTAAGCTGTTCACGCTTCGTATTATTATTCGTGCCCAGCTTCTTCAAACTATGCAAAAGCGACGTGTCGATCTTTGAATGCGCTAGTTTCTCCATCAAGATCTTGCGCTCTTCCCGCTTCAGTTGCCGCTCTATGTATTTATCGAGCCGTTTCTGCTTCTGCTTTGACATCTTCGACTCGGGCGGTTTGAAAAGTTCTTCAAGCTCTTTTCTCTTCGCTGCCCGTTCTTCCTCCGTAATCGGAACAAGAATGTCCACGTTCGGATCAACGCCATTGCTAGTGTCTTTTAAAATAACTGCAGGCTCCGGCTGAGCTTGCTGCTGCTGCTGGATCTCGTCTTCTTGATCAGCATCCTCCGGCCGTCTGACTGATCTAGGCTGCCTCAGAGCTTTGAGCTTCTTCTGCTTCGACACAGTCCCCGCCCGAGCACGCTCGTTGAACCTAGGCCGATATTTACCCATTCCGCCTGCTGTTTCTGCTCGAGATGATTGTTGCTGTTCAGCAGAGAAAAATCAAGGTTTTAAACATTTTGGGATTTTTTTTTTCAGGAGGTGGATTACCCGGCGTTGGGAGTACTGAACCCTATCCCACAATAATTTTTGCGGTCTTGCTGTCGATGTGAAAGAAAGAAAGAAGAAGTATGAGAACTACGATGCGAACTACGATAGGAACTACGATATGAATACTAGAAGTAGGTGCAGATGATAAATGATAGTCTATTTGGTTATTAGAGAGCTATAACATGATACAAAATATGAGACAAATCTAAATCGATATGAATTCCAAAGATCCCGAACGCCTAAATTACAACAATACAAATGATGACAAACACTGTAAATCCTGCCAATAAAATAGATAGAAATAAAAATGAAATAGAAAAAGGGTAGAACTTTTCAAAGCGGTGATGCTAATGCTGATGATGACGACTGGAAACGGTGGCAAAGAAGGTCGAAGCGTTGACTAATCAGACTACTTGGACTGCTTATTTCTTTGCCGACTTCTTCTTGTTCACTGAGCCGAAAACCAGAGACTTTGATCCCTGCTTCTTCTTTGAGTAGATCTTGGAAGCCTTCTTTTGCTTCCACTGCTCGTTTCTGGAGCCCTTCCATCCGCTCGTGCTGACTTTGGGAGCATCGGTGGCCGCGGCAGCAGCAGTGGAGGTCGAGGCGGTGGAAGCAGACGAATCGTCGACGTCCATAGAGGCGGAAGCTTCTGGAGATCAGAACAAGTCAAGTTAGCACTCTGATCAGCAAGAAAAAGATCTATTCGTAGACATCACAGAACGTGATTTGTTCATGATCGATTAAACCCAAGAGGGCGTAGAAATCGTCAGAGGGCTCATCGTCACTCTTTCCCAACATCAAAGAAGAGGAAAACGGAGAGCACCAACCTTCGCTAGTTTCAGATTCCGTTGTTGCGGACGAGGCAGCGGTGGTGGTGGTGGCGGATGAGTCGCCGTTCAGTTTCTTGGAGAGACGGATTGTGCGGGCGTCGGTGACGGGATCAAAGACGGTCGCGCGACGGATGCCGCGAGCGCGGACGCGAGACTTAGCACGGAGAGACTTGGCCATTTGGTGGATGAGTGGATGAGTAGTGGGAATGGGGTGAAGAGGAAGAGGAAGAGAAAGAGGAAGAGGAAGACGAGGACGAGAAGAAAAATTGTTTTGCGCAGAGCAAAATTGAGTTTTCCTTCAAACCTTAAACCACTACGCTTCGGACCCAGCTCAGCTCAGGTTCAGGACCGCACTGAGGAAGAACAAACCAAAGCTCGAGCTGGGCAACGTATATTCAGTCCGCACCTCTGCTGCTCTTGTACGGTCCGTGATAGAGCCATGCAGTCTGATTTTAGTTATAATAATGCAAGTGCTTTTCCCGCTTCTCTTCGCGAGAGCCTCCAGACTAACTTCTTCTTAGGAGCTCATCCGAATACTATCGACCCAGTTCACGGTCGTTCATCTTAAGGAGCTCTGCCGTATATGTCGTCTACAAACTACTGGGCGCAAATACGTGCTGCAGACGCGCTTGCTTGATTTGCTGAACTCCACGCGAAACGCTGGAGACGCTCAACTATATTCATTACTCAAAGGGGCCATCTTTGAGCGATATGCTATCGCCAACAACCGTATTGGGACAGAGTAATTTCCCTTTATGGTCGCTTAGCTTCTACTTTATCCTATTTACTAACTGTTGTCTTAGGTGGACGGGGAATAGCGACGCTTTATGGAATTATCTCGGCGCCCGTAACAATCCCCGGGTTAGTTCTTCTTCCACTCCCACTTCCGCCTTTGGAGCAACCAACAGGGCCAGCGGTGCAGTTCCCGTCAGTACCTCAGCCCGGCACGACTCTAGTACGTATCCTACTCAAGCTTTTGATATTTGTGTGTTATTCTCTAACGTCTTTATCCAGTTGATACAATCGATTTCCCAAGCAGCACGTTCTACATGCTGCAAACACCTCTCACGCGCCCATCCACCCTCGCCATCCTACCCGAGCACAGAAGCACCGTTCGCATGCAATTCAAACTCTCTGAAGCTCAATCGTCTCGTCTGCGATCCGACCCCTCATACCGCGTCTACCTTCTCTCCGCCAACTCCGACGAAATGCGTGAAGGGCAGATCCAATTCCCGCACAGTATCGAAATCAGAGTGAATACAAAAATCGTCCAAGCAAACCTCAGAGGTCTCAAGAACAAGCCCGGAACGACAAAGCCGGCGGATTTGACCCAGTACATTAATACTGATATCTCACAAAACTTTGTTGAAATCATCTACGCCTACACGCGTGTTCGATACACAATGGCGCTCTACATCGCGCGGAAACGGTCGGCGGCAGAAATAGTCACTAGGATAGCTTCTGGGAAGCATATCCCCAAAGACCAGGTCACCGCAGAAAGTAAGCCTTTCACTCGCCTCCTTTCATCTCTCATGCTAAGCCCACATCTAACCTCCATCTAGTTGTCAAGAAAAACTCGGACGACGACGACATCATAGTAGGACCTACCATTCTCTCCCTGAAATGCCCTATCTCCTACTCAAGAATTCGGGTGCCTATCCGATCGACGAGATGTAACCATATACAATGCTACGACGCTACCTCATATATCCAACTACAGGAGCAAGCACCGACATGGACATGCCCGGTCTGCAACATCGCTGCTCCTCTCAGTAATATTGCTGTCGACAGGTATGTATTTTTAGCTTGTTTGGGTCAAAGTAACTTGGCGTGCTGACATATGCATAGCTACGTTGACGACGTCCTGAAACGAACCAACGATTCCATCGATTCGATAGTAATCGAGACCGATGGTTCCTGGCGTATCCCAGAACAGAACAGTAATGATCTCTCTGACGACGACGACGATGATGATGATCGACAGCGTATAAAACGACAAAGCACTTCCGTTGGCCCACCCACCGGAGCCATGGAAGTCATTGACGCTTCCCCTGCTCGACAAGGCAGTAGCGCAGCTCCAGCTGCTGTCGTCATCGACCTGAGCGACAGCGAAGATGAACTTCCAGCACCGTCGCGTCAACCACCTCCCCCTCCACCTCCACCCCAACAACCTCCACCAAGCAATATCCACCAAGGGCCAGATTCATATCACTCGGATTTTGAAATTGAACTTCAACATTTGTTTGACGATCCTCAGGATTCTCCTGTACCAGAGACTGAACCTCATTACACACCACAGTCGAACGAGCGTCAGACTCCCCAGCTGCCTGCATCCACAGAGTCTCATGTCCCACTTGCACCAGTGACAACTACTTCTGCTACAACAGCCACTGTACCAGCTGACTCGCCATTAGCAGAGACCATTGAAAACCGGAGGAAAAACCCCGAAGGAATTCAAAATCTTCTTCAGTCATATATGGATCTGAGCGGCAGATTGGGCGAGTACATCTCCAGCCGAGAAGGAAGCACATCAGCAGCTACTCCGTCTGATTTGGCTAATGTCAATCTGCCGCCACCCATCAATGCTGTACAGAACGGAAGACCTGTACATTCGTCGCCGCAAAGGGGATACTTTAATGAGCCTCCTGTGGAGGAGCAGCTGCGAGGATCTCAGACCCTACCGCCGATTGAAACAGCTGAGGGATCCGAGTCTGACCACGACTTCGACAGCGATATTGATCCTTATAACTATTCAATTGACTTACCATACCTTTTATCGCGGAATGTTGGGAGCGCCCCTCCTACTCAGGAGATCGTTTCGGAAGCTGGTGGACCCAGTCCTACTGCACCGGCCAACGACGGTGCAGCTGTGGCCGAGCCACAGACACCGGAGAACGCAGCAGACGACCTGGCCAACGATGGAAGCGCATACACCGCACGCACAAGTCTGAGCGACGACAACGCATCGCAGCGAACAGCGTCTGTGGACGAGACCGATCTCCGAGCAATAATCGCGCATACCACTGAGTCTACTTCGGCGGCTTTGGCAGCCGATCAAGAGCACCCAGAAGTGACCACTGGCACAAACAGTCCTGCCCATCCCACACTACCTTCACCAACACAAACTGCTTCCGAGCCGGCTACAACAAACTCGCATGTTAGCGGGACAGTGCACCCGCGCGACGAATCAAGCGACGCTGCGTCGCCGCCACCAGCAAAGCGTCCCAATATGGGATTATCTAATACCGATTGAAGGAAATGAACTGTATAATATTAAAGCATAGCAGGAATAGAGATCCCGTCCGTCGGAGAACGATCGAAAGGACATACAAGGCGATCAGTGTACAACCATAATTATCTCTATCTGTTGTGTTTACGTGTATAAGATTATGGCGTTTTATGGATTTAAAAATAAGGCGGGTATTAGTGGATGTGCATAGTAATAAATAACAGTAGCTTCAGAACTACTTGCGATAATACTATTAGCCATGTAGATCACGTTTTAGAATAGTAGTCTAGAGATAAAAGTGACGAACAAGGGACAAGGGCCTTGTTCGAACTGTTTAGGGTTTCTGTCTACTCAGTGACTGAGGCGAGCAGTCCTTGTTTGTTTACCTCTCTCGACTACTTTTCTGGCTACTTACAATCACTTCAAATGTAATCAAGTTCTGTAAACTATTTGTCTGTGTTTATATCTGCATAATCATCCTGTGCTTTTTTTCTGTGTCTTAGGAAGGCGTCCGATCTGTCTACGTTCTGGTGTGGCATAACATCTTCCAAGGCATCTGTCTACAAGGAACAAGGGGAGCAAAAACTGTTCAGTCCTCGAGGAATGGCATCATTGCCATGTGGTAGCCTACAGCCTGTGTTGGAGTCAAAAGGCGTGGCTATAAATAGGATGTGACTGGTGTGCCAGGTAGGATTCCTGATTCAACAAGGCTTTTGTTGCTGAATACAGCAGTTCAACAAGGCACCGCTGCCTTTCTTCTTCTCGTGTTCGAACAAGGCACCAAATGTCCAACAAGGAGCCAGAAATAAACATAAATAACCCTGGCTCTCTCCTTTCTCTCCCTTCCCTCTTTCCCCCCCATCATCATTCTCATCATTACTTTGTCTTTGCAACTAATCATCATCATGGTTTCCATTGTTCAGACGAACGCGCTCCCAGCTACCCGGAACGAAGTCATCGACCTCTCGACTCCAACCAGCGGTTCCGCATCCCCCATTGCCAGAAGCAGCAGCAGCAGAAAGCGCGCTTTCGACGACGACGACGACGAGGAAGAGTTTCATCGCGGACAGTTGTCTGGGAAAACTCTTCCCAAGCGAGTCAAACCCTCAGTCGAGGAGGACGGACACGAGGTTATTGAGATTGACGACGATGAAGCAGACAGACATCCGGTTCTGCTCAATCACCTCGGCCGCCCTATCCTGAGATCGTCTAAAGCCGCTATGGCATACCTTGAATTCCAGCTGTCCTTTGCTCGCTCATTGCCAGACTGGACAGACGTGGAGATCAGGACCGTCGCGCGCTCAGTTCTAACGATCAATCCTGACGTGGACTGGAGCCGACACTTGAACGAAGTTGAGCACTCTGTTGCCAACGACGAGGATCCGTTCCCTGATTTTACCGGTGGCGAGCCCTTCCCGATCCCCAGCACCGCTATCGTGGCTGCTCAGGCTTCCCCCAAGGTTCTACCCCACACCGGTGTACTCCGACTTCCGAGAGTAGACGACCTCGAGAGCTCTGACGACGAGTCCACCAGCAGCTACGACGATAGCTCTGACGATGAATCGGTCGAATCCGAGGACAATTTCCGCCGCAACATCGCCCCCTTCTTTTTCGAGTACAACACGAGCGACGACGAGACTTCTTCCGGCAGCAGCCGCGAGTCCAGCAGCGAACCCGTCCTCCCAACGAATGTCACTGAGTCCGAATACGTGAGCTCTAGTGATTCCGACTCCGGCACCGAGACTCCTCCTACGGATTACAGCAAGGAGGGCATGCATCATCATGGCAGTTCCAATACCCAGCAAGAGTACTCCTCCGACGACGAATACGAGAGCGACGACGAGGATATCCCCAGCGACGACGAGGACGACGAGGATTACGTCGACGAGTAACCCTGTGATACCCTCTCCCGGATCTGCTGTGGTCTCTTTTTCTTTTTTCTATTTTTGTTTCTGTGTGGTGGAGCTAAAAAGCTCTTGCTGTTCTTCGACTCCAACGGCTGTCAGTTTCTGTTGATATCAAATCGAAGTGCAACAAGAGGAAGAAAATACCAAAAAAAAATTTGCTTTTCTGTTTTTCTGCATCAACGTATTGGAGACTCGCCTGCGGGCTGGAGTCAAGGGATTGTTTTTTTTTTTCATATGGTCTGTGGGTTCTCATATCTTTTGTATCGGTGTTTGTTTTGTATCATTTTGAATATCAAGAGCCAGTAGGCTTCATTATTACTATTAAAATCCTTCTATATATACACAATCGTAGCTCCTATTTACAATTTCAATATTCTCAGCGCATTAACAATGCGGATAGTAACAGTATCTGGGTCCAACAAGTCCACCAACAGAGGCAAAGGCGCTCCAGGAACGCTTCCCGCGATAGCGAATCTCAGCGCGTGGAACACCGTCGTCGGTTTATACCCAGATTCTCTGGCGAAGAACTTGATTTTCGCATCAATCTCCTCAACCGAGGGCACATTTTCAGCACGGGTCCACCAGACTGCAAACTCCTGCAAAAATTTGACCGCGTCGTCACCTTCTCGTGTGATTGAAAGGTCGGAAATGTAGTCCATGCCTTCTTTGCTTCCGTAGCTTGGTAGGTCTGTGAATGCATAGGACGCGACGTTCGGAAGTTCAGGAAGTGTTTTGAGCGAGCCTTTGAAGACGGTAAGTACCTTTTCAATGTACTCGACTTCAAATTTGTGCTTGTGCTGTTTCTTGGTGGAAATATCCGAAAACTTCGAGATGAGAGCCGGCTGAATCTCCAGGGCTAATTCCCGCCGCTTTTCAGGATCTTCAATCCGCGTGCGCAAAAAGTAGCTATTAAAAAACTCAAGCTTTGATTCAGAGACTTTGGCGTTTCCCTTTGTCAACCCGTTCAGATTGAAATTTGCAATCAGATCCTTCATCGTCATTATTTCGCCCATAGCAGTCGCCTCCCGCTTCTTCTTCTTGTTCGTCCCGTTCTCTTGCGCCCCTAGCGGCGGTGACCAGCCATACAACGCGACAAAATTCACCAGCGCCTCTGGTAGGATTCCATTCTCTTTGTACGCCTTGATTCCCACATCGCCAGTCCGCTTGCTGAGCTTTTTGTCTTCAAGCGATGTGAGTAGTGGGATATGGATGAACTCCGGAGGCGTCCAGCCAAACGCATTATAAAGTGCTAGATGTTTCGGCGTGGAAGGCAGCCACTCTTCGCCCCGAATGACGTGGGTGATCCGCATCAGATGATCGTCCACCACGTTGGCGAGGTGGTAAGTGGGAAATCCGTCGGTCTTGAACAGAACTGGATCGTCATATCGCGGGTCCGAGTAGTTTGACTGGACTTGCAGGTCGAGCTCGCCGTGTAGGAGGTCCTTCATGACCGGGTAGCTTTCCGGAGCCTTTAGGCGGATTGTGAAGGGTTCGTTCGACGCGGCTTTCGCAGCTGATGTCTCGTGATCGATGTGGTAGCAGTAACGGTCGTATGTTGCCATGGAGGGCGGTTTCATCTTCTGTGCCGAATCTCGCAGTTTATCCAACCGGTCTTTGGTACAGAAGCAGCGGTAAGCATGTCCACTCTGCAGATTTTTCTGATTAGCATATAGCAATTCTGAATCCGCCCGGATTTTATCATGTACGCACCTCGAGCAATTTCTCAGCATACTCCTTGTAAATCCCCAGCCTTTCGCTCTGCCTGTACGGCCCACACTCCCCTCCAACCTCCGGCCCTTCATCCCACTCCACACCCGCCCACCTCAACGCTTCATAAATATCATCCTCAGCTCCATCTTTCTTCCTCGTCTGATCCGTATCCTCAATCCGCAGCAAAAATTGTCCACCTGTAGCTCTCGCCAGTAAAAAATTATACAACGCAGTCCGCAATGACCCGAGATGAACAAATCCGGTCGGCGACGGAGCGAATCGCGTTCGCGCAGGCGTAGTCGGATGCCCGTCCTTCTCAGCCAACGGCCCGACTTTCTTCCGCCCGGCTCTCCGCGACGCAGTTATCGACCGGATATCAGGAGCGGTCGAGTAGCTCCTCAGTAAAGACCATCGCAGTCTCAAACATCCTCGTGTAAGTATCATAATTGTAATCTCTCCACCACCATTCCTGTTCCACTTCACGATAATCCTCGAAAATATTCATACTGCCCGGGAATAAATCACGTGACATTTAAAAGTCCCAACGCGTCAGAATTTATCGAAAATAGTTTGTGGGAAATATTTCAGCAGCGTAAGCAGCGGTTGAGATCGTGTTTGTTATCAAACTATTCACAGTATTAGATATCTGGTGCTTTATCGCTGGGTAGTTAGTGAACGGATCCTAGATTTCTTCATACTGTGCATCGTCGCGGACTATTGTTCGACGGAGAAGTTTTACGATTTGATATAGAACTCTCAGCAAGCACGACATCATGGAGGAAGACCTCTACGCCGTTCTTGGCGTACACAAAACAGCAACATCAGCTGAAATTAAAAAGGCATACCACAAGGCTGCACTTGCTTCACATCCTGACAAAGTCCCAGAAGAAGAGCGCGAGGAGGCCGAGGTGCGATTTAAAGTCGTCAGCCAAGCATACGAGATCTTGTCAGACGGTGAGTTTATATGACTATTATTCAGAATATCTGTGTAGCCATTAGCTAACTAGATGATCCGCCTAGATTCACAAAGAAGTCTATATGATAGACATGGCATGGATGCATTCACAAAGGGACGCGCTCCCTCCTACGAAGACGACTTCCAAGACTTCTTCGGCTTTGGCGGCGGCCCCGGCTTCAGAGACAACGGCTATGGCGGTTCCCAATTCGGTTCAAAACCACGGACCGAGAACGCACAGTTTGAAATCTCCATATCACTCAAGAACGCGTATATCGGTAAGACCGAGAAAATGTCAATCAAGCGCAATATCGTGTGTCAGACGTGTAAAGGCAGTGGCGCAAAGAGCACGGCTAAGCCGCGTAAATGCGGCCATTGCAAGGGTGCCGGTGTGGTACCGGGACATATGCCTATCGGTGGCGGGATGAGTATTCAGGTCAATCGAAACTGCCCTGTTTGTGCTGGAAGTGGCAACATTGTGAAGGACAAGGACAAATGCAAGAAATGCAAGGGCAAGATGATCCTTGAGGAAACCAAGATCATAGAGGTTTACATTCCTCCTGGAATTCAAGATGGAGAGAAGATTGTCAAAAAGGGAATGGCTGATGAAGCTGTTCGTCAGGAAACCGGCGACATCATTTTCATCATCAACATTGAAAAGCACGACCAATTCACACGCGTCGGCAACGATCTTCGCGCGACTATCAACATCACCCTAGTCGAAGCTCTGTGTGGACTCGATCGGCAAATAATCCAGCACCTGGATGAGCGTGTTCTACGTCTGAAAGTACCCCCAGGCAAAGTCATCTCGCCTGGCAAAATCCTGCTAGTGGAAGGCGAAGGCATGCCAATCAAGAGCGGACCCAACGCCGGCGGTCGGGGCGATCTATATCTCGACATAGATATCGAATTCCCGAAAGACAACTGGTTTGCAGACAGATCAGAGATGCGGAGGGTAGCCGACTCTCTTACATTCCCGCCGTCCAAGCCGGTTTATACTCCGAAGAGTGAGACGGACGCGCCGCCGATAGAAGACATGGTTGCGTTTAATCTTGTCGACTCGGATGCGGAGTTTGGTAAATATGAAGGATATCATGGTGAAGACAACGAAGATGACTGGGATGATGAAGAGGAAGAACAAGGTGCGGAATGCGCTACGCAATGATTATATAGAGTCTATACCGCCATCTGTAAAAACATATGAATCTCCTACATTTTTATTACGTTCTGGGCACGGTTAATCTATCGTTAAAAGCTCAATTATTTTGAATGATTTAAACATCAAATGCACAGCAATAACATGCTAAAACTTTTGGAACCCAAAACACCGCTCATTTCTTTGCATTCCGCTTCAAAGCACGCATCTCCTTCTTCATACGCGGATCAACCATCTTATAACGTCCCTTGACACCACCAGGCCGACCATGGATACCACGGTTCTTGCCCTTGGCAACCACCAACTTAACCTCAGTCTTGGGTGACTTCTTAGTCGCTTTACGCATGAGCTTCTGAATAGCCTCCGCCTTCTCCTTCTCAGACTTGTTGGGATCCTCGATAATGAGATCGGATTTCTTGCGCATACGGGTGATTCTGCGAGTCGCCTTCATTTTCTTTCGAGCCTGAGCCTCCATGACCTTCTTGATAGGTCGGGCGTTAAGTGCCCTGAGCTTACTCTGGATGGCAGCAGCAGCCTCAGCAGTGATAGGCTTGACCGGCTTACTGAATCGGTCTTCGTCATCCAAAAACCATGTCGGCAAGCCATCCCGATCACGCATTGAGTACCGATTATAAGAGTCGTCAATGATATCAGCCTTGGACTTTTCTTTGAGAGCAATCTGGTGCGCCAAAGTCATGGCCTCGGCAGTGATGATGTCAACGTTCGCCTTGTCGTCGGGTTCTTCCTCATCAGAATCAGAATCAGTGTTCCACGAGTCCTCGTTCTTTGGCTTGCGGCCCTTGACGACCTCGAACGAAGTCTTCTTCGGAGCGTTCTCAACATCATCCTGAGCATCGGCAGAAGCCTTGGCCGAAGGTTTCTGCTTGGACCGGAGGGCAACGATCTTGTTGATTGCTTCATCGTCATCGCTATCAGACTCATCCAGACCAGCAACGTCCTTGAAAACATCTTGCTTAAAGAAATTATGCGCTTGCTTGCTGAGACCGTTAATCTTGGCCTTACTATCATCCAGGTTCGTCAAGAGTTTTCTCGCCTTTGGCTCTCCCTCTTCGCTATCGCTCTTCTCACCATCGTCACTCGACTGGTAGCCTTCGTCAAAGATAATTCCGTCGTCATCATCGTCGTCCGACTCAGCAGTCTCAGGCTTCTCTTCGATTCCGTTCCATTCTTCGTCGAGAATCTCGTCTCTGAGACGCTTCATGCGATACTTTGCGTCGGCCTCAGCTCGTCTCTCCCGGAATTTGGTGTACATATTATCCAGCTCGTCCTCAAGCCTATCCGCATCCTGCAACGGGTCCTCACCAATCTCGATCTCGGTGACTTCCTTCTTCTTGTCTTCATGCACAGCGAGCATGTTCATCTTTCCCTTTGCCAGCGTATCGATCTGTCCACTCTTTTCAACTTCTTTCAAGCTGAAAAGCTGATCAGATCCGACTTGCGCTGCCTCGATACCAATATCCACTGGATTGAGCATTCCGAGCTGCATTCGCGTGATTTCCTTGGTTTTTTGCTCATTCTTTCGGCGACGCTCTCGCTTAAGTCTGCTGGCCTCGCGTTCTTCCATAGTCTGTAGCTCGTACTCAATTTTCTCATCCTCAGTCATATCTTTGGTAGGATCTTCGGGTTCGGGAGTAGGCTCTTTAACGGCAGAATCGATACCGAGAGCCAGTCGACATTTAAGGCGCCACTTCAACAGACCACGGAAATCTTTCTTGCCAAGGACTTTCAGATCCTTGATAGCTTCTTTTATTTCCGTTGTTGTATCAGGGAGTTTTCGCACAAGCCTGAGATCTTGCTTCAACTCCTCCTCAGTCTTCGGGGTTGGCTTTGGTTCACTGGGCTCCTCCTCGTCATCCTCTTCTTCGGCGGGAGACTTCTCGTCTTTATTGACGGTAGGCACGTCCCAAGTGAGCTCAGACATACCTCCAAGACTTGCGATAGGATCCACATTTGTAATAAAGTCAAGGACACTCATCATCTTATGCTGCAAGTAATCACCATCCTCGTAACCATCTCTCTTTCTTTTCTTCTTCTCTGGATTGAAAACCTTGGCTTCAAAATTAGGGGTAGGGTCCGTCAAATCTTCAAAAACTGATCGAGGATCGAGAAACTTGGGATCAATCTTCTTTGGCGCCTTGTAACCTCTGCAGACAACGAAAATCTCGGCGGAAACGTTTCGCGAAGCGGGTGGCTTGGTGGCGTCGACCTTGTTGAAAAGCTGGTTAAACACCCATAGCAGATTGTTGTAATCCTTCGATCTGAAGACTTTGGTGACGAAGTTGCCGCCAGGCATCAAAAACTCGGTCGCAAGCTTCAGAGACTGCAACACGAGCTCAGACTGTGTGAAGGCATCCTGTACCCAGGCAGTACCGACGTTGGGAGCTCCGTCGTGAAGCACACAGTCAGCCTTCCAGGTCTTCAGATGCTGGCGCAGCTGAGCACGACATTTCGAGGATGTGATATCTTCCACAAAGGTGATGACTTTTGGGATCGGTTTGATCGGGGCAAGATCAACTCCGATGATCAGAGAATTGGCAGGGCAGAGAGCGGACGCAACTTGACACCACGACTGGATTGAAAAAACTTGTTAGCAAATCTTCGACCGTAATGAATAGTACTTTCACAAGGATGAGCCACATACACCAGGCGCAGCACAAAGATCGATAACGACTTTGGATTTCTCGAGAAAATGGTCGTATTTCTGATTGATTTGCAGGATCTTGAAAGCAGCACGAGCACGATATCCCTGTATGGTTGATGGTTAGCTATCTAAAACTTTGATCACCAAGTCGACACTCTACGAGGCTGTGCAGTCATACCTTCTCTTTGGCCAAACGGTAGTAGTGGTCCAAACGTCCCTTTCCGAACTTCTTCTGGCTTTTACCCATTGTTTGCCACTGCTCGGAGGAAGGAGAAAAAGATACTGAAAGACAGGTAAAATGCAAGCGGAGAGAAAAAAATATTTTTGCACGCGCCGCGTTGGGACTTTAGAGCACACGAAACCCTTCGTTTATAACATTTTCAGATAAGGTTTGCGCATTGTTACTCCAAAATGAATCTGTCGTAGCTGCCATCTTTGCAGCAGTTCCGCTATCCACGGGCGATGGACGACAACGAGGAGCAGGACACGACGTTCTATTCGTCTGGGCGACTCTTCAATGCCGCCAGAAGCTGGCTGTTTCATGCCAACTACTCTCTTCCTAAGCGACCGTACGATCGCTCTTTCAGCTACTCTGACCTTGCAAATAAGATTGAATATGTATGTGAGGCTTGACTTATCCGGGATGCCCGAACCGTGCTAACAGAGGGGATAAGGCCTTTACGATACTACAGTACTTGGGGTTTACCAACATCATAACCTTGAATGATCTCTACAACTATAACGAATGCTTGCAAGGAGTTGGCGACCGACAGCGGAAGCTGTTCATGGCCTGGGAACTGATTTACTGGTTCCCTAGAGATGCGAAAGGGTACTTGCTTGCGATAAAGTACTATCTAGAGGAAAACAGTTTCGAAGCGGCATTTTCTGTTTTGGAGCAAGGAACTGCTGCTGCGGGCGATGCAGTGGCCAAGCCAGGGAGGTCTATGGTATGTACCCTTTATTTCTACCCCAATAGTTCGTGTATTGAGCTAACTTGAGCCAATCTAGTACATGAAGCATACATCCAAAAATAATATTCAAAGAAGCACGGAGAGAAGAAATGATTCAAATAAGCTATCGTTGGTATCCTCGGACTACGAGACCGCCACCAAGGACCCCATTATCGCTTTACCGTCCGATATCATTACAGACATTTTCTTGAGGATTCCGTATGGCGAGCGTTTAATTTTACGAAGGGTCTCAAAGTCCTGGAATAGCGAATTGCTATCGAACCGTATACTCTGGCAGCATATTGACTTCCGTAGCGGGAAGCGGCCGGTCCGCTTAGCTGATGCTGAACGATCCATTGCACTTGCGGATGGGGCGATTCAAGAACTTTACCTGGAGAAAATACTCCGTCCTGAAGAATCTCTTTGTGTCGATGCATTTTTGGAGGCCGCAGAACAAAACCCAGGGGCATTAAGACGTCTTGAGCTGAATTGCTATGCTCCGCACTTCTTGACGAAGGATCCCGACGGGCCGTCTATCATGGGCGGAGAGGCGCGAATGAACACTCTTCTGAACCTCACAAGTCTGAAAATGGCTCTTGATCAGTCAGAATATTTTGTCAATGATATATTGGATCGAGTGACGCTTCCGAATTTGCAAGATCTGTTTTTCTATGCTGATCAGCATAGACATGTTGAGACGCGCAATTTACGCTATATCGTTAGAGCTCGCACTTCTATCAGTGAGCAACCCCTTCCAAATCTAAAAAAATTCAGAATTGGCTCGCAACTTGAAATTGGGTCGTTCGTGGAAAGATCAGACTTCCCAAGAAATCATTACTTTAACCCGCTTCGTGAAATGGTTACGATTGCGCCCGGTTCATTAAATGATTTAATCGCACTGATGCCCAATCTCGAAAGTCTCGAAATTAAAAGACTATTCATGGAAGGAGTGCTCGACTTGTCTAGTTATCTCAGACTTAGATATGTGAATTTGTCACAGTGCGTACTTCACGAGACTCCGTTGATACCCGAGGGCTGCAAGACTTTGATCCTGAACTCTTTGCTCGTTGGATTTCTTGAAGAACTAGACTTTCTCATAGAGAACGCCAGATCAATTGAGAAGCTTGACTTTAGTGGTCAAGAAGACCGTGTCAGCATGTCAATCGTCGAGCAGTTCAGCCTTCTCAGTCCAGAAGTCTTCACAGATCTGAGTCTTCGTCTAGTCTGGAGAGACTTTGAACCAGATACGGTTTTAAGCCATAGCGTCCCTTTTCCGGGTTCTGATCTTACGCCGATGATACGTGGCGGGACACCGTTTGATTATATGATTCACTATCTACCAAACATTAAGAGATTGGATCTGAGCTGCACCGCAGTCACAGACCAAACCATGAGGAAAATAAGTGGTCTTCAGCGTTTGGAGTATCTTGATGTTTCGGGAACGAAGATCTCATTGAAAGGTGTTTTTGACCTGTTGAAACCGGAAGTGAGCGGGTCGATGGTGAATGATTCGCAAACCTGGCGCTCGATGAGAGAGCATTGGAGAGCCACGACAAACGTGAAAACCATAATCTTGAAGAAGTGCCCGCGTATTGATAGAACATCAATAGCCTGGCTAGAGGAACATGGTATCACGACAGGCTCGAAGCTCAGCGACTATCCTGAGTGGGCTCATCTGAAATTGTGGAAACCTGAATGTCTTTGACGAAAGTATCCCTCGATTCTTGCGATGAAGAGAATGATCTCGTATGTGTTCCAGATAATGGATTTGCCTTCACATCTACTTACTGGACTAACTGATGCGTATCTAGCAACTATATAAAGTGTTAGCTAGGGCACTTCACAACACTACAGGGAGACAGGATAGTTCAGATGAGTTATCATCGGTACCCATGGACTGCGAGACCGCCACCAAGGACCCTATTATTGCTTTACCGTTCGATATCATCACAGACATTTTCTTCAGGATTCCGTATGGCGAGCGGCTGATTTTACGAAGAGTCTCAAAGTCCTGGAATAGAGAATTGCTATCGAACTGTATACTCTGGCAGCACATTGACTTCCTTAGCGGGAAGCGGCCGGTCCGCTTAGCTGATGTCGAACGGTCCATTGCGTTTGCGGATGGAGTTATTCAAGAACTTTACCTGGAGAAACTATTCCGTCCTGAAGAGTCTCTTTGTGTCGATGCGCTCATGGAGGCTTCAGATCGAAACCCAGGAGCATTAAGACGTCTTGAGCTGAATTGCTATGCTCCTCACTTTTGGACTATGGATCCCCATGGGTCGTCTTCCATGGGCGGAAAAGTGCGCATAGATACCTTTTGTAACCTAACAAGTTTGAAAATTGCACTTGACCAAGCAGACTATTTTCTCAGGGAGTCGTTGGGTCAGGTGACGTTTTCGAATCTGCAAGAGCTGTTTATCTATGCCGACAGGTATAGACATTATAATAGGAGAGGTTGGATCAGAGCTCCTACCGGTCTTGACGGTGTACCATTTCCAAATTTGAAGCTGTTCAAACTCGGTTCGCAACTAGCGGAGGAGGCACTCCAGGAATGGGAGTTATCATATATTGGACCGGTGAGGTATCTTAAAATATTGATGGACCAGAGGTTGTTGCATGTTTTGATTGCAATGATGCCTAATCTTGAACATCTTGAAATCATAAGAGTAGCAGCGGGTGACTCCTCGGGGAGGGCTGTGAAAGCTGTACCCATGTATCTTTCTAGGCATTCCAGACTTACCTATCTGAATCTGACACAGAGTTCTCTGGATCGTAATCCTCTGCTTCCCAAAAATTGCAAGACGTTGATCTTAGACTCTTCAGATGTTCCCACTTTCGCAACCATCTTTGACCGCTCTCATCTCGATTATGATAGAGAGGCGTTTGAAAAGCAGAGCGGATCTATTGAGAAGTACGATATCAGTCGGCAAGAATCGCTCTCGAACTACGAGGTCATGCACCAACTCTCACTTCTCAATCCGGAAGCAGTCACGGATCTGAGTCTTCGTCTGGTGTGTAGACATTTTTGGCCAGATGACCGACGTAGGATGTCTGGTATCGCGCGTACCTTGTCAAGGGGAGTCACTGTCCCCGATATGTCACCGATTGATTATATGCTTCAGCAATTACCGAACATTGAGAGATTGAACGTCAGCTGCACCAGAGTCACGGATCTGGCGATGGACAAAATAAGCCGTTTCCAGCGTCTTGAATATCTTGATGTCTCGGGAACGGCGGTGACGCTACAAGGTGTGCTTTATCTGTTGAACCCGGAAGTAAACGGGTCGAAGGTGAACAATTCGCAAACCTGGCGCTGGTCCGATGAGCCGTGGAGATCGACGACAAACTTGAAGACCATAATTTTGAAGAAATGCCGTCATATTGATGAAAGTACAATGGAATGGCTAGAAGATCATGGTATAACGACAGGCTTGAGACTCAGTGACGATCCTGAATGGGTTCATTTAAAGAACTGGGACTTTAAAGATATGAATCACTTTAGATGAAATGATGAGTGGACGGTATTCGAGTGATGATTCAGTTTATACATGGACTTGACCAAGAGGACGAGAACCGATTCAATTATTGTTAGATCTACGGATTGCTTGGTTATGTGAGCATCAAACTTCTTTTTGAATTATGAATAGCTATTCGTCAATATAATGTGATTGTTATCTGCGTCGCCTATGAATATCTGATTCAACCACAAGAATATCGAGGATTTGATCATGCTCCTCTCTGGGCAATTCAGACTCGGATTCTAGTCGCTGAATGATCTGCTCACGAAGAGCGATACCGACTGCTCAGTACATGGTTAGTCAGTAAACGGGCAAATACAACAAGAAAATATCTAAATCGCTTGAGAAACGAATCAGGTATAAATATTCAATAATAACTTACCTAGTAATGGCTTTGATGCGTTTTCTCTGGCGTCAGACCACGCGTTGTGAAGTCCGATATATGTATCATAAAACCCTTTTCCCCTACCGATGCGATCACACGATTCATTAAATACCAAGCCTGGCACAATGATTATATCGAGCCCGTCTCCTTCAAATGCTATACAAAACATGATTTTAGTACCTCTGCAACTGCTTTATATGCAAAAAAGCAGTTAGGAAAGTGAAAATACCATCTTCATTTTCTGTGGGTGGCTCTCGTATTATAAAACTATGAGCGTCGTTCTCGGTCTTTAGCTCTGCGACTGAGGCATAGTCTGGCATTTTCAGCATCTTTAAGAATGACTTTGGTGTGAATATCGACTCAGAACTATCCTGTTGATGCGACAGTGTTTTGTAGAATAGGTCTTTCAAGCCATGAGTCAGTTCAGAATCAGGAACGATTCGAGGTAAAAACACACTTTTTCCTATGTCAAACCAGCTTAATTAGCATTCACAATATTAAGACAATTGAAAGCAACAAAGAAGAGAGATACCGTCCTCGAATGCGTTCTGAATCATCAGATCAGTCTGCACTTCGACGCTCCGACCGCTTTTTCGAGGAACTGAAGTAGACACTTCCATGTGCATGTATAATCCGATATTCCGAGCATCCTGGTACTCAGGCAATTTTCTGATTGTATCCGCGACAGTTCGCGCTGGAAGAAGAAAAAGCTGAGCTCAATTGATTTGAGGAGGCATATGTTGGAGTATCGAGTACGTACATTGATCCGCGATGCTTTCATATGGAAGCAACCTCAGACGGTCGCTGACTATCTTTCGCGCCGCCTGTTTGCGTGCAGTAATTGCTGCCCGCTCCACAGAAGCAGTCGATGGCATTCTCGAAACTTCGGGAGAGTGTGGAGGAGTGAGCCATCAGATTGAACAATCAGAAATGACATTGCGGAAGCTTGGACTCATCTGAGCTGGGAGTTTGAAAAAAAGTGAATGTTACATAAAAGCTTAGTCATCATAGAAGGAAGCAGACTGGCTGGGCTTTGCGTAGGGCGTAGCGTACTTGGGAATATAGGCTCGTGGCTCAAGTAGCTCTTCAAGTATAAGTGAGGCTATAGATAGCTTAACGTGCTGTACAGATAGAACGGATTGCATTCTATATTATTTTAATATATGGCGACGATAACGGAGGACGTGGGGAATCAGAGAGGTATCTAGAATCGCCATATGAAGTCGTTTATAGAAGAGCTTCGGAGATAATAGCGGAGCTGATGAGCTTATGGACGATCAGTTTCCTAATCAATCATCCATGAATCCCGTTGAAGTTGAATAAACTAACAACTTTTCCTGCCAGCAAAAACGGCTGAAACGGGAATCTGGATACTCGATCGGACTTGCAACAATCAGCCATGACGGGAGAGGCTACCGTGAGGCGGCATTTCCGCTGGTTATCTATACTCTGCGAACTTTTAACCGGTGTTGAGTCACTACGAGGGAAAAGAAGACTGGTAGTTGATGATGCTGATTGTGAGTCCTTTTGTACCCTGAGCTGCGCATCTATTAACAGACCAATTGCTCATGGACGAGTTCAACGCTGCCTGATAGGATGTTGGCAAGATATTCTCTTATCGCAGCACGAACAATAAATGGTTTGTGCGTTCGGCTAGTATGTAAATTTCTGGTGACTGAGAAACAGTTAGCAGCCTTGGCTCGGTGGGTTGAGAAGAATAAGGTCAATGCGATAGCCCACGCACTTGGACCACACAGCTCTTTCTCTTATCGCGAGCCAAGACGCTTAGTCGGGATTGTGCACTAGCACTGGCACCTCTGGAAACAGGATAGCTGCAGCAGCAAGAATTCATGTTCCCAGTCTGTGCTGCCAGACGCGATACTGCACGGATGCTGGCCTGGTCTCTCTGGAGTAGAGAAACGCTCGGGTACAGCGGTTTGCGGAGAAAGCTCATATATTATTCGTGTCAGCCTCGCGGTATGATTTCGGATTATGAGCATCTCCACGCCACCAGGACAATGGCTTCAGGAGCGTAGAATTGCTGCAATCGGTAAAGTCGGGTCGGATAGTTTGATTAGACAATGGCGGGTACTGATAACAGCGGATGGAGGTACGCGTACCTTTCCACTATCGGTTTCAGGGCAAGGACATAGTCTTCTTTTGGCATCGGCCCTGAGTCTCCTTCTTGACTCTTCATCCATCTGCACCATTTGCTAGTGAGTGCGGTGACTGTACTCATAACTACTCAATTCATTATAACAGATATTCCAGTCTTCGGCAGCTTCCTGCTCTCATATCATGTGAATACTTCCAGGAGCAGATATGAAATACCCCAGCAGGTGCGTGCCGATAAGGTTAAGCACGGTGATAAGCACAGGCCGCATTGTTACATCACCTCCCAACTCGCCCGATAAACCGCCCAGCGATAGACGCAGGGATGCGAGGAGAGGTTAGAGAACTTGGCCTGAATGCCACTTCATGCAGTTGTTTCTTTCAGATGCAGAACTGATATGGTTGATTTTCTTGATGGGAAAAATACATTGTCTTAAACCACACATGAATGTGATGAGTATGCCACGAGAAATTCCTCGCGAAGAGCTAATCGGTGGGCGATGCGATGATCCTTCAGTCTCTGAATCTCTACCCCGAGCTGCTGTTTCTAATATTAATTTTTTCAGAGGGCACTATCTATTGACTATTAACGTTTTATAGATGGTCTACTCAGCGTTGAGTCAGCGGGGCTGCGAAGTGTGAAAGGAGGGCGGGCTGCGAGCAAGTATAACCTCAAAACCCTACAAATATCCCTACTCGAATCTGGATCGCGATGATTCTTCATATTCACTTTCCACCTGGCCTATAATCCTAATCACTCTGCTATCTTATCCTGTATTTCTGTCATAAAATATATCTGCTACAATGTCACGTCATCGGATATCCTTATCAGACAAGACAAATAAATCTTTCTCGATACCAAGGGAGGACAAGAAATTTCGGTGCTTGCCTAGACTTTGTACTTGGCAAAGGCAACTATAGCAGTAGAGGTATCTGTGAGCTCCTCTATCTAGTGCCTAGCATCTGCCTAGCACTTTATCAAACAGTCTACTGCGCTTTATCACTAGGAGGATATAGATAAGAGACTGTCAGAACGAGGATATAAATATAGCCTGCTGCCGTCATGAGATACCGCCAATATCTGCTCATACCCCACACACTCTTCCTGATTTTAATAGATCAAAGACACTCAATATGGGCGTTCTACAGCGAATCACGGAGATTATTGACTGGTATCCGAAGGAGATGTCGAATGAGGAGCGCAAGCTTGTCAACAAGATTGACTGGCTTGTTCTGTCCTTCTCATGCTTGTCCTATTTCACAAAGAACTTGGACGTCTCTGCTCTTACCAATGCCTACGTCGCTGGTATGGATGTAGACTTGGATCTTTATGGTGATCGCTTCAGTTATGCGAATTCAATGTGTCTGTATCATGCTTGCTCTGTCGTTCACCCATCATATCCCGTCTAACCGCTTGCTTTATAGACTATGTTGGATACTGTCTGTTCCAGATTCCGTCAAACATCGTCCTCACCAGACTTAGAGCCGAGTGGTACCTTCCAGCTGCAGAGGTTCTCTGGGGTATTTTCACACTGGGCACCGCTTTTATCAAAAACTACAAGCAGCTTATGGTTCTCCGCTTCTTTGTCGGATTTTCCAGCACGGCGTGCTGGGTCGGAAACGCCCATATCGTCAACTCGTGGTATACTTCCCAAGAACTCGGAAAGCGCAATGCAATCTATTCTTGTGTCTGGCCTCTGGGTTCTATGTTTGCTGGTTATCTCCAGTCTGCGGCTTACAACAACCTCAACAATACAGGAGGACTTGCAGGCTGGCGTTGGCTGTTTATCATCTGCGCAATCATCACGATTCCGATTTCATTGATTGGCGTCATTTTCTGTCCGAACGTGCCTGATCGCACTCATTCCAGATTTTTGAACGAACGAGAACGTGAGCTTTGCGTCAGCCGTCTTGCAAAAGATGGGTTTGGAAAGTCGCGCGGAGTTGACAGGACACTGGTCAAACGAATCTTTGGAAACTGGCGGATCTACGTCTTATTCGTCGTCGGAAATCTGTTTTGGATGACTCCCTATCCTTCTGGTATCCCTTACACGCTTTGGCTTGACTCTAATCCAAAGTACGGTGTTTCGATGGTCAACAATCTCTCGACAATCACATACGCGGCCCAGATCGTGTCGAATATGGTCTCGGGCTGGTACTCTGATTACCGCAGAAACCGATGGGAGCCAATGTTGTATGGCGGAATTCTGATCTTGGTGTGCAACGTGTTGCTACTTGTGTGGAAGATTCCTAACGGTGCCAAATTCTTTGCATTCATCGGTCTCGGTGTCGCAAACGGCCCTACCAATCTCTGCGTACCTTGGATTGCCGAGGTTTTCTCTCATGACGTCGAAGCGCGATCGGCGGCGATTGCGATTTTAAACGTCGGCTGGGTTGTCATCAATCTTGTCGTTCCGTTGGTCGCGTGGCCTACAAGCGCAGCGCCTGAGTTCAAGGGCGGATATATTTGGAGTGTGATTATGTCTGTTATCCAAATGATCTTGCTTCCTGTTCCGGTGTACCTTCTCCGAAGAGAGAAGAAGATGGGTATTGATTACCACAAGAAATCATGGGCTGATGTTGAGGACGTGGTGGTACTCGAAGGTATTGATCTCAGCGACCAGGGCAGCGAGAGCGGTAACCAGATCGCTACGGCTATTACTCCGCTATCCTACAAGGAAGACGCAGAGAAGATGAGTGCTTCGGGTGAAATTGACTCTGCGGATACTATGAAGAAGGACCAGGTCGAGGTGTCTGTGAAGGGCGAATAGATCGATGAATTAAGTCCGAAGTTGTTTCTTTTATTTTTATGGTTCGTTTTAGTGTTTCTGTTGGTGTTGAGTCGGTGTGTTTTGCCCTGAATTTTGTCTTTTCTTTGTCTCTTAGATGCAGAGTCTCATAACAATGTTGCGTTTCCCATTGTCTGTGCGTATGCAGGTCGCTATTCAGGAGGAAAATACTGCCTCTACGAGCGAAAACATCCCTATGCTCCTCCTGTCAGGCAAGAAACTGCAGAGGACGAGGACGTGCAGAGGGACCAGGACCAGGACCAAGAGAGATAGGATAAAGGTCTTGGCACGCGTTATCGATAGACGTGGTCAGGATTAGAGTTTTAGTTGGTGCGATTTGAGACATAATTGTTCTTATCAGCGTCGAGTTGGGTTGAACACAGGCTGGCGGTTTAAGAGAAGTCAGAGCAGTCAGAGCAGTCATCGGCGAGTCGCCCGGTTCTGGCTGGAAGAAGGTCTTCACCAGCCAACAGTCCTGCCGCACACCCCTCAATTATCACCTCACAAGCAATCGCCTAATCCGCTCAAGCCAGGCGGAAAAAGACAATGGGGCACTAGCACCGGCAGCCGTGCGCAAAGCCTAACCCGGACGCTGGCCGCACGCTGCGTCGGAGCCCAGCCGACAGAGAGGCGGCATTAAGAAAACCTTGTGTCTCCTTTGTGCTCTCCCGAAGGTACCTGCTCCATCTCCTCACTAACACCACCGTACCTCTGCTCTCTATCGCCTGCCTTATCTCCTCTTATCATCTAAACTAAATAACAATATGCGTCGACTCCTCCTCAGCCAGATCAGAGGCGTATATAAACCGCGGCTGGTCCCGCCCGAGGCCAAGCATAGGACATTGCACTTGGCTCGTCTTGTCTCTTGGCTCCTTGTCCCTTCACCGCCCTAAAACCAGCCCCCACCTCCTCCCTCACCACATCCCCCACCACATCCTCCACCATGACTTCCGTCTATGAGCAGAAAACCTACTGGTACTCCAAGGCCGCCCACAAGTTCGCCGAGAAGATCGACTGGTATCCCAAGGAGATGTCGATGGAAGAGCGCGCCCTCGTCTTCAAGATCGACTGGCTCGTTCTCTCCTTCTCATGCCTGGCCTACTTCACCAAGAACTTGGACGTCTCGGCATTGACCAACGCCTACATCTCCGGTATGGACGTCGATCTCAAGCTCACCGGTGACCGTTTCAACTATGCCACTTCCATGTGTATGTCCTCCCTTCGACTTCTTACCCGAGACACATACTAACTGTATACATAGACTACGTCGGCTACTGCCTCTTCCAGATCCCCTCCAACATCGTCCTCACAAAGCTTCCCGCCCAGTACTACCTCCCCGCTGCCGAAGTCGCATGGGGTCTCTTCACCCTCGGCACCGCCTTCATCAAGAACTACAAGCAGCTCTACGTCATGCGATTCTTCGTCGGACTCACCGCGACCGCCTGCTGGGTCGGCAACGCCCATATTGTAAACTCGTGGTACACTCGCCAAGAACTTGGCAAGCGCAATGCCATCTACCAGAACGTCTGGCCTCTCGGCGCCATGTTCGCCGGATACCTGCAGTCGGCGGCCTACAGCAACCTCAGCGGCCATGGCGGTCTCGAGGGCTGGCGTTGGCTCTTCATCATCTGCGCAATCATCACTATCCCATGCGCTATCGTCGGCGTTTTGTTCTGCCCTAACGTCCCCGATCGCTGCACCTCGAGATGGTTGTCTGAGCGCGAAAAGAAGCTCGCCGTCGACAGACTTTTGCGCGACGGTTTCGCAAAGACCAGAGGTGTCGACCGCAGCTTGTTCATGCGTATCTTTGGCAACTGGCGAATCTACGTCCTCTTCGTCGTCGGAAACCTCTACTGGATGACCCCGTACCCTTCCAGCACTCCCTTTGCGCTCTGGCTCGACAGCCAGCCCAAGTACTCCAAGCCTATGGTAAACAACCTGTCGACAATCACCTACGCCGCACAGATCGTTTCCAACTTGGCCTGCGGCTGGTACTCTGACTACCGCCAGAACCGCTGGGAGACCATGGGCTACGGCGGCGTCCTTATCCTGATCTCCAACGTCATCCTCCTCGTCTGGAAAGTTTCCGACGGCGCAAAGTTCTTTGCTTTCATCGCCCTCGGTGTCGCCAACGGACCCACCAACCTCATCATTCCCTGGCTCGCAGAGTTTATGTCGCACGATCTCGAGGCGCGCTCGACCTCGATCGCAATCGTCAACGTCGGCTGGGTCGTCATCAACCTCGTCGTCCCGCTCGTCGCGTTCCCGACGTCCAAGGCACCCCGCTACCTCGGAGGTTACATCTTCATGGTCATCATGTCCGTCGTCGAGCTCATCCTTCTCCCGCTGCCGATGTATCTCCACAGACGCGAGCTCAAGAAAGGAATCGATTACTCCAAGCAGGTTATCGACGAGTTTGGCGCGGCTGGCCTTGAGGAGAAGACCGACGGTGCCAGTGCCGACGGGGTCAGTGTCGTCGATGGTGTTAGCGTCTCTGAGCTTGAGCCTCCTGTGTACTCTAGCAAGGAGGAGGAGGTCAACGAGAAGAAGGAAAAGGTTGAGGTCTCTGTTGCTTCAGTTTAATGCAGCTTAGTTCTGTATATGTTTTGTTTATTTGTTTGTTTTAGTTTTCCATAGTAACATCGCCTTTTTAACAATAATCAAAACCAAACACCATTATATGCCACTCATAGTCTGCACTTTTGATAACTCCAGCTTAAAATCTACTCGTGCCAAGGCATCATCCATGCCACTCTTCGACACCCTCCGTATAATTGCCCAATCGAGTACTTGCGGGCGCCCATCGCGTACACACACGTTTTCATCAACGATAACAATCTGCTGAGTGTATTCCGCCTTCTCTTTCGCTGGAGTCGTTTCTGCTGTCGTCGCGTAGGGATCGTACTCTGCACCAATACCACTCATCACCATACATCCAGTCAAATTAAGATCTTCAAGTGTATGAGGAAGCTTAAATGAATAATCAAAAGGCTCTGTGATTCCAACTCCGTCGTTCATATAATCAGCTTCGTAGCCGGGATTAGGTAGTCCGAGCTGGGGATAGTCGAAAAACCGAATGAGCGAGAGTCCCACGCACCAAAAATGCTCTATCTTTGGCATCCAATCCATCATCCTGATCAGAAACCGAATCTCAATCATCGGCTGCGGAATCACTATGCGATGCTTCCTAACCGTAAGCATATGCTTGTCGTCACTATAGCCTACTTTGAACACCCGCAGATTGGGAAATAACGGAGAAGCGATCTCCAAGAGCGCACGATTGATGTGCGTGCGACGAGTCCATTCGCGAACCACGTATCCGTCAAGCGCATCCTGTACCGTCCAAGTGAAATGCAGCTCCTCCAGCCTATCAAACGCAAAGTGTGGGACAAACACGGGATGCATCAGAATATCCGTCAGCGAAACAAACTCATACATGGGAAGCTTGAAGCTCCGCAGCGACCGCAAGACATTGAGAGCGCAGATTCTTGCCGCGGGAGACCGGGCGGCGTCGATCGCGACGCGACGAAAGCTAGAGTCCATCGCCAGGTCGGTGATGTTGTCCATCGACGGGACCTTCTGGTGCGTAAGCCAAGAGACACCACAGAGCTCTGGTGTCGTCACTGGTTCGGAGAGACGGAGCGAGATATCGTTGATGCTATTAGTGAACGCCGGCGAGACGACTTCATACGCGCGAGTATGGAACAAAAGCGAGGCGATATTCTCATCGATATGACTCATACGCCTGTCGAAAATCGAACGCTGATGCTCAAACACAATCGCGTTGACTTTGCCTCTCGAACGAGCGATCGAGCGGTAGACGGAGTTCAGGGTCACGTACTTTTGCTTCACAGCACGAAAGTCTAGTGTGCTGTATGCCGTGGGGTTTCGCTCGACATAGTCGCGCACGATTTCGTCCAGAAACCGACAGACTAGTCTGAGATCAAGGATGGAGGGATAGGTAAAGCAAGGAAGGATATCGTGTAGCCATATCTCTACCGGAAGCGATCTCAGAGTATCGTCCTTCATCGTGAGTTGGGGATGTCAGGAATGCTCTCTGGACGTAGAGTTAGCGTGGTCCAAATACTTTATAGATGACAGTACGCACGTTAAAGATCAGTGTTATAAGCCATCATCGAATAATATCGTAATGCGGTTACTCTGTGCATTTATCGCTGTTATCGCTGAGGAGCATGAACGATCAACTCTGACGCAATCGCTGTGGAGCGTAATCAACACCTGATCGAGGGTCTCAGTCCGTTGCCTTCCCAACCACCTCGCAGCGGGTTAGGTCCTTGGAGATTATACCCCACTGTTTCTGATTACTATCATGCTGCGTTCTTGAATAATACTAGAGGAGGATTAATGAGTTGGTTGAGTGTATATTGAGACTACGAGAGAATGATATACAATGACCATGCGGAAGGAACCACGGCGATGAATAAATCAACACCCTCTATTAGCAGATTCAAGACTCTACACCTGTAATTCGTAAATAAACCATCATCGTCTACAGTTCCTCATCGCTCTGATTCAATACCACGGAATAGCAAGCAAAATGCACATAAAACTAAGCAGGATATTAAATTAAGTCCGCTGCTTCTTTTTGTAGACAAATGTACGTTTTCGTCGTCTCAGGCCGAATTGAAATCCTGGGCTCGCGCATTTCAGCCCGCCCACTTCTGCGCGCCCTCCTTCCCGCTCTTCTCCCATCCCCATCAGTCCCCCACCACCACCAGCACTCCAGTTCTCGGTCCCCCAGCTCTCCAGCCTTCCAGCCTTCAGCTTGTTAATCAACAACTTCCAACAGACTTTTATTATCCCCACAGATCAATTTCACAGCCCACAGAACAACATTCAAGATGACTGTCCCCAGCTACATGCGCCCGACCAAGTCCTCTGCTGCCAAGCAGGTTGATCCTGCCTCTTTGCCCAAGAATCAACCCAAGCCCAGGCCTGTGAGTCAAACACATTCACCAAACAGTCTTTATTCGATTTCTTCTGATCCAAGCTAACAGAGTATAGTTCTACGTTGGCAAATACCCCCGCCCTACGCCTCGCAAGGCCACCCCACAGACCACCACAGTCAAGGTCGACAGACCTCCCCGCTCAACAGATGTTTTTGAGCGCCTCCAGGAGCAGACCCTTTCGTCCGCTGCCAAGATCACTGGGAAATTCGAGTCCACCGCGCTCCCTGTAAGTCCAAGTCAGTCTCGACCAGTTCTACCCTGTATACTAACGGTCTTCCAACAGTATTTCTATACCGGCGTCAAGCCCTTCGTCTTGATTCCTCCCCGCTTCCAGCGCGTCCACAGAAAGCGCTCTGCTTCCCCCGTCAGAAGAACAGTCCCCCTCGAGTTTGTCGTCAGCAAGCCAGTACTCGAGTCCAACACCCCCAGTGTTTCCAGCACTCCATCACTCGTCTATGACTCTGACTCGGAGATGTCGCTCTGTTCCCAGTCAGACAAGTCATTCGAGATCGCGCCCATCGTTTCGCAGCCCGTCGCTGTCTTCGCTTCTGGCTACGATTCCAACGTGACGCTCTTCTCTGAGACCGACCCCGACGGGTCCTTTGAAGCCGCACCCGTCAACACGCGGCCTACCGCAGAGTCTCCAGACGTGTCGCTGTCGTTTGGAGATATCTCCGAGTCGTCCGTACTCGTGCTGGTAGAGCCTGTCGAGAAGATGATCTCTGAGCCTGAGATCGCAGAGGTGCCGTTGTCGCCCTCCGCCTCTGCTCCTGCGTCCGCCGACACATCATCTCAGGACCTCCAGGACACCAACAAGTCCGCAGAGCCGGCAACAGTCACAGTCGAGATCGATATCTCAAATCCAGGCTGTTTGTCGCCCGCGGCTTCCAGCGTCAATCTCTCAGACGCGGCAAGCGTCGAGTGGACGCCCCGCGAGAGTTGCGCGTCGAGCTCTGAGCCGGCTGAACCCGAACCCCAGCCCGCCGCAGGCTCGTCTCCCACGCAGCTCGAGTTCGAGGACAGCAGCAGCAGCGACGATGATCTCGAGTCTTGTGATCTTGCTGCTCTCGTCGACAGAGTCAGTGCTTGCAGACGACTCTGGTGCGATCCCTCGACTCCCTTGACGGTTATTCAAGAAGAAGAAGAAGACCGTGAAGAAGCCCCCTTGCAAGACGCGACGAACGCGACCGTGCAGCAGCTGTCGGAGCCTATCCTCAAGGCACCCGAAGATGCGGCCTCTGATTTGGTGTCAGAGGTATTGCCAGCTGAATGCAGACCTGCTCCTGTTGTGCATGACGGGATTCTGCAGTTCATGCTGGCGGCGCAACGGACTCGCGTGTTGTTTGACGCCTTGCAGTCCTCGCGACCGGCGACGGAAGAAGAATATGAGGATTCTTCGGATGACGAGTACGAAGATGATGTATCGAAGACGCAGGTTCAGCAAGAATCTTGTTGTGGCGACGACGAGATGCATAGAGAGAGTGCTGCAACTGCTGCTTGCGATTCGAGCGATCTGGAGGACGACTCGTCGGAGTACGATAGCGAATACGAAGAGGAGCCAGAGGCCGCACTCGCGACGGCAGAGTACATTACTGCAGTTGCAGTCGTTGAGCGCAAGACTGCTGTAGATGATGAGGCGATTGCTCGACGTTGCGAGGAGGTTAATGCGCAGCTCCCAAAGTATTCGCTCGCGTTCAAGACAAGTATCGAGCGGCCACCAGTGACGAAGCTGGTCGTGAGTCCGAAGCCGAAGGGGATTCTCAAGAAGCGCTACGACATGTATTACTATCAGCGCGAGAGTGCGAAGAAGCTCAAAGACGACTATAGCCATGAGCCTATAGCGCCAGAAGTCTACATCTCGGTCTCGGACAGTGCTTCCATCCCTCGACCCCAAGCTAGAGTTCATTTCCCACCCCGACGGAAGCTGGAAGCAGTCAGGTTGATTGAGCCTAGGTTGGGAGGGGGGCCGAGTAGGTCTGTTCGCAGAAAAGGATGTTCGTCCGGGAACATCGGAGGGGTGCTAGAGCGAATATCGCAATGGTGGTCGTGAGATGCTGCCTCTGTTTCTTTTCTGTTCTGCTTTCATATCACTGAAAACCCGAAAAAAAGGTGAAAACACAAAAACCAGAAACAATATCTGCTTTCTGCTCTGCTTTCTGCTTTCTGTTCTGCTGCGTTCTGCTTTACTGTCAAGTTTATACCGTTTACAAGGAAATCAATCAAAAAAGAAAAAAAAAGAATCAAGAAATCATTAAAAAAAATACAAAAAAAGACTCAAGAAATCAATCAAAAGAAAAAAAAGGATGAAAATTACAAAACGTTGAAAAAAAAAATTTGCTTTTATTTGTTGTGTTTGTTTGTTTGTTAGTTTGCTAGTAATACCATGTTATGTTGTCTGCTTCTAAATCAATATGACCGTAGGTGGATGTGAAGTGTGGTGACTGCGGTTCGTCACGGATCACGGCTGCCTACGCGACCACTACCCTCAACTCGAGTCCAGTTTACAATATTACAGATGCGCTTATTATGATAGATTATTTGATATTCTTATTAGATATTAAGTATTACACAACCGTAATTGCAAACGATGCAGACAAAACAAAAGCATGAACAAAAACAGAAACACAACGCCAACCCAACCAATCCAACGCATTTATAAATATAAGATACTCTATACATCAGGAGCATTATTTTATCGGCCATGGTCATTACATGGCAGTGTATCCACCATCGACAGCGACATCTGTGCCGGTGACGAACGAGCTCGCGTTACTAGCGAGCCAGAGCGCGACGCCCTGGAGCTCGTGGGGCTCGCCCATACGAGCCATGGGGGTCATGGACTTCCATGTGTTGACCCAGTTCTGGTCGAAGGACTCGATGAGACCGGTGTGCATGTATCCGGGGGAGATGGAGTTGCAGCGGATCTTGTACTTTGCCCACTCGACGGCGAAGGACTTCATCATGTGGATGACGCCGGCCTTGGAGGCGTTGTATGCGATCTGAGGCTGGGGGAAGTTGACGATGTGGCCCGACATGGAGCCGATGAAGATGATGGAGCCACCGCCGCGGGCTTTCATGTATGGGAATGCGGATTGGGCGGCAAGGAAAGATCCGCCGAGGTTGATGTTCATTAGTCTTTGGAACTTGGCGTAAGGGTAGTCTTCGGCATTGTAGTTGCTGTAGAAAGAATGAGAAGGTTAGGATGAGTGATATAGTGCGGAGCGAAAGAAGGATCGGGAACATACTCTACAACGCCAGCGCTGCAGACGACGACGTCGATACCGCCGAGCTCTTCGTTGATGGTAGCAAATGCAGATTTCATCGCAAGCTCGTCAGTCACATCGACGCGGTAGAATTTCGCGTTTGTGCCAAACTGCTTGGTGAGCGAGCAAGCGGCGGGCTCTCCTACGAGAGGGTTGATGTCGATGATGGCAATGCCGGCGAGGCCGGCAGAGCAGAGAGAGGAGGCCATGGCAAAGCCGAGGCCCTGGGCGCCGCCGGTGACAACGGCGACTTTGCTGGTGAGGGCGAACTGCTGGAAGGCCATAGGGAGCTCGGCGGCGGCGGGAGCCGGGGAGGGCGGGGCCAGGTCCGAGGGGGACAGGTCCGAGGGGGAGGTGAGGGAGGGAGCAACCATGTGTTTGATATTATTAGAAACAGAGGATAGAGGCAGGTGAAGACAGTGAAGAGAAGACAGAGAAGAGGAAGAGGAAGAGGCAGACGGGGGTATTTAAGCAGAAAAAGAGCAGCGGAGGAGCGGGAAAGGTCCTGCAATAGGCAGTCTGGCCCCGTGTTGTCTTTCGGCCTCGAGCCCGCCAACGGCTGATTGAGCGTATTTTTAGTCCCCAACCCCGCCTCGCTTTCTTAGTCTGTGCGCGGTTTTCCTGTGCGGTTTTAGACCCTGCCCCGCTCCACAGGCTTCTGTCAGAATCGCTGTCGATCATTCATGCAATCTGGGTGGCAAAGCGGTGTTGATTATGAAGAAGATATGTATTCTGAAAACATACTGAATACAACGAATAAACTACAGTGTGAAAACAAGAACTCAGTCACTCTAAATCCACGCACAGGGACCGCTGCCCCGCCGGTCAGGCTCACCCAACATCACGTGGCGAGCAAAAAAATAAAGTCACGATGGTCAGAATTCGAATTCCGAAAGCGTTGAGTCGGTTAAATCGGGCCCTCATCAACCAGGCGCCTGTCTTTCCTCTTCGGGATTAGTTGTACTCCCTCGGACGCACCCTGCGGAAAAACTGATTTTCCTGCGGTTTCTTGCCGTACATGCCGGTTTCTGTTTTGTTCTATTACTTTAGTTGTGCTTTTGCTGTGTTTATCTGTCAATTTGGTTCTTTGCCTGAATTTTCTCTTCATCTCCGTAGTTCAATCTCCAATTCCACGCGCAACTGTGCCTAGAATCTTTACAACAACAAATTTATCACCTTCAATTATCCCCAGCTTATCACCAAACTCTCGTCTCCCTTCGCCCCCGCTGATCCCTTCTCCATTGTCTCCTCCGCTTATCGTATATCATATTTCAATCTCCTCAATCACGTCCTGTTTACCGAGTTCTTTCTATTATTAGCAGTCCGGTGGATCTGAGGAAACTCAAGCCGGACTAGCTAATTCGAGCAGCCATAATTCACCTCAGTCCCTGCAAGAAAGTACGCAGATTCTTCGATCTACGCCATATTAAACTATCTCTCACTCAAATCTCCCTTTTATTCTTACACCGCCATCTACACAAATCACTAATATCTGTCAGTTCTCTATTATGTATACTAATTAAAAAATAAAAATAATAAAAAACCTTGAGATTTATCCACTATGCAGGCTCCAAACACCAGTCCCCCTTACTCACAGCTCTCTTTCTCCTCCAACTCTCTCTTCCACACGCTGTGTGAAATAAGTACAAGACAAAATATGACTGAAATGAATGTCAACTCATACTATGCAACGAATAACATCAAACTGAAACAAAATAATTGACTAAAGGAGTGTCGGTTTCCTATTCTTCACTCTCACTGCACTCTTCTGCACGCCTACTGCATCTCCTCCAACGCCTGCATCTGTACCAACTCATAATACTTCCCTCTCCGTCCCAACAACTCCTGGTGATTCCCGCTCTCGACAATAGCACCCTGATCAAACACGTAGATTATATCCGCGCCCTGAATCGTGCTCAGTCTGTGCGCAATCGCAATCGTCGTCCGGCCCTTGGCCGCCACATCAAGCGCGGCCTGCACAACCTTCTCCGACTCGGAATCAAGCGCAGAGGTAGCCTCGTCCAAAAGAAGAATCTTCGGCTGTCTGATCAACGCACGCGCAATCGCAACGCGCTGCTTCTGACCACCCGACAACAGAGTTCCCTTGGAACCCACAAGAGTCTCATATCCATCCGGAAGCGACATAATAAACTCGTGGATATTAGCCTGCTTGCACGCCTCAATCATAGCCTCGTCCGAAATATCCTCATCCGGAGATCCAAGCTTGACATTGTCGCGGATAGTGCCAGCATACAGCGTCGGCTCTTGCGACACCAACGCCATATGTGATCGGTACGCATTCACGTTGAACGTCGAGATATCAACCCCGTCAAGCATGATCTTTCCAGCATTAGGACGGTAGAAAGACTCAATCAGACCGATCGTAGTCGACTTTCCACATCCGGACGCACCAACCAGTGCAACATACTGGCCACTCTTCACCGACAAGTTAAGGTTGTTGAGAACAGCAACAGTAGGTCTCGTCGGGTACCGGAAAACAACATCCTTGAACTCAATAGACCCCTTCACATCCTGAGGATCAGACCCATCCCGCGCCCACGAGTCGACAACCGGCTGGCGCATAAACAGACGCTTGACATTAACAGCCGCCAATCTTGCCTTACCCATATCAGAAGCGTACGAAAACACAATTCCCGCTCCCTGCGCTCCAAAAATGACAGACATATAGGCAATGTAAAACTCAAGCAGACCGTACTCGCGGATCCGCAAAAGGTTACCTCCCCACCAGAACGCAAGCGCGGTGATGAAGTACTGCATACCCTGAGCAATACCGTACAAAATAGCAGACTTGCGCGACGCAGCGCGCGAGTTGAGCGTCTGCGAGTGCAGAGTCTCATGGTAGTGCGTCAAAACATCGTCCTCGCGCGTGAGCGACACAACAGTCTTGATCGCCGCAGCAGCCTCGCACGCATAAGACGCAGAGGCCTCGTGCGACTTCTTCACAGTTTCCTCAAACTTGGACAACACCCAGAATCGGAAAAATCCAGAGAGAACCATGATCGGAACACAGGCGACGCAGACCAGACCAAGCTTGTATGCAATAATAATCGCAAGAATACCCGACGACACAACGTTGATAATCGAGTTCATGATCTGACCAAAAGTAGCTCCCGAAAGACCATCAATCGACTGTGCCTCGCGCGCAAGCGACATAGTCAAAACACCCGTAGTGTTCTCATCCCGGTCATAAAACGAGATATCCTGACGCAGCAAGTAGCGGAACATCTGGTAGCGAATACGGCGGACAAGACGCTGCGCAACAAATGAGTAGATCGAGAACGCTCCGGTCGAAGCTGCCAGCAGCAAGAACGCAAGGAAGATAAACAGTCCAGCCCATTTGTACACTTCGGCGTACATCCGGTCGGGATCAGTGTATGCCAACTGCAGCCCTTGAACAGCATGTCCGTAGAACTCACCCAAGGCTGGGTACGACATGCCCTGGATGAATGAACAAAAGACACCCATTGCGATGTACTTGTTCTCCGGAGCGGAGATACCGCCAATAAACTTGATCAGATCCACAGTACTATACCCGCTCTCTTCCTCAGCAATCGTAGCCGTGTCCGAAAAGTCCGAGTCAGACATAACGTCTCCCTTGACAGTCACCGTAGTCTTCACCTTAACCAGCTTTTCGTCATCAGAGTCAATCTTCTCATCAATCGACGAGGAAGAGTCAGACTCGGAAGACGAAGACAGAGCTTCGCCGGTGATAAGCGCTTTCTTCTCCTTCTCAATCTTCTGCGATTGCACGAGCTCAAAGTATTCGCCTTCCTTTGCCAACAGCTCGTTGTGAGTTCCGCTCTCCACAATCACTCCGCGCTTCATCACAACAATCAGATCGGCATCCTTGATGGTCGACAAACGGTGAGCAATGACCTAGATAAGTATTGTTAGCAGACACATTATATAAAATCAGGGCATAGGCACATACGATAGTGGTGCGGTTCTTGGCAGCACGATCCAGAGCTTCCTGAACAACACCCTCGGACTTTGTGTCTAAAGCCGAAGTAGCCTCGTCCAGCAGCAAAATCTTCGGGTTCGAGACAATAGCGCGAGCAATAGCAATTCTCTGCTTCTGACCGCCCGAAAGCAAAAATCCGCGTTCTCCAACAGGAGTCTCGAATCCCTGAGGAAGAGCAGTGATAAACGAGTAAGCGTTGGCCTGCTTGCAAGCTTCAATCACAAGCTGCTCTTTCTCGGCCGGCGACGCAAACTCATACTCGGAGCCAATAAGTCCCTGGGCAACGTTCTCATAGACTGAGGTCGAGAACAAAGTAGGCTCTTGAGAGACAAGCGAGATCTTGCTACGAAGCCAGCGGATGTTCAAGTCGGTGATGTCATGGCCGTCAAGGGTAACAGTGCCACGGACAGGCTTGTAGAAGCGCTCGATGATTCCAACAATAGTCGACTTTCCAGAGCCGGAGGCACCAACGAGAGCGACAGTCTTTCCGGCAGGCACCTTCAAGCTGAAGTCTTCCATAACCACAACGTTAGGTCGCGAAGGGTAGATGAACTTGATGTCATTGAGCTCGATCTCCCCCTTCAAATCAGCAAGACATTCACCGCTAGCGTCTTTCGAGTCAATAGCAGACTGACGATCGATGGTTGAGTACACCTTCGAAGCGGCAGCAGAAGCAGAGGTGAAAGCTTTGAAATGAGGAGCAATGTGGGACATGGCAAAAGCACCATGGGTGATTGTCAACAAAACCGTGATCACACGTCCGATGGTGAGCTCACCGGTACGGATGTACATGGGAGCAGCGAAAAACGCAATGGCATCGGATCCAAAAATACCGACCCACATAATTCCGCTCATGACCCCAAGGCAGATTCCAGCCCGGTGGCCGTACTTCTCGGTGACAATCAGATGGGAATCATAACGCAGAGCCAGACGCTCCTGGATTCCAAACGCCTGCACGTTGCGGACCGAGGAAAGAACCTCCTCGGCAAGAGTTCCGCCGACGGAGTAGCCGGATAAGGACTTGCGGATAGCACGCTTCATATTCTGCGATCCGATAGAGAACGACACCATCATCATGAACAACATAGATGACAGGATTAGAGCAAGTTTGTACGAACGGATCATGGCGACGATAAATCCAGCAATCAAGGTCGCAAAGTTTGCAATACAGTATCCAATCTTCTCAGAAATACCTTCCTGGATCAGGATAGCATCGGCAGAGATACGGGAAGTAATCTCACCGGTTCCAACCTTATCAAAGTAGCCGACGTTCTGACGCAGGGTGGCTTCCAGGTATTTCTCACGGATGCGCGCAGAGATGACCTCACCTCGGTCGATGAAAAGGAAGGTTGAGAAATATGAAAGAGCAACATCGACGACGCCGATAATAACCAGGTAGCTAGAGGACACGATTAGTCGCCCTGATGATCAAAATTTAAACAACAGATAGCCTTACACAGTAAGTCTGTTGACCTCGCTCTGGAAAAAGTCAGGCGAAATGTAGTCTCCAAAGCCATACATGGTACCGTTGAACTGGTAGGGCTCGGTGAAGTTGTAGTAGGTCTCGGTGGAGTTGCTGAAAGACTCATAGGTAGAGCTGTTCATGTACTCTGTCGAGTTGAGGAATCCAGAGCCGTAGTAGAACTCATCGTAAGGAACTTGGCGAGTATAGGTAGCGAAAAGATCGGTGATTTGACCAAAGACAATCTAGAAACTTGTGTCAACGCAAGCAGTAGCTACCACCAAACAACACAAAAAACTCACAGTCATCAGCGGGCGCATGCATCCTTCAGCGACAGAGGTGAGCACACCAAACATCAAGAGGAGCTTATCGAAATGATCAGTGTATCTGAAAAGCTCGATGAAGTTGACATTGCGCTCAGTCAGCTTGACCTGCTCGCGCAGAATCTCGGCTTCGGACGGAGGAAGCGAGCTGAACTCATCGGTGTATGCGGTGGTATCGACAGAAGCCTCCGACTTGTGGATGAGTGGTGACGTATCGTTCGCCTCTGCCTTTTTCTCAGGGTCAGCCATAGTTGATTACCTGACAGGAAAGAGCGAGAGTGCACGAGAAAAGGAAAGACGAAGAGAGAACAGGAAGAGGCGAGGGTGACAGCAGCGGGGGACTGTGTACAAAAGGCCTCGTTCAGATTTGCAGTCTCTATCGGACTCGTTAGACGGAAGAGCCGACGCGGAGGACAGGAACACGAGTACGGCGCAAAGAGTCCTTGAAGGAGTTTCTGCTCAGCGAGAAGTTGCGGGCTGCGGTAGCGATAAGGGCTGACAGCCGATAAGCCTCCGCTGCCTTCTCCACCGCTCTTCTCCCTGACTCTCTACCGGCGCATTACGCGCTAATGATTCCCTATTGAATCATATTCCCTGCTATGCAATAATGACTCAAAACAGAGTAATCCCCCGCCACACCTTCTGCCTGCTCTCACGACCGGGCTCCAGACAGATTTCAGAGTGCCCACGCCGGAGGAGTTCAAGCTCTCAGTGACGGCCGGACCACGGACCGAGCTTAGGCGCTGGCCGACATCCTCAGAAAATTTCCTAATTCATCAACTCCAAGCGCCTTTGCACTGGATTCATAATAGAACTTATGTAGATCACGTGTTTGGAAATAGTATTGCTTCATTTCATCTTTCTGTTCGTATTGTGATGTCTTGCTGTTCGATCTACGAATATCAGAAGCTGCGTTGACTGTCGTTGAATAGTTCTTATCTACAGAGACTGATAGAATATTGCAAGTAGGTCCGGGTGTCCGCACGGGACACTGATTCGTGTTATAATCTTCTTCCTATTTGCTGAGCGAAGGCCATGATTAGTGGACGCAATAGCTTAACTCACTCAAGTTCAGTGCTGAGCTATGCCCTCCATCAGATGATTATGATTTATTCGTGCCTCGCGTAAAAGACCCTCAACATTAAAGTGCGAATGACTGAGGATAGATTGAGAATAGAAAATACATTTGATTACATTCACTGACGCCTTAATAGAAGACCACTATCCTAAAAAGAAAAAAACCACTGAATTCATTTCACTCCTTACTTAACATTGACACCATGCTCCCACTTTCCGTTAGTCAGCTGCTTGACCTCGTCCAAGTGGCTGGTGAAGTTGTTGACAAGGTCATCCCACATGGTAGGGTCGTGGAAGTGCAACTTGTCGACGGTCCAGCCGTACTCAGCGATCGAGAAGGCACGCGACGACTCGAACATGAAGGCGATCGAGCCAGGCGAGATGCGCATCTCGGGAGGAACGTCCGCGGAGGCGGCCTTGAACTCCTCGTAGGCGACACCGTGAGGAGTCATACCAGTCTCGAACGAGGCTCCACCAGGGAGGAAGGCATCGGAGCGGCCACCGTACTGACCGTAGATCAAGCCCATAAGCTCGGAAGCAACGTTGCGGTGGTAGTAAGGCGGGCGGTAGGTGTTGGAGGCAACATCCCATCTAGGGCTGAAGATGAGGAAGTCGGCGAGGGGAGCGTTGGGGTCGCGCGACTTGGCGGTGAGGACGCAGAAGATCGAGGGATCGATGTGGTCAACCGAGATCGAACCGATGTTGACGAACTTGGTAAGATCGTACTTGTAGGGAACGTAGTTTCCGTGCCAGGCGATAACGTCGTAGGGAGAGTGGTCCTGGGTGGACTTGAAGAACTTGCCACCGACCTTGTAGATGAGCTCGTAGTTGGGCTCGTTGTCGATCTCGTAGTAAGCCTGGGGGACGAGGAAGTCGCGCGAGTTGGCGAGACCGTATCCTCCGATCGGGCCCAAGTCGGGGAGCTCGAAGTTGGATCCCCAGATCTCGAGGATGTATCCACGGGTCTCGCCGTCGGGAGTGCCGACGGAGAAGCGAACACCACGCTGGATGATGCAGATCTCACCGGGCTGGACGTAGAGCCAGCCGAACTCGGTCTGGATGTCAAGACGTCCCTGCTGGGCGACGATCAAGAACTCACCGTCAAGGTTGACGAAGGACTTGCGGACCATGGAGGTGTTGCAGACAAAGATGTGGGTGGCGATTCCCTCACGGAGGGATGGGTCACCAGAGCCAGCGAGGGTCTTGAGTCCCTGGGTGAAGTCAACGGGGCCGTCCTTGGGGATATCGAAAGGAAGCCACGCGAGCTGGGTGGGCGAGACGTGGGTCTTGGGGTTGACGGGGAGGAAGCACGACTCGTAGTCCTCGTTGATGTTGAGATCGGTGAATCCCTCTGTGATTGCAATTAGCTACCACAACATCAAGCAAATCAAAAGAAAAAAAGACATAGACGTACTGTGCGAGACGGCGGGGCGCATGCGGTAGACCCACGAGGACTTGTGGGCAGAGCGAGGAGAGACGAAGGCAGAGCCGGTGAGCTGCTCGGCGTAGAGGCCGAAGCGAACCTGTCTGGGCGAGTTCTGGCCTCTGGGGAGAGTTCCGGGAATGGCCTCGGACTCGTGCTCGCCGGGCATGCCGGTCATGTAGTTGTAGGGATCGTTGGCGCGGACACCGAAGGAGGGAACCTTGCCATCGCCCTGGGTCTCAGCCCAGTGGAAGGCCTTCTGGTGGAGCGAATCAGCCTCGGCAGCAGAAACCATTGTGGAATTGGTAGATTGAGTGGTTGGTGGAGTGGGTAGGAGAGGAAGTGGGTGATCGGACAGGGACAGAGGAAGAAGACAACGAGAAGAAGCCGAAGATATTTAAGGATGCGACGCCGCTGCAGCAGCAAAGAAGGATCTTGCGGATTTCTGCTGAACAAATCTGCGTAAGCGGGCAAATAAGGTTTAGTCGCGGGGGCTGCCGGCCAACCGAGTCCGAGACCGGCTTAAGTGGGGCCAGGAACGGTGCGGGGAGCGACGCTGCTCCACAAACTTACCCCGGCAGTTGCCTTCTGTGTGCTATTACGAGTTTTTTGTAATCATATGCCTTCCTCTGCTATTCCTGCTTTCGTTTCCAGGATGTTCGGCGCTGATCACGTTGCTGCACAGTCTGCTCCTTCTGTCCATGCTGCTGCCCACGTCAAGAACACACTGTCCGAACATCAACCCTCTCATTTAATTCGACGGTCGTGGTTGTCCCGTAATTGGTAGGGCTGTCGATCCGTCATCCCAGCGGGGTTATCCCAGTGCCGGCATGCAGAAACCCTCTCTTTTCTCCCTGTCAGTTCCACTTATTTTAATCCAATCGGCTCGTTCTAGAACTTTGTTTCCATCGATTTCTCCGTCGCGCTGGCATTAATCACCTGTCACGTTGTCCTTACATTTAAGAAGTGTTATGTTTGATGTGGGTCTAACGCTATAAGTGATCATTATCAACTATACTATGTGCTGGACAAGCAGAACACTATTGTTCACTCATAATCACAGAAGAAGTAATCATAACCACTCTCTGTACCATAACAACTGCTGCCGGCGATCAGGCAACTATCCTGCTGAGTCGACTGCTGAGTATCACGTGCAGTCTCCGGACATATACAAACCCTCCAAGGTCGGGCCGTCGGACCCCGGGAGTTACCCTCCCTACGGCACAGCAAAACCACTCTTGGCGGACAAGGCGTCTTCGAGGTGAAATTGCTACCAACTACTATTCATAACTTACTCCATTTTAACTACAAAACAACAGCCAAACAATCCAACAGACACTCATACCTCATCACAAAAAACCACTCCACCTCTCTAACTGAACTCGCCAACTTTTAATCCAAAGCCACCCTCCGGAATATCCTTCAGCGTCGCCGTCTTTGCATAGTCAATCCCACTCGCATACACGCTGTTTCCCCACCATTTCACAGAAGTGTTGGTGTACTGCAACGTAAGGAAAATCACAATTCCTCCAAACGCCATACCCGCAGACAACCCTGACGTCAACACATAGTTGTACTTCGTCCACCATCTTACATATCGGTGCTTGATGTATCGGTTGAAAATATAGCCCATAACCAGCCCCGGCGTGTAGTACGACAGATTGTATGTAGATCCCCATCGACTGAACCCATTGATGAACAGAATCGGATGGAAATACATCATCTTCTTCGGGAAGTAAACCTTGAGTGCATACAGCGGGAATGCAAACAAAAAGCCCATCAAGAAGCAGTACTTCAGCACCGGATACAATGTGAAAAACATCCGCTGTGGCCCGATGATGCCATACATAATCGTTTGCGAGTAAAGCTGATGCGGAAATGTGCATGTAAACTTATCGGTCTGAGTCAAGCTGCAAAAGTCCACAATCGAGTCCATACAGAATTGAACGACGCCGATAGTGATACAACCTTGAACAAACACGGCAATCATCTGCGCCCGGAATACTGCTCGTGGTGGCAGCTTCATGTAATGTCCCAGCTTTTGATCGGAAATGAACGACTCGCCTTGAACGTCAATGTTATTTCCATAAAGACGCAGAAGCATATTGGCCATTCCATTCCCTTTGCACATATATCCGGTGATGACAACCGCAAAGTAGTACACATTGAGCTCATATCCCGTAATTGAGTATACCAACGTGCTAGGAATAAGCAGCGCAATACTCAACAGCAAGATAACCACAACTCCATAAATTGGCGTATTGGTCGGCCAGTGCTCGACAGCAATCACTCCAAATACAAACGACAAAATCAAAACGGCGTAATACCACCAGTCAGGAACCTCTTTGTAGCTCCTCATCATTCTCGTATGCGGATCATTGAACTCGGCCATCGTCGACCTTCTCGGATGCCGTATCGCAAACCACATATTCTTCAACGCCTTCCACAGCAGCCGGTGCTCAGTGAACAACACATAAGTGAAGGCAAACACGTAAAGAACAAAGTAGCCACCGTTCATCAGCAAATTTCCCGCAGAGATATAAGGAGGCGAGTAGTTCAAATAAGCCTCTTCGTCAAGCAGCAGGTTGCTCGACACCCGACTGGTGTTATAAGTCTTGCCCATATTGTCGTACAATGTCGCAGAGTTGATCGGCATATACGCCGTCCACTTGTAGTTTGTCCAGTAAAACGCAATCATGATGAAAGCACCAAGGACCATACCGACGTAGCGGTTGACAAGCGAGAAAAACGGCACCGTCAGCGGTACCGTATAGTTGATCACTGACCAATCGAAAGTCGAAATCGGATTGAATCCCAAGCCAATGTATGATCCCGTGATGATTGCAAGATTCTTATTCTGAGGCGCGATCCATGTCATCCAATTGAAACAACTCAGGGCCTTGAACAGGTAATCCGGAATAAAAAAGTATAGGAACGACGCAATCAGCACGGTGAAGAAAAACTTGTATCGCGTGATAGTCCAGCCGTGGATGTTTGAGCGAGCTTCAGGGACCAAAAGTGCGCGGTTGAGGGCCAGAGTTGGGAGAACAGTTGGCCATACAGTCTTGACCGGGTAGATCACCCATCGACGCATGATTCCGGCCAGCCCAAATCCAAAAAAGAGAGAGGATAGGTTCATAACAAACATAAACCCAAACGATACCCACTTCAAGTTGAAAAACATCTCAAGACGCATGACGATGACATAAGCAGCAAAGTTGAGACTAGTCGAAGCAATATTGACCATAAGAGTCGCCAACATCTGCTCCTTATTCGTCCACGGTCCGGGGTTCAAGCTGATTCGTTTCCCGCGGAATGTGACACCCCAATCCGGAACAACCTTGGCCCAAAACTTTCCACATGGATACAGCAGCAACTGGATTGCAGTCGACGAGATAGTCAAACTAGGCTGTCGCTGCTGGAAAAACTCATTCACAAAAGCACCAATGGCAACCCATATAAGACCAAGAACATAGACACGGATAGTCTCCACCGGAATCGTCGGATCATCAAACGGGTCGCACACTGCTCGCACCTCAGGATACGGTGAATGAGAGTCGATCAGGGCCGCCATGACCCTGACATCCAAAGCGTAAGTCTCAAAATCACCCTCAAAGACTTCATATCCCAAAGAAAGCACTCGCACATATTCAAGATCCTCGGGCGGGAAATTCACATCATCAAAGTGCTCTTCATAGGTCTCCTTGAGAATCTCGATACCTCGGTCAACGGTCATCTCCTGTACCACATTGAACAAGAACTGTGCTACAGGATCGACAGAGCCGTCGTCCTCCCAATAAGTCTTTGCGAGCTCATTGATGCGCATCAGAATTCTATCAGCATCACCTTCTATGAGCGAGTTATTGATGATCTTCTTCTCATCTTCTTCGCTCGAAAGTGGGGCCAGGTCACTTGTCACCGTCACGGACGCCCTTTTCTCCTTCTCGAAACCCTGAGGGAAGCTGGATGAAGACATATTGATCTTCTGCACAGTCTGCGTTAGCTTTCAGTGGTGATTCAGAATCATTCAGCATAATATGCTTACCTTAGCTCCTTAGTGATGTCTTGGCTTTGATGCACAGTCCTCTGGTAAATTCTCGGCGCCAATAGTTCTGATCAGTCAGGCGTATGCTTGAACTGATGGGGTTCAAATATATAGACTGGGCAAAAGTATTCAGTGCCATGAAGGGGAATTCCGCAGATTATATGCAGAAATCCGTTCTGCAGTTCCTGTAGTCCCGGTGGGCTTGACAGTGAGTTGCGTAATATGTCGCAATGGCGCCATTCTGGCCACGATGATATTTCGCCTATTAAAATGTTACGGAATATAAGACGTTCGACAGCCATCTGATAGGGTGAGGTAAAGAGACCTTAATTAATGTTACTTCATTTCAATATATATAAGGGTATTCGTATCCGACAACTCCAGAATATGCCCACAATTGTTTGTAATAGAACAGTGTCTGGGTATATGTAAATGGCTTCTGGACATGAAATTCTGATCCTCGGAGGATGGAGCTAAACCCAATTCTCCAATGTATGCCGAATGCCAACTAAGAGCTAGTAAAAACCATCATGACTGCGGGAAAAATTTTGCAGTTAAACCCTTTTGGAGTCAGAGATTGTCTCTAGCGTATGAGCTGTTTGAGTCCCTCGGTGACAGCAGTATTAAACGGCTCACTGCCTATTATTATTGTTCCGATCGGTATCCGCTATATTGATGTGAAACGCCATCACCGGAGTATGGCGTGCTGTCAATTAGCTATCGGTACACATCACTAGAAAGACTTCCTTCTCAATCCACTCTTATACTGAAAGGAGTCAAGCCAGCTGTATATCGGAGGGTATCTGATCATTCATGAAATACATCACAGCGCAGAAAACACGGAGGTCACCACACACTCAGATCCGTTCACAAACAGCTTTATCATAAGAGCAGGGACTTTATCACTTATCGACGAACAGCACTTCTTGGCAGAGGGCGGTTAAGCTTTCAGTATGGTTTGCAGCATGCTTATGTTGGAAGCTCGCAATCGATCACTTTGGTCTATGCGCTTATCGCTGAGAACATTGCGGTGCACGATGGCGTAATCTGTAATCGGGCTTCAGCAATACTATCCACGCAGACATTTGATAGTGGTGTATACCGTGATCTTTAAACTCGACAATTAGACAGCACAGAACACGCCAACGTCAACGTAGAGGATATCGGAAGCAGATGGTGGGTTGCAATACAGCTTGCTGTGTGACGATGATTCCTGTGTTCCCGGGATGTTTTTCAGGCGGATCATCATCAGATGAATTTCAGCCGCACGCACGACAATCATCAGCAATTCCAATCATTACTGACAAGCCGTGAGTTCCGGAACTTATCACTTGAAATCATTCTGGATTCTTCAGCTCTTCAAATTTTTGAGTATATATGTGCTCAACTGTTTGCGCCCTTTTTTAGGTATACGATCTCCGCTTGGCCGCGATTTGTAGGCCGTCACTACGCTTACAGCGGGAATAACTGAATTCACTCTCTGCTCCAGGTAGGCGCCGATGGTAATTAATCTCTGTTTATAGTCATTCGATATAGTTATACGAGAACGAATTATGACAGACTACCAACTTCTACAGTCCAATTGGAAGCTACCCGATATATAATATCCATCCGAATTCAAGATTGCAGACTCCTACTCTGATTTTCTCTACGAGCGATCGATCCACGAATGATCATCCCCCAGGGTCACTGAGGTCTGTTTGTGTGTCAATATGACCATTCCGATACGGTCCTTCTCCATATAGGCCCTCCTTTGACCATGAACTGCGATGCGAGCATGCGTTCAGCGGCCGCGATAGTTGAAAAGTTGGTAGTCGTTCATCTATGTGACTGGGTAAATAAAATATCATTGTTGAACTATCTATACAAAGAACGCTCATATGCACAGTAGGATGGGCGCAAACAATGGACCGTACTGAGAGATAGTTGGTGAAGAATTTGTGTCTGGCGCGGAATTGCACAATAGTGCAAATTGACTAAAGGGTCGATACGTCGCGCGCCCCAATACATACTGAACAGGTCGTTTCCAAGCAGATATTCCACTCACCAAAGATGCATCTGTATACCACTGTAGAAAAGGCGCAAAAAGCTGCCAGTGCGAATGCGACAGCTGTTTATAGTGAGTGCGGTTGGGCGACGTGGCTGCGTTGGCGGCAGCTCTTCAGATCAACATGGAGGTGACAGTAGGTGCTGTTAGCGGACTTTAACAATTCGTACCTGCGGATATCGCTATTGACATGGCTTTCTTATGGGTGCTGCCTACGGATGTTATAAGGATAGGAAAAGTGCGCGAGGCTGCGACTTGATCGAAAAAGACTGACCGCCATCATCATGATCTGTTCAGAGATCATCTCGTACCAATATCATGATCTGTTCGAAGAGCTCGTACCAATTTGATCGGTGTGCCAACTCTGATTATCTTCTGGCGTAATAAGTGGCTAGTGTCAGACTGTCGGGAAATGTCAGTGATGTAGAACTAATCGAAGAACGAGATTGAATACTTTCGAGATCTCGAGAGAGCGAGAGAGCGACTTTTGTGTCCTCAACTTGCTTGCTTAGATGAGATGACTAATAAGGGTTCACCTACTAATCACGGCTCCATCTGCGTAGATAGAGCGAGCACGCGCAAACCCTACAAGAACCTTGAGGGCAACTGGTAGGACCTCCAGAGTACAATGACCACTCTTGACGATTGTTAGGCGTGCCAAGAATTCATTCATTTAATTAACCATCAAGCTATAAGAACAAGACACTACCCGTCGCTTAAGATAGATTTTACAACCTATAAAAATTAAGCCGCGAGATGACTACAGATAAATAGATATTGATAGAAGCTGCGTTCCTTGAATATATCATATCATTGGGCTAACTTTGCGGGTTAGGAGGCGCCAGACGGCTCAAATCGGTGCACACAGCTACGCACGTGTGTCTTCTACTGGGTTGAAGCAATCCCTCTTCACCAATCGTCGCCTCGAAAAGCTTCAACTCAAGCTTTCGACTTGAAATCAAGCTATCGCGTTTTCCTCTTCGGGCCCTATTAGATGCATTGTTGTCTTTTTAGGTTAGAGGGCTGCAAAAGATTTACAATTCGAAGCTGTTGATTGGCTATACTCCGCGCACGTTTTCAAACCGACCCTCGACTTCGCAACTTCTCAACGAATCGTATCCTGCTCCGGCTTCCCAGTTGGATGATGAGCGATTATTACTATCATTAGACGGTGTGGGGAGCGATATCTTCTGGACGAATATGCGCTCGATGTATACATATAAATACACTGGCGAAGGCTCACCTACGGAGAGTCTCAGTGGCATCACCTCAGCGTACCGATATCATCATTGACCATGAAGTTCTTTTCCAGCGCAATTGCAGCGTTTGCTTTTGCGGTCTCTGCGCTCGCCCAGATAGACGTTCCTGGCGCGGTTCCCAAGAATCCTTTGGAGCCTCTTCAGCATCGTCTGGCATATGCTGGCCCGACGGGTATGACCGTGTCATGGAATACCTATGCTGAGATCAAGAAGCCCGAAGTTCACTATGGTGAAAACGTCTGGGATCTTTCCAGTGTTGCTTACGGAAGTTCCAACACTTATGAGACCTCACCTACCTGGGCAAACCATGTGACCATCTATGGATTGAAGCCCGATACGACGTACTACTATACCGTGTCGCATACCAATTGCTACAACTGCAGCGAGATTCCTGCTTACACGTTCACCACTGCTCGTCCCAGAGGAGACTTCACTCCCTATACGGCTGCCGTTGTCATTGACATGGGTAAGTACACCTGCGTTTACTGACTTATTTGAATTAAAGTAGGAAGTGACTAACGCTGTCTCCAGGTGTGATGGGTGAATTTGGAGAGTCAGCTGCGAGTGAAGCTGATACCGGCGCTTTCACGGCATCGGATAGCAGTACTATGCAGTCGCTATCACAGTTCCGTGACGGTTTTGAGCTCTTGCTTCATCGTATGTGCAGATTTGCTTGTATTCCTGTTGTTATCAAGAATTGATCGCTGACCTTTGCAACAGCCGGTGATCTGGCGTACGCCGATAGTTGGCTCACTGAATATCTTCATGGCTATCTGAACATTACTCTTGATGAGGGCGTTGAAATGTACAACCTCTTGCTGAACCAGTTCTTTGACGAAATGCAGCCGGTGACTTCCGTCCGCCCTTACATGGTTGGTCCAGGAAATCATGAAAGCAACTGTGACGAAGGCGGAAAGACTTACAATGGAGTCACCTACGATCTCAGCATCTGTCCCGAAGGTCAACGAAACTTTACATACTACAAAAACTACTTCTCGATGCCTGGTGAGGAGTCGGGCGGTGTGGACAATTTTTGGTATTCGTTCGATCACGGAATGGTGCACTACGTCATGATTGATACCGAGACAGACCTCGGTAATGGCCTTGTGGGTGACGATGAGACTGCCAGCGGAGAGGACATGGACTCTGGTCCATTCGGCTCTTACGAGAACGAGCAGATTGATTGGCTTGAGAATGACCTTGCCAACGTCGACCGCTCGCTTACTCCCTGGGTTATCGTGTCTGGACACCGTCCTTGGTATGCGTCGGCTGATAACGATTCCACTTGCGCGAACTGCCAGACTGCATTTGAGCCTTTGCTGGTCAAATATAATGTTGATATGGTATTTTATGGCCATATCCACATGTACGAGCGTAACGACCCTGTTGCTTATGGTGTCGTTGATCCCAATGGACTTAATGATCCATCTGCGCCGATGTATATTCTCAACGGACTGGGTGGTCACTACCACGGAACCGACGACTACTCTCTTCCTTTGACTGAGTATTCTCGCTACTTGCAGAATGAGACTTATGGTTGGAGTAGATTGACTTTCCACAACTGCACGCATGTTACCCACGACTTTATCGCATCCGCGAACGGAACCGTGCTCGACAGCGCGACTTTGTACAAGAACCATGGATGCTCGACGAGCTCTTCGAGCTCTACCAGTATCACAACTACTTCGAACTACACGTCAAACTACACTGCAAACAGCACTGTTCCGTCGGTTGCCACGGTCACTACAAATGCGGCCGGAATTACTGGCGTTCCGTCAATCATGCTGGCTGTTACTTTAGTCACTGTCCTGATCGCCTTTTTGTGATAGGTGGAACGGGCATGCCTGTTTTCAGTAACTTGTCAATAACTGATTTTTGTGATATCTGAGGTTTAAACTAGTGTACGGGATTAAGATATGAAAAAGTGCTTTAGTTAGGTAAAATATGTACCATTATTTAATAGAGGGAAACCATTATACTGAAGTTGATACGGGAGTATGACCAGCAGGACTCGAACTGCTGTTAGTACGGCAGAATGCATGCACGCCTCGACTTCTCTTTTTCCTATAAGCTTTTTTTCCTATTATAAGCCCTTTTCCACCGCTGACGACTGACCACTACAGATTCGATATTGGAGTCTTGATAAAATGATCCGATAACCTGCCGTAACCCGAAGAAGTACGAGAACCATCGTTCTCTTAGCTTTGAGGGCTTACCTTGTATCTTGGGACTTGCCAGCGCTATCATAACTGTTGCGGCTGGGCTCATTTGCATGTTCTTCAAAGTTTTGTGTAGCTCTCTCCTTGTTCAAATTTCAACCGTCTTAACAAAGCTCAGCTCAGTACAAGGCCGCCCTCTATATTGCACGGTTTTTTAAATAGCCAGTAGCTAGGAGGAGATGACGGCATCAGCAGGGAAGACATAGACTGGAATTCCATAGCGACAATCGGTCTCCAGACCTGAGCCGCATGCGCGCCATCAACCTCCAGCGGAAGTGTAATCGACAACGCGGAGATTCGTGAGTAATTGATACTGGATAGATGATAAGGAACAGGTGTACTGAGAAAGTGCTGATGCGTCATGGGATCTACGTGAGTTTTCTACAATAGAGGAACGATTTGTAAAAAAAAAAGAAAAGGTAGACACTAGCAATCAAATGCGGTTCAGAGATGATCCCTAGTGACAACCCTAGACGTAGGGTAGCAAGTGGGAGGGGGGGTCCTAGCCATAGTCCCACATGGGTAGGGGTGGGGATTAAGAGCAAGTGGGAGGGGGGGAGTCCCACATGGGTAGGGGTGGGGATTAAGAGCAAGTGGGAGGGGGGGGGGGGGAGTCCCACATGGGTAGGGGTGGCGCGCCTGCCAGCTCTGCTTCGATTGGCATTATCACTGTCATTATCGCGTATTTCCTGTTTTGTCATCGGCTCAGTATCTCCTGTTTTGTCATCGGCTCAGTATCTCTTTTCTATGTGTCATTGTCCCAGGATCTCTTTTCTAAGCTCTGCATTATTCTCTTTATTAGTCATCATCTAGACATCGTCGCTATCAAGTCTTTATCAACAGTCTACAGTATTCTCTATTTGCATTTATTAGTCATCCATCAGCCGGAGAATCATTTCGACAAGTCTTTATAACAGTCTCTAGTCTGCATTTATTAGTCATCCATCAGCCGGAGAATCATTTCGACAAGTCTTTATAACAGTCTCTAGTCAGCCATTAGCCGGACACAAAGGCTCGCTACACGGTTCTATTCAGTCTTTATCAATTTATTAATTATAGAAGTATAGAGTAGTAAAACAGACAGTGGTTTGCAGCGCTGGCAAGGCCTTGTTCTTGATCGCAGCTGACAAGAGTGGATCAGCACTCGTCCACAAGCTGACAAGAGTGGATCAGCACTCATCGACGAGCTGACACGAGTGAGGAGCCTGGGCGAGCAATCGGCAGCACTCATCGACGAGTTGACGCGGACAGTCAGCACTCACCACGAGCCGACACGAGTGGAAGCAGGCAGCACTCATCGACGAGTTGACACGAACAGGCAGCACTCGCCGCGAGTGGAAGTAGCCAGGCGAGCAGGCAGCAGCGTGGGGAGGTTGACGACATGTTGAGGCCTTGGCGGAGGGCTTATCTGGCAGGACGGTAGTATGATACAAACAAAGGCAAAGGAGGACAATCAGACCAGAAGTTAGCACACACTGAGAGCGGAGAGCTTGACGGCGAAACAATGAGGGAAGAGCGAAGAGCTTGACGACGAAACGAGGGAGAGCGAAGACGCTGAGAGCGGAGTGGCGGAGCAAAGAAGAAGAGCAAATGGGGCGAGAGGTGGACGAGGCGGCGAGACCGTCCTTTATCTAACTTGTCCTTGTCCTTATCTCTATCAGGTGAGGGGTTTTCGGAGGAATGTTGCCAAGCTGAAACAGTCGGGATGTCGGATAGCGCATTGCTGGGGGGCAGTGCTGTCGCGGGGAATGTGACGCGATAGAGTTTGAGTGCAGCCCGCCCACGGCACTCTTCGACATCGAGCTCTTCGACATAGAGCGGCGATCCCGGCGACGACCAGAGACTACGTGAGGACGTCAACAAGAGTGGTCAAGAGTGAGAGGAAGCTTAGGGAGAGCGGGCCAGGGAGGCAGCGCTCTTGGAGCACGCGCAGTGAAGCGGGCGAGAGCGAGTGAGGCGAGAGCGCAGGAGTCCCAAAGCTTTGGTAGACGCGTAGTGACGTCGGCACCCCGGCGATGAGCGAGGAGATAAGATGCGATGCGATAACCGGATCTTTATCAGACAAACAACAACAAAACGCGACCAACAGGAGCAGACAGAGGCGACGAGCGTAGGTGAAAAGTAGACTAAAAACAAGCTAAAAAATGAACGAAAAATCAATGCAAAAATCAAGGAAAAGTAGGGGGAAGCGGGGGAGCAGGAGGAGGAGAGGAGAGCAGGTGTAGAAAGTGGGGTATGAGGTGGTGTATGAGAACAAAAAAACGGGGTGTAGGGGGGAGATTTTGCTGAGGAGTGGAGTTTGGGAAAACAACCACACTAAAGTCGACATAGAGGCGCAACAAGACAAGTAAGAAAAATATTAAAAAGAGGAAAATGAAGCGGAAAAAATGAAGAACAATCTAAAGCTATTTATGAAAGGAAAAGAGAAGAGGAAGAAGACGGAAGTGGAGAAAGGAGCGCAGGACGATGGCCCAGTGATCTTCTAAACGACGCGGCCGACGTCAAGTAAGGGTGTAGCTACGCGGAAAACTACATAAGAACAGGGGTGTAGCTACGCGAAAAACTACATAAGAACTACAAGGAGAATAGTGCATCAAATCGACGGAGTATATTCAAATATAGAGACAGCAATCAGATATATAGACCGAGGCCAGGTCGCGGCTGGCGAAGAGGGGTGGGCGCAGCGGCAGTCAAAGGGAGTCGAGCGAACACCAGGAGTTGTGCTGAGAGTGTGCTGGAAGTGAGAGGTGTGCTGAGAGTGAGAAGGTTGCTGAGAGTGAGAAGGTGTGCTGAGAGTGAGAAGGAGTTCGTCAGCGTGGCTAGGTGAAGCAGAGCAGAGCAGGAGGCGAGGACTCAACCAGATCAACGTCGGCTGGGCGTAGAAAAGCAGATCAGCACGTCAGGACTCACGAGGAGGTGCGAGAAAAACGCAGCTCCTGGACTGGCGTAGCAACAGCAAGAGCAGGAAGGAATGGGAGGAGAAGCGCAGATGAAGAGGGAAGAGAAAGTGCAGAAAGCAGATGTGGTGTGAAAAATCTCAGATAAAGTTTGTTTTATAAACCTTATCAGTGACGTCATGCTGCATCGTCGTCCCAAGATCTGAGCGCTCATCTCGCTAGGAGCACTCATTCTCAAGGTCTGGGAGCACATTACACAAAGATTTACTACAAACACTACAGTGGCTGACGAAATCAGCAGCAGGAAGCCTAGGCAAGTGGTGAGTAAGCCGGTAACTCAAGACAAAAGCAAACTCAAGACAAAAGCGCGACGATCTGGCAGCGACAGGAATCGTCAAGGCAAAGGAGTTAAGCATCCACCCAGCGAAGGGCACGTATCCTGACAAGAGGGGAGGAGTTGATGAAGTGGCGTGAGTAGCTGAAGGACTTGAGGCCAGGATGATTACTGCTGGGTGATTAGCACTCGGGCGCGATCGACGCATACTGACCAGTGGACCCGCAGATATCGATGCGACTCGAGGCCAGGATGATGACTGCTGGAGGGTGGTTAGCATCTTGACGCGGTCGACGCATAGATAACGACCAGCGAACTCACCCGCAGATATCGATGATATCGATGCTTGGTTTGGACGACTGATACTTGGGAAGACGAAAAGGGCAGACTCGAGGCCAGGATGATGACTGCCAAGGGTGGTTAGCATCTTGACGCGGTCGGCGCATATATACTGAGCAGTGGATTCAAGCAAGGGCAGACTCGAGGCCAGGATGATGACTGCCAAGGGTGGTTAGCATCTTGACACGGTCGGCGCATATATACTGAGCAGTGGATTCAAGCAAGGGCAGACTCGAGGCCAGGATGATGACTGCTGAAGGTGGTTAGCATCTTGACGCGGTCGACGCATAGATAACGATCAGCGAACTCACCAGATATCGATGTTTGTTTGAAAGATGAAACCAGGAGGATTGCTGGTAAGCAGCTGGGGAGCGCTTAGCGCAGAATAAAGATGACATGTTCCAGTGGTTTATTCGGTCCGACTCTCAACCATGTAGCGTAAGAGTGAGAGAGAGCAGATGAGGAGGACGCGACGGATGACTTAGTAGCAAGTACAAGTAAACAAAGACGCAAATGGCAGGCATCGGCCGGGGAGCAGCCAAGTGATTGATAAGGCATGATCAGGCAACGCCGTAAGATCCTTAGCGTGGCCGGGGAGCAGCCTAGCGTGGCCGGGGAGCAGCCGATGATTGGAAGGCAGCCAGTGATTGATAAGCCAACGCTAAACGAGCTCCAGATATAAACAGGCAAGCCTCATCGCCAGAAGAATGTGATCATATCAGACATCACTAGTACGCCCTATGGACCATTGCAGCAATTTGGCTGGGAAGCAGCCGATGATTACCAAGACGACGCCAAACGAGCGGTTTAAGAAGAAAGCCAAGCATGATCCAGCCGCCACACACTCGCAAAAGTAATTATGTGTTTGAATTAGTACGCGTCTTAATTAGTACGCGTCCTATCGTCCTTAGGACTGGCACGCGTCCAGGAATGCTTGGAAAGTGCCGTCCAACGCGCAGGGCCTTTGATGTATCCAGGCAGCTCGATGCGTCCAACTCTGGCCCCCAAACATACACAAGTCGCTTGTACTCGACCGG